GCTTTGTATAGGCACTCTCCTGCGTGAACTCACGAGTACAGGTGCATCTGAAAGGGTTGGAGTCGGCAATGAACCTGCACAATCCATGAGGGGAAACTGAAGGTGTAAGAATGCGGTTGAGTCCAATGTTGAAGGACAGGTGGAAAGACTGATGACTTTGATAGCATAACATAATATAGAGGGCACTAGTGATGGCCAGCCCCGATGGCGATCACATCATAGTCTAGATTCCCACAGGCCAAAACCTCTGGCAGCAGGCTAAAGGTGGGGACATTTCATGGTGACAAGATAAGCTGGGCAGATCATAATATTACTACATGTCGCAGTCTGATAAGAGCAGAGTAGATACCGCGTATTTGCTCCACCGGACCATACAATGGAAGCCCCATCTTCACCTTCATCTACCATCACTGCCCCACCTGACTATCACGAAACCACTTGGAGGTTAGCTAAATTGATTGCAGAGGCTATGACCTGCCGCTTTGCCCTCCTACACTATGACAGCGCCTCAAAATCCATGGTCGAATGGTGGTGGTGAGACATACCCATATTCTATGCAAATTTTGAGTTATGATGCTGCTCCACAAAAACACAGGCCTATTGACGGTGATGGAAAGAAGATTTTGCCATTCAACCTAGAGATCCACCGCGAAGAATATAAATTGAAATACCCATGCTGTCTATGCGCTGATGGTAGTGGCAGGAGTGTGTACATAGAGTGTGCGGTGTACTCGTGGTGGAATGAGGACACTGAGCAGTTTGATTGGACTGCAAGGTGCGCATCTGATGAATGTGGTTATCGAGGTTAGCATTCTTCACATTCAAGAGGATCACAACTGAAGAGTCAACATTGCCTAGTAAAAATCAACACGTACTTCAGGCTGCCGACTATATCCACCTTCCAGTATCCTCGAAGAGGTATGAGCGCTCGTCCTTCCTTTGCTGCAGTACTGGGTCTGAAATTATGGATGATGAAGAACAGCGAGTCTTGCCTATTCAGCTAGAGTGGACCTACAAGGAACAAAGTGAATTACTGAACAGACTCGATTCCTGTGTTGGAAATGGTATTACCAGCAGGGAGTTCCAAATTTTGTTTAGCCAATGCAAAACATGCAAGCGAGTCGGGGTGAGGTCAGTGATGAAGCGCCACATCTGTTTGGGAGGAGTGAAAAAGCGAGAAGGTCGACTTGCATGATCATTATTGCTCAGTATTCAGTATTAGCTTAGTTTACATTCTATACTAGGATCTACATAATGCCATCTACTTATTGATATCACCGCGTGAAACCATAGATTGCAAATTGAGAGCACCAGCAACCCATATGCATTGTTTCACATGTTGATGCATTATGCCATCATGGTGCACAGCGCTCAGCGGCCTCAGGCTGTAAATTCAACGTTCAGCGTTCAATGCCTGACATGTCACTGCAGCTGAATATATGCGATGCACGTGATCCACATCATTACTAATACTATTTCAAAGGCTTCATTCAGAACTTCGGATGCAGCAGCCATTTCTGATGGCCATCATTTTTCTTTTGATGGCCATCGTTCTTTTGGTGGCCATCCCCTTTAATATCCAGCACGAATCAGTTGGCATCAGTTGAGTACCTTTTCTAAACTCTGTGATTGCTCGTTTGCTTTCAGAATCAACTCCCGCTTACACATAAATAGTACTCTCACAATCAAGCTCGCTTGCCATGCACCTTACTGTACATACAATATTTGCACCCCAACAAGATGTGTCTTTCAGCAGAATCATTCAATTACTCAACTGCTCGTGCGAGCATTTTTCAACTTTCGAATGTCCTAGGCCGTGAATTCTTGGATGCCTACATAGGACTCATAGCAAATCAGAAGGTCAGTGGGAATTTTTTGTAATCCTGATTCTGTTAAATCTTTTCATGTAGCTCCAGACTGAATTATATGTTCTGTCATTCTTGCTCAAAAATCGAGTTTATTCTGGCGATCTGTGGGAACTGGTTGGGGAGCGCAGCATAGAGGCGAAACAAGAGGAAACACTGCGAAGACATCAGAGCGTATGTACTAACAGACATACCGGAAGGCATGTGGCTGTAGAACAGATTCTCTTAGAAGAGAGGAGGAAACGGTGTCAGATAGAGGTGTCTTTTTACACCCAGGCTATTGAAGTCTTGGAGCAACATTGGTTGTGTGAGCTTCTTTTTGTCTGGGTGCGGATGTGCAGTCTGATGCTCTTGTTATTTGTAGCACGTCTTGGAGCTCGATCCAAGCATCCCATCAGGCCTCCCTCAAGGCAAACGGTTGCTCCTACAGACTGTGCACCTCTACCGTGCACACCTCTGGCCTGCTCGATAGCAGCGTGAGGGATGTGTGAAGTTTGGCTGATGAGTAACGATGCCCCCCTCATTCCAACTGCAGCATCTTTGATGGAAACATTATCGCCTCTACATATCCCTCTCTCTTTGGCACATGGTAATTCCACCTCGCAGGAAGGAAGACCAACGTCTGTCTGTCTGAATGTCAGTGCTTTGACAGTTGGCTTAGCTGCTCTGACCGACTGTTTACAGTGTATTGGCTCCTCATTGCCCCTGTCGAGTACATGGGTCACTGCCGACATCCAAAAATCCTTTTATAAGTTATTCGAGCAGGAACTGACCATACAAGGGGAGCTAATGGTGACATCCCTGGCTACCAGACGTAGCAATGCCTACCTGCGTAACCTTGGGTTGGATTTACTCATCTTGCAGGCCAAGAGATGCCACGCCCTCACAGAGATAGCGCTATATACAATGGCCATCAGTAATTTTTATGGACGCAAGCTCTGTGATATTAGTGAGCACAATTGATCATGCTCCTTTTCATGCTAATGATACCGTAGGTTCGTTGACATCTTTGGATTCAAATATTGTCCAACTTCTGTGTAACGAAGCGCACTACCACGACGAGGATATCAACGACGGCACAGAGGGGAGCTGTGAAGACTATGAAGATTATGAAGACTATGAAGATTACGAAGACTACAAAGATTACGAAGACTGCGAAGACCTCGACATTCAGTGATACTGCAATTTTTCATCGACATCTGCATATTTTTTTTTTTGAACGGGACTGTATTTTTTGGCCTTCGTAAATTATTCTCACCTTTTTATCGACTGATTATTATTGACCGTGTATAGAAGTGTGTATTGTTAATGCATTCTCACGAAATCCTGCACCATTTAGTTCTTGTTTGGTTAATCGGTTAAAACCTGTCTTGCCTCGCGCTACTTCTATGCTGTTCCTCATTCTCTAGTACGTTCGTATCAAAGTGTATGTATTGGAGGACACCGAGTACTGTCCCCTTCTAAACTTAGCCTGTGAGGCCAACCTTCTGTTTGGTTGTTGAAGATACTTGTGAAGTTTTCTGCACTCTGAAATGGTGTTTATCATTGTGATGCCTACCATGAATCAGAATCATAGCTCGAAGTTGTTGACATATATTTGTATGTGCACCCGTGCCACACCCAAGCTGTGCCCTTCAAGACTCTGGAGTTCGCAATGCAGATGCATTGGCACTCTATCTTACTTCTTGTCTGGCAGGCCTTATCCTGCTAACCACCACTATTTGTGGTTGAACACAATCTGTGAGTTCTCCATCGCATTCTGAGATTATGACACCTAATACTATCCCATCAGTATCATATTTGTTTACTTTACAAATGTCAAACTCCTGGCGGAACATAATGTGCTTCTTGTTTAAGTGACAACTTTGAGCGAGAAGTTGAACATGTCGTAGATTTTGACCATCGAGTATCCAAGCTCTCTGCAAAGGAGGCTCAAACCGCGTTCCAGAAGGTCCTCCTTGAACTCGCGGAGACAAAAATCGGGTTGTTTTCAAAGTGCCATGACCTCGCCGTGTATGAGCGCAGCTATGCAAGTGCTGCTGCCATTCGACCTCATTATCGCCTTGGAAGTGGTACATTTTGCATATTAGGATACGACACTCAAGCTAACTCCGCGTAAGGCCTTGTCCTTTTCTTTCCCTTGCAAACAGCGGTACCTCACCCTAGCTTGCAGTAATCCTCTGTACATTCGAGCAGGTGCTGTTAACGCATGCATTGTAACACATCTTGAATCGCTGCCTGCTTGTGGTTCTCCAAAAATTTTAATCTTATCACTCACATACAGCTCCGTAACTTCTGATTCGCAGGAAGCCATGAATGCACCATTTTCCAGGCATACGGCTTCAACCTCGTCTCGCTCACAAACTCATTCGTTGGATTCTTTGGATGGTTGGTCAGCAGAGGAAGCTACGCTGGTACGTGGTGTTTTCTGTGTCTATTTTGAAGTCACTGTCCATGGACTAGGAGTCTTAGTCGTCTGGGTGTCTCAGATGTATGTCAGGGCGATCGAGACACGTGTACTTCTGAGGGATAGCAGATAATGATGCCTTTCGTTGTGCAAATGGTGTGGGGCATACTGTAGTAGCATGCTGCCATCCGTGTGCCACTATATCGGATGGGGGCTCTCATGCCCATGGGACCCGTTTTCCTTCCACCTCATGGTAAACCGCGTTTTACGAATCATAGATCATGTACAATGTCCGCTAACTATTTGTGAACAGCGTACACTAGTAGTAATTGCAGTTACGTTGCATCCCCCTGCTCAGATCAAGCCACTGCTGAATAGCCCCGAAAAGTGGGAATCTACTACAGCTCCTGCCTTTAAGTATTGTCCTCAACTTCGCCATTGTATTCAGCTGAGTAATACAATCAGATTTTTTCAAGCGAACACGTTTTCGACGTACTTGGAGTAGGAGAAGGAGCATCCCATGGGATCTGATGGGGAGAGCAAGTACTAACCCAATCTGGTGCGTATTCTTTCAACACTCTTGCCCGATAATTTTCCTCTAACCAACGAAGTCTGTACTTTTGGTACAGCCCTTCCAACCTAGAGCAGTTCGTTTCTGCCAACTGCAGTAGCTCTTTGAGCTCGGTCGTGGAGTCCACATGGCTCTTTTCGTTGTTAATCACTGGCAGAAGTGGAACCTCGTTGCTCCATGCCGAGGGGCTGTTGGCATTAACGTTGTCCACCAACTCAATTCTAAGGAAAGGCATTAGCACGTGCTGCCGCCAAGTGGGTCTATCAGGCTTACCGCAGGTTCAAGCTGATACTATGTCCTTGCAGTTTGGAGGTCTGACATCCAGGCTGTGGCATATTGGGTGTTATCCGGATCTATTCTCTGGTGAAGAGCTACAATGAGAAATTGAAAGCTCGAGGGAGCTATATATTGGACGGTGATATATCATGTTTCCCTTTGACCATCTAAACTCAAGTTTAATGCATTCCAGTACACAAAAAATGAGCGGCTGGCCATCGTTTGGCCATCATTCAAGGTTACCATAACAGTGGCAGTAAATGGTGGCCATCATTCAAGGTGGCCGTAAATAATGGCCACTTTTTTGGCCATCATCAATTTTGCTGTCATTTGCCGTGGCTTACTGCTTTTGCCACTAGTTTCCCTGTCATATTACGTAGTACTGGGGATGAAAACTACTTCTGGTATCTGCAGAGCCCTGGCTATTTTCCTCTTCTCCAGTCATTGATGACCATCCAAGAAACCACTCCCAGCGTCCCGAGTAAACGTGGCTCCTCAGCTCTCCAAATGGGACCTCACAAAAAAGTGTAAGCTGTCCCAGGTACTCGACCGCAACTTTCATAGACTAATAAGGCTGTCTCCCAGCTCCTCATCCGATCCACTAGTGTCCCACGGACGTCATTTCGGTCGAACAGTATTCGCCCTGTGTAACTACCCCTCGTTGCTCACCAATGGAATTTTGAGACTTGAACAAATTGAAGATTTTCCATTGGAAGATTTTCCTGCTGAGTGAAACATATTCACATCTGTATTTTTCGCTCATTGGCTGACGTACTTGACAGAGAGCGGCGAGAACATTGTGTCTTTGAACAACTTTTAGACTCTTATCCCGGTCTTCTGGAGCAACTGAAAGACGGGTCCGAGGAAGAAATCCTTCACGTTGGAGAGCTGGTGCACTGTCTTCTGCATGGATAGAATTTATGCTTACGATTTACAGATCGGTAAGGGAGCCGCAGGTGCCAGAGGCGATGATACCAAAACGTTGAAGTCTGCGATACTTGATTGGATTTCCCCCAAAGGGGAAGGCATACGGCCTCCTTTACATAGAAATTCTAAGATTGACCGCGGTTTTAACCACGACCTTACAGGATCTCTTCTTTGTCCCGCTGGGTTGGACTGGAACGACCCTCAGTACATTTCTGTTTGCTGGAATCTGTGTAGTCCTGAATCTTCTTTTGTACTTCTTTTTAATGTAGGACCAAAGAGAACCTCCAAAGCAGCGAGATGATGGTCTGTGGGGATCAATGGCCTGTTTTTTTGTATGCCCACCATATTTATGACCCTGAAGACCCGTGGTGTGGGCTTCTTAGGAGACGCTTGCTAGTCTACGTGAGTACACACTTATTTTTCAGATATTTCATTTGTTACGAGGTATTCCATCAGGCCTACAAGCACATGTTCACATCTCCAAGTTCGGTTGACAGGGAGCCAAAGGCCATGCGATCTGGAAATGCACGCCTCCATGGCATGAATTCTGTCACAATCGCCTCCCTAGCGTATATTGCAACACAGGTCCGTTAAGCATCAATTCTGTGGCAGCTCAGTTTTGACGTACAATTGAAAGTATGATTTGCCCTGAGCTTGTCCTCGGTGTTCTCTCGGACCGACACAACTACAGACTCAGAAACATTCTATCATAGCCTCCTCGACCTCTTAGAAGACCCTGAAGAGTACAAGGAAATCGACGAGCTGCTAACCTGGTGGAATCAGTATTTTTTTCGCTCTTCGCCATGTCACCAAGGCTGATACATTGTCACTCACTCAGCCAAATTTTCCCCACTTCTTCTGCAGCCAAGAGACCTGTCAGTGCCAACAGCGCCTTATCCAAGATTTGACAAAAATGTTTGGCCCTCAAACAAGCTTCGAATCTAAATGTCGTCTCTTCATAGTTTTATTTAAATTTAAATATTCATAGTTATATAAATGCAATCTAATGATGGCCTGGTTCGGCTTTTATAACCCTTCTAGCCCACGGAAGCGATTGCAAGACGAAAAACGTGAACACTGCTACGTCTTGGTACATTTTAGCCTGGCGTTATAAAACATTACCCGATGTCATCGTCCAGAGAGGGTTTGCGATGAATAAAATCCCTCGCTGCCTTGCATCTTATGACCATACCTCAGCAATTGGCTGATGAAGGGCACCGCACTGACATGCCTCCACATCATGAGACCGAAAGCAGCCCCCATCCACAACAGTCTAGCATTGGAAGACTCCAGCAGTAAGAGAAAGAATGTGGAGCGTGAAGTGACCAACTGACCCTGTGTGCGGCTACCATATCTAAACAAGGTTGGGCAGGATGCCAACACACTGTCTGGGTTGTGTACTTAGCATATCTGAGCAGCACAGGCAAACATCACAACCACATAACTAACGTCAATGTTGAAGGAGTTCTTGTTAGAGGTGCAATAGCACGCTATGCTTGCATGAGCCAACCCCATTGATACAACTTGGTACCGCATTGCAGATGCTTGGCACCCTTGGATTGTAGGCAGTCCGGTCCAACATAGTCTGGTCATTCAAAACTTTGTCCCACATTAGCGTTTGTTCAGATATCGGGGTGCACAAAATGAAAAACCAACTTTATATACGCTTATCGTATCTCATCGAGGTCAGGACAGATGGCAACGCACTGTGGCTTATCGCCTGAATTGTGCACCTAGCAGATGTAAGCAGCACAGGATAGCGTGACAACCACTTACCTAATGTCAGCGCTGGGGAAGCTCCTGCTGAGGGTGCAATGTCAAGCTGTGCTTGCATAAGGCAACCACATTGATACAGCTTGGTACCACATTGTGGACGCTCAGCACCCTGAGGTTGTAGGTAGTTCGGTCCAACATAGTCCGGCCATATAGTTTTATAACCAACACTGACACCTATTCAGAGATTGCGGAGAAAGTCAACACAGTCAAAAGTTGCATGTCATGACCGCAGCAAGTCAAAATTATCATGTATTGCCAACTTACCACCAAGATGACACATATTACAATACCCGCCCGCCATGACAGAGTTGTCAAGCGCGAGCACTGTCACCTAGTTGTGGACTATTGCAACCAGACTGCCATAATTGTATATTTGGCGGCTTCCATCCTAAGTCCGGGTATTCAAAGCTTTCTCGAGTGGTATACAATTCTGATAGGTATTATGCAAATTTTAGACGAGATAGAGCTTGCTAATAATTTATCATTTTCGGGTCATTTACCTGATGGTTGCAGTGCCGAATGGTTGAGTAGTAGACCGGACTATCTGTCGTGCTGAGAACTGATTATACAGAGGCTGTCGATGTTCGTAACACGGAATTGAACTTGCATGGTTCAGGTAGATCTGACTACTACTATGCAGCGCCGATGGGACTCTTCTGTCATGAGAGGTAGTAGTGAGATCTGACTAGTACGCGGCCCAATGTTTTGTTGTGTGGTATTGAACTTGTGAGAACTTGATGCATTGGCATACTAGTACTAGACTAGTGATTCCAAGCCAAAGCTACTTTCAGTGTGAACATTAATATTTGACCAACGTTACTTGACGACTTTGCTAAGTAGTCAAGTCCTGTTGGAGCGAACTGTTGTATTATAAAACTATCAAATTACACTCCAGGATTCGTTGTGAACTAGTAAGTTAAGACTGACTAGGAGTCTGAGTCTGGGTTCAGAGCATTGACATCACATCACTGTGGAACCTAAGGCCTAAGTACTCAAGTATTCATGCTTCAAAGTTCAATATCAATCATTCAATTGTCTGAAACATGCATGCATAGACAAAAAAAACTGTGTTATGATATTTTACAGCGGGTACATGAGCACTTCAATACAGTATGGACAAGATATACTACTTAAATGCAAATGAGGACTCGGCTATGAGCCTCAATCACCCTCTGCATCAACATTCAAGTCGTCACTTGGGATCGTGATGTACGAAACACCACCTCTTTCTGCAACATGTACCTTAGGCAATTCTGACACATGTTGTCCAACATACAATTCCTCGAATATGATGGCATGGATCATCTTGCGAATTTCAGCAGATTGGTCATGGTCTTGCAGGAGGCGAAGCACCGCACGAGCAACCAAATCGACTAGTCCAATGTTAGGAATTGTCATTAAGAAGAGGTCGAACTTACCGCAGCACGACGGCATACACACTTTTCCAGTGGTGCCGCAAGTCTTCACCTCATCCACAACAAAAGAGGTATGGCCACAGTGCATCTCATCTGGGGCAAGAGTCAATACAGGGCATTGAGGAAAGGGGATGTCATACCACAACAGTCACAAGTTGTGCAGCAAGATGCGGAAACCGCATTTGCTTCAGCGGGGACATTCGTAGGTTGGGGATGTTGGGTCATTGACGGATAAAGGCAAGGGTGAATGCCTAGAGCCGATCGTGAGCCCGAGAATACTTATAAATATGTGAGTCAGATTGATGAGTCAAGAATGATGGCACGGTTACCGTTAAGGCTGGAGGGCCGAGGCTACTGAGGCTTCTTTCTTAGTATTATGCTTGTCATTGCAGAGAAAATTACCCATTCAATGGCTCTAGCTGCTCACGCCGTCGCCAACAATGAATGCCAAACAAAAGTACTCCATATACCGGGCTGATTCAAGTGACAACGAAGGTCAAAATGTCGCTCACTCACATATGGTATCGGTGTCAGCCGATCAGCACAGACAGTTAATAGAGCCAAGTTCCCCAATGAAGCTACGACCAGAAAGTATTCAGGATAATGAGCAAACAGAATTTATCATGCATAACTGGGAGCCTACTTTGGACATCAGGGCTGACTGGAGCTGGGGCGAAGATGAACGCGGTGAGCGCGACAGCCAAGATATCATTGTCAATCCCTTGGTCAAGCGTTCCACAGCTTCGGTAAGTCATTCTGGCAAGGTTCTAAATGACAGACTCACCATATCCTGGATAGGATGCTTTATTACGAGAGTGGATGGGATATGATGGACGTGCCAGCTATCGAGAGGAGTTTCTCCTCGAAGATCTACGACTAGAGGGTCATGGTGATGCAGGGCTGCTTGCTTGCTCATGCGGAAGATTGGATGAGAGTAACTACCCAATATCAAGTTTATTCCGGTGCGAGGAATGCTTTGGGCGAGACATGCTTTGCCAGGAATGTTGCCTGGATTGCCACAAGCGCTTGCCATTGCATGTCATTAACATTAGTACAGTAATTCAGGTGATAGTGGGCTCAACTAATTGATCTTGCTTGACAGAAATGAAACGGTCGATATTTCGAACGTACATTGTTGAAAGACATCGGCTTGCGTGTACAGTTAGGACACTCAGATATGACATGTGCATGTCCTGTGGGTGGACATACGGAATTTCTTGTTTTGCATGTCAACGGAATTCACCGCGTGAATGTTGACTTTTGTGGATGTGACTGGCGAGTTTCTCACCGCCAACAACTCATGCGATGTGACTGGTTTCCCTCAACAGTACATCAACCTCAAACAGCGTGCACCTGTCGACTTCTTGAGCACTTCTTGCTGCTTACATGGTCCAGTAAAATTTCCGCTTTCGAGTACTACCAAACTTTAGAGCGTCTCACAGACAACACTGGTATCTTTGTTCCAAAGGTGAGTTGTTGTTTGTCTTTTGGTAGCTAAATACTTAACTGTTTGGTATAGAGTCACTATTCAGCATTCCTGCGCATGATCCGGGAATATCGCCATATGTTACTCTTGAAGCGAAGTGGGCGAGGTCATGTGGAAAACGGAATCTCCAATTTACAACCAGGCGAACTCGCATTGCATTGCCCTGCATGCCCGCAACCTGGAGTTAACCTACCCAGAGGTTGGGAAACTGTAGACCCCTCCATGAAGTATGTGTTTCCTTCTTCAGAGTGCGTAATAGTAATGCCTCGCTTTGATAGGTTCCTTTACTACTTAATTATTGCTATGGACGCCAACTTTCGTCTCAAGAACAGAATTCGATCGTCGGATTTGGCGGACCCCGGGATGCATACTGGTCTTGCATATTTTGTTGCAAATGAGCCTTACAACGCTCATGTGTTGCAATTTGCCTCCCAGAAAGATGTACGTTGATAGTGAATTTCATGCGCTATACAATTCCTCTAACTGTAACATACACAGGTCAGTACATGCAGTGGTTTTAGTACTCTGGCACATGCAGAGTCAAAATTCTCAAATGGACTATGGGCCAGAGGCATTGGGCTCTGCCTATGTGCACGTCATGAATTTGTGTGTCCCAAAGGAGTGGGTGATCTACAAAAGGGCGAACAGTGAGATTTTAATTGACTTATATATTTTGTTTATTTATGTGCAACTAGCTTCTGCAACATGGACTTCAATTTTTTTTCAGCTATCATCCCCCTTCTTCTGTTGAACGTCGTCATCTCTTACAATGTTGCTTGTCAGTGGAAAATCAACCTTCTCAATAGAATGAACAGACTTCCTCAGAATATGCATATCCCTGTCGTATTCGCAACAACAGCGTTCATGTTTGGAATCCCGAAGTTTCATGCCAGTGCCCATGACGACTGCTGCACTATCCCACATTCGCTCAACCTCATGCCAGGAGTAGGCCAAACAGATGGAGAAGGCATTGAGCGAAATTGGGCAGAGATAAACCGGGTTGCGAATAGTACCAAGGAAATGGGACCTGGTGCGCGACATGATACCCTGGATGACCACTTTGGTCATCATAATTGGCATAAATTTGTTGGCCTCGGTAAGCCTTTAGTAGCGCCGCCTCACTGGGTTGAATACTCATATAATCTGACTAGGTCTCTCGTTACGAAAGAAACTCATAATTGCAGTCAAGGAACGTGATCGTCAGCAGGCTGCCTTCCAAGAGTTCAATCTCGCAGTTGGCACATCATATCAGAACCAGTGGACTGCAATGGTCAAGAGCTGGGAGGAGGACAAGACACAGCCAAACCCATTCACAACCAGAGAACGTGGTGCACCCTTCATTTATTTTTCATGACCATGGATTTAATGTGGATTTTAATTGTTTAGGTATATCTGAAGCTGATGTACGCGCCCACTTCGCTGAGTAGGAGAAGGCTGCGGCTGTCGATGGAAGATTTCACCGTCACAATATGTCCCCGAGTGTATTTGTTACATGGGGTCTATCATTGGAAGACTGCCAGTACGTATATCTATATCCTCAAATGATATGTTCCTGATTTTTGAAATTTGTAGAAGACGTTTGCGCTTTGATATAATTGGTGGGGCGCTGTCATCATCTCAGCAAACAGAGTTGCAACGGCGCCGGACTGCACTTCTCAAACAAATCCATCGATTCCGCTCCGTTCAAGCTACCTACACAGTCGATCTAGAGAATCTGCTTGAGCAGAATGACGATGGCTCTTTAGTAGAAGCTGAAAATATCATTCTCTGGCTGCCATCCAGAATAAGTGCTTCGATTCGAACGTCGACTTGCCATGATGATATTCCCTGCATCAAAGAGGAACTTCACAACGCTTAATGCCACGATTGTCTTCACAAACTCCGAAATGCCTTGCGTGCCAGAGTTCATCTCATCAAACACAGGAATAGGGATGCCCATGGTCAAAGGGCCAACACACGTGCAGCATCAGTCATTAGTCGCTTGGATGACAAGATCAAGATGATAGCTGAGAAGTATCATACCACTTGTAAGTGTTTGATTGCATTACAAGGGCCTGATGCATGGGAGAATGAACTCCGGCCTCTTGACGCCCACGATGTCTGGGGACCAAGTGAGGATGTTGGATCGATAGAGAATCCCTCTGATATTGTTGGAGCCGATGGACGCAAACGGACCAGGAAGCAATCGGCTGCCGCCATCAGACGTCTCGGACAAGGCTTCATGCGGGTCTCGTGGATTTGGACTTCAGTTGGTGTGTTAGAGGACAATGATGACATCAATTTGAATGACGGTGAGTGTTTTTTTTATATTTTCAACAATTTTTCGTTATCTAATTCATGGCAGCACTCTGCGTGGAATGGGTGAAAGCCCGTGCACGCGCCCTACGCTGGAATGAAGAAGTTTTACTCCTGAAGGAAGAGATGTGGCGCACACGTGCTTATCTTGAGTGGAAAGCTAGGTGGTGGGATATTCGTGCAGAATTTGCGGTGGATGACCGCCCATTATCGGAAGGTATTGCAGTGTATGCCTTTCGGCAAGCAGCACTGCAGCGTAGGCTTTCTGTTTCATTTCTACAACTCTGGTCTACTTCATCAACAACAAACCAGGCTTCTACTTCCCAGTTGATTGTTGACGAGGACAGGGACGTGTTTATTGATGCTGAGACCGATCAGGATGATGCAGAGGATGACATGGAGGATTGAAATTGTTTTCAACACCAAATTTGGATATGTCGTGCTTGAATAGCATTTGTCGCGCAGTCCTGATGCAATGAATAGAATTTTCCATTTTGACAAATAAACACCAATTTAGGGTTGATTGATAAAATGAATTTAAAGGTATAACGAGGAAAGGAGAATATAAAGCAATGTAAAGCTCTGGTACACCTTGACTAAGCAACCTGATATAGGTGGTGGTATGAGCCACAGAAATGGGCATTGGCCTTGGGTGGTAGTAACCAAGGGTCATGGAATCTCAAGATATGGCTATTACCATATAACAAGGGCAAATACTACAACAAGGGGTGCAAGATCAGAGGGCACATATTGAAGGTAAATATGATTACCATCTCGGAGGATAGTGACTCATGTGGCTGCCCCTCGTGCCACAATATGACTGAATTTTGCAATTAACAGGTCGTCCTTCCAGTGATAACTCAGAAATATACTCAGGCTGCGGTAGGGCGGCTAGATGATCACGCAGTCATATGACTCTCAAGATCAGAGGGCACAAATGATTACCATTACAAGGATTGTGACTCATGCGGCCGCCCCTCATGCCAAAATTTTACATATAGCGTGTAGAACACTTCCGATTCACATTGTAATCACCGTGACCAGACTGGCTCACTGTTAGGGTTCAATTGAACTTTAACTTACCTACCGCTGGTGGCACCTGGTAGTGCATTGTACCAAAAGATGGAATCTCCCCCGATAACTGCACGCATCCAACAATATGGTAAGTTCATATTGTCTCCCCTATGATAGTCAGAACTGTGTTCTGATAAAGTTTGCACTAGCACTTCGCTAATCACGCTGGCGGCTCAACTTCGATTCCTCCCCAATTGAACTTTAAATAAAAATAAAAATAAATAAAAAAGTATTCATTCTTTCGTGTCTATTTAGTTGACTAAAATTTTCACTTTTCCTCCACCACGATCATAGAATTACCCTCAGTTGACTCCTGCAGCATATCCTATCACCACGCAGCTGACAATATGAGCAGCGGACAGCGAACAGAACGAGATACCACGCAGCATCTGCATCTGTATCGCGATTTGTGATCGACCATCATGCCACCAACTGCCCCCCATATTTCCTTGAATGCTCCGATGTCACCAGAAGACCTGGAAAGTTCTATATGCCAATCTGACACTACTTCCACAAGACGAGCTGAATCTCTGAAATTATCTGACTACTCACCAGAAGAGATCGAAGTAATTAACAGCGCGCGCAGGTGGGTTGTCATGGACATGATCACGACCAATGGTTGGAAGAAAAATAGTATGAGGAAGCAGAAACTGGCCATGCACTCGTATGCTAGAGAAGTTGTCGACGAGGTGAAAGTGTCACTCGACTGCCATGGTATGTGCTAAGCACCATGTAGTACTACCATAACTCTGTCGCACGTGCTGATTTTCCACTAAGGTTAAACACGACGTCTTCCATCACGACCCTCATGATCCATGGCTTGACAAACAGCCGCTCGAAACTTATCGAAAACACTGAAAAAGAGTCCCTGCCTTATTACTTTGACGACCTCGAGCCTGAAGACAAGTCACTGTCTGCTAAGGATCGCCAAAAATATATGGCGGCGCATAGAAATGCCATCTATAACTCAGACGATCAGCATACATATTTTTTGCATAATCACAAGGGTGGCCGGCTCTTCATTTTTTCTCATCCTGCCTTGCAAGAGGTACACATCAAACAGTGGTATACCAACGAGTCCTCACCTCTTTTTGATGAGACATCAAGGCCAATACTCACGACGACGACCATTCCTATGTTATCGATGTCGGCGATTTGGGTAAGAGACCTATTGTATTCTCATTTGCATATGCTAACAGTTCTGCATTCATTTTTAGGTCATGGGAGCCATAGATCGGTATGTTGAAGGACGCCTTTCCAAGTCCGGGGACGTCCTACAGTTTACTGGTAAATTGTATGCCGACAAGCAGAATGCGATACAAAGGGCAATGGAAATTGCCTTTGAGACTGATGTTCATCGGGAGGTAATGAAAGAATATTTTCAATACTTGCATAACAGGGGAATGTAAGTGGTCTCAACCGCCCGATGGGTTCCACACTCATGTATCTGCAGGAAAACCTTAAATGACAAATTGGGTCTTACATTACCCACTTTGATTTATATTCCTACGTCACTGGAAGAACTGACTCTACCACCTGAGCCAGAAAATCTCACCACCCCTCACGATACTGCCCCTGACTTGTACTCACAGCACTACCAGCACAACCAGCAAACAAACTCGTTCACACCGTGGCCATCAACTGTCTCTTACTCACAGTCTCCCGTCCCTAGCAGGTCTGCACTTGCGCTTTACTCCGAGGTGCAGCCTTTCTACGACCAGTCAGCTTTACAAATGCACATGTCCGAGTCATTTGCACGGGAATCTTATATGAACCTCTCTGCGAAGTCAACGTGTGACTCATTAGCAGAAGAAGATGACCAGGACACTTTCTGGACTGCGTCCGGGCCATACCATAATGCTATGTAGCCTCTTGAGGTGAGCAAAACCATTGATGTCTTCTATATCGGCTGAAATAAACCTCAATTCATAGCTCACAGCTATGATGTCAAACTAAATTTGTTCGCGTGCTCTTGGCTCTTACTTGCACTACTGTCCATAGTGGTTTATTCCATCTGAGAATTCATCGATCGTGTTTGGGTTTCAAGGGGGGGGGATATCTACAACCATGTTTTCTCTACTGTGCTAAACTACATGTTATTCGCGTACTCAGGATCTCAGGTCTTACTTGTACAAGTTGTACTTTTTATTGTCTACAGCGGGTTGTTTTGTCTGAGAATTCATTGATCGTGTGTGGGGAGAATATCTACACACTGTAAGCAAGGAGCGCTGCTCACAACCTATACCACATGTTAACACTTCTCCGAAGTCACACAGGAAGTCGACACCTGAAACTAAGTGCATACTTAGTTGTTCCACGCTAGGCTTACAGCATCTGCCGATGAACACCACCCATTACCTAAAGTGGCACGACCGGCACCTGCTAGAATTCAAGCTCCGTGCTTCGCCCGCAAAATTTCGTCAGCCTAACCACTCGACTTGTCCGTGGTAATAAGCCTGGCAGCCTAATCTGCCGAGGCCTTGTCAGCTTCTGCCACTTTTGCTGATGTAACAATCAAGGCCTCAGGCAGTTCTGCCGTCGCCAAATGTTCTGTATCTCCAGTAATTAGGTATCATCACTGCTACTTTTGTGCAGGCGCCAGATTGACACCAAAAAATTGTAACCCTAGTCCCAGTCCAAATTAGGCTGGGGCGGTCAAGTGACAGTTATGTGTTGCACACAGTATTACCTAGTGAGACATCTCACACCTCTATGATTACTTTTGGTTACTAATCTGCGCCATTTCAGAGAAGATCATGCCCAACCTTGTGAACGCGTCATTTCTGCAGGTCACAAGCCCAAATCACATTCGCGGGCGATGACTACCTCTGCTGATTCCCTCGTTACCTCTGGACAACAACGTGTTGCCAGACTCGGAGACCTTGGCCGCATCACATGGCGAAGGGTGAGGGTTCATACGTGACCTTTGAGGATGGGCGTAGGATGCTGGATTTCAGCTGTGATATCAGTGTGACAAACCTTGGCGAGTTGCTACGCGCTTCACAGTGAATCGCTCACCAGAAGTTCCACAATGACATGCAACACCAGGTCATTACCACCCGAAGGTTTCCAAGGCTGCAGTAGATCAATGCGTGAACATTGTACATGCCCAAGTATGTTCTAACTTCAAAATGCTGTTTGAGATAAACTCACCCTTGGTACTCTTCTAGTGTAGCATCTCATTCCATAGCCCCTACACCTAGGCAGTAAGGATGATGTCGAACTCTGCAGAATCAATTACCTCCTGGTGCATTCAAGTTGAACAGCCCCAAGTCCAATGTGCAGTGTTGTAGACATCCGATGCTCCAATACTGGTCTATCAGGAGGGTTGTTCTCATACACCGTTATTTTCCACTTCTTCCACAAATCAAATACTGTCTCTAGCTGTGGTTGCTATGAAGTGATCGTTAAATTAAATTTCTCCGAATCTTCTCTCAATGGACCATTTAGTCCTACGGACATTTCGGCTATCATTATGATGTACGCCGTCAGCAAATTTATTTCCCTCAAACTTAAACTGTCCAATGATTCACATGGCGACTCAAAAAGTTTAAAGGACGTTGGAGAATTCGTAAGTCTGCCGGTCAATGGGCGACTATGCAAACGTTACAAGAAAGCCTGAATTACCGACGAAGGTTGGTTAGTCTAAGCGGTTCTCAGCAGTTCTAAGTGGTATTTTGCTGACTATGCTCAAACTTAGGCTAGTGGACCTGCCCAGCAGCATATAAAAGTGTTAGTTCCTTCTCCTCTGAATCATCCAACTTGCACCTCCCCTTGTTTCTTGCCTCTCCAGTTGGAACTCATTTGTCCTCTTCTCCCCTTCTCTAGTCTGCCTGTATGTCACACACCGAGGGCAGCACGTCGTGTATTGAAGACCGACAACATGATGACAGCCTTCCTCAATCTCAGGCTACATCAGAATCATCCCAAACATTCATGCAGGCTTGACAAAGACACAGAATTGCCGAACTGGAGGATAAGTTGATGGCTCTCGAGTCTGGACGTGCTGTAAAAGATAGGTATGGATGCCATGCGTCACGTTGAGCTGCCTTTACTCACTATCCACCAGGCAAGTGAACTACTACATGTCTCAAGGAAGAGCCTTCAGGCGCGTTGTCGCTTTGTTTGACAACATTGAGGATCTCATCGCCGAAAACGACAGGAGATACGATGCTGAGGATGAGGAGACCTCTGTTGAGTAAGTTTTTCCTTCCTTGGTATGCCACGGTAAGTTTGTTTACAATCGACTACATGTAGGGTACATCACCCTGATGAACACCTTTCCGTGGCTCTATAAGAAGTGTTCAGATATGGATTATGATGACTATATACGCATGTTAAAATCGGTATGTTTTACCGGTTTCAATGATGGTCTTTGTCGTCTTAAGTCCTTGTTTAGCTTAGGCAGGGGGCTGACAGTGCTCGAGGCGATGATACCTCCAAGCTGAAGACACTCGTTTCTGAATGGGTCAACCACGAATTCAAACTGAATCCTCCGGTCGACATGGACGATAAACATACCTGCAGATTCATCAATGATGCGTGCGGCAAGTTGCTGTGTCCGACTGAGCTCCGAACACCATTAACTATTTATTAGTGTACGGGCAGCCATTCAAGATCATGCAGAGGGATATATTGTCACAGATCTTTCTTTTCCAGCTTACTTGTATGAAAAGTACACCACCGATTCGGACAATTTGAAGGAGGGACTTTTCAAAGGGAAAATTCTGATTCAGGTTTGTCGAAGCGAACTCGTAATACAGCTGACAATGATCTTCGCTATTTCTCAGAGCTACAAAGTTGTCTTCACGTCTCCCTCATCAGCAAAGGATGTCGAAGGCGACGGTGATGGTGCAGATGTCATCGAAAACAACAGACGCGCTGTAGGACTTGGAGTCCTTGTAGCCTCGTAGAGGCTATTTTTGTGGTATCCCTCAGCACCCTATTACTTTCCTACATGAAGTGCAGCTTTCCCGCGAGTCACGCATAGTGGCCGCTACTTTCCTGTGACGGCCGCAACGTTCCCGTGCGCGCGCACAGCCATGCTTAGCGGCCGCTTTTCTCGCGCTTCATTGGCCGACGTTCTGCACCCATCCATAGTCCAAAAACCAACCCAATGGTATGTTGTTTCATAATTATATTTACATATCAGACCATTTTCGCATCGGACCACCTTTATTACATATAGCTTTACATACATAGCTCAGTAGCGCATCGGCTCAGTAGCACATCAGCTCGGTAGTGCATCGGCTCGGTTCCGTGTGACAGTGCTTAGCGCTATACTTAAGCACTAGCAGTACATACCATTCAGTAGCTTGTTTTCCGGATGTTCCAGTAGCAAACTCCCATTAGCCTACAGTTGGTAGCTATTGGTAATCAGTATCCATTTACCGCTCGCATCGTATCAGTTATCACTTGGCTCTACATCTATCTCTATTTTCTATCATCTCTATTATCATCCAAACCCCTCATGCATCAGCCGCTTCGCAGCCATGTCTTTCCTGCGCCTTTGGCTTTCGCCCGGCGCTACGTTCCTGTGCTACGCGCGCGCACCCGCCGCTTTCCCGCGCTTCGCATCGGCCGACAAGTGGCACCTTCTGCGTCCATTTCTAGACCTTTGCTGCACTAGCTTCCCCTTTAGGGTCGAACGCACTTGTTCCACAAGTATAGCAGATAGGCAGTGCACGACCTACAACATAAAGATATCAGTTTGGAGCCTATAGCACCACTCTGAGTTGTAAACCTACAGCGCTAAGTAGACTGTTTCAACAATCAAGGTGAAGAAGCATGTCGCACAAATTATCAAGATGGACAAAGTCACTCCTCGCTCGATTGCATATATTGCCTGTCAAGTAAGTGATAGAACTTGGTCTGCCCGCCACACCATTGATCGATGACAATCACATTTGCAGGTATGATTCGCACTCTCATCTATCACCTCGTGGCGGTCTGTCAATGGTGATTTTGACTATGTGCAATTTTGGCAGACCATTGTCGACTTCTTCGAAAGGCCTCCTGGTCGAGACGCACAGCGCAGGGTCACCAGACTGCTTGAATGGTGACCAGGTGGGTATATGCATCGTCAACAAGCCCCAACTGATTTCTGTTGTCCAGGAAAGTTTTCGGAAGGAGTTGCCGTGCGGACCTTACCAACGACGCGAGAGCCAAGATGTCCGTGAACACTCTAGCAAGGCAGAGGGCACAGATTGATGATGCCGCCTTCGACTCAGACTAGAGATTTGACATTATTCCAACCCCTAGTAGCTTTATTACCATCATAATTTGTTATTAATATCATGACTTGATAATACTTCCCCAGTGGCATGAAATACAAGCTGTGTATCGCACCACCGCCATGACACGGCAGCAAATGACTCAGAGGACTTACCAACATCATCAACGATTAGAATGAACTCCAGATATCATCATTCAAGCTACAGTTCCTGGATGCGCCTGGTTTGTTTTAATAAGCTGAGTCCAAAAAATATAGTGCGATCACAGAGGTCTCTGTATTTTCTAGTCTTCATGCCAATTGCTAGGCAGAAGTATGGATTTCAAGGATAGAACCAATCAAATACCATATCTAAATTAAAACCTCATTGAAGACACTCTAGATAGTCGGCTGATTCTGTGTATTTGCAAACTCTTCATAGTGTTTTCTTTCCTTTCCAGAAGTCAATGTAAATACCTGATGCTTACCCCGCATCAACATTGTCGTTTGATCGAGAAGAGGAATCACCGAGGTTTTAAATGCACATATGCGCAATACCCCCACAGGGCACAATAGTATTAATGCATGGCACAACATACAATTTGTCTTGTCGAATGGCAAGTGGAGTATCGATGTGAGCCATGATCCCCCGCTGTCAATTTCTGAGTTAATGTACTATTTTAAATCGCGCTGCTACGTGGCGCAATAGATGAGATGCTCATTGAATTGTCGTGAGTGAATACAACTGGCAGTTGTCACAAACTCAGAAAATGTCGTGCGAAGATTCGAAGCCAGCCACAAATTGATTCTCGCCTGCTTCATGAACAAATCCCAGCTACTATGCAAAGGTGAAGCATATTCACACAGATTCGCAACTGGTATACCACTGCCAATCATTAGTTATTCAAAGAAGGTCGCCTTGCGACTCGAGCCATGATACAAATTGATTGTCGCCCGCTTGTTGAACATAACCTGGCTAGTGGGCAAAGGTATAGCATTTTCACACGCATTCCAAATTGATGCATGGCATTACAAACATTAGACATATATATAAAATAGTGTTCAAAGTCGAAGTACGATGTAATATTTTGTGTCGCACACTTGGGTGAGTATATCCTCGTAGTCGGGAAGATATGGGCTTTCAATTACATGGAAAATTGTCATGGAGGTGACGGGAAATTGGCTTGTCAATAAAATATATCAAGCTTTAACTCCGGACATACATGCATGTCCCTTGCTGAGGTTAACACATCCTCGTGCTCTTGAAAAATGTGGGCCTTCAGTCTTAGCTTGGATATTGCGAACCTTACCAGTGATGTGGCAGTTTTGATTCATGTAGGTCAACCATTAGCTCTTGTTCCGCCTTCCCCTCAATTTTTAGTTTGAGCGATGTTGGGACAGTTTCCTGATCTTAAAGTTTTATTGCGAAATCAAGCAAACTCCTTTCCTCTACAAGGGCAAATATGATAATGTGATCCTCGATAACACAATTATGTTAATTATTGTGACTGTGTACTATATATCGTGATATATGGCCTTCTACTTTCTTTGCAGGTTCACTGATGGTGTTGCAGATATCTCTATCAGTGGCCACTGGCAGGACTTTCCCATAGGTTGTAGTAGTAGGGTGGATGATACTCCCAACACAATGCATATATTGAAACGATCATTCGCACGTAATGTAGAGGTCTAGAGCCCGGATCAGCAAAATTGTTGAATGGATGTGACCTGATTTGAAATAGTGTGTATATCCAGCTGTTTTGATCCAAGGCTTTTGGCAAACAATGTTGAAGTTAAAGGTGCTTCTGAACAGGTTTGTGGAACGTGCTGTGTGCATCATGATACTGGTGTACCGCAGTTCAGAAAATGTGATATCATTTGCATCCAGGTCAGAAGATTGTTGTTGCCGAGACTATGCTATCGGCTGCAGGTCTCGTTCATAGACGAGATGTCGACATACACAAATAAATATGAATAAACAAACCTCGCAACCACGAGCTTTCAACGTTGTCAACAACGTACAGTCTGCAGATATAGCACTCCGATCAAAATTAGATGAAAGGCAAACTCCATCCTAACTGTTCGATTCACAACCATGGCCGGCCAAGCCATGTTGTTAGCTGAGAGACAGCAGATTCATGATGAATCCATCCTCCGTGCGATTTGCATTTCCTGCAAGGTGAGTAGGATGAACGGAGTCGAAAAAAATCCTTACATTGATTCATTGTGTACAGCCTATCTAGTGAACCAAGTCACGTGGAGCACTAAGCAGAACACACAGGATATCGACAGATTCGACACCACACCATGACGGGGCTGGCGGTAGCCCTACGGGCTCTGCTAGCTAGTGACTGAGTGTTCTGGGCACAGACTGCAAGGGAAACCCCCAGGAGGCTGCGGCTCTATCCATCGAGGACTGACTACAACACAGCGCAGGACTGTTGCTACTTCGCCAAGATACATGGCACCCCTGAGGACCTGCACCAGATCACCCTACTACGTCGTGCACTGACAGTGTTAACATGAAAACTATGTCCACCCCAAGCATTTGAAGCATGGCTTGCATGCGTAACACTCTCAGCCTCAGCACCATTCTGTCTTCATTCCTTGTATTCATGTCCTTTAACGCCTCATGGACAATCCTATGCTCGAGTCTCTGTAAGTTCCTCTATAAGGAGGTTGAGGACGATTTACTAAGCGCTGGTGCCTGTTGTATACAGCGAAATACAAATAATTCAAATTGTAGTACAGGGTCCTGACGATAAGTCAGATGCCTGTGGCGTGGCGCCGGTCAACACCATATCAAATTAAGCTTCAAGGTTGATGCCAGCTCAAGCTTTAGCACCTCTCGTCGAGAATCTTCACTGGAAGGGATGACGGTTGCGAGTCGCTCATATGACTCTTCTCCGACTCCAAATTTACTTCCCTATCTTGAAATAAATGTCACCCCATCGGACGTCAAGAGGAATGACACGAACATTTGGACTATTTCGATTTAGATTTGACCCTTGACGAGCTTGGTGTAGACCCAAACTCACTCCAGGACGCCCCGAAGGTCAGTTGTTTGCATCAGGCCATGTTGTATAGTCTGTAGGTGTTTCTGACGACACAATCAGGTGGAATCAACAAGCCATTCCTGTATTTTGGTACCTTTACCGGCTCTGGCTCAAGTCAGGACTGAAAAAAATCATTGAAATACAATGGCTATCAATGTGAGCCTGGACAATCAGAAATCGTGCTTCTTTCGTGTTACAGGCTTCTTGTCTCCCATCTGTGGTTCTTGTTTTGGCCTAGTGTGGATGGTGTCTTATATCTAACAGATATCAATCACACAGCATGAATCGTGATGTATCTGCCAGTGCAACACATCACTGTCACATCAAGTGTATAATCAGATGCGCCGAATAGAATGCGCTGATGTCTTTCTTGTCTCACTTTGTGCCACAGAATACGACCTCATCACAAAGTGTAATCGGGGGAGCCGCTTGACCAGCTGACCAGCGAGGCGGAGAGAGTGCAAATGCATGTTACGATCACATCACGCTTAGACCTGTGTTAGATCAATGGATGCATGGTTGCATATGGAACACGTCGAAAATTGTGTTGGTAAGTTACCGATATCGCCAACAACTGGAACTTTCCTGGTGTTCAAGTAGTCACGTGCAGAATACTAGTTTATGATTCAATTGAAGGCTAAGTTACGCGTTGTACTTCATTTCACACCGTTTCACCCAATCATTAATCAAGGGTCTTGAGGCGGGATCAAATATACATCTCCATCATGCAGATTTTGGCCATAGAAGCGCTGAACGGTGCTATATCCAGTGCACATGCTATCGGTATACACCGCTAAATTCTCCACTCACTCACACCATCCCTTGAATATGACCCTAGTCTCAAATAATCCCAGTTGGTGGCCGATAATCGATTCAGATCTGTTTTACTGCTATTGGGCGGGTCAGTCATATCGATTGGTGATGTTTCTAGATCTAACATCGACTTGCAGCTTCGCAGTTGCTGCCGGCATCATGGTAATTTACGATTGGGGTGAGCAGGACAGTATTTGAAACCACAGATATTCTGATGATATTTGCAGTGCTGACAATTGGACAAGAGGTAGGTCAATGTTATTGTTGGAGCAGCCAACTCGCTAAGAATGGTGTCGTAGATTGAACTGATCTGGGTGAGTGACAAGCATCCTGTATCAGACAAAAAAGGAGAATACAATGAAATCATGACAGAGGCAACACTGGTCTCTCATGACTGTGCTATATTTGGTTGTTCATACCTCAGGTTGTGCTATGCCGTAGTTGGCAGTTGTGCTGACTCCAAACTGTTCTAGATATGTTATACTGGAATACCATATTCTGTGTATGTGTCCAGGCCAACATATTGGCGCTGTACTAATAGCTCTCTCATTATCAGTGTCTCCCTTCTGGGTATGTTTCATGTGTATTGTGTTCAGTTTTTCTGACTGGTGGCACACAGCATTTATGCCATTGGTCTCGCTGACAGATGCAGTGAGTATTTCAGAACCATCTTATTCCCATCTAATGAATATACCCATTTGTAGGGGTGAGTGATTCTGAACATTGAACTTGGCTCAATGTAATGTTACATAGGTGTGAGTTGGAGTGTTTGATCCTAGTACGAGGTCATCACTGATTGTGTGTTTTAGGCTATATCTTTCATGTTGGGTGGTGAGTTACCCAGCTGCAATACCTCCAAGTTGGTGATATTGATTCAACTGAAACATGATGCAAGCCATCATGATTGCTCGGTTGTATGCCATGTATCAGGGATCTAGAATGATGCTTATCTTCCTTGTTGTTGTCTTTCTTGCTGTCAACATCGCCTGCGGAGTAATTGTGGCAATAGGGTTCAAGGATATTGTAGCAGGTAAGCTTTACTTGTCGACTTGAAGAACACAGCTCATTGAACGAACACCAGAGGAGTTGATACTCTCCGGCATGTATATGTGCAGTTATGCAGCTGAAGGGGATGCCGAGCTTTTGAACTCAATGATTTGGGTGCTCAACGCTATTTGGGAGGTCCTCGCACTGTGTCTTTCAGTCTGGATTGCTGTGAAACACTTTTATGACCTGTGACAACCCCACCCATCGACAACATCGACCATCAGAGACTGTTTCAGAGCGCTGATAAAATCCCATGTGCTATATTTTATCAGGTAAGCTTAAATGTGAATGTGCTTATCTTTTTCTCAAATTTCGCACGTGTTGGTTTTGCTTGTGTCTCCTGCCTTGAGCTTGTGGTTCTTTCTCCAGAGACCTTGGTGCGCCGACCTGTCGCTGACGTCTGCTTGTGATCACTGCTCATCATTTCTGTAGCATTTAGTGATGTGCATGGCCCGGCTTCAGGCCGTGGGCCAGGCCAAGCCAGGCCTGAATAGGCCAAGCCAAGCCAGGCCAAAGTCACGGCTTGGTGATGGCTTTGGCCTGGCTTGACATTATGAAAAGCCGAAGCCGGCAGCTCGAGTCGCGGCTTTTGGAACCTTGCAGTGCCTGTCAGTAATTCACATTCCTTTGCCGTTCATCAGTATGTCTGTTCTTCTCAGCTATTTTGCAGGTGTGTTACGGCGTAGAGAGCAAGTGGGATGAACTTTGATGCGGTATCATTGACTTATTTTGCAGTTGTATATTTTACTGTGGTGGTATATGATTGGGGTGAGTGAGAAAATACTTTCCGAGGTGTCATTGAGATATTTATATGGCATCCAAGTATTAACATTCAGAAGAGGTGAGTTTCAGTGTCATCGTCACAGCCGTCCCACTAAGAATGCTTCAACAGTTCGAACTGGTCTGGGTAAGCAAGGACCTATATCAAAGCAAACTGGACAATCCAGTTGACTCGAAGCAGAAGCAATGTTGGTCCTTCGCGACTGTTCTTTATATCCGTGTACGTTATGAATGCAGTCGACTCGGACATGTTGTGCTAAGTCGACTTCTATATATGCTAGGTGCGCTATATGGGACTATCATATTCCTATGCTACTCGACGTCTTCCTTCCTGCTCGTCTCATCCATCTCCTCTCCCTCATTCTCCTCCTCGCCTTCTTCCCTCCTCCTGCTCTCATTTGTCATCCGCATTTGTCTGAGCCATGTCAGCAGTTGCTGACGTGCACTGGGCATTTGCGCATGGTGTTTGTGGTGTTGGGAATGGTGTGGTGGAGCTTGCCCATGTCAATATCCCACTGTCACGAAGAAGCCGCCGACATTCCACCACCGCTCTCAACTGCCGCAATTCATCAGCAGGTGAGTCATGTGGTTGAATCCTGGTGTCACAACGACCTGCTCATGCTCACTTTGTCAGAATTGCAAATTCCCTACTCGAGCCATGGCTCAGGCCAGAGCCGGGCCAAAGCCAGCCGTCATTTGTGGCTTTGGCCCGGCTTGGATTTTTTGCAGGCCAGAGCCGTCTGAAGCCAGGCCAAAGCTGCGGCTTTTGGGCCAAGCCGGGCCGGAACATCACTAGTAGCATTTAACTTCTACTGGAGCTCATATACTCGTCGATTCTCTTCAAATATTATTTGGAATGCAGATGTTTGTGCTGGGACCACGTCTCATCCTTAGCGTTTGAGAATATCATGCCAAATTCACGGCCGACTCCGATGCAGAAACTACTATAGATTTGATTGTCTTCCAGGAGCGTGTACATGTATTGACTAGCAGTACTGTGTAGGAACATACTTGTCGAGTGGTTTGCAGGGATGGGAAATCTGGTCGAGGAATCTGGTCAAGGATCCGTCATGGTACTTATTTAACATATGTTATTTGATAGGTCTAGGCGAGTCTATTTCTTGTCGTACCACCACTGCAACAAAATAGCTACTCCAACGTATTTCCTCCATCTGGGCCATGGAGAATGGAAAAAAAGAATCGCACGAACTCATGGCTTGACTGTATGCCTCTATCATGAATGAGCATGGCCAGGAGGTGAGGTCTGCTGACTGAGTGGAGAATTGGAGGATCAGAGCTTCAAACCAGACTATCAATGAATTCACGAGTCAGTGGTACGATCCATCTGTGTAAACTTTAGACTCTGATCATGATAGACATAAAGATATATAAATAAATTCAAGACACCAACCTCATATACATACCACACTGTATCTAAAAGTTCGGGCTTTGGCCTTTGTCGTATGATATTGCAGTCCAACCAAAGTTGGTTGAAAAGCAAACTCCCATTGTGCCATAAGTATCTCTAACTGCTCGGCTCACAAGCTGAAAAATGGCAAACTGGCCCGACGCCGAGTCGCGATGAATCCGGCAACTACCCACGTTCTATTTGCAGAGATCTAGACTGAGAGCTCATGGTGAATGCACGTGACGTCTGCCAATTTGAAATAGTGCGTACCACTGAATCCGGTTGTTTGGACCCAAGGCTTTTGGCAAACAACCGTGACGTCGAAGCTAATGACAAGGTGCTTCTGAGCAAGTCCGAGCAAGTTTGTGCAGCGTGCATCATGATACTGGTGTGTCGCTACTACCGCAGTTCGAAAAATCTGATACCATTTGCATCCAGGTCAGAAGATCGTTGGCGCTGGGACTCCCTATGCTATCGGCAGGTCTCGACTTTCGTTCATAGATGGTCAAGTAATTGGATATCAGCAGGGTCTTCACCATGTCAGGTGTCCACGTTCAACTCATCACTATCACTACTCCGGTTGCGTCGGTTCTACGTTTCTAAGTTCTGGACCTCAGGTTCTCTGAGCTAGATCTAACACGGAAACATGGACGCCCCCCTCTGGCTCCGCCAATCTCTAGATTTCTCTTGGGCCTCCCTAACTTTGTGGGCCCATCTTGCATCTTCCATGCTGGCTGTGGTTGATATAATGTGCTCAATAGAAATATTGTTCGAACTTGGTTCGAACCGCAATCGAACTGTAATCATGTGGGCCGGCGCCGTTGCTCCCCCACCAACCTCGTGTACTAACGTAGCGAGTTACAATCGAGACGATTTATGAAATTCAAGTACTGGCGACGCAAACACGTCACTGGACGGCGTCATATATGGCCAGGCTCCTTTTCATCTCAAGCAACCGCCGCAGCGAAGTTCGGGTCATGACAGCCTGGATGGAAAATGACATCACCTCTGACAGGCTAATATCTGTGCTGTAGCCTTACAAAGATCTTGCGGTAAGAAGAGCGATCAAGAATCATGGTCCGTAGGCGATATATGGAAAGACTTCTAGGTCAATAACGAACATGCCCCTTGCGCTTTAATAAAGAAGGCTAGAATGGAATCTGGAACATGATGTTCCAGAGCCGCCACTCACGACCGGAACTTAGGCGATGGGCGGTGTTGATATCAGCATCTGGAGCGTAACGGAGCCTTCAGGCAGGTATAAAGGTCACGACTTATCCTGCCATTAATCTATCAGCATCTATCTCTCACACAATACTCAGCAGAATCGACTATCAATACATCTCACATCATGCTACCTTCTGGCGATTACAAAATTCAGAATTTTCTGCATACCGACAGGTATATCCACATGAAAGCTGACGGCACAGTTGTTGGCTATGAGGAGGCTGACATTGTACGCATTGCATCGTTGACGTAGATCCTATACTCATCAATCCCCATAGGTCCAGCTCCATGTCACGAACGCAGCTGAGGGTCTTGGAACTCTTTTTGATAAATTGAGGAACAAGTATATTGTCATCGATGGGGTTTGTTCATTTTGTTTTGATATATGCAAGAGATTTCTAACGGCGTAAAATGACAGACAGGTAACGTCGTAGGCAGCGCCAATCCCCAGGAGCTCCAGTTCTCCACCGAGGACGACAAAAAATATATGTGGGTTTGATCATTGTTGCTAGTAACGAGAATTCATTTGCCCCCTTTATCTGCAGAATCCATATCATGAACGTCAACGAAGTGTGGCTCCTCGATAATAACAAAGACTGGACCCCAGTTTGTTTGTTGTAATTTTTCAAAGGGGCTCTATAACTGATGTCGTTCTAGATCGTTACGGCTCCGGCTCCTCCCCCAGGTGTTCAGGACTACGAGAGGAAGTACTGGCTATTCGCAGAGGTGTGTTGAGGTGTGTCGGAATGCAAGGAAGTCTGGTTGCTGTTGCTGTAACTCGTCGCATCGAATGCTTGTATGATTATCCATCAGTTGTGATGTATGGAAGAAAGTTTGTGACGCAGGATAGTGAGATGTAGCATGAAATCAGAAAAACCACAGTCCTTGAACTTTTTCAGCAACTTCACCATTGTCTTTGTCCCAGCACACCGAGTTGCTATGCCGTACGGTATTTTGGCAGCTCGTGGAGTATAGCCTGACGAAGAAAGAATTGTTTCGGCACCAGATGGCGAGTCTGTCCTGACTGCAATATCCTCCCCCTCTAGTACCGCCAGGAACCATGGCCCAGATTTCGGCTGAAGGCGTATCTGAAATGCGAGCCTATGGCAGTGCATTTCGACGCACATTTTATTGGTCGATTGCGCATACTTCGATGAGCCAGGCTTCTATGACAGGCCAATTAAATCATTTTCCCGACAATTTCGCAAGTGCAGCGCGGCTGAAGCCTGATATCTCAGCGGGTGAATGCTGTACCTAACATCTGTTCACCTACCCATGGACAGTCGGTACCAATTACCGGCTGCGAGCCTGGGCGGAAATCTGACCCTTGACAGCGACGCGGTATTTGTCAATCTGAAGCTCCCAGTCAAGTAAGATAGTGTAATCATGAAGTACCGAGTCGTTGCACTAAGGTGGCTTTGCAGTAGGTGCGAAGAAGAACAGGCTCAAATTTCCTTCTGCGAAGGTTGGTTGCTACTACTGTCGCGCTGGCTGTAAAGTGACAAACTAGGGCATTGATTTGACGTGCTGCGTGTGCATGAAGTGTTAGTGCTATGGTAGATTTAGCAACGTAAGAATGAAGTACTTATTGTCTTCGCTCGTCAGCGCTTCATCTATGGTCTGCCTGGAGAGACGAATTCGTATGTAAAAGCTTGACAGGGTCGATGATGCAATGATATTCGAAGTTTCGAACAACGCAACTTTCCTTTTACAATTCCGCGATGAAGCGGACGGCGGACGCCTATATATAGTCTGTTAGACTGTTTTGCGATCAGTTAGTCAACTTCGCAGTCTTGGACTGAAGTACTACATCAACAAAAAGCTCGCGAGCGAGTCGTCTGTTAAATCTTCAAACTTCGAGCAATAAATGGCGTCTACACAGGTTCCGACCTCGCTATCTTCATTCCCAGAAGAGCTTCTTGCTCGTATACTTGCGTATTGTGTAATTCCTCCCCAAGTATTCCCAGTTCGTCCACCTTGGCACATCCAACCAATATTCTCTCCATGTCTCTCACCCTTAGCCCGTCCGACACCCCACACCAGTACACGTGCCCGATTTTCGCCCTTACTGGTTTCCCGGCAGTTCCTCCGCATCGGTACTCCCATATATTATCAAACCCTCCACCTTCCGACGGCTGCCCATGCTGCCCGCGTACTCGAGACGCTTGTCGCCCAGCCGGTCCTTGCTGGTGTAGTACGTCGTGTTGTGTTGGGCTGCGTGTCGCTGGAGGGCGCTCGTGTACTTCAGGCGTGTGAGAAGATCGAAGATGTGGATATTTGTATAGATGTTTATGAAGCTAATCCCCGGGGAGATGCGGCAGAGGATCAGGATGCCCAAGCCCTATGCGACGCACTAGACCAAATAGACTTGAAGCATCTTACCATTCGCAGAACTTCAGATGCTTATCTCACACTTACGCGCCCAAAATACCTTCTTGAGCGCATTGCAAAGGCTGTACCCGGCTGGTTTAACCTTGTATGAGACTCTATTTTCCGTATCGGTCACTGCATACTGATTCGTAATGTTCTCAGGAATCCGTTCACTACGCTCTCAAAATCAGTTCAACACCAGCCACCAGGCCTTTGGCTGAGGCTCTGAGCCATGCTCCCAAGCTACGCAGTCTTAAAGGGCAACTACCGGCGATTTGGAACGACTTGTTCCTCACCATCTCTAAAAACCCGACTCTCGAACAAATCGCATTGTATGTAGAAGGCGTAGATGGGATTTTGCATACGACCATGTACATGATGGAGGCTAAGAACCACGCACACTTGAGCGAACTGATCAAAATTGGAACGTGAGTGCTGTCGTACTCGCCCTTATACCTAAGTATATCTTGGTTTACAGGTCATTTATCCGAACGAGGGCACATACAACTGCTGCTGCATTGCCGAGTCCACCGTCAACAAGACCATCGACTCCTCTGAGCGCCAGCAGAGTGAAGGAGGTAGCTGCTGAGCTCATGACTCCTGGGCTAAGCCATAACATGTCCCTCCCTGTAGCGGGAAGTTCGCATGTATCATGATCGCTTTCTACCACATATCTCTCATCGAACATCATTTCTCACATATGCAATTTCCTCTCAACACCTCACGAAGGCGCTGGTGACTTCCATCACAACATATATTCCCCGCGCAATGATGATTTTTGTAACGCCCTCACGCCTACATGGACTTTTCTTTTGATATGGCACGTTCTCTTTTCTTATCACCGGAACTTATTCCCTGTGGTGAAGGTCTTGTCGCGCAAGCGTAGTTGGTCTGGTACTTCTGCATTTGCACGCTCGTTCTTATTCTTGTTATTTTGTCCAGGCATTGTGATCACAAGCTAGGCTAATAGCTAGAAATGATTTACATACACTCCAAATTATCACGAGTTGTGAAATAACGGTTGACTTGATCAGAAGAACCAGTGGTTTAGTAGTACTGAGTAGGCCTCAAAAAAGAGAATTTAGAAATCACGTTGTATGCACCCGTTCATAGTGATGGCATTGATGCGTGATATTCTGTATACACTGGCATAACTGTAGCACACGTATTTGCTGTGATTCGAGGGCACAATCACTTGATTGCGCCATCTTATTAAGTGGAGTGTAGTCTAAGAGGAGGTCAGGAAACCGCTGCCGGATCGGCGATAGCAGTGTGCTAAACACCGCGAGAGCTTTGTTTTTCTATTCAGAGAAGCTTTTCATCCCTGGCGGGGTCAAGGATCGGCTGAAAGGGTAAGATGAAGATAGGAATCTTTGATTTCGAGGGGAATAATCATGCGCTGCTCTGGTAGTCGATCGTTAAGCATCCCAGTCACTCCAACATTCACCGTAGTAGGAATGCCGTTTCGTACAGCGGAAAAAGATGCTGCCCGTAGCGAGAGGTTTTCCTTCCTATACTCTGGTCTCTCTTGGGGAGCGGAGACCAGGCGATAGCCACAGAGGTGGGTACAGCGAAGTACCATCGAGACTGCTTGACGGCACAGTCTTGAGACCAATCCGAGGACGATGAGGTGGAAGGGATGAGTGAGATAACAGGCGATCTCTCGCCAAAGTTCAAGAGGCAACGTTGGACAGATGGTGGTGGGTGGTATATCGTCACTTCTATCAGCTCTCTGAACGAGGGATTCCTTCAGGTAAATGCCACTGTACCGCACATAATGACAAGCCTCCAAAGCACGCCGAAAGAGTGCGGGGTCGATGCGATATCCAAGACGGGCGAGAGCAGTGATGCCTGGCGTAGAAGGTGAATCTGCGTAGAATGATGGTAAAAATTGGAGGGCGCTCGTGTGGCTGAATGACATGGTGTGTGCGTTTTTGACGACTTTGACGACTGCACAATGGAAGACAGAAAACGCGATTCCAAAGTAATGACCAGAATGATTCGTCTGCTCCAAGATCACGTTGATCAGACGTGACACAGAAGCCTGTAGGCATCGCTCGTCATATAGATGTGTTGCGATGTAGACAACAGTGTCGTCGCGAACCCACGTGAACTCCTTTCTTTTCAGCTTGCGATGGTAAATGCACTGTATGTCGTCGAACATCTGAGGAATAAATGTAATGCTGGCCATGAAGCATGCAATTGACCATTGATCGTCCGTGATCTGGTTGTGGTCGTTTAAAAGCTCTATTCCGTAGATTTCCCTGCCAATGGCTGAGCTAAACATGCACTGCCCAATCATGACTTCTAGCAATGTGACCCGAACGTGCTCGTCTTGAGAAAGGCCGTCACTGACGGCGAGCAGATCACTCAGAGCCACTTGAGATCCGGTGCACATCACAGACTGGTACGTCTCGAGTTCAGAATTGTGGACAATTGGCGGTGTTGGCTTTTTGTATCTGTTCTCCGGGGGACATTCTAACGGGCAAGCTGCGTGGCCGTAATGATCTGCAGTGATGCCATCATCGGAGGTGTGTTGGAGAAAAACGGCGTCATCTGGGAGACATTCCAAGGAAAAAAAAGGCATGCCGTCCACATGGAAGATATTGCGATCAAGATCAATCTCGTAGGTCCAGGCCCAAAGTCCTGGCCCCAGCTGGGAGGGCCCATGGAAATTTTCATCACCACCTTCTATCAGTAATAGAGAATGCGAAGGGCTCTTCAACCCGTCCAGCATCTCTCCAAACACTTTCTGATAGGTCGCGATGGCATTGGGCTGTCGTATATACTGAAGCACCTTTAAGCCAAGCCACTCTGGATAACCACTACTATTGTGGTGTTGGAAATAATACATGTTCCGATAGCGGACCACGTAGTGCCCGTTGGTTCCCATACCTGCAGGTCAACTGAAGAGAAGTGAACTCCGGTGGTTTCAAGCGTCTAGTTATGTGGATGATTAGAGGAAAAGATGAGTGGCGTGTGATGGGCGGTTTTTAAGTCGACTTGGTCATTATATAAGCACGAGATCTGGCCTGCTGAGTCGTGTGGACTTACGATCAACCGGCCGTCAGAGGATGGTACCAAGGTTAAATATTTTGAAGCTTTTTGACTAGTTTTGAATTTTTTGTGTGATGTAACATTTAGGCTATTAAGTAGTATATCATTAGAAGTGAGAACGGGACAAATGTGACTTTCAGCTCCAGATACTCAAACACCATAGAAGAAACGCCAGTAACCTGGAAGCAGATGAGCGAGCGCGTACCACAGCTGGTATGGGTCCATTGTCAGCTTCACTCAGTGTGCTCCCAAGCAATATTTTGACTCACACTATAAAATTTGCAGGACTGCTTATCGGCGCCTACCGTGTTGTATATCACGAACCGGATTCCTACAAATGCGCCGTAGAGTACAAATGCCAGTGGTAGAGAGCGCATCTATCTTCCAGATACAACTCAAGGCATATGACCAGAGGGGAAGACCGAACATCATTGAAAAACGTGCGGCTTTGGGGAAGATCGTGGGTAGCGTGTGCCTGCCAGTGAGGCGATCGCCCTCTTCATCCTTAAAGTCTTGCGCATGAAGCGTAGTCGCAAAGACTATCGAGCTAAGTGCGACCGCCAAAGCACCAGCCTTATCGATGCACGAGTTGCGAGGACCTGTACGCTTGATGAGCAAAATGACAGATTTTTTGTGACTAGATAGATTTACCGGCAGCGACGGTTGCTCCGACCTCCAGATACCCACGGGCCACCAAGGATGGCTGTGAGTGCATTCTTCGACAATCCCATCTTATCACCGTGAAGTTCGTTGTACCAGATTGTCAACGCTGCAAAAACGGTGCCGGTCAGCATAGCCTGAGTGCCGTACACAATGATAGCAACAGACTGGGACCATCACCCAGCGCATATCAGCTGCGCTGTCGACAGAAATGCGACCAACAGGTATCGGACGGGAGGGTTTGTTCTTGCGGTCCTCCTCCAGATCCTGGATCTGGTTCGCAATATTGAACTGCAGTAGGTGAAACCATGTCCACAAAGGAGCATTCCAAGCGTGGGTGGGGTGACGGGTCATATTTGGGAGCCACGAATATGGTCTGAAAATTTTAATTGAACAAGGAGACGAGACGAACAACAGTTGATACATACGAAAGGTATCAGATTGGTTTTGATACCATTTATTGTAAAAAGGAAGACCGTCTTGAGATGATGAACGATGTTATCAACGTGAACAGTGAGAACTTGAGCCTAGAACATTGTGACTTTTTGAATGCCTAGGTTGCATACTCCATGCCTTTATGCCTCGAATGTATGTGCGCTTGAAAGAAACGCGAACTGTCGGCCAGTATGGCAAAAGTCATGCCGGGAGTATACAACTTGGAACTCGCTGCGTCGCAAGATCTTTGCTGAGACACAAATCTGGGTGTCAGTCACTAGTCCCGGAGCCACCCGAGGCTGTGCATCAGTGAATTCATGAGTCCGTGATATGGTAGTCATGAGACCTATAGACCGATACAATTACGCTTTTGCCAACTATATCTATGTATTCTAGAAGAAATTTGTGTTGTTCATAAATGACCATCTATCCGTGCAAATATAGACTTAGAAGATGCGTCAATGACAAGGTTCAAGTATAGCGACATCATAGCAAGTAAGATACAATAGTCCAGCACCCTCGCCCTGCAAGTCCATTCTCAGTTTGACTCGTATATGCTTCAGGTTCAAGGCCATCTAAGCCATTTTAATGGAAAGCCGCTTTGGCAATGACCGGCAAATGTTTAGACCACGTGACTACAATGACAAGGGTTCAAGTATAGCGACATCATAGCAAGTAAGATACGATAGTCCAGCACCCTCACCCTGCAAGTCCATTCTCAGTTTGACTCGTATATGCTTCAGGTTCAAGGCCATCTAAGCCATTTTAATGGAAAGCCGCTTTGGCAATGACCGGCAAATGTTTAGACCACGTGACTACAATGACAAGGGTTCAAGTATAGCGACATCATAGCAAGTAAGATACGATAGTCCAGCACCCTCACCCTGCAAGTCCATTCTCAGTTTGACTCGTATATGCTTCAGGTTCAAAACGTACAGTAGCATCGAAAGCGATGTGTGAGGGTTAAAAGTAAAAAAAAGTAAAGCACTCGAAAACAGCCAATCTGAGGGAGCCGCGAAAACAAATAATAAGATAATATTGAAGTGATGATCAGCGTCCCAATGCCTAGGACCCAGAACTAGAACAGAACACCTTCATGAACCATTCCAATTAAACATGCCGCATTCTCGTGTCTCCCATGGTACTGATGGTTTGTTGCATAATCAGCTTCTGCACCTGTTGAGGTAACGGCAGAGGTGTGAAGTTAGGGATTTGAGACATGAGATGCGTCGTCAGGGGAAGGCACAACTCACCTCGTCAAATGGTCGCGTATCGCTAAAGCAACACCCCCAGACCTCATTCACCACACGCTCTGCTGCTGCCTCGTCTGGGCACATGGAATTCGGGCGGACAGAAAGTATAGCACGCCGTCTCACGCAAGCCTATTCCAAGTTAGTAAGCATTTGGACTGATCAAGAGATGGATATAGGACTGCACAGCATGAGGCACAATCATCGATATACTTGATGTTGTTTTGAAAATGACACGAATCCCCTTCCCAGCTCACGCATATATCGGCAGTCACCACTTAAACTGTTAGCACGGATCTTCAGTAAACGGGCGCCGCGGCATATGTCAATAAAGTGTAACATGACACACTGATCACTCACTTTGCTGCATGCATGATGTCTCAAGTTTTTCCAGTCAACACTGAACTTGCAGTGATCATACATATGTACCAGCTCGTGTGTGAGGGTATCTTCCATGTGCTTCTTGTCTCCGAAATGGCCCTGACAAAGGATAATCGCTCCAGCAGGATGGAAGCCTCCGGAACGCGTGAGATCGCATGGGGCACACACGATGTTCGAGGACGGTACCAGGCACCTGGACAACTTCAGATGTTTGAACATAAAAACAACTGAAGGGCCTATGAAAGCAACGCGTGTGCAGCGTTGAAATAAGTACGGATCAGACCACGCAGAAACAACAAGACGGACTATAATTCAGGAGTTCGGTCTTCCATTGCTCGCAGCGGTGATGCTGCGCTTCAACCCTGTCATGTTCTCGTTCAATGTCTGCATTTTCTCCTGCTTTCATTGAGCATCTCCCCTGGCATGAAAGATAATAAAGCTCTGTCACAAGGCTAAAGACCTCTGGCATATAATTGCGGATATGTTGCTTAATTATCCCGACTAGGATAGCCAATTGCTGCAGGTGAAATTCTTGCAAACGGGCTGTGGAGGTGCGGGCCACTGCAGTAAAGGCAGGAATGATCTTTCAAAACATTTGGGTCAGTCCGACATTTGGTCATGCAGTAGCAAGAGAACTGATGCACCTGCGGTAGGAAGGCCACACATTTCAACCCTTGCATCCTGAAAATGTTCATAATTGCTTCGATGATGGTGTGGTGGTGATTGCTGAGTGACTGATCCTTCAAAACAGCCAGAAGAGACGTGATCACAACGGTCTGGTAGTAGTTGTCGCTACCCATCAATGACCCTGTTTGAGAAATGGCGACAGCATTGACAGCAGAAAGTGGTGTTTCATTCGCGACTTCCTCATCCGGCCTCGCCTGAGGATATGTCAGTAAATTAAAGCGAAGAGGTGCATACCAGACAAACCTTTCGCCTATATGGATCCAGAGCTCCAAGGATACCGAGAACTTTGACGACTTCTCTTACGACCTTGCGGTGTGCATGCGGAGCGGATTCGCTTCTCAGAATGCGTCCCAAGATTGGAAGTAACTGAGGATAGTCTACCAAGGGAGAACTTTGACGACTTCTCTTACGACCTTGCGGTGTGCATGCGGAGCGGATTCGCTTCTCAGAATGCGTCCCAAGATTGGAAGTAACTGAGGATAGTCTACCAAGGGTGTTATGACATATCCGGTGCTAGAACACAACTGGCCAAGAGTGTGAAGAGCAGCATCACGCTTGACATGAGCACCAGCACGTCGAACCTCTGCATTGTCGTCTTCCAGATAAGGAAGCGTGGTATTGCGGACAAACTCGTTCAAGATGTGACCTGCTCATGTTGAGTACACTGTATTGAATAGCAACAGGTAGCTTACCACTGAAGTCAAAGGTGCCAAGTGTGGACAACGCAAGTGTGATGAGCTCAGAACTCTTACCGCTCCTAGTTGTCTTCGTGAGTCATGCTTAGTATGATCGACAGAAGTGTTGAAGAACTTACCTGAGATGAGCTCAAGTCTCTCGTAAACGCAGATACGTCAGTCCTGACAAGATGGGGCTCCGATGGCTTTATAAGGTTGTCCACATAAGATCATGGAAAGTAGATCCAGTAGACGGTCTGAGTATGTGTTTGTTATAGTAAGAATGTCATGTGCAGTGTTGACTGACGCACCTTGAATAGTCTTTAGCAAAGGAGGGATATTACGTGCAATGGCCATCAGCACCTGTCTAAGAGGCTCACTCAGGCCGCACGCAAAGAATAAATCAAATTGATCGTGAAGAAGCTTTGTGCCAAGGTTTGGACCAACAGCCAAAGCAAGCGGCATTCCGATGCATTGAAAAATAGGTTCTTCAGAAGGAGCATTCTTCTTTCTGTATGTATATATCAGATTTACGAATGTAGAGTGGCACAGGGACTTACACTGATGGCGAATACATTACAGTCGGTGTCGTTCAGCTCGACCTCCACCCCTCCAAGTCTTGTCCAAGTCCGAGTCGAACTTCAGAGGCAGTGTTCATCCGGAAAATGCCGGGTTATAAGATTACTAAATCGGGACGTTAGGAACGCATACTAGTACCATCAGTTTATCACTCAACGCTTCAGAAAGTCAGCACATTTATTCAATCTTTCTTGATTATTCTCATATTGTCTAGCATGAATAACCAAGGCAACGCGAACATCGGAGGAAATGAGAACAACGAAAACCTGAATCATGACGTGCGTCGAGTACTACTTATTCTATCGATGCCCGCTTAGCAAACGTTTCCAGATCCCTCAACATCTCCTCGAACACATTCCATGGCCTCGGGACGTGTCATTCAGAATGACCGATAGACAATTAGTGAGGAGTACGTGTATTAGTGAAACAGTACTAATATTATTCAAGGAGCTGGTGTACATTACGTGGGCTGCCGCGCGAATGCACGTGCGCCAACAAGTCTACCGTCCGGACTTACCGTTCGCTCCCAACCCGTTGCCTCCAGTCTGGCCAGAAGAACTATGCGTGAAGATGGTCCTGTGGATTGCGAGGGAGCATAGGATGTTCGAGATGGAGGTGAGAGAACTTGAGTTCCTCCTAGGGCTCAGAGGTGCGCATTAGCGCTGATAGGTAAGCCATCTTGTAAATAAATAAAAATTCAAATGAACTCACGAGTTTCAGACTGCGTATGGATGAAGAAGAGCGAAGGAACTGGGAGGGACCGGTTGGCGCAGAGGAAGTGGATGGTGCATCCGTAGATTCAGGCATTGGAGTAGTCGAGATTAAGGTATCTAGTTGCAATGTTGAGGTCTTGTCAAGGTCCTCTCAAAGGTGATCGCTGTCAGGTGCAACTAAGGTCTCTGTCGATAGGTTAGTATCTTCTGGCTCAAGCGGGCCATTGACATTGATATCTTCTGGTTCGAGGACACCAGAATCTGCAGATGATGCAAGGAACAATGTGGATGGTGCTGAAGCTGGCTCGCTGACGGGATTGAGGCAAGCCATGCTTTCTTGGACAGCTTCGATGCGACCTTGAACGTGAGCCCTACATAGAGTAACTAAGGAAGTTCGCACAGTAGCAGTACACTCACAATAAAAATGCCCAATGGTTTATTAGCATGTTCTGATATTATTTTGAGGGAATAGTCGCAAGCTTGGTGGTTTTGGTCAAGTATCGGTTCCAAACACTCGCGATGGCCATAAAATATATCAGAGTCAGGAGGATGTGAAATGAGAATGGACTTATGAGTTTCAGGCCGTACGGATAAAGAAGGTCGAAGGATCTACGAGGCTGAGAGTGGGATCGGGCGGTTGTACTGACTAGATGCATGATACAAGATGTCCTTATTCCAAATACCCCATATAGGTGTTCGTGGTGCGAGCGAAGGGTACAGTGAGAGGGCGAGATATTATAGCAAAACGGCAATGCAATGTTAGGTCGACTGAGCAGTGAGAATGGAAGTGATGGTGACTAACAAATGTTGATAGCACCTGAATATAACCGACAGTGCACAGGGAATCCATGATGGATATTGTCCTCAATCCCAACGAGCCTGCTAACAACATTTCTATGTTCATCATTCTCCTGCAAGTCGCGAAGCTCAGGGGAGAAAACCCATTCTGCTGTCGAGAGACTTTGACGTGAATATTTCAGGGTTCCGCAGCTTGAAGAACTCCATACATGTTTTGCGTGCATGAGGTGCGGGGGTTGCCTTGGTAGCCAATGGAGCAACAGTAGTTGCAGCAGTGCGATTTGAAGTCAACGCCCTTGGGGGTTGTACACTCGTGGACTTAGCCTGTGTATTTTTAGTCACAGACGGTCTGGGGGGTACGGGAATCGACTTTGACGACTCAGACGTAGTGTGCGCAGTTGCAGGTGTAACAGCATTGCTGGCAGTAGTGGTTCGACTTTGCTGCACAACGGTTGGCACACGGTCGGAGGAGGTATTTGGTGTCGCGGCACTGGTCACAGGTAAAGTTTTGCTAGCTGCTGAAGCCTTTGCACGAGTCAATGCATGACCAAGCTCCTTTTTAAACTCTGGAGCTAGACTGCCGAAGAGCACCTTCTGCCACTCCTCTGGCACAGAATGCAGATTTTGCATAAGGAATTTGACAGTCACGTCCATGTCTACTCCCTGAGGATGAAAAAATCGTCAAACTCGGTTGGTCAGTGAGGTACGAAGTGATGCACCTGAAATCGTTCATGAAAGTATTGCACGAAAGCTTCCTTGGTACTGGGACCTGCTGGCGTTTGTTGAGCGGGCAGGGGATTCGCAGGCAAGGGCAAAGGCAAAGGCTGAATTGTGGCTTCAGATGTTGCCGAAATCCCTGTAGGAACATGGACATTGGTACTGGAGAGGCAGAAGAATTGGCTTGAGGTAAGGAGGTCCACTTAAGATTTCTCATGTCATTAAGCATCTTGAGAACTCCCTCATCTTTGAAATTTTCTGGATTAAGGCTGCGCGCAGCTTCGGCCCACCATTCCACGGCCACAGGGCACGAGCTCAGGAAGTCTTGAATAGCTTGTGTGCCGTGCTGTCAGAAAGTATTTAAAGGAAGGTACAGAATTCACCAACGTTGCAACTTACATTGCAAGCCAACTGGAACTGCCGAATGAAATCTGGTTTCATAATGGTGGACTGAGCAAGGCTGCCTGAAAATTGACGATTGGTGGACGGTCGCTCAGCAGATGACAAAGATGGACGCCCAGTCGATGAGACGATAGTCCACCTGCAGGACATGCACGGCAGATGAATAGTGTTATCCCAACGATGTGTAGCAAGCACCCATGAACGCACCTGGGATGAGCGCTGAGACAAATGCATGCACAAGCCAGGCCGTCACAGCACCCTCGAGGGAGTCGGTGGAGGAAAGGCCTTGGATCTTCCTCGCTGCTGTTACAATGACGATAATGGAACCTTGAATAATTGACACTGTAATAATGAGGTCAGTATTCTTCTGTGCACGAGCTATATTTACGGAGCTGAGGTGATAATCTACAGGATAATGTTAAAGTCCTGAAATATTTGAAGTGCATCTCGATATACACCCACCCTAGCAATCACATAAAAACATATCTACAGACTAGGTTGAGTTTAGTACGCCATCTACGTAAGTCGTTCTGACTCACTAAATGTCTCCAAATATCTTGAAAGGTGCGTGAAGGTGAGAAACATACACCCCGAAAGAAATACTGGCCTTGTCATTAGCTCCTGCATTACTCAAAGAATATAATGTTCACAAACCGTTACACGACGCCTACATGCATCAATGAACATGCCCAAGAAAGGGGTAAGTCCGATAGGAAGGATTAAGTAAAAACTTGACACTCATGCATCAACTACGGCTCCTTTCTTGAGCCTTCGCTGTGTGCAAACTGCTTGCGCAAAATTCAACACTTATTACATCATTGCAAAGCCAATGACTCACATAGATACCAATATACTGACACCATACCAGCGTTCTGGAAGGTTGCAAAAAGAATCACAAACCAGAATGTAAGGAGCATGATGCACCAATGAAATATTCCAACTTTAACACTACCCGCACTTGACTGGTCAAACTATTTGCAGCGATCAAAGACCTCGTGATATGAACGAAGGTATTTGTCGAGGACAAAGATGCAAACAGCACATAGAAACGAGAAAAGGTCTATGATGATGCCTGTCCACAGTGACCAGGAATGAGCTCACCTATGAACAGCGCGAAACCATTCCCCAATGCAAAATATGTTTGTGCTGCGTGTTGTCGAAGGATGCGCTGCCAATGACAGCAATGACCTTGCCCACCCTGAAGACATCGTAACTATTGAGTCCATTTGTCATCGCACCAGCCTCTACCGTAGCACCCACAAAACAAAATGCAGCGAGTATGGCAGACAGCAGTGGCCCTCTAAATTTGTCAACAACGAAAGAGGTGTTTACCTGTCAGACAGAAGCTCATTTGTCCCATGCCAGCGAAACAAGATCAATTGCCATATCCGTCACGGATACCTAAGGAAGCCAGGTACACAAGAACATCAACCTCGTCACATTTCTATCGAGTATATTTCTTACTAGTCTGAGTTATTTATCTTGAGTTCTTGTCTATCGTTGTCTTCAGAGTGGTGATGAGACCCTGTGAACATCCAAATAATCAATAAAAATTAAACTGTGATGCCTACATGAGACCAGTGGTGTCCGACTTGCATCGTGAAGCTGCCGACTGATTCGGCGGTGCTCCCTTCAGTTGTAGCAAAGTCGAAGACACCCGGCAGGTCTGTAGCACAGAAGACACTGATGAATGTATGTACCGACAGTGATGAGGTAGAAATTGTTGAGGGTATGACCCAAAGCGATGTCCTTCAGAAGAGGAAGCGCACGTCCACTGGCGCAACTGAATCTGAACCAGTCGCCGCTTCCCATCAAGCCACCGGCAATGTCATCGCGCCAGCAATGGCAGAGAATGACATGGCCAAGGATGTCGCGCCGGGAAATACAGATGCAATGCCCACCAGGCCCAAGGGCAAGCCAGAAAGCAAGTGGGTAGAGATAGTAATCTCGTCCGGGTCTGAGGTCACGATGGACAGGAAAGGCAAGGGAAAGGCAGTTGCGCTGCCGGTGGAGACGGACCAGCGGGATCGTGGGCGGAAGAAGTCTAGAGATGTTAGTTCTAACAGGCCGCCAATACAGGGGAATCATTCATCTACCAATACACTGCCGATGGCAACCGCCAGTGATCAACGGAAGCCTTGGTATGAGATTCAGGTACGGAGCATTGTCTATCTATCTTTCTGTTTTCTTGATCACTTCGTGCTGCAGAAACGGACGAGTACTGCAGCGACCACAGTGAAACGGCAAAAAAGTCAAGGCATGTTTAGGGAGCACCAAGCAACGGCCACCCCTGAGTCTGTCGGCGACATTGGCATGGCGCTGGAGGCGGATATCAGAGCTGTAAGTTGTCAAAATGCCTCAAGTCTCGCTCCTTCTCATTCTGTGCAAAACTCCCATTGCCGCCGTTCCACTCACGCCGCCTCGACAAAGTCAATCCCCTCCATCATCCGCCGGTGACATGGACATTGACCCGTCCAGTGACACAGTTGCAAGAGATTTCCAGGCCATGACACTGGAGGTGAAGACTGATTCGGAGTCCCTCCTTACGGTCATTCAGGACAACATCAACAACCTTCAGACTCAGGTGGCCGATATCCGAACTCAGAACGCCGAGATGGCTGAGTTGATTCAGAATATGAACCCCCGCCTCACTGCCCAGGATACTGACATCCGAGCCATGGAGAAAATGCGTGCCGAAATCGAGATATTGCAGGAGGAGGTCAAGGCCTTGCATGCTGAATCTCAGACTCGGGAGTCTCAAATCCGGAACACTGATGCAATGTTGACTGCACAAGGAAATTGTACTGCTGTGCTGATGGATGCCTATGAATCCCTCTGCCAACGTGTTGTCCCGAACCAAACTGTTCCGCATTTCAATAATGCTACATTCTTTCCTCCCGCTGGTCATACAGCTACATACAGTCAAGGTATGAGCGCCGGGCAGGCGCAAGCAATGGAACGGCTTTATTTCAATTTGACACCAGTTCCGTCCATGATCACCGGTAATTCCGTTCCAAATATTGCCACACGCGCCAGACCTTCAGGTTCCCAGACCAACCGTCCATCTGGTAAATTGGCATCTGGGAGGAGTCCCGCCTAAACTATTTCAATTGGTCCGGTAGATAATTTGGAACTTCGTAGAAATGTTCTTGTTAGATTTTTACCATTGATCACCGTACGGGATGCGCTGTTGTGATGCGCCGGCCTAATGCCGATGATTGCTTTGCTTTCGGGCCACCAATGACCGATTCTCGCGAAGTTGCGGTCCGTTTCCTGTATCGAGGATGTACACCCTACCACCAAGCCTGCACCATTATGTTTGTATTATTCCTTCATCGGCAAGGCTCGGGCACGTGGCTTTCTTAACTGGGGGCCTGAGACTTTTTTGTCATCATTTTACGTCCCATCATTGATTCCCAATAAGTGGTAAGTATAAAGGTGTTTAGCAGTCAGTCATACGGTTGTGTCCATCCCCGCCTCCATGAGTCTTGTTCCCGTTGACTGGGCTTTGGCCACCACTCATATTGCCAGCGACTATGTTTGCCGCCAGTTCTGTGCTATTGTTGGAGTGACGCCAAAGATCCTCCCGCCGCCGGAGCTTGATGTTGTGTTGATGCTTGGTTGTTCCCACCTTGCAAGGATCCTCGCCGATGCATATCTCAATCCTGGTAATGACCTTGCCATGTATCCGGCGCTATCATTGACTTGAATTATCTTTAGTCACTATCAACTTCGATATGATGAGGTATTCCGAAGTACTTCAAAAGCAGGAGAGAGGGGTTAACCCCTGCCGTGAAGAATTTCTCCTTACCCGATACCCGCCGGATCATGAGATTATCCTGGAGCGTCCTGCAGTTGTCCTGGACAAATTTGGTCTTATTGTGCTGTGGTACCTCCCCGGAGCAATTGATGCTGCCATTCAGGTGGGCTTGCATAACTCGCCAATGATTTCTGCTCACTGTTCCAGAATGACATGCTTGTGGCAACGATGATGATGTCGGGCCCACTAGGCAAGAGTATCACCCGTGGTACATCGCCGAAGGAGAAATGGCATACCGATGAATCCAATTTTCAAATCAGTGAACAGGGCTTTACCTCAGGGTGCATAAATCTTTCGCCGGGGTGGTTCCTGCAAGCTCATCTGGTTCATTGACATTTCAGAACAGAATATTCTTGCCTGATTTCTTCATAGGCTCCACAGTTTCAGCCCAAAGTATCGGCGACCCTTAAAAGTGACAATGGTGTGGCTTACTGTCGGGTGATGTGCAGACCGGCGGCCCTTGTTGCTGCTGCATCGAGAGTCATGCACTCCGGTCTTTATTGGTCATCGTTGACAACACAACTGGGGCTTGGGGTTTGGGCAGATACTCACCAAACACAGCCCATGGGGAATCGCCTCAGAGAATGGGCATCTGTCTTTACTGTCGTCGCCGTTATGTGCAACTGGTATACTCCCTTGCACCGAGATGCTCTATCCCGTGCTCAATGGTTTGACATAATGACCAGCGTTGGCGGTTATACATTGGCGCGAATGAAGATGCCGAATATTGGGATTGAAATTGCCTATAATTCAGGTGTCATGGCTGGTACCTCGGGAAGAATTGTTAGGCATGGGGTGAACTGGGTGAACAGCGATTGAGTTGGCTGGGTGTGGTATATGAGGGATGATATTCATGAATTTGTAGATGTACCCCGAGGTGATTATTCAAGGTACAAATCTGTAGTTACTGATGCAATGCAATTTGCATAGAGTTATGGTAGATATAGTACATTGGGGGATGTCCTCAATGCGACCAAAAGTTGTCACAGTAATGTCAGATTCTGGACCATACATGTGTCGGCGAACTTCTGAACCAGTCTCTGACCGGTGATAGATGTATCGGCGACAGTTGTTGCTGTTCGGCGATATATCGCCGGTTCAAGCATATCTCAGTCAATGTGTGGCCCACTGGGCCTGCCTGTTCATCCCATCAGCTTGGACTGGGCCTCCTCTGCTCGTGAGATTTGATGTGAGCCCACCCTTGATTGACGATGTGTCTCATGGGCTGTATCCTACTACTGGCAGCAGCTCTATAGGCCCACATGCCTATCCTGTTTCCATGGGGTGGGCCCATTTTATTGATCTGGCGACATTGGGCCTGCTCGGCCGCCGCTCCACAGGGTGTAGGCCCGATGATATGTAATGCAGAGGTCCGCGGGCCCGCCCGTTCGGCCAACTTACTGCATATGGTCCCTTGGGACTTCGGTACTATTATGCGGCCAGTCCATGCACTCCGAGATGTAGAGCTAGGCCCCTGCAGTGTTCATAAATGTGGTGCACCGGGCCCACCCGTCCGCCACACGTACGAAGCGCAGGCCTACTCAATTCATTAGACATGATATGGGCTCCCTTGTGCGCCTTAACGCCGCGGCCTCGGCTCAGCCACAGATAATGCAGTATCTGTGTGGGCCTGCCCCTCCATTTCTCTCACCATTGATGAGCCCATTGCTTTGTTCTCCCTGTCACGTGGGCCCACCTGGCTGCATCAAAAAGATATTGGTAGGACCCGCCGGGCAACATCGCCGATGCGCTAAACAATCGAAGAGAATCTGCGGTTACCAGGGCCATACGAGAGCGCTGACGGTGTGTCTATGCCCACCGGCTACAATCCATATTTTCATCCACCGGCGGTTGATTACTTTTGGACGTCCGGTAGTCCGCTACATATGCCAGCGGTCGTTGACCCTGTGATCCGCCGGTGTTTAATCACTGCTGCAATCACCGGTGTCAATTATTTTGCAATCGCCATTGTCAATTATTTTGCAATCGCCGGTGGTGGTATTGCCATTCACTGGTTTACTGTTACATTCGCCGGAATTCTTCATTTTTTAGCCACTGGCAATTCATCGGCACCAGTATTCCACCCATCTCGGAAACTCATGGGCCCACTCAGAATTGTTGAATCATCCCTTTTCCTCATTACTGTGAGCCCACCTGTAAACACACTATCCTTCATTCAGAGTCCCATCGGCCCACTCAATGTTTCAAAGAATATGGGCAGTAGGCCTGCCCATAACAATATGGTACACAGAACCTCCGGGCCCACTCAGATACACCGACCTACACTTATAAAGTGGGCCCATGGTGGGTTGGCCCATGTCACATGGAGAAAATGTCAAGGTGGGCTGGCCATTAAGTAAGGAGATATGTCACTGTATTATGTGGGTTCGTGGGGAATCTTCTTCCTCTATGCTCACATACTCACTGGCAGCTCAAACGGTTCCAGGGGGCTCATTGCTGTACATGTGAGACAGTGCATCTGCCAGGGTGTTGTCTTCACCAGGTATGTACATTATTTCAAAGTCAAAACCTCTAACCAGCGAGCCTGTCTTGGTGACAACTTGCTCTGGGTAGATATCCACTCAAGGCCCTTATGGTCGGTGAATATGTGAAAGTGCAGACCAATAAGTAAGTGCCAAAACTGTTTGAGGGATTCAATGATAGCTAACAACTCCTATTCGTGGATAGGATAGTTCTGTTGAGCAGAGTTGAACTTACCAGACCAGAATGTGATGATATTGGCTGACTTCAAATCATTACCTTGAGATAGGACGCCACTGGCTCTGGTTAGTGATACATCGGTGGTCAAGTTCACTCGAACAGACCCATTCAGGGCAGAAGGGAGGTCTAGAACTTTTTGGCAGATGTTACAGTGTGTTTTGACACATGCTTTGACCAGGTCAAACACTCTCTGATCGGTTGGGTTCCAGCTCCACTTAGTAGTTTGAGCAGCCACCTTGGATAAGTGCTGCATGTCCATGTGTACATCTTCACATCCCGCTGTAGGGATTCATTTCTGGCTGGGCTTGCAGAGACTGTTTTTACCTTAGTGTTATGTTTGCACTTTTGTAGCTTACATAATCAAGTTATCTTTTCACCAGTTACCAGTCTGAGTCTGAGTCTTGAGCAGTTTTTATGACATTTCCTCTCCTCTGAGCCTTGAGCCTGGTCCAGAAACCCTTTAGGGTCAAATAGCAGCTAGGTTCTGCAAGACCCAACATTGTTCAGACTCACCATCTGAATTGTTGTACCTTCACCGTGGCGAGGTATCCTACTGAGCCAATGAACTGCATCAGTAGTTCTTTGGATGTGGGGTTCTTCCATCCCAGGATTTTATTAACCTTATGGGGGTCCATCCGGATGCCCGCATCATCGATGACATGTCCTAGGATGGTCAACTCCTTCTTGAAGAATTGTAGCTTGTGCTCGCTAAGGTAGAATTGATTCTTTCTCAACATGTCTATGATGATCTTGACATGCTTAATGTGATCCTCAGCAGTATCTGAGTATATGACAATATCGTCGAGGTAGATGTCCATGAATATCCCCAGGTAAGGTCCAAAGATATGGTTCATCAAAGACTGGTAAGTCACCCCCACGTTGCAATCTCCAATCTGCATAATGTGACTAATCATGGTACCATCAGGTGTAGCGAACAAGGTTTTGTGTACGTCTTCAGGAATGACACATATCTGTTCATACGCGTCTTTGCCATCTAACAGTGATCAATAAGGTTTTGAGCTGACATTCCACAGGATGCACTCAATATCGGGTAGCAGGGAGGCAAGTTTGCGAGTGTTCTTGTTATGCTGTCTAGTGTCCAGAACGGTATGCAACTTCAGTGAGCCATCCTTGGTGGCCTTCTTCATCATAATCATAGGTACAGCATTTGTACCACTTAGGAACTCCCAGCAACCCATTCGAATATAGTCATCGTGCTTTGCTCGCCACAATGGACGCATGGCCTCAGGACATTTGGACTGGCACCAAGCATATGCTTGGCCCTCGTCAATGAGAGGTATGACATGATTTATTGTTCAAAGAGGTGGCAGGGGTGTCTCAATCGCTTCCTTACAGATATCTTTGGCATAGTCCATCAATTCCTTTCAGTAAGACTCAATTAGGTCTACATTAGGGCTAGAACCCTTAAGTTCCGGTACTTGTGTCTGTGCCCCCTGGATTGGCAATGGGATGAGACTCCGTATTTTTATCTCCAGTGGGTTAAACCCTAATAAGATCTGATGCTGATACAGGAATGGCATACCCAGGATCACATTGTAAGCTTTGAGGTTAGCAATATTGAAGGTATGTTGTCCTGAAATGTCCTGATATTTGAAGTTAACCATTGTATTAGCTTTTACGACACTACACAATCCTGAGACTGCAAGTTGCAGGGGAATTGGTCTATCTAGTACATCATACTTCAACTTAAGTTGATTGACAACAGTGCTCAATATAAAATCTGTCAGTGATCTGGAGTTTAGGAGAGCCTGGCACAGCTTCTCGTCAATCTAGACAACAACCATGATCAATTTGGGAAGGATACAAGTGGATTCTTTCGGCCTGGCTGCCAGCTGATAAAGGAACCAGACATCTGGTAAGTCTGTTTGCTTAGAATGTGTAGCACAGTACAGCTTGCTTACGGCCACAGGAAGGTCGCCTCCTGTGATATCTTCAATATCTTCCTGTCTGGGGTTGATGTCTTCCATATCCTCCAGTTCGCTGATGACCACAGGGGGTCCGCCTCCTGTGATATCTTCAATCTCTTCTTGTTCAAGGCTGATGTCCTCAGTCTCTTCTTCATCAGAGGTTTCGCAATCAAGAAGAAAAGGGACTTCATCATCCTCCATGTCGTCGTCGGTTATCTCCCATTCAGACTCAGCATCATCCGAGTCCCACATGTACTCATTGCTAGACTCTACTTTGTAGCAGATGCATCCACACAACATCTCGTCATTGCTTCCATTGGTTGAGTTGCTCTCCTCATTAGAGGAGTCGAACCTACGGACAATGAGGGTTTCTATTGCTCAATCCATTCAGGTGGTTGAGGCTACACCCCAGGATGGCTTAAACGAGGACTTGGTATGTATGAGGTCATTATAGTGATATAGTTTAAGATCTACTAACCACGCAACAATATTGAATTCTGGGTCACACAGCTGCTCATAGTAGACGATGTAGTCATTGTAGTTGTGTTTATCTGAGAGGAGGTATATGTTTGGCCCTCCATGAATTGAAAGGCTTAAATGATCCTTACCAAACGGATCGTAGATTGGGTCATGGAGCTCGTCTGTAGGGAATGGCACTCCCAAGCAGAGCATTTCCAATGATTGAGAGGTTACAACGAGGTGCTTGGTGACCTCTAGGGAGCTCAACTGGTCAACATCAATGGCCATCCCATACATGCCACTAGCCACCCCTTCCTCTATTGCGGCTGACCATATGTCGGTGTCCATCACACCAGCTGCATGTACATGCAGTGATGAGACCTTGGAGTTGGGTCTATAGGGCAGTTTGTAGTGCCTAGGGCAATCTTTAGCTAAGTGTCCCTTTTGTTCGCACTCAAAACACTGATCATTGTCCCTTAGCAGTTTAATGATGTCTGCACTCTTCTTAATGCTACCAGTGTGTGACCTGGACATATTCTGCTGCCATGGGCGCTGTCCACATTGGTTGTCCGTCTGAGGGGAATGGACAGCATTCACCAAAAGGGAAGCTGTATGATCTCGCTGGCTAGGGCGCCTGGACTGTGAGTCTCTACCCACTCTTGTCTCATACTTTGAGCTTTGCTGGGCAATGCTAGCCGCAGCCATAGGATTGAGGGCCAGGAGTATGTTGGGGTCGCAGGAGTTCTCGAGGAACAGACACTCAGTACATAGAGCTTTCTTTTCCAAGGTTTCAAGGCTAATTGAATTTGATTCATAGCCTTTGTCTACTAACAAAGCCTTAATATAGGGCTTACAGTGCATCCAGAATTGGGGGACAATTTCTCGATCATTGGTGTCACCAGCAGTGTCAGCCAGGTCTCTAAGCCATTGCAGGTAATCTCTCACTAAGAACTTGCCATCTTGTTTGCAGTCGAGGAATCTCTGTCATTGCAGCATCCAGAAGTCGGGAGGGAAGACATAATTGAACAGTTGTTCAAAGAACTCGGTGAGTGAATAGTCTTTATGGAGGTCTAATACGTCACACTCAAAGAATCTATAGGCTTGTCTGCTTAAGTACTTGCTCAGCATACGAAGTGATTGGTTCGTGGTGAGTCTCGCATGATCCTTCCATTCTCGAACCTCTCTAACCCATTTCTTAAAAGTGATAGCATTGGCCTCACCGTTGTACGTGAATGGTGGTTCATTCTTGATAAAGCTTTACTGATATTTTAATAGGTTTAGCCTGGCCCTATACTCCTGATGGGTGTTCCATTTGGTTTGTTTGACCTCCGGTGAGTCACTCTTGTGATCAGACTCAGGTTCTAACACTAGAAAATCAATGCCAAAGTCATTCTCAGAATGATCTGTCCTTTGCTGGTGAGTCTTACCCTTATTTCTATGGTGTTTGACCTCATCGTCCATTTCAGCAGATGAGGTGTCATCATCCGATGATTCATGTGGTGATTTGCTCAGGTCTGGATCCTCAGGACTACCTCCCACCATAGCTCTCTTAACAGAGCTTCCGGCAGGCAGGATGGAAGATGCTTGTTGAAAGCGAGTGCTTTTAACCAGTCTGTGACTGATCATCAGTAAGACATCTGTTTTAATGTGAGTTCTTGCTGGCTGGGACAGTACTCTCACTGATGACTCAGTGGGTTTTTTTGTATTTGTGGCAGGAGCTCGTTGAGCCTCCATTAACTGCTGATGTGACTCCAGCTCACGTGCTTGACTCTTTATGACGAGAGACTCCAATTCTCTAATCTTTTCTTTTAGGTCGTCAACAATGGGGAATACATTACGAACGTGCTCAGATGCATTGTTCTTCTTATGTATTGTTTCAGAGGCCCATCTTTCAGTCCGGTCATCATGGTGAGGTCTATCTTTACTGAGCACTTCCTTGCTCTCAACTGTTTTTCCTTTTAGCTCATAGTTCATCCGAGGAGTGGACACTATTGCATGGACGGAGGGGTTCATTACTGGGAACTCAGGTACCGCACCTAGTTCGTCGTCATCAGGTAAGTCAAACCAGCTCATATGCACCAAGGGCATGGTATTAATTTCGTTGTTAACAGATGTGGCATCATTTTTATTGGTCTTGCCAACCACTATATGAGAGGTATGTAGTCCAACTACACTTTCCAGGATAGGGCTAATACTCATTGGAGCAGAACCTGTGCTGTCATCAGAGATGCTGGGGGCTGATAAACTCAACTTGGAAGGGGCTCCCAGAGCACCCAACCACGAGTTTGAGGACAGCTGATCACTAGTTGGGGGTTTGGCTCTCTGACTGAGCGCCAATGATACCATCAACCCACTAGTAAATACAGAACCCAAAACTCGCGGCAGAAAAGCCACAGCCAGCAAAGCCCTTCTGTCTGCAAGCAAAAGTCTAGAAGAACATCTGGCGGGAACAGGAATTAGAACTGATATCATCACCATAATAGTATACACGGAATCGCTTAGAGCCATAGCAATCGTCCTCTACGATGTAGAACAAACTATTGATACTAACAATATCCTCAACAAGATAGCAGCCCTACTCGGAGGACCGATCACAACCTTAGACAAGAAAGTAGATGTGCTAGAAGCCTTAATGGAGACCCACACAACTGCACTGAGCGAAGCAGTCAAAGAGGTATGCACCCAGTTAGACAAATCAGTGTCAGGAATAGAAAAGGTGGTTGAAACGGCCACGCAAGCTACTAACCAACCCGAAACAAGCGCAGAGGCACCAACAAGGTCTGAAGGACCTCGCACCTATGCCTCTGCAGCGAAAGCAGGAGTTCCCAAGAGACTGACAAAGATTCTTTCACGCAGCGAAGCTCAAGCAAGACAAATTCTAGTCAACAGAAGATCTACCCTAACTCCGAATACCCTCAAGGAACTCAATGAAGCCCAACTGGTAGTGAAAGCTACACTCGCCCTAGACCTAATGGCCAAAGAAGGAGCAACAGCCCCAAAAGATACAGCAATACTGTCAGTGAGGAAACTATCCCACGGAGGGGCACTGTACGAGCTAAATGCACCTATATCGGCGGAATGGCTCAATATCCCAACCAATAGAAGAATTTTCCTTAATCTTTTTGACGCTAACACTATTATCAAAGACAGATCATACCACCTCATAGTCGAGAATGTCCCAATCTCCTTCGACCCAAACTCAAAGACAGCAATCACGGAAATAGAAATCAAGGGTGGACTACAAGCGAATTCAATCTCCAAGACACGATACATCAAACCGGTAGCAAGACGGAGCCCGACTCAAAGAACCGCACATGTCACAATCACTCTCAACTCCAAAATAGCCGCAAATCAGATCATCAGATTTGGGCTACCCATCAAGGGAAAGAAAGTGTATGGTAGGAAACTGCTAACAGAACCTACAAGATGTCTAAAGTGCCATACCTTCAACGGAGGCCACATAGCCATGAACTGCCCCAACGAAAACGACACATGCGGAACATGCGGAGCAGAACATCGAACAGCAACCTGCAAGGTGGACGACCCAGCATTCTACCATTGCATTAACTGCAAAGAGGATGGACACACATCATGGAGCAGAGAATGCCCTGTCTTCACTGGAAAGTGGAACACACAAAAGGCAAGAAACGACGAAGCCCGGTTCATATATTTCCCAACAGACGATCCGCTTACATGGGAGACTATCGAAGGTCAAATAGAAGATCCAGACAACCAGCAACACAACCAGCAAGACATCGCACCTCAAGACCACATGCAAGGATGGAAAATGGTCCACCAGCATCGACAACCACAGAACGAAGGTAAATACAGAACTAACTCTAACCGCATCCCTCTAGGCACCCAATCAAGACTAATGGAAGCATGGACACACTCGCACGAACAAGAAAGACAAAACTCGAGAGACACCGAAACCCCCCTGCCAATATCACCAGGAACCCAGCACCAAACCACTCCTCTACGCTGGGATCTATCACCCAACCATCAAGCAGCACACTTTAGCGAACAAGAGCCACCAAACTGGAATTAATGCCAGACACGACCAACGAACTCCCTGTCAGGACCAACCTCAAAATTTGGCAACAGAACCTTTGAAAGTCGTTGAACGCATGGGAACACATGCTCAGAAACCTCAACCCCGACAAATACAACATTGCATGCATCCAGGAACCGTACCTCAATCCAGTAAACCTCGCCAATGCCTCGAACCTCAGCCGCTTCTGGGATGTGGTATATCCATCGAATCATCACTCAAATCTGACCCACTCCCAAACCCTCATTCTAGTCAACAAATGAATTTAAAAAAACAATTGGCATATAATCCATGTAAACTCGCCAAACATGATGGCCATCGAACTAACAAGCCCCTATGGAAAGGTGCGCATATATATTGTATACAATAAATGTGAAAACGACAGCATACTCCACTTCATGGAGAGACATATGCACACGGAAAATAATGTAAGACACAACTGCGAAGGTATCGCTCAAGGCAAAAACCAACCGGAAGAACATGTAATATGGCTCGGTGACTTCAACCGCCACCACCCTATGTGGGAATTAGCCAATAACACGCATCTATTCACAGCAGCAAACTTAGATGCTGCAGGAACCCTCATTAATCTCTTAGCTTTGTACAACATGATACAGGTACTCCCACCAGGAATAGCAACCCTCGAAGCCTCAAACACGAAGAATCTCACTCGACCTGACAATGTCTTCTGCTCAGACAGAATGGAACAAGTATTCACACAATGCGAGGTCATGTATCACCTCCGGCCAGTAGTCACTGATCACTTCCCCATCATCAGCTCTCTAGATCTCAGCCCAGAACAAATCAACACCACTCTGCACTTGAATTATCGCGCAGCAGACTGGGATACATTCAACGAAGCACTAGAACAAAGACTCGCCACATACCCCCCAGCTGAGCTTACATCTGTAGTCTAGTTTGAAATGGCGTTCACAAAACTCACACAAATCATAGCAGACACTGTCAACGAGCACGTCCCGAGAGTCAAGCCTTCCCCCTACTCGAAAAGATGGTGGTCGAAAGACCTAGATAAAGAAAGAAAATCAGTGCACAAACTCGGCAGAGAATCGAGACACCACTTAGCCCAACGCAATCATCCGACACACGAAGAATATCAAATAGCTCGCAACCGATTCTCTGAATCTATCAAGAAGGCCAAAGAAGAACACTGGAAAACCTGGCTAGAATCACTGACATCAGCAAACATGTGGGACTTTCACCGATACACCACCAGCAACCCTGCAGATCAAATCCAAACCCGCATCAAGACACTCAAGGACCTGAGAAACAAACAGCAAGACAACACCATGCAAGATAATGCACGCAAGAGTGAACTACTGTACCAAACCTTCTTCCGACAACCCCCAGAAGATGACCATGTGGACCCAAATTTCGCCTATGAAGCGCCCATTTGTGAATTTAGACCGATCACTAACCAGCAAATTTACAGAGCAATCGCCCGCCTCTCACCACACAAGGCCCCAGGACCAAATGAAATCAGCAATATAGTATTCATGAAGAGCGCACTCCTAATAGTCCCATACCTCGGCCCTCTATTCAGAGCGACATTCTCCCTCAAAGTATATCCAGAGCAATGGAAAAGGTCCTCAATGATAGTATTACGGAAACCAGGAAGACCGGATTACAGTCTCCCGAAGGCCTACAGACCGATAACTCTTCTCGACACCATGGCTAAGATTCTCTCCTCATGCATAGTGGATGACCTAACGTACATCGCAGAATGACACAACCTACTTCCCGCGACACACTTTGGAGGCCGCCCAGGCAGATCAACGACAGACTCACTGCATGTACTGACAAAATTCATAACAGACACCTGGGCATCCAAAAACTGCTTCGTATCAGTACTATTCCTTGATGTCAAAGCGGCTTTCCCAAGCGTAGTGGTATGCAGACTCCTCCATAACCTCAAGAAAGCCAGGATCCCGGAAGAATACATCGAGTGGTACAAAATAAGACTAGCAAACAGAACGACAGCACTTTGCTTCGACGACTATGTATCAGACTCTTTCGATGTACAAGATGGAGTAGACCAAGGATGCCCATTATCACCTCTTGCCTTTATCTTTTACAACTCTGATGTATTGAATGTTGCAGATACAAGACCGAGCAAAGGAGAACTCAGCCTGGGATTTATAGACGATGTGGCCATCGCAGCAAAAGCTGAAACATACGAAGAAGCCAATGCAAAACTGGTGAGCATGATGACCAAACCTGGAGGACCACTCGCATGGAGTGAAGAACATAATGCCAAATTCGAACTCAACAAAACAGCGCTAATTTGTCTATCATGAAAGAGAACCCCAAACCCAATCGACCCAAGGAAAACAGTCCCGGTACCACGTCCACCCATAACGATCAGTGGCCACGTCATTCAACCATCAAGCTCACACAAATTTCTAGGAGTTATTATCGACCAGGAATTACGATTCAAGGAACATGCCGACTACGCTCTAGCGAAGGGAACTAAGTACACGCTAGCCTGCAACAGGATGATAAGGCCAACGAAAGAACTTAGAGGAAAATGGATGCGAAGACTATACCAAGGAGTTATCATTCCGAAGATGTTATACGCTGCTGACATATGGTGTGCAGGAATATTAGCGAAGGAAAAAAGCAACAAGGCAGGAGGAAGAGGAGCACGCGGCTTCGCTTCACAAATGGCCAGAGTACAAAGAATGGCAGCCCTACTCATCACAGGCGCAATGCACTCAACTCCAACTGATCTACTTGACATCCACGCTAATATCAAACCCTTTCAACAGAACCTCCGTCAAATTTGTCACAGAGCGATGCTCAGGCTAGTAACACTGCATGAGAACCATCCACTCCACAAGAGCATCAAATCAGCATACAACTTCTATGCGAAGCGCGAATTCAAGAAGGAGAAACACCATCCATCCCCCATTCACAAACTCACCAGCGAGTTCAAGCTAAACCCATCAATGATAGAAACCATCCAACCGGTATGGCACTATATGAAATGGATCCCAGATGTAGAGGTCTGCATCGCTGCATCAAAAACAGCAGCCTACTACGAAGATGAACTCGCCGAAGAAGAGCTTCAAGTATATTCAGATGGTTTGGCCATAGAGGAAGGGGTAGGAGCAGCAGCGGTGCTGATGGACAGAGAGCGGAAGGTGGAGGAGAGAAGATTCCATTTAGGAGGGGTCAGAGAACATACCGTGTATGAAGGGGAGATCGTGGGCATGATGCTCGCGGTACAGCTGTTGAAAGAAGAGGTGAGAAGGAGAGAAAACATCCCAACCATGGCACTGGGGGTGGACAACCAGGCGGCAGTATGCGCAACGATGGCATTCCAATTGAAGCCAGGACACTATCTCATGGACATGTTCCACGATGAGCTACGCGAACTACTCACAGACAATGAGAACGAGACTCACAAATTGGTGGTTAGATGGTCAGCGGGACACATTGGGATCGAGGGCAACGAAGAAGCGGACAAAGAGGCGAAGGAAGCTGCAAAGGGAAATTCATCAGACAGACATCTCCTACCCCATTCCCTCCGCAAAGCAGACAACTCACCAGTAACACTCCCAAGAAGCAAATCAGCAATCAAGCAATCATTCAATAAAACAATCGCAGATGAAGCAGCATCAATAATGCGTCTATCCCCCCGCTATGAGAGATTCAAATAAATAGACCCACGCGCTCCATCAAAAACCTTCTCACGAATAGCAGACCACCTCCCGAGACGCCACTCATCCCTTCTAGTCCAACTCTGAACTGGTCATGTCCCACTAAACAAGCATTTACACCGCATAGCATGAAGCCCATCCCCGCGATGCCCATCCTGCCAGGAAAGAGAAGAATCTGTCCACCATTTCCTCTTCGTATGTCCAACGTATGTGACTCACCGAAGGAAGCTAAAAGCGGAGCTGGGCACCTGAGCCCAGCAACTAAAGCACTTACTCAACGACGAGAAGTGCATAGAATCTCTCGAAAGACCGCAACAAACAAAGAACATAGACAGCTAGCAAGCTAGCAAACACACCCCGCATACCTTTAGATGGTATCCAACATCCTCAATTCACATCCTGGACCAATATTAGAGTTACATAAAATGACCCCATAGTACAAAATTTACGATAGACTACAATACTGTAAGTACTGTCCACCATAGGGCCCCGCCCCATCAGACAATAAAATAGGATTCAAAAAAAAAATCTCTGTTCCTTCTGCAGAAAATCAGAGCACAGTGCACTCTCGCACCAGTGTATCTGAAGTTCCATGTGAAGATAATCTCTTGATATGGACGCTAGAAGCTCCTACTTCTTGCGCAATCCCTCCTTGGCACGTTTATTTCGATTCTTTGCAGCATCAGTCCTCTTCACATGACTCTGATTCAGATTATTCCCACATTAATACACCATACTCTGTGGACAGTTTCAATAATCTTCTTGCTCGCACAAATCTTGTCCATCAATATCCTGAGCTCACTTGGAAGCTGCGCAACGGGTTTCCCATTGACAATCTCAAGCCTCTTTTGTCCACCTACACTCCCAACAACCTTCCTGGCGCTGATCTGTTCAAAGCTGTCTGTGATGAGTATGTTGCAGACAAGCTTTCCAAAAAGTGTTTCTTGGGTCCTTACACCCACGAAGAGCTGTTCCAAAAGATCGGACACTTCCGTTCGTCACCTCTCCAGGTTGTTGTCGAAGCTAGCATTGATGGTGAGCCAGATAAACACAGAGTTTGTCGCAATCTATCTTATCGAGGCTCTATGGGCCAATCCATCAATGACAAGATTGATTCAAGTGATTAACCTACAACATGGGGTACAGCCACTGAATTTGCCAACATTGTACGTCACACAATTTCTCTCTATCTTGCATTATCCTTGCATTATTCTCTGTCTGGATGCACTTTGCGGTTTTTCTGTCTCAGGTATCACCTGTTTCATTTACCGTTTGAAGGCACAGATAAGAGTTTGACACTTCAGTGCCCATCTCTCAGGTCTTCCTACCATCACATCACTCATCTCATCTTAGATTCACAATGTGCCACCAGGAGCTCAATTTGCTACTCTGGACATCGAAGCAGTGTATCACAGCATCCCATGCCTTCCCGCACACAAAGCTTACCTCATAGTCTATCACAATGGTAAACTTTATATCAATCATAACATTGCATTCAGACTCTCATCTGCTACTGGTTTGCAAGGCGAAGTCACGGATGCAACAGTTGATATCTGGCATGCTCTCGACGTCAAACCCACAAGAAAATGGGTTGACAATGTCTACGTTTGGTGTTTCCCAACTCCTCATGGCATCTATTATGGTCTATCAAATGGCCAAGTTCATTATTACGACTATGATCTATCTAGCACCAAATCCCTCATCGCAGAAGCTAAGGTGCCTTGGCATGGGTCCAAAGGTCAATCTTTCGAGGACGATGGTGAACATGTCGGCTTCTTCTGGAATGTTCCTGACAAAACCGTTGTTCTCATCGAGCAGAAACACCGCAAGTATATCTTACGTCTTTCAGACTTCATCTCTTCAGGCGAACACACTTGTGTCTCTCTCCGCAAGCTTCAGCGTGTTGCTGGTTGTCTCACCCATGCCACATTCATCTATCCATATAGTCGCTCTTACCTCTCGAGCATTTATAAAGCCATAGCATCCTATCCAGAAGAACATGCACCTTGTTGGCTCTGCAAATCGGCAATATCAGATCTCAAATGGTGGTTGGAACATTTACGTTCTGACACCACACCTATCCTGCTCTTGCCACAACCCCCCACTTATGACTATGACATATGGGTGGATGCCTCCATGGGAACAGGTATCAGAGTTCTTTGGAACCAGTGTTGGGCTGCATGGTCCACCACGCCAAAGTGGTGTGGTCCTTCTCGCGACATTGCTTGGCTTGAGGCAGTAGCTGATGAGCTAGTAATTTGTATCATCTTCCAGAAAGGAATTACAGACACCGACATTCTCATTCGGAGCGACAATCAAGGTGTGATTGCTGTGTTTCAGAAAGGCAGGAGCTCCAATTTCCAGATCAATCTGTGCATCTATCATTCTGAGGAACTGTTATGCAAATCTCGTGTCTCCCTTTCATTCATTTATGTGAATACTTCGATCAATCTCACGGACCCTGTATTGTGAGGTATATATCCTCCCTCTGTTGTGTGGTCTTCAATTCTGGCATGTTATCAATGGCGCACCGTGGTCTGCAGCTTCTCTCCTGCACCACACTCATAGGGGTTTTTCGAAGATGGTTCCCCCATCCGCACATTGCGCAAAATGTCCTCCTGTCACCATAGAAGCTTTGTCCATCTTATTCGATAATCTGGACCATACTTCTCATCTAGATTGTGCCATTAGTGCCGTGGCCATGATAGCCTTTTGGTCTTGTTGTTGTTTGGGTGAACTTATCATTCCCAGCTTGGGACTTTTCAACCCTCTCAAACACGTCTCTTGCTCAATCCTTCCGCTTCATATCAACACATTGGCGAACTCCACATGTTCTGTTTTCATCCACATTCCTTGGATGAAGACTATGAAAGAGGTCGGCATGGACATCTCCATCACTGTGCATCTGCATTGAACATGTCTACTCACTGCTCTAGAACGTCACCTAGCAGTAAATGGTCCCATTCCCAGCCTCTCCCCCCTCTTCTCCTACCTAGACACCTCCACAGTCAGCTGGGTCCCTCTGTCAAGACCTGTCTTTCTCAAGTGCTGTAGTGAGGTTTGGGAGGTGCAAGGTTTTCCCACCCTGCCAGGACATGATTTTCACATAGGTGGTGCTACAGAGCTTTTGCTGGAAGGCGTTGTAAAGAGTGAATCCTGTGTAGGCTAAGTAAAAGGTGATACCTTAAGACTCAATGTGCAAGTGTGATGTTCGTCCCAAGAGACTGCCTAAAGAACTATCTCTTGATATAAAAATGCAAGGGATATCTTGTTAAGATCGAAGATGAGAACAGAGAAAGATACCTCAGGTATGTTCACAGTTCCAAAGAATTGTCTGAAGTGTCCGATGTGAGGTCTGAGGTGTCCGAGTAAGGTCCGACCTCAAAAAACGAAGGTCTGAGGTTGCACAAAGCTTCCAGGGGGCTTCCGATGAAACAACAATGTTTCCGGGGAGGAATACGACGGTTTGTCGAAGTATAAGACTTGCGTAGTATAACTATGTGAAGTCCGTCGAAAGACTAAGGATATCGATAAGCAAAATGGCAGCGGTCAGGCCAAACAATCATTCCGAATGAACAAAGAGATTGATTGCGCGAAGTACTAATATCCGAAGTGACAACTACTAACTATGACTCGAAGCAAGGGAAGTGAAGTGAGTTGCGAGTAACTAGCAAGCCAGATTATATCCTACTGCATGAAGGTCCAGAATCTACATAGGCGAAAACTGTAGCGAGATAAGCCATCCGAAATGTAATAAGACTCAAGGCGAGTCACTATGAAGATACACATGTAATAATGCACGAGGTGCATATCTATACGTGTTAGCAAGGCTTTTCGACGTATGTGTCCCTAAACATAATCAATAGCTGATAGACAAGTGAGAAACGCACCAGCGAAGTCAAACGGACAAGGACAGGACATGGTATGGAGGATCGGAAAAGCTAAACAGGCCTCGGAAATGGACGACTCGGACAAGCGCGTGGAACTCTCAGTAGATCAAAAGAGTGTTGAGGAATGAGTTATATGAGCCCAGCACCGACCCGAGTGCTACAGCGTACATCCTGATATCGTTGCCACACAAGGTCATTGGAACTCTTGTTCCTTTTCTGGAGTACTGGCATTGCATCGAGACCATTTTGCCACTCTTTTTATCGGCTTCCTTTAACACACAGCGTATTGCCGAGTTAGATTTGGTCATGAACTCTTTTGCTCAACATCATCACCTTCCATGTTTGGCCACATCATCTTAATCATTCTTGTCCACTTTCATGTATCTTAGGCCTTATCACTGTTCTCATTGTCAATCTCATCTGTCCAATGTATCTTCTTTGGTGACTTTTCTCCACTTGCTCTAAGTGTGTGGGCGGTCTCTGAAGGAGACTCATCTCGTTGTGAGCTGCGCTCTAGTTTGGTTTGGACTTGCGTCTCCTTCAGGCCCGATGGCTGCTCACATCCTAGATAAAACATGTTCAGAAGGTCTGTCTTTTGTTCTCAGATCCTGATTCTCAATTTCAGTCTTCAATCATTCTTTTCTCAGGATTCTCACTTCAAGCACAAACCTGATGCTGTCTTGCATCGGTCTGGCAAAGCCAGACCTTCCCCCACAAAAACCAAATCTATAGTATCTCAACTTACTGTTAATTCGTTCTTAGCCTCCTTCGTGCTACCAGCGCAAAAAGTCGTCCCTCTTAGCACTGAAGATTTGTACTCCTTACTATATCTTCACTCTTAGCACTTGTGAGCTCATTTGCACGAAGCTCACTCTCTTGTCTCCACGCATCACAACATAATATATGAAGGCAAATTATATACACATCAATACATCATACATACATAATGGTCATAGTTCTTATATTATTTACAAAAGGTCCAATCAGAGACCCTATAGTGTTGTGGTATAATCATCAAAGTGTTGGATGAAGGCTTGCAGGGGTTCTGAGTTCAATTCTGTGCTTATGTAATTTTTCCTGTTTTTCATCCAATGCCCACATCCGCCATGAATGTACGTATTATGTACACAAGATGTCTGTACAATACAAAACTCAAATATCATTTATATGTAGCGCGAAAAGCATACATATTATATAATATGAACATTGGGCTAACAAGTCTGAATTTGGACATCAGATTTACAAAATGGTGGGTTTGCCGTGTACTATGCCTCATGGCTGAGTCATCACCCCCATAAGTCGTCATGACCTGAATATCTCACTCAATTCTTACTTCCACACACAATTGACAACTTGGATCAATGTTTTTATCATGCAGTTTTCATTGTGAGGTTGAATATCTGATTTTAATTGAGAAATGGTGAAGTTCATTGAAAGCCATCCCACCTGGGTTTCCCAATAAAGAAGCCTAATTATAGTTGGTAGTTACATGCCTCACCAAGTATTATTAGGCTTGAATGTGCTAAATCTCAACACCAGGATTAAATACTGCCCCAGCTCTGACTTTATACCTCGAACAATACTCTACCTACATTAGGAAATTGCTGAGATGACAGTTTTCATAGTTGTAGTTGGTAAGATCAGACCAAAAATTCACACAATTATATGTAATGACAAAGGTAGACAAAATAATATATAAGATAAGCAACTTGGTAGCAAACATTAGTGAATTCATGAGTCTGTGATATTATAGCCATGGGAACTATAAAAGAATATAATTCTTCTCCTGGTAAATATGGCAATGTATACTGCGATAAATCTGAGTTGTTGGTACATAGCTATCAATCTCTCTAAATCTAGATTATTGTGAGGAGTTTACGATAAGGTTGTGATGTTGTAGCGTGCTGGCCAGTAAAAGATGATAGCGTAAGTGTGTCCCCCTTAGTGAGCATTCTCATTTTCCAATATTTATGTTGTGAATTACATGGCTATTGAAGGCTTTTTTGTGGAAAGCAGTGTTCACATTACTCATCAAAATTAAATTAGCATGTGAGTTTGTGACAATGTTGTGACATTGCACCATTGCTGCCTGCAAGGACTGATAGTGTCAAGCGTGTACATTTTCCAAATGTTCTTATTTTTTCTTTCATTATATTTTGACTATAAGGTAATTTATGACTTTTTGATAGAATACACATTTCACATGGATCAACCAGGTATTGACATTGGCGAATAAATGCATAGCTCCAATAGTTTTGGATGTGGTGCATTCAATATCACTACGATCTTACAAAGTAAGTCTGGCACATACTGAATTAGCAGAGGCTGAGACTCAGCAAGTAGATAAAATTTAAAGCTATGTCATCATGGAATTGGTGAGATGATATTTTTCCTAGATTGATTTGGTAAGATCATATCAAAATTCCACAGGATTATATCCAAAAGCAGAGCTAGACAAAGTGATACACAAGCATTAGCAGATTGACAAGATATTGCAACAAAACCACAATTGTGATAAGAATTTGTCATGTCTCAAAAGTGTGATCTTCAATAGATAGGAAACTATAAATGACTACCAAATTCTTATCACAGTGATGGAAAATGGTCACTTGCAGTCATTGTTGACTCTGTATTATGTCTGATTATATGATAATAAACAAACATGAACAAAGTGGTGTCAAGGGACAAGAAATTATAAACTCTGTAATGATTCAATAAAAATTATAATGTATTGTCAGACAAACACCAAATTGATGGAAGGGGATCAAGACTTTGTCTGATAGTCAGACCTAATAATTGGTTGTTGAACAAACACCAAATCTCAGGGTAACCCAACTAGTTGAGTGATAGTCAGACGCTGACTTAGTAATCTTGGACAATACTTGGTTTGATAAATGGGAAACTTTGCAGATATTTGTGCCGAAAAAGGCAAGCATGCGCGTACTAGCTAGTAAGCAGGACCTTCAACTCAATAATCATTAACATTGTATATTACAATCCTTGAGTCTACATGGAAAACTACTTTCAAGCGCAACCAGAACCCATGGTAAGTCAATCAGCGAAGTATCATGTTGCCTACTAAATGCTATTAGCTAAGTGCTCAACTGGAACCTGTCGTGCCAGTGATACCAGGACCTCTGATTATAAATGAATCAGCAATCATACATACGCATAGTATTCAGATATCATGCTAGACTGACATAGTTTTAGGTGATCTGGAATACTACTATAGCATTAGCAAAAGATTGCCTCCAAAACTACCTTTTGATGTTGCTAATCAATCCTGTTTGCACTACAATGGAGGAGAGATGCTGGGTTACATTAATGGCACTTAAGAAGGAGCAAGAGTTGCAGGAGAGTTTCAGGGAGCTAGACAAAGCTTGGTGTTAGGGATTGAAAGGAATTAGTGACTGGATGAAGTTGAGAGGGTTTGGGGGATTGGAACCTAGACTCACATTGATTGTTCAATGGAATCCCTGGTGGGTACACCATTGGTTGCATGAATGGTGTTGATACATCAACTTTGTTATGCTTGAATGAGTTGAAATCATCCTTGATATGAACCACTCCATTTTTCATGATCTTGGTGCCAAAGAATGGATTGGGTGTAGGAGGTGACTAAGGGAGCTGAGTTAATTCACAATCAACATTTACAATTCAGATGCTTGATTCACTGATTCAGTGGGCTTAGCCTTGGGTGACGTGGAGGCTGACATAGAACTTGGAATCGGAGATGTAGGACCCTAATCATGCAGACCAGTTAGTAACATGGGATCTGAAATCCAACAGTTAATATTACAGAAGAGAAAGTAGTTACCTTTGGATTGGGCCTGAACAACGAGGCATTTACATTGAGCCTGTTTGCAGTGGTGGTGGGTGACATAGGCACGACAGCGCCATTTGTTTGGGCCGCTGGGCCAGGCAATAGTGTGGTTGAGCGCCTTGTGCCTTTGAATAGGTAGATGGGCTGTATGTACATATTGACTGTGTTCTTCTTGCCGAGTTCACTAGGCTTTGTAGCAATGGGTTTGACGATAGAGGCGGAGGTACCAGTGACAGGCGCCTTTGGGATGGTGGACGGAGCAGGAGTAGGCTTCACGGCAGCCAGAATGATCTTGTTAAAGGTGGAAGTCAGCATATGAGTGGTAGGGTTACATACCTGGAGTCCATCTTCTGTTAACACCTTACCAATATCTACCATTCCTTGAACCACTGCACTAAGCCCTCAGAATTTACAGTGACAGTAAGAAACATTGATTCTCACCTGGCCTGATCAGATCAAATGCTATATCAAAATTGACCTCGTCCACATCACTCATAACTGGCATAGACTGATTGCAGATCTGTTTGCAGGTCCTGAGAATGACAAGAAAAAATCTACAGCATGTGTCGTGTCAGTTGCTATTGCCCTGGAGACCAATTTCACACACCTCGTGTAAGAGGTGGCAATCTTTGAGGTGTGCCAATGTTGGGCATCCTCTTTACTACAAATCTCTTAAATGGAGGCAGCTATCATGAGGGCAGCTGAAAGTCCTCCTGTGAAGGCCAGATGGATGCCAGAGGAGAAGAATGGGTTGATGAACACTTGATAATCATTAATTACGAGTACCTACAAGCCATATAAGAGAGGGCGATGTGGATGGGGTCTGTAGTAGAGGACGGCCTGCATAGTGGTGCTGAGGTGACACAGGAGTAGGGCTATATGGTGTCTTCTTAGATAGATGATTTATATATAAACACCTATAAAACCAAATATCTCCACAGTCAGCAATTCACACAAATACCAATGACTGATAATGTGGTCGTTTGTGGGTGGCTGGTCTTTGCTCCTAAGATACAGTCAGAAATATATAGCTCTGCATGAAAGTCAGTAGTCAACAATCAACAGTCAGCAGTTAATCCAATAGTATGGATATGAAACACAGTGACAACAGAAACAGAACCCAGTCAGTCAGCGATTCAACAAACAACAACACAACCACAGAATATCAAGAGACACAGTCACTCTAACAATATAGAGATGACACAAAACAAATGGACACTCCTCCTAACACTTCACACAGCAACAATGATTCGTACCCAAACTTAGTGCAGCAAGTTGTGTGGAGTTACAATGAGAATCCCCCTCAAAAAAAAAACTGGTGAGACAGGCGACCTTGGACTTCAATACCAAGTCCCCTCTTCAATAGCCAAAGCCTAACTCGCAAATGACCACTTTGGCCCAGTATAACATACAAATGTATGAGGTCAGTAATTCACTGTCAACACCTAAAGTCTCCCCACAAGACTATCCTAAGTCTTTAGTAGACAAAAGAGACAACATTAGACTTCTGGGTAAGAATGAGACTGAAACTTTGATACTTGAGAGAAAGTTGATAGGAAGAAACAACAACAAAACCAGACTGCTACAATAGAAATGCTAACACAGTCATGATCATGGAGACTGTTAGCAACAACAATCACAATACACAGAGACAGCGATCACAGAGATGGTCAGCACAGACAGTCACCAACACACCACACACACACACTTTGAGAGACAGAGAGAAAGAAAAACAATATCACAGAAACAATCTCAGATACAGACACAGACACAGAGAAATAGAGAGAAAAACAGAGACAGAAACAAAGAATAAAACAAAAAGAAAAACACAAAAAAAGAAAACTAATCTTGCTAGTCGTCAGATACAGTGAGCTCAAGGTATGTGCTAGATGTTCAGCACAGTGAGCTCAGATATGTTATGCTGGTTGTTGAGCACAGTGAGCTCCAGCCTTGAGCTACACTTGCTAAATGCTAATTCACACTTCACTCACAATTTTATTCTGAGAGAGTAAAAGAGCACCCTGAGCATGCATTTATTGGGCAAGAAGCAGCTCCCTATATAGACAAATTAGTGGCTGTACTACTAGTTTCTCACATTTAAAGTTATAAGTTTACTTTGATAGCACCAAGTCACACAATATCTTTGAATCAAAAAGTAAATATTCATAACTCTAGTTGGTATAATGATGAGTCAGCAAGAGCTGTGTATGGCCCATGGGTCAGGTGACCTTTGATGACTCCGCTAGACAAGAGTGAGAAATGATTACATATTGTGTGCATATGTTTGTGACATATATGGCTGATGAATTAATTTGGTAGCATAATGACATCAGATGTGTATGTAGAGATTTGTGAGCTTTCCCACAGGGTAACCTTATGCACAAAAAATATTGCCTTAGCCTCAGTCTGGCTTCAGTTCAAAGGGAAAATGATTTCATAGTGAATTCTGGGGTATAGGACTCATGGAAGAGTATTAGTTATCCATACACCAAACCAGTTTGGTGTAGGTCAATGGAGGAGTATGTGACTCTGGGGGTAGGGTAGGCGCTCCTGAGGGGAATATTGCACTATATGCAGGTGCACTTCGCATCTCCAACTCACATGATAAGGACTGTCCACGATGAATGAAGATCTCCTTGTGGTGGGCAGGAGTCTGATGACACGTGACTCACTCTGTTGCAGACCTACTGTAGAGATCACCTGGGCTTCCCATTAAGTAAGCCTTACTATAGTGGTTTGTTACGTGCTGTGCTTACTATTATTAGGCTTAGTTGCAGCAATTCTCAACACCAGCATTAAATGCTGTCCCAAATAACCCAGGACCTTTGGGTATTTGGCGTAGGTAAGTAGCTCAGCACTGTCAGCACTGTCTGCTGCCTATCTTACGCCTAATGTGTCATCCCGATGTGCCCCGCCATGTGCTAAGCTTCCAAACTAGGTGAGACTCTTTTCTCATGCCCCTTGCCCTTCTCCATCACCACCAACGTTATCTACCACCCATTCTAGCCATTGATGCAGGCTTCCTGCGCCCCCAACAGCATTGTTCACCACCATCTTACGTGGATCTGTCTGTTGGACCAAGTCCAACGGCTCTGGACACCGCCTAGGTGAGACTTTTCTCGCGCGCCCTTTGCCCTTATCCATCACCACTAACGTCGCCTACCACCCATTCTAGCCATCGACGCAGGCTTCCTGCATCCCCAACAGCGTCTTTCACCACCTCCTACGTAAATCTGCCTGCTGGACCAAGCACAACGGCTCTGGACACCACCCTCATCTCTCAACAACCCATCTACCACCCTTAGTGTCGGTGCATGCTTTCTACACCTCCATAGACCTTGTACCCTCGCTCTGGATGCCACCCTCACCTTTCAATCACGCTATCTACTGCCTACTTTACACACCTCCATAGACCTTGTACCACCACTATGAATGCCACCCTCATTTCTCAACTAGACCACCTGCTTTACTCAATATTATTGACATTGCAAACTTATCTACGAGACCCAGTGTATTTCACAAAGTTAGCTTGCTTGTAGTCTGACTGTATGGGACTTTGCACAATGAAAAACCCTTGAATTTATTCAAACAAGTGATAGACGAAGGATATCTATTGAACTAGATTTGGGCTGCCGGCCCAAAAATAGTATCTAACATAGCCAACAAGGCATCTGAATCAAAGAACTCGTTAGAAGGTGACACAGGAGCGCTGCTGATGGCTGGAGGAGTAGGGGTACGAAACATGTCGAAGGTGGCAGGATTGAAGGAGTCGAAGGTGCCAGCATTGGCATTGTTGAAAGCCTTGGTATTGGTGAAGTTGGTGGAGGCACTAGCCTCAGCATTGACATTGCTATTGGCGCTGGCATTGGTATTAGTGCCAGCGTCGTCATTGGTGTTGGTGCTGGTGGAGTTGGTACTGATGTTAGCACTAGGGATGTTGGCACTAGGGAAACTGCCAGCATTGGCAGCTGGGGTGGTCTCATCTTCATTGTCGGTCTCGATGGTCTCCATGCTCTTGTATGTCTTCTTGCGACGACCTGATCCATCCATAGACCATGCCTGCTTCTTTCCCTTGTCTGAGTGAGTCCGGCAGTGGTGGTCCATGATCTCACCACTTTCAAGCTTCTCGTTGTGCTCTTCGAGGAGTTGTTGAAACTCCTCATCGTCAATTTCTCTCCAACAGATGGCACGAGACTCCCACTTCCGACAAATCATTTCAAGGTCAGGAAGGGCACTCGAGGCTTGGCTGAGGTTGATAAAAGGGATGTTAGCAGGCCAGCCTTCGATAACAATTTTATAGCGCTGGACAACATTGCGGAAATAATTCGCCTAGTGCATCTTCGCGTTTTTGTCCTTAGTGATTGCCACTACATGATATTAGTAATTAGAATTGTAGTATGAAAAATATATTGAAAGAAATCTCACCAAGTCCCTTCTGAATTTTGTGGCAGATTGCTGCATGAACATCAGAACAATGCTTTTGGTGATTTTTTGCAGCACCTGTTGAGTAATGGAATTTAGTGTGCTGAGCAAAGGTATGAGCAAACATACCTTTCATGCCCTGGACAGCGAATCCTTCCATCTTGCTAATTAAATCTTGATTGTTGACATTCATTACAGACACCATAAACTCGTCCACACCTTCAGTAGCAAAAGCGACACCATGAAGAGGGAGGTCCATGGACCCATGCGTCGTGTAGAGGATCGCCTCGGCTCCAGTATGGCTCCTCAAATTGTTAAGCTGTAAACTGTGTCAGTGAATCCAAAATGAAGATGCGTGGAGGACTCACCTCGTTCTCAACAGCCTTGAGGGTCTGGGTGACATCATTAACCTTTGACTTTGTTGAGATTCGGATGCCCGTGGCTTGTGTCTCCTTGTGCTCGCTGTACTCTAGCAAAATCTCAGCCTTCTCGTCATCCATGAGCTCTTGATATTCCACACGGTGGCTCTTGATGAGTTCTTGTAGGACATCCTTGCCTGTCGCCCCTTGATGGCACAGTAAGTACATTGTTCATGTGTTGTCAAACCATGTACCATTCTCTTGATTATCCTGCTGTTTTTTCCAACAGAATGTGTTCCACACATTAAACTTTGAGCGCTTGAATCTCATCATCCCCCAGCCTAAACATAAGTCATTTTGTACACAATGGAAACTCTTGTGGTGAGAAGATGTGATCTCCTTTACAGTCTCATCAAGACCTTTCCAAGCATCACCGAGAGCTGATCTGAAGTGATGCACATTTTCACGATGCCAAGCAGTAAGGGCAGTGCGGGCCTCCTTACTGAGAGTGACCCTGGTGCGACGTGTAGGCAAAGCCTGGACATGTTTGCGAGTCTGTGTTGCACGAAAGGTCTGGGTGGCCATTGACCTGGGTATTTCAGCAGTTAGGAAATAACCGCGCAGCCAATTTATATGCAAATGGCGAGCACAACAGAGCACATATATTGGTGTAACTATTTAAAAACGACATCAGTGGCTTTCACCACACACAATCGGGGATCTAGAACAAGAACAAGAGAAAAAACAAGTAAAGTGCACACATAAAAACTAGGGCGCCAAAAAATGTGAACATTTGTGAAAGGAACGAAGACGATGACTAGAAAGTGATTAAATTGTCAATCAATTCAAATCACGGAAGAAATATAAAATACCTTAGTGTATGTGGGCATAGCTCGGTTGCTGTGAATGTCAGAATTGAGTGCTCTACTCAGGTTCGATGCCTGTTCATAAGTCAGGTTCCATTTCAGTGATTGAAGCACAGCCTCCCAGTGGCTGCTGCGAATGGAGCCAATGAGCTGATGAAGCTTCGGAAGTATGTGATCATCTAAACCAAACCGATCAAGCACAGCATCGAAGTGCAGACCTATGCTGATCAAGGGGGTCCCAGCTTGGAAAGATGCTGCTGCGCCAGTTGACTTGGTCATATTTTTGGTACCGGGGGGGCTTTGGGACAGTTGCAGTACCTTGTTGAGCGGCATTCAAGAGAAATGTGTCAGTGTTGCAATGCTGCCGAATGTCTGACTTGCTCTTGCTAGGCGATGCATTCGCCAGGGCTTGACCCATCTGAACAGCAGCCGAAAGCGACTTGTTGCTAACTTCAAAATCACGTTCAAACTGCTTGGTGGGACAAGCTGAACACTGAATATGTGCACCTGTGGCCACCAAGGGTCCAGGCAAAAATGGGGGTCCAGAAGGATTCACTTGACTTGCCGGGTCTTTGAAAAAAGTGAGCTTGTGAACATGGAAACAGAGGAGACTCACAATGCCGGGGAGGGATGATGCCCTCCATGCGACAATGTTCTGCATAGCGCTGCAGATGGAGGATGACAAACTCCTCGCTGAAAGCCTGCACTAAGGCCGATAAATCTCCCCCAATCCACTCTGGTGTTTCATGATGTTCCCGTGGCATAATGTACAGATCGACAGTGAAGTGCTCCAGAGACAGCGTTTCTGAGGCTTCAGAACCAGCACAATGCATGAGGATGGAAATTCCACCATCAAGACGATCTTGCATTGTGATCTAACAATTTATGTCATTAGTATACAAAGATAGAAAATAAAAAAAGCTCACCGCATCAAACAGGTCTTGTAATGCTGCATTAAGGAAATCTTCTTGTGTGATGGATCGTTCATTTGATGATGTGTATGAATTGAAGGCGATGAAGGTTCAACGATACAGCGAGGCACGAACAAAGCTCCTGACTGTATCTATAAATGTTGTAAGGTCGCGTGTTGCCTAGTCTGCTATACTTGAGATGACAAGTGTGTTCGACCCTAAAGGGGAAGCAAGTGCAGCAAGGATCTAGTAGTAGGCACTGAAGGCACTACTGGTTGGCAAATGCGAAGCGCGGGAAAGCGCAGGTGCGCGCGAGGCGCGAGAATGCGCGAAGTGCGGGAATGCGTGCGCGTGTATGCAGAAACAAGAGAGAGTAAGAGTGAGTTTGCTTAAGTGATGATTAGACACTAGACAAGAGGTGAGAGATGCAAGCTGAGAGATGTTATATGTGAGGTGCCAAGTAATAGATTTCAACTATGCTCTGCTGGGTAGTAAATGGGTATTGTTGTGGTTCAGTCCTCTGTCGTTCTGGTGGGAGAGTAAGTGGTTCCCGGTGGGTGAGTAAGTGAGTAATAGTATGTACTGCTCGCGCTTAAGTATGGCGCCTAAGCACTGTCATGCGGAGCCGAAGCGCTACCGAGTAAGGTATGTAAAGATATATGTAAGTAAGGGTCCATGATAAAAATAAAGATGGAATGATAAGCAAATGTGAGAAATGGAAATATACGCACTAGGGAACTTGGTGGACAGTGGATGGATGCTTCCGGATGGCTGGCGCTATAGGGCGCTCAAGCGCGGGAAAGCTCGCACGCATATACATCATGAAGCACGGGAAGTTGCGCGCACATTGCGCGATGCGCGGGAAAGCTGCGCCTCATGTAGGAATAGCTGTAGGAAGCATACAGAGTGATGCTACAAGTTCGTGCTATATACTCCTTGGTATAAACTGCAATATTGCACAAGGAGAGGCATGAGTCTCTACAGCGATATGAGATGGATGGAGGCCACCAGGCTTTCGGGTATGATAGTGAGTACCATCAATGTGGGCTTCATGCTTGAGTAACGCGCGAGCTGCTGCCTGTCGTTCTCCATTGCTGAAACCTTGAGTGAATGAGCTTGAGTGTAGCACTGCTAAGCTGGACAGTGAGAAGCAAGCCACCTGCACTGGCTTGTCCATAACACCAGACACAGTTTCTGGAGATCCTGCATGAGCTGGAAGTGTCTTGTTTGGAGTGTTGGGGGAGGGGGCATAGACAGAGCGAACCATGGTTGAAGCGCAAGGTTGAAGCGCAAGATTCGGGAGAGCAGTTATGAAAGTAATAAAATTTGAGGCATGTATTGTTACCGATTATGTTAAGAGTGCGCTCATTCTCGAGCATGAATCCTTGACTCATCCATTGCATGTGGTGGCATAAGCAGGCACAGGTGGAGCTCAGCACAGGAGTATGTAGTTAGGAGGACAACAATCGATAGATGTCAAGCATACATGGCACTAGAGAGGACAGGTGGAGCACAGACAGGAGAGTCACACGAATTGGTTCTGTGGGATCAAACATTTCATACTTATATATTCAAGTTGTAGATGTATCATATTGTTCTGATCAGTTTGTTGTCGTGCAGGCCCAATCGACCACAAATATGGGCAGTATACCAGTCATACAGACTGTTACCAACTTAATATCGACAGCTACGAATCCTGTGCAATTGATGAGAGCACAGGTGGAGCACAGACAGGAGAGTCATGTGAATTGTTTCTGCGGGATCAAACATTTCATACTTATATATTGTAGATGTAGAAAGGGAGTATGTTACAGAACAGCCTAAGTATGTATGTAGCAGGCAACATTTACTCTACAGCATATATCAAAAATTCAGTGAAATCTTCTACATTCTGTTCTTGCTCCTCATGCTCGAGCATATCTCCACCACTTTGTTCATCAGGCACTGAAATTGTCGAAGTCGCCATCATCCGCTCAGATTCTGCGTTAGAGATATGTAAGCTACAAATAATGAAGAGCAGGGGACATACATACCATGGCTGGATGTGCCGTTAAGTTGAGTTCCGAGGCCTCTTTTGCCTGAAAAGCCTGCCTGCGACATGATTCAATCTAATCTAAACAAATGCGCTGCATTGATGGCAGCTCAACTGCACCATTGACATTGCAGTTCAAGTCCAACACTTTTGTTGGATATGAGAAGGGAATTGATGGTGGCATTCACAGTGAGTTCCTCATTGTGTATGGCTGTATGCAACCGACGAATTTCGATATTCAAGCATTGAATCTCCTCACGGGCACGTTGAAGTTTGAAGTACTTTACCGTAGCTTCGCAATGCACAGGTTTGGTCCAATCCAAGGTGTGAATGTCAGAACGAGACTGGCGCAAAAGATCAAACTCGCCCAGAAAGCTGTATTCCACTATATCTTTCCAAGTGAGCTGTGGACACGGAGTTACAAGAGCAGCAGCCTACAGATTGAACCGGCTAAGTGCGTTCCAAATCACTTGTGATTGACGTTGTAGAGCCTTGCTAATTTGTTGACGTAGTTTGTAGCCTAAAATAAACACTTATGTGAGTGTGCAAAGACAATGATCTTACCCATGCCTGAAAGTGAGAGTTTCGACAACTCAAATAGATGCATCATGACAAGTCGTTCTAAGTCATCAAGTGCTGTGCAGTAAGTCAAAAGTGAAGCTTCTTGGTGAAATTGATGGTAGGGTTCGCTGCTGATCTCCCATTGCTTGTCAATCCCAAGTTGAATTTCTAAATGCGAAGCCATCGCTTCCGCATTTTGAAGCTTCAAATATGCTCCATCAACTTGGATCCGGGCTTGATTGATGGCGGTGTGCATTTCCTGATAGCCGCCGACATGAATATCCACAAGTGCCCAATTGGCGGCTTCTCATGCTGTGTTCCATTCCTTTCTGTCATATACATAATGTAAGCATCAAATTTAAATAGATACAAATTAAACTATATGTCTTACTGGCAGATGACAACTTCATCAAGAGCTTGAACATATCGAACACTGACACAATCCTTGACAGGGGGTTCCTTCAGGCCATCGAGGTATGAGCGCTCTTCCTTGTGAAAACGAATGAAGTCAGCGTGTGTGAGATTGAGGACACCTTCCAGAGAGAAAAGTTCACCAGTGAGAGTTTGAATGGCAGCAAGTGCCTCTCGGTAATGATTCTGTAAAAATGTACCTACACATCAACTTGTTAGCTTAGGATTTCGTAAAATGAACATAACTTACTAAGCGCTGCGTACTTGTCATTGTCCCAAAAGGCAAAGTGTTGCTCGATCATTTGATGCCAGTGAAATGGAGTAGTGTGGCGAGTGCTGCACGCAAGCTCATTTGACGACGAAAAAATGTGTTCACAGCCTTCTCCCTCGGTGTGGCCAGTACCTTCTATGTACATCAGATGCCAGTCAATTTGACACCATCAGTTGTGAGCATGGCCATGAAAAGCTCCAACCATCATTCATAAATTGAGTTCACAAGTGCGGGGTCCAAGGCAGCTATTTTCCAGTGTCTTGGAAAATGCGCAGCTGATATTGTATGCAACGCCACCATTCTTCCCATAGACATTGAGCAGATGATCTAGAGTAGCGAGTGGGTATTTTGAGCTTGAAAGATCAGTCAGCGATGATGACAACAAAATCAAAATCAAAATTACATACAATTCGCCACTTTTGACCATATCACACACTAAAAGAATGAACCAGTGGCGACAGGCCACAATAAAAATGCCAGATTCTTCGAAAACCGAAAACATGCATTTACATGCTTCTGGACCAGCATTTCGCCAGTGGTCAATGCAGTTGAATGGTGCTGAGTCTGACTGTACCACATCCTCCCAGTCATCAGTGGGATCTTGCTGATTGGAAATTACATGAGGTTGAGCACCATTAAGTTGGAATTGGTCAACTTTCGTGCAATGGAGCCAGTAGTCAGAACATTGAGTCCACAAATCATCCCTTGGAGATGTGCCATAAATAGAAGATGACCATCTTTTCAAGCTATTATTGCCGTCAATGGTGGCAAGCCACTCAAAAGTCATGTCATCTTCGTCGTCTAGTTTGTAACAGCAACAGGGACACGAGTTGAGAAGGCACCAATCTTGTGTATCGCACTTCAGTGCTGCTTTGATGAGGGAGTCTACCCGATGCAAGATCTCAAGGTAAACATCATATGCGTCCAAGAATTGCATATTTAAATATGGTTGGTAAGGAATCTACGAAGCAACATTGTAATTGATGTATCACAATACAATTGAATATTGTACATTGTGGAGGTGGCATAGGGCCTTACACTGCACTTGAATGCTAAACCAGGGGCAAGTCCTGTGAGACTGTCGATAAGCCGCAAGCATGCAAAGAGAAATGGCAACAGTCGGGTGCAGCGGAGAACAGCCAAGGTAACCATGGTATATAAGGCTTTCATTTGGAAACCTGTGAAAGGCAAGGGGTTGCAGCAATGCAAATTTTCGGCCTAGAATACTGTTGAACAAAGTCTTCTGACCGGAAAGAAATATATTGCTTACTAAAAATGTCGACCAACTCGATATTCTGCAGGATCAGAGTGTCAGCATCATTACATAGAAGGTCATCATTGCTCAAAACACTTGGCATGCTGTTGTCATTATCTCGGGTGCGATAGTCCAGATAAGCCCTGACCAGGCCTTCCATCTGAAGATCCCAGTTTGCATTCTGAACATTAATGCGGTCCCCATGTGTGCGTGGATCAATGTAGTGGCTAGCATGCATAAGCACATGTTAGTAGGCATGAAATCAAATAACTTATAATCCAGAGAGGTCTGCCATCTGCTGAGCTAGCCCCTGGAACACCTCATACTCTCCACCTTCGTGGCTAAACTCGGCTCCCTCCTCGCCGGGGGGAGCAGTGTATGGTATAGACTCAATATCCATGTCAAAATCGATGAGCATAGTCTCGAAAGCCGCACAATCTTCAGCTGACATCTCTGCAGAAATGAGAAGACAAACATCTAAGAAAAATGAACACCATACCTTGTATACATGATTGCCGCTTGGTGTTCACATGTTCCCTTTGTTTGGTTTGTTGTCCTGCCTTCAGTACATCAATTGTTCGCACAGAGCGTCGAAAACCATGTTCTATGGTTGCCTTTGACAGCCCTGTGATCCTCCTCGCTGATGGTCGCGACATGGGTGGTAGAGAGTATAGTAGGCAGTAGATAGCGTGATTGAAAGGTGAGGGTGGCGTCCAGAGCGATGGTACAAGGTCTATGGAGGTGTAGAAAGCGTGCACCGACACTAAGGGTGGTAGATGGGTTGTTGAGAGATGAGGGTGGTGTCCAGAGCCGTTGTGCTTGGTCCAGCAGGCAGATTCATGTAGGAGGTGGTGAAAGACGCTGTTGGGGATGCAGGAAGCCTGCGTCGATGGCTAGAATGGGTGGTAGGTAACGTTAGTGGTGGTGGATAAGGGCAAAGGGCGCGCGAGAAAAGTCTCACCTAGGCGGTGTCCAGAGCCGTTGGACTTGGTCCAACAGACAGATCCACGTAAGATGGTGGTAAACAATGCTGTTGGGGGCGCAGGAAGCCTGCATCAATGGCTAGAATGGGTGGTAGATAACGTTGGTGGTGATGGAGAAGGGCAAGGGGCATGAGAAAAGAGTCTCACCTAGTTTGGAAGCTTAGCACATGGTGGGGCACATCGGGATGACACATTAGGCGTCAGATAGGCAGCAGATAGTGCTGACAGTGCTGAGCTACTTACCTACGCCAAATACCCAAAGGTCCTGGGTTATTTGGGACAGCATTTAATGCTGGTGTTGAGAATTGCTGCAACTAAGCCTAATAATAGTAAGCACAGCACGTAACAAACCACTATAGTAAGGCTTACTTAATGGGAAGCCCAGGTGGTAGAGATACGCACCTAACTTTGTCACACCATCACAGGCCCAACAGATTCAAGCTATTTCGAGTGACTGTCACACAAATTCAAGGTTGTTGAAGGTAATTTGTGACATATTGTTAAAATACAAAAAAAAACAGGTAGGACACTATCAATGTTGCCAAATGTCGTCGTATCAAATATTTGCAGTGTGTCTGTGTTTTCCTCGACCATCCTCAATATCATCAATACCGTGATTCTCCACTGGCAGTGCCACCAATGCATCATTCACTCCCTCTTGCTCATAGCTCTCTGACCTGTTATGCGTCACCAGGGTGCCCAATTCATCAGCACTGTAGCCCTGAGGAACTGACAATTCACCTGATGTGATGTGTTTTAGAACAGCATCCACAGGAACATCACAAGGATCAAGGTCAACATCAGCAGCATATGGGAATGGTGGCTCTGCTTCCTCATTTGATGGTGATTTTTTGACCCTGTACTGAGCTGTCTTGATTTGCTCCCACACCTTGATATCATTCTTCTGCACTTCACACAGTGCTTGAAGGGCTTCATGGCTGGTCAGGCTCTCAAAGGACAGGTTGAATGCAGTGCCAGCCTTGCATTGAAAAAATGCCTAATGATGTTGATGTCAACAAGAATAACAATGACACTTGAGAAAGACGCACGTGTTTGACAATATCAGGCTTGTCAATAGCATGGTAACCATTGATGAGCCAATGCAAAGATCTGTCACAGAGTGTGGGTAATATTGTGTCCAGTCGAATAACGGAAGTGGCTTCATCTTTCTTTAGCAACAACAAAGACTCTTCAACAATGTCAGCATGCTGAGATCTCTTGACAGCAAGCTTGAATGGGCGCTGGATGCCAACATTGCATGGTTGGGCAATGCCAGTGCAACCACCAGGAACAAAACGATACTTGATCCATGAGTAATGCTGATCAAGCCAAGTGCAAAACTGGATAGACTTGTGCACTGACCAGACATCCAGCTGTAGGATACATTCTTGGTCATCTGGTGTGCTAACATGCTCCTTTTGTCTTCTCCAGTAAGGAACTAGGATATCGTAAACATAGTTGCACATGAGCTCAAATGTGGACCAGTATGTATCAGCACTTGAAAAGCACAACTTGAAGCCCAAGTCTTGCGCTTCCTTGAATTGTGGTGTGGTTTTTGCAGGAAGGGACCACACAGTTTTGCTACAATAGATGACTTGGAATGGCAGAGCATCCCCAGAAGCGGAGATGCCAACTACCACAGTGAATGCTCGTTTTTCCTCCTGTCCAATGACAGCAACTTGCTTGGAACCAGCTTCTTCATATGTAGCAGTGTTTGCCAGTTGATAAACAATGTTCATCTGGTCAATGTTGACATAAAAGCAAGGGTGAAAGATTGCACAGTCGCAAATAGTTAGAGTCAAACAATAGAATTGGTCCAGACAGAGCTGATTGACATTGGAAGGGGTCTTCTGTGCAGCGTGAGTGACACGACAAAATGACCAGTTGAGATTCTGAGCTACAAAATTTTTGATCCAAGACTCCATGCATTGAAAGTGTGAGCCATCCTTGGCAATGGCATCAAATACTTTAGGACATGAGACTGTGAGGCGAGCAATGATGACACCACAACAACACATCGTGTCAAGAGCAACACCAACAGTGTACAAAGAACACAGATCTTCTACAATGGTCTTCATGACATTAGGATACTTTGGGAGGATACCAGGTGGTGTAGCAGTCGTCAATAGAAGATTGCCCTTTTGAACGCGGCCAAAGACACTGGCATGCCACATGGGTCATGTTCCACTGTGACGGTGTGGTGATAACAATCCTGCTAAGTAGCAAGGACAATGTTGGGTCTTGCTATGCCTAGCTGCAATGTTAGGGAAGACAGTGTTTGACCCAAGAGAATCTCTGTTCAGGCTCAGGCTCAAAAGAGAGGAAAAATAAAGTGTGTGTGTAAAAGAGGCACTCCAAGCCAAAGACAGAAAACTGAGTTCCAGGAGCTAAATAGTGAGCTGAAGAAGCTACAACTAGGAAAGCTACAACTAGGAAAGCTACAACTAGGAAATGCTACTAAATAACCCAAGTTAATAGGGAGCAATCAAGAACTGGAAACTGAGGAAACTAGATAATGACTGTAGAGTCCTAGGTGAAGGTGGAATGTGATTATGTAAGCAGCAAAAGTGCGAACCTAATCTAAGGAAAGTGTCAGAAAGAGATGCTACTTAAAAACCCTCATTTGCTGCCCAGTGCAGGTCCGAGCGTCACAATGATCAATCCAGCTTCCTATAAGTTGTGCAGAGATGTGCTGAAAGCGGATGGGATCAACTCGCTTGAGCTCATGCTCAATCTCCACTGGTGACATAGAATAGCCAACACAAAGAGCAGTTGTGTACAGTGTCAATAGTCAGCCATAACAGGGGGCTTTGTCAGTTGACACACAAAGCATCTCCATCCTCCTGCTTGCGCTTCTTGCCTAGGTTGGATGTCCATTTGCTACAAGCATGCCTTCACAATTGGCGATAAGGATGTGATGCCTCCGCAATACTTATTGCTGTCATGAAGAACAGAATCAATGGAGGGTTTCTGACAATAGAACATGAGCCATTAAGACAAGATTAAGACAAGAGAAAGATAGATGCTTACCTGCTTAGCAGCTTTTTCACGTGCTCACTGTTTTCTCTTTCACTCAGCTGCTCTTTCATGCTTGTGAGTAGCCTTCTCAAACCTATCAAATTCTTGCTGATAACGGTGTAAAGAGTGAATTCTGTGTAGGCTATGTAAAAGATGATACCTTAAGACTCAATGTACAAGTGTGATGTTCGTCCCAAGAGACTGCCTAAAGAACTATCTCTTGATATAAAATGCAAGGGATATCTTGTTAAGATTGAAGGTGAGAGGAGGACAGTATACCTAAATGTGTTCTGAGTTCCAAAGGATTGTCTGAAGTATTGAAGCACTGGTCCGATGTGTCCAAGTGAGGTCCAACATCAAGAAACAAAGGTCCGAGGTTGCACAAAGCATCTGAAGAGCTTCCGATAAAACAACAAGGTTTCTGGGAGAGAATACGGCAGGTATGTCAAAGTACATCAAAGTGCAAGACTTGTAGAAGTACTGAAGTACAACCAAGTGAAGTCTATCGAAAGAGCTAAGAGATAGCGAGATGCGAAATGGCAGTGGTCAAGCCAAACAATCATTCCGAATGAACAATAAGATTGATTGCATGAAGTATGACTATCCAAAGTGACAACAACTAACTATGACTTGATGCAAGGGAAGTGAAGTGCAGTCCGAGTGTTTAGCAAGCCACATTATATCCTACAATGTGAAGGTCTGGAAGTCCATAGGCAAGAACTGTAGCGAGATAAGCTATCCGAAATGTAATAAGACTCGAGGCGAGCCACTATGAAGATATGCATGTAACAATGCACGAGGTGCGTATCTATACATATTAACAAGGCTTATTGATGGCCAACAATGTATGTGCCCCTAAGACATAATCAATAACAGATGAACAAGTGAAAATGCACCAGCGAAGTCAAACAGACATGGACAGGACATGGTATGGAGGATCGGAAGTGTAGACAGGCCTCAGGAATGGACAGACGGCCTTCGGATGACTTGGACAAATGCATGGAACTTTCAGAAGATCAAAAGAGTGTCGAGGAATGTAATGTGTAAATATGACGGAATATGTGCCCAGCGCCAACCCAAGTGCTACAACGGTCCTGCTTCTGATCCTGGAGCTCCCAAGCACATTGTAAATACTCCTCACAAGATACTTTTGGGAAGAACTTGAACAGACCATTGTTCTGGTCTGCATCAGTAGTATGGAGGTTGAGTTTTGGTTTGTTCTGTATGGATGATGGCTGGCTGGGATAGATTGCTGGGTCTCTTCTACTACCTCAAGGTCATCCCTGTTCTCTGCATCTGAGGAAGTCTCTTCTGGCTCAAAGTCACTGCCATTGTCCACACTGTCACCAGGGACCGAGAGCTATAAAATCAATATTTGATCAATAATGTTGCATCACTTAGCATGAGATAGTACCCTACCTCAAGATGATCATAAGTGAGATCCAGAAGTTTATTCATGCAGAGGGAGAATGCTCTGTCATTGTCAAACAGAGGATCATGAAATACAGCATGCTTGATGGTGTTGATGGCTGCAATTCCACATGAAAATGAGTCTAGCTGCTCGCCGTGCTGCAGCGTGTTTGCCTTGTTAAATCCAGAGAGGCTGTGATGGCCCAGCCAATGATGAATGACATCAACATCTTGAGTAGGCCAACTCCATCCGAGAGTGTCCACATATGAGATGCTTCAATTGATAGCATCAACCTCAATAATAGCCCAATGAATATTATGGATATTGATAGGAAAGAGGACATGCTGGATGCTCAATTGCAACCCCATCTGTTTGCCTCTCGACTCCCACCATCCCTTCAGAAAACCTAGCGACACACATGATCCAGTCCCCAATCTCCCCACACAGTTTTGTAAACTTGTTGTGGAACTGCTCTTCCTTGCAGTCTGCACACACCCTGACATTTCCTAAGCAGTAAACACCCTTGCTCAGCACAACTCCAATGCCACACCTGCACACTATGCTGCTGCCAAATGACTCTTGCACTATCTCTCTGGCACAATCAATTTACGTCTGCACTACAGGGGTGCAAATGTTGATGACGGTCTCCATGGTTATTGTGATGCTGACTGGGCAAGTTCCCCCCTTGATCGCCTCTCAATCTCTGGATATGTATGGTTTTACACTGGAGGTATCATCGCTTATGTTTCGAAGAAACAAACCACTCACGCATTATCATCGACAGAGGCAGAGTACATGACCGTCACACACGTCATCCAGGAAGGCCTATGGTCAAAGTTCTTGTTCATTGCTCTTCACATCGACATCATCCTCCCGCTCATCATCCACATGGATAACATGGGCGCAATCTCTCTGTCAATGGAAGCACAAAATCATATTCGCTCAAAGCATATCAACATTCGATACCATTTTATCCATGAGCACATTGAGAAGGAAATGTTCCTGCTGAAGTGGCTCCCTTCACACAGGAACACCACAGATATCCTCACCAAAGCACTTCCTCGCCCTCTGTTCAAAACTCATCTGCCAAATCTCCAATTGGTGTCTCACTGAGGGGGTGTGTTGGACGACATGACTCGGATATGTATGCATGATACCAATCTCAGAGGATTAACCTCCAAGGCTTCTCTTTCCTTATTTACATGTCTTATCTTTTCTTGCTACCTTTGACACCATATGTCACCACCACTGGTATCACAATCACCGGTGGGCTTCTTTCCGACTCACAGTCTTCTTGCTAATTGGTACTTAAGGTCTTGCTCATACATAGTTCCACCTCAGCGTTGTTTATCACACTCACTGAAGTACGCTAACTATTGGTACTCGTACCTACTCTTGCTAACATGTAACCTAGACTTCATCTAAGTAAATATAATAAAGTGTTGTTTATTACACTCACTGAGACTTTGTCTAGCTTCTACATGCTGCATCCAGACCATCATGCAAAACATTAACCAAGAAATTTCTGGCTCCACAAAATCTTCTGCTTCTGCAGCTGGCCAGGAAGATCACTCCAGCAAAGTCATTCGTGCCATGAATGCACTCAATATGGATAGTGATAGTGAGTCAGATGTATCTACCCCGTCTTTAGTGGTGCAGGGTGCCACTGCCTTTCAGTCTGACATCATTGAGGCACAGCTTCCAGTATGCCTCACACCTGCTCTCAGCACTGTTTCCTCTCTTAGTACTACCTCGACTCTCAGCACCACTTTCAAAGTTCCTATTCAGGATGTCGCGGTGGGTCCAGTAGCTACTACTATAGATGTAGGGCAGGATGCAGATGTGGGACAGAAACCAGTTTGAGGTAGAGGAAAGACTAATAGGGCAAAGAAACCTGCTCAAGGTGTTTGACATAGTACTCATGCTTGTTAGGATACTATTAGTAGATTTCATTTTGTAATGTTACTCTTAAACTTCATGTCACCTCAGTTTGAACTTGCATGATGCACACAAAGTCTAAGTGTTATGACATTTGATTAGACTTGACTTATTAACACTCCCTATAGGTAGCCAAAATCATGTGTTGTATAGAATTAGGGTTCCATACATATAAAGACCCTTTAGTCTAATGGTTTTGTCACAGTGAGTCCTAAGTATACCATAAGTTTAAGATATCCAACTAACTAATAACTATATAGATGAGTGTTGGAATCCCACCAAGTGCAGACTAATAGACAAGTAAGTAATGCAAACCTAATACAATATAATAGTAAACTAACAAACATAACATAACAGGACCAAAATATAAGAATATCAATAAACAGTGAGTAATATCAGTACAAATAGAATAGAAACCTAGACCAAATAAAAGACAAGATAGCAGTGTAGCTAAGATAATAGAAAGGGCTTGTAAGATAAGGTCAGTATTCCAAGAAATCAATTTTATCGCAATACAAACAGTCCATTACAATGACTAATATTGATTTCAGCAGATTTCAATTACCATTACAATAGGCATTGCAATCATCGTTGTAATGACCATTACAACACAGACTCTATTATTGGAAGCCATTTCAAGTGGTGGTTTGTATTTAAACATTTCAATGCTATGTAATGCATTGAAAGCTAGATTAGGAATTTCTGACACCAGAGTCTGTGCATTGACTCTAGCACATGCAATTCTGCATGAAATCCTTATCCATGATAGATCTAGATTCCCCCAAACATAATACACACTGCCATATTTTTTTCTGAAGAAAATCGAAGTAGATCTTGTCACATGGGCAACTTATTGGTGCTGGAGGCTAGTTTTGTGCATATAAAGCTTGCTCTAAAGGTCAGATCACCACATAAAATTCTGGAATATGGTACAATGGTTATACACAATGAGAGAATACTAAGAAAAACTTTTCCGGGGCCACATGCTTGTCAGGATCATCTGCAATAAAAGAAATATGTCCCAGACATGACAATCTACCCAAAGCGTTACTGTAACTCGAATAAACATTTTGCCAAAAATGCGCGAACATCTAGTAGGACTCACGAGTCTACCCATCAATCATTGTGCACCAAAATGCCTCAACAGCTCGTCCCTCGAATGTACCACGACCATGAGTTCCTCCAAAGCATCTGGCATCCTGTCTACATTCATACGAGCGTCCACCTCCACCCGTTTCGAAATGCCATCCAGGGCCACAATCACCGTGTCCTTATGAAATGTAGCCAATTTCACATCCCTAAGGCTCAACAGCATCTTGTTCGTAAACGCATAGAGAAGAGGGATGGCGTCAGGACAGTCGCTGAGTATTCCCGGATACTCCCAAGCTTGTTTAGCGAGCAGCAACTGGTTATCTGGGCGCGCTTCAGACCAGACGGTCCATTTGGGCCAGACATAATTGTCAGCACATGCAATGTGGGCAAATATCAAGACTAGTCGTAGTGAGAGTTCTCTGTAGTCCTCGTTATGAGATGGTGTATGAATAGCTTTGGCTATGGAAATACACCGCTGCATGTGGGCACAGCTGTCTTGGTGGAGCTGCGACAGCCAATGCTCGCTATTTGCAAGGGCGAAAAGTACTTCCAAATAATGAAGATCGCGCTCTGGATACACGAATCGATCTAGTGATGCGTCACCTGGCGTGATGGTATTGCTCTGGATATTTCCAAAGGTCGCAGAATGCAAGGCTGGGAGGAGTTGATCTTGGTCATCACCTGTAACATTTACCAGAGACTCTTTGATAACGTGAGCTACCTTCAGCCCAACGTGTCTGTGAAGAGGGCATTCTGCGTGCTCCATCGCAAAAATAATGTGGCGCACTACCGTAGTTATTGTCCCGGGAGTGAAGATGGCATTGTCCGCGGAAAGCATCAGCAATGCATATGCAGTTGCAATGTTATTTTGGAATTCCGGGTCCAGCCACCTGTGGGGAGAAACATGGGATGCATCTAAATTCAAGTCTGGCTGCAGGAACCGGCGATGGGCTCTATTGAGATAGTCGAGCAGCACGGAAGCGTCTGCATTTGCCTCATGTGGACCCCAGATCGTTGCAGAATATATATCACCGGATTTGAAAAGGTCGTCCATAATGCAGCACACATGAAGGCAGAGTGCTGAGGTAAATGTGGCTTTTATATTTTTAGATAGGATGGCTCACAAGACATCAGTGCTCCATATTTTCAGCTGGCGATCCTGGAAATGATGTTTGAATTCCATTTCACTGGCAAGGCGTGCTAAAGGCTCCAGTATGGCTCTAAAATTCAAGACCTCATTTATCGAAAAGGTACGCGAGCTTGGTGATCTCGATAAGATGGAGCGTGTCACTTCGGGATATTGTATATTGGGAATGGGATCATCTTTAATTGCAGCTGTAATATCTGAACGTAGCAGAAGAGTGAGGACATGGGGGAAGATTGTTGCAATCTTGTCACTGCACGTATTGATGATCAGCCTTTATGACAAATCGAGGGCAGGTCTAGTACCTATTATCTGTGATTTTAATTTCATCGAGATCGATCGACTGCCAATTGAGGATCGCAATCATGACATGAAGACATCTTACAATGATTTTTCGGGGAGGAAGTGGATGTGTTTGATTGATAGGCAGCAGCCTGCGGATAATATAGATCACCAGAGGTTGTAAATAAGTGATGGCGGTGGTATTCCTCCTTGTACCATGGCAGCGATGCTCCGCAAAGACCGTGTAATAGAGGATGTAAGAACCATTCAAGAGTATCCTCAGGTACGTCATCAAGATTGATGTCTGGGCCAAGCGCGCTGATTATATCCTCTCCTTCGGGTATCCTGACAATCCATACGCCGCTAACGACGTTGAACCATTGCTGAAACACACTCAGCACAAAGCACAACAACGTCTCGTCATCACTACGGTGCACATCCACACGAAGCATTGCTACATCTTGAATGTGAATTCGGCTGAAGAAGGGCAAAAACCGACTCTTGCTGGTGTAGGAAGTGAAATACAGAGAAGTCAACGCTTTTGCATATATCAAGACTGCAGGGGATGGAGAGGGACGTTTGAGCCCGTCCTGAACTAGCCTAAAAAGTTTCCCCCAAACTGCCCATGATGCGAGACCAGTAGTAGGGAAGGCAACATCAGGAATCATTTTCATGGCAGTAAATACATCGTCGGGATCTAGGGATGTCTGGCAGAGCCAGAGCACAGAGTGTGATACATCGACAACTGGTTGGTCATCAGGAGGTGGTAAGAGATATAGCGCCCCCGAAAGAATCCCTAGTAGGATGAGCGGGATAGTATACATAAGGCATATGGGAATTGCCAATAGAAGAACGATGGGATGCCACACACTTCTCCACTGGTCGAGTCGAAGGATGGTGGTGTAAACTAGCCAGTTGAGTGGACGCATGATGTAGATCACTGTAGACGATTGAATCGCACTCAGGCTATAGTATATGAGTGCAAGAGCCAGTGCTTTGAAGGGGCAGCTGACATAAAGGTAGCTGCTGATGGAGGCCAAGATATAGAAAGAGGCACCGAAGCATGTAGTTCCAACGACAACAGCAGCTACAGTGCATTGCTGGATCCATAGATACCCCCAAGACCCATGCCGAAGAGCAGCAGGAAAAGCTTCAGTAATGCAGGTATGGCACGAAGGCCAGCTTCAAAGTGCCAAGTTTCGAGCCCATCGACTTTGAGCTGCCGCCTCATGCGACGAGATTCACGGGGACCTCGTGTGTTGTCTCGGTAGTCCCCCAGCCACTGCTTGCCCAAGACAGCTCCAAGAGCAGCCAGAAGACTGGCTGAGAGACTGGCATACAAGAGGGTCTGTGTCCAGACGGTAATCCAAAGGGGGCCATCCCACGAGGGAAGACTCAGGACTTGCCCTGGGAATGCGGTATGATTGAGTTGATGGTATATCATCATTAATAAGGCATTTGTCGTGTCGCTGGGAACAGGGCTCAGGTTAGGGAGCATTGCCCCCAAGAAAGCACTATTGACGGCTGAAAAAAGACCTGCCTGAAAGATATGTTCGGTCAACAGATAGATACTCATTGTATAGGGCCAGAAAAGCTTACGAAAATCAGACTATTGTCCAAATACGAGGCATACTTCTGAACGAATGATTTGTCAAACTCTTCTGCTTCCTGATCGTATACATCCCAGAAGCCATTTCAGTCATCCAATGAGAGTAGTTTCTTAGCAATGGTTGACTGCTTCAACACATTGAGAATTTGGCGCAACAATTCGGAACTGTAGTCACAACATGCATTATGCTTCATAGATTTTGTAGAAGGCAGAGGACACACCTCTCTTGTTGCTCTTGAGTAGGAGCCATTGAATCGCCTGACTGTTCTGACGTTCCTTATGATTGAAGGTAACGAGATGAATAACACCAGGAAAAGTAATATTGTAGTATCAGAGAACTCTTGAGTCCTTCAGAGCATGTGGTGCTCTGTTCCAACTCGGAGCCTTGATCGGTTCCGATATGAGATAACACTCAAATCTGAACATGGTGTACCAGGCTCACAGCTATTTTCATATCGAAAAAATCACTTAGCGGCTTTTGTTTATTGTTGGAGAAACACCAAAGTACTATTGTAGAGGCGCTCATACTGGTTAGTTACTCTTGTAAGTCATCATCATAACTTAGGGAGTACCTCAGGCTGCTGGCAGTTTTCGGAAGCAAGAACTTTAGAGGCAGTCACGGTCTAGTTCTGGGAAACCAACCGAGAAGTTCGCCAATGTAATTTTAGGATGATTCTAAAAATAATATTGTACCTCGTTGCATGTGGGAATGGCCCGTACGTATTATACATGACTCTACTAATCCCACTTGTGAAGGCGCAAGTTCTGTCAAAATTTCAATGAAGCTTCAATAAATGGCATCTACGTGGTTTCAACCTCATTATTTTTATTTCCAGCAGAGCTGCTTGCTCGTATACTTGCGTATTGCGTAATTCCTCCCGTAAAGCTTCATCTATTCTAAAATACTTACACAACCACCCTCTGGGCGTTCCAGAACCCTGTTGCTGTTGTTTCCTCTTGACGTCCTGTCATTTCGGCAGCAAGAAGTGGGTATCATGCATTGGCTGACTATGCATTAATGATCTATTCTTCAAGCTGACACGAACATTAAGGAAATTATCGCATCTTTGTCACCACTCATGTCCTCCCAGACACCAGACTATGATGCCCATGTCTTGGCATGATATAGTTGTCATTCCCAATTATATGACCAGCCGACTTGAAAAAGTTCTATACAGAAGGCAAGCTCAGCGCTGTGGCTCTGCATTCGTATACCCCAGAACAACCCCAGAGTCTATAAAATCATCTTTACAGTAGATCAGTTAGAGTCATGCTTACACGAACTCGCCAGTACTCAGAGTGATACACGTTGTATCAGCTCTACGTGGCAAAAATATATCATTTGTTGTGAGGATATTGCAAATGTAAGAATAATGGTATGGATACAGTAGGAACGTGTGTAGTCAATCTAGTCCTGACATTGCGTGAAGCTGTTCAAAATGCGTAGATTCGTGCGTGTATTGTCATATAAGTGTTTAAGACGTCGCGAAGGAGTTGAGTGAAAGGTGTATACCATGACATTGTTTGGCATGCATGGCGAAGAATGTGTAAAAACCGTGAGATGCGTATCATATGCGTGTTTGGCCGGAGTCAAACACCAAAGGCAAGGGTATATTATGATATCATAGATGAGGAGTGCACGCATGCACCACGATGTCCAGTCGTGGCGAAGGCTGTGATCCAGTCACATGGTGGCTCCTTTCAAATCAGAACTATTGACCAGCAGATTTGAATAGATGTGATTGCTATGACAGCAGTCCACCAGCAGCCTGCAGGTTTATGAATGTGGATTGGTCGCCTGATATAGATATTGGAATAATGGATAATGATACGGCATGACAAGATTCTGTCTCCAGGTGGTGGGGACCCTCCATTAGTCCGTGTGAGTCAACAAGAAAGTAATGATGTGCAACATATAATCCCAGAGGCGGGCGGTTTCCGCGGCCCCATTTTCTGGAATTGGTAGGTCATCTTGCCTCATATCGCGATGAATGGGGGATCTGCCTTCCTGAAGGGCAGCAGAGGACTCCGAGGGATAATGACGAGTGGGCTTCGATGGAGTACTGCGTGATGGTGCCCGGCTAGCTTCGATGGAAGATGTAATAGGCATTGATGAAAGGCTAGAAAAAATTTGAGGAAATCATCTCCAAAACCAAATATTAGCACATACGGAAGAACAGACAGAGGAGCACCATTGTTTGATGAGACGATGGTAGGGGATGGGGAATGAGAGCAAGAGCAAGAGTCTAGTGGAATTCGACTCGGACGCAGTGATTGAGGGTGGGGGGATAATCGGATTGAATCTGAATCTATTCTGGATGGAGCAAAATGAGTAAGGTTGACTGGACATCTAAATTGGTTGAAAATTTTGCCACATGAGTTAGCTTCACTCAAGGTAAAGCCCTACGTCTACTCACTCATTATCATTGAAGTTTACATTCAGGCGTGTTGTGCCCAACATTTCTGTTTCCAGTTGGACTTTCCACCATTTCTTAGGCAGCACACTCAGGCTGAAGATCGATGCGGAAAAAGTATTCATCTGTCGCCCTGGTAACGTAATGAGGTCGAAACTTTATAGGCCTGGGGAGCTGGGGTAACCACAAGAACGAGAATGAATACTAGACTTTGCGAAATCCCTGCCCTTATATAAGTATCATAGAAAATGACGGAGATGAAAAAGGAAGTTATGTCACCCCTGAAGCCAAGGAGATCTGGGGAATCACATTGGTTGTGCGTGTAAGGTAGTGTGTTGGCGGTGGGGTTGGGACGTCACACGTGACACGTCAATAAGGGAGCACCTGACCTTCCCAATAGGTAAGCTTTACTATACTGGGTGATTACATGTATCACCAAGTATTATTACGCTTAGTTACGATAATATCCAACACCAGCATTAAATGCTGTCCCAAATCCCCCCAGACCTTAAGGTATTTCTATAGCAGAAGCTCGGTAACACCATATCCCGCCCAATGTCGTGCTCCCACGCCCTCTACGCTTTCGGTAAACGTACCTGTTTCTCTGAAGTGCAGTTCTCATGCCCCTTACCAGCGTTCATCATCATTGCCAGTGCCCTCTACTGCTATCACTACCATACAACGACCCTCCTACAGCCATCAGCCTATTCTGGCCATTGTACAGATCTCCTGTGGCCCTCGCCAGCCTCCACGACTCTTTCCCTGTGGCCCTCCTACTCTCGTCAACCTCAACATCTGCGCCCTACACTCTCCTCACGCTCAGTCCTCAGCAGGTGGCCCTCATCAGCTTACGTGGCTCTCTTTTCCAGTCCTCCCACCCTCATCAACCTTGGCACCCAGCACTCTCCTCACCCTCAGTCTCAGTTTTCAGCAGACGGCCCATGTTTGGTGGATCTTCGAGGAAAGTTGCTGGACTCTCCAAGGCCGTGACTACTCATGGATTCAAATGCTCAATTCGAACATCTGGGGTACTGACAGCTGGGAAACAAGGTCAGAGAAAAGAGGAGACTGATGCGAAGCGACGATTGCACATACAGGGTGCGTGCCTTCTGTCTGACTATCGTATATCCTTCTTATTTTTTGCAGACATGTCCAACGATGATCGAGACATTGTTGAGAGCATGTTTTCTCCCTTTGCTCTCCTCTCCCTCGGTCTCAGTCTTGGTGGCTACTGCCCTTTCACACTCCCAGCCATTTCAACTTGACTTCGCTTGTATTCACCTTACTGTACACATGATGCCATCACTGTAGCATTCTTAATACATTGAATGAAATATATTTGTCCCCCATTTGATTGGCAGGCAGTAAACTTTGCATATTGTGATTGACAAGTGATAACTAACTAATGACTACGTGCGAATCAGAACATTGACATTGTGAGGTCAGGCGTCGTTCCAAAACCAAGATTCTCCATACCCTCGAAATTCGTATCAAACCCAAAGCCCCCCATTGTGTTGCCGAAGTCTGGACCAGCAGCAGTCAGGAAGTTAGAAGTGTTGAACGGTGTATCATTGTCAAAGGATTCATTATGAAAAAAACCGGCAAATGCATAAGTGGGAGTAGGACTGGCAAATGCATGAGTGGGAGTAGGACCGGCGAGTGCATGAGTGGGAGTAGGCTGAACTGTCGTTGTATTCAAACTGGTGAGGGCATGAGTGGAGGCAGTAGCCGGTGCCATTTCATCTTCGTTATTTTCATCATCACTTACGACAGTTTCGGCACTCTTGAATGCCTTCTTGTGCCGAGAACTATCAGAAGTTTGTACGCACTTCTTCCCCTTGTCCGAACGAGTCCGCCGGTGTTCTTCAGCAATTTCACCTTGCTCCAACTTCTCATTGCGCTCTTCAAGGAGTTTGAGATACTCATCTTCTTCCAGGCGCCTCCAATGGATGGCATTGGACTGCCATTTACGCAAGAGCATTTCCAGGTCTGGTAGAGCACTGGAGACACTGCTAAGGTTGACAAATGGTATGTTGTCGGGCCAACCTTTGACAATGACGAGGTACCGCTGAACCACATTATGCCAGTAGTTCGCCCAATGCATCTTCGCCTTTGGATCCTTAGTAATCTCTTCTAGAGATCAAGGTTGTAGTTAGTTACTAAGAACACAATGTAAATACATATGACATACAAAGAGTCTTGTTGATCTCATTGCGAATTGCGCCCCGAATTGCCGAACTATGTTTTTGATGGTTTTTTGCCGCACCTGAATGGTTTCAGCCAAGCTTCTATTTGACTTGAAATGATACCTACCTTGCATGCCTTGCACAGAAAATCCCTCCATCTTACTAACCAAATCCTGGCTATCAATGTTCATCACGGTACCCATAAAGTCGCTGACACCTTCGGTCGCAAAGGCGACACCACGAAGCAGGCAATCTGTAGAACCATGTGTCGTATAGAGAATAGTCTCCACGCCCGTATGCGCCCATAAGTTGGTGAGCTGGAAGATGTGTCAGTCAGTGCTGACAGCACAAATTTTATTTAAAAAACACTTGCCTCGTTCTCGATAGCCTTGAGGGTATGAGTGACATTGTTAACCTTTGCTTTAGCTGAGATGCGGATGCCACTGGTCTTGGTCTCCTTGTGTTCAGCATACTCAGCTAAAAGACTAGCTTTCTCGTCTTCCGTGAGCTTGTGATATTTGGTGCAGTTTTCCTCGTCCTTCACAAGTTCTTGCAACACGGCCTTGCCTGTGCCTCCCCCTTTGCATGTTGTTAGTTGGTGCATGGCACATAATAGACAATCTCACCATTTGCCTTCCTGTCGTTGCGCTTCTTCCAGCAGAATGTGTTCCATGCATTTAACTTCGAACATTGGTAGTGCAGCATCCCACGGCCCATACATAATTCATTCTGGATGTGTCGAAAGCTTTTGTGATGGGAAGACGCAATAGATTTCATAGTCTCATCGATCTCGGTCCAAGCACTGTGAAGATCAGTTTCGAAACGGCGGGATTTATCACGACATTGAGCAGTAAGTGCCGCACGAGCCTCCTTGCTGAGGGTCACCTTGATGCAGCGATGAGGAGCTTGGACATGTTTGCGCCTATGAGTCGCCATGAAGGACTGCAAAACCATCAGAGCAGTAAAATTCTCTGTTGTCTTCTCCATTTTCTGCGAACAGCTTTTTAAGTTGATTTTCTCTAGTGTGCTAACATAAGGACAAACAGATTGATCTACGAGAAGAACAGATAAAAAAGGTAAAGTGCACACAAAAAACTTAGGCTACCAACCACCCTGAAGACAGTAAAAAGCCACGAGAGGGGCGCCTGTGAAATACCAGAGTCAGTAACCTTAAGCAGCTAGTAGGAGGGAAGAACCTTGGTAATTACTGCCGTACCCTGAAGATCTGCAAGGAGGGCGGTAGTGAGATTTGATGCCTCCTCGTACGTCAGATTCCATTTGGAAGAGCGAAGTACAGCCTCCCAACGGCTGCTACAAATGGATCCGACTAGTTGGTGAAGCCGGAGAAGCACAGCATCATCCATTTTAAATCGGTCCATTATAGCATCCGTGTGTGGGCCGATGCTAATTAATGGCGCCACCAAACACGGTGTCTCTACTTCGGGCCCAGAAACCTTCAAGCCCTCAGAAAGAAATACATCAGCATTCTGACGGCGTCGAATCTTGTTCTCTCCAGCTGAAGTGCTGACAGACATAAGAGTATCCTTGTTTGCAAGGGCCATAGCTCGCCCCTTCCGTACTGCAGATGATAGCAGTGTTTTGGACTCGGAGTTGACTTGGAGGTCATGCTGAAACTGCTTAGAAGGATGTGCCGAACAATGAATGTGTGCACCTGTGGCAGACATGGGTGCTGGCAAGTGGGGGGGTGCTGCAGGATTGACCTGACTTGCTGGGTCTTGTCAGGGTGAAACAACATGAGCTTGTGGGAGAGAGACAAGAAAGACGCCAACTTACAGTGATGTGGAGGGATGACACCCTCGACATGACAGCGTTCTGTGAAACGTTGCAGGTGGGGAATCGCAAACTCTTCAACAAAGGCCTGCGCCCACACTGACACATCTCCTCCCAGGCACTCCGGAGTTTCGCGCAATTCGCGAGGCGTGATGTAAAGGTCCAGAGAGATGTGCTCTGGCAAAAGTGCTGCTGTGGCTTCAGAGCCATGGCAGCGAATAAGAAGGGAAATCCCTCCATCAAGACGGTCTTGCATCACAATCTAGTCATTCTTCATTAGATTTGAACACTGTAAGATAGTTAGAACAGAATGACTCACTGCATCGAAAACATCCTGCAGCGCCGCCTCAACAAGCTCCTCGTGTGTGATAGACTTCTCGTCTGCTGATGTGTACGAGTTAAATGCAATGTAGGAAGGATGAAGGCCGCCACATTTTCTGGTATGGAAATGTGTGCCATCGATATGAGAATCGTGTTGGAGCAGCGCACGTGTTGCTGCCTGGCATTCTGTGTTGCTAAAACCTTCAGCAAAGGAGTTGGGGTAGATTGCAGCAAGGCTGGCGAGCGAAAATTGAGGTCACATTGAGCTGGCAGCATCATGCACGACAGTTTTGACCATGATGGATGTCAATAGCAAAGGCTGTTGAAGCGATTAGTATTACAGTCTTGTTATGTAGTGAGGCACCTACCATAAGTGTTAGCATTTTGATACATAGATTCAATGCAATGCCAGTGGGTTCAAACATGATGCGATAGTAGTAGTTCAGCATTAGTTAGCAGCAAAGCCAACCATATATCAGATGTATTTCGGACAAGGTATGACTCTAATAGTTCATATCAGCCAAGCCAACCACAACCCAATTTATCAGATCTACCTGCGTTCGAAAGCCAGCCACAACCCAATTTATCAGATCTACCTCCTGTCCATCCAAAAGCCAACCACAACCCAATTTATCAGATCTACCTTCCGTTCAAGACCAACCACAACCCAATTTATCAGATCTACCATCCGTTCGAGAGCCAACCACAACCCAATTTATTAGATCTACCTCCCATCCTCGAGAGCCAACCACAACCCAATTTATCAGATCTATCCTGTCTACCTCTTTTGTTCTCATCCGCTCAAGCTCGTTCTGTTAACATATGATGATCAATTGAATTTACTTTACATAAACAGCGCAGCTAGTCTGTAGTAGAAAGTAGATAACTAGCAAAGTCCTCTGTGATTCGTGCTTGATCCTCATGCTCAATGTCATTCCCACCATCTGATTCAAAAGATATGATATCATCCAAGTCGAGTTGAGTCTCGAGGCCTTCTCCGTCAATACCAGCGGTGGAGATTCCTATAAGTCATTAGTAAGGGCATTAAGATCATGGAGTCTACAGACCAGCGTGTGGTGATGAACTTGTTGCCTCTGACTGATTGTGCGGTGACAATGAAGGACTTCCAAGCCGGACACCAATGCCCCGTCTGCCTGAAAACATATGCTGCGACTCCAGTTGACCTAATCGGAACAGATGCACGGCATTGACTGTAGCACGTGCTTGATAATGATGTTTCAACTCCAGTGTCAGCGTGTGATCTAGCTCCAGGAGCCGACGAATGGTTGCAATGGTTTTAACTTCTTCATCATGAATTGCTGTGCGCAGATGACGGACTTCAACATTGAGACGCTGAATTTCTTCATGAGCGCATTGAAGCTTGAAGTATTTCATGGTGGCTTCACGATGAGCAGGCGCAGTCCAATCATTATCATGGATGTCAGTACGTGAGTGCCACAAGAGGTCAAACTCGCCAAGGAAGCTATATTCAACAATGTCTTTCCATGCCAGTGTCAGCCGAGGGGGGACCAAAGCAGCAGCCTGGGTGTTGTAATGGTTGATGGCATTCTGAATAGCATCAGAACGTCGTTGGAGGGCTTTGCTAATTTGCTGCCATAGTTTGTACCCTAGAACACACTACAATTAAATCTTAAAAATGCAGCGCACACAAATCAATTACCTGTGCCAGATAGTGAAAGTTTTGATAACTCAAATAAGCGCATGACGACAAGGCACTCCAGATCATCAAGCGCTGAACAATACTTCAGGAGTGAGGCTTCTTCTCAAAATTTATTGTAATGTTCACTTCCGATCTCCCACTGTTTGTCAATACCGAGCTGAGTCTCCAAATGAGCTGCTGAACCTTCCGTGTTCTGGAGCTTGGAGTATGCCATATCCACTCGGACCCGAGCTTGGTTGAGAGCAACATGCATATCATTCAAGCTGTCAGTGTGAATTTCAACGAGCGAGCGATTTGCTGCTTCTCGAGCTAAGTCCCATTCTCGTCTTATTTTAACCGTGAATTAACATACAATGAGTGAAAATCAACAAGACTCACTGGTGCTCGGTAAGTTCATCAAGTACACCGATGTAGCGGATACTGAGATGATCCTTCACCGGTGTCTGTTTCAGCTCATCGAGATATTTGCGCTCTTGTGCATGAAAACGAGTGAAGTCAGCGTCAGTGAGGTTAAGAGCATCTTTAATGGCAGAGAGTTCTGCTGTTAGAGTTCGAATATCTGCCAAGGCCTCTCGATAGTGATTCCGTAGAAAGATACCTGGCAGGGGAATCACGTTAACTAATTTGAGTAGATATTCGTAAACATAAAACTTACTCAGGGCCGCATATTTATCATCATCCCAAAATGCGAAATGCTGCTCGATTGATTGATGTCGATGAAAGGGGTTAGCGTGCCGAGTGCTTCGTGCAAGCTCGTTTGACGAGGAAAATACATGTTCGCATCCCTCACCCTCTGTATGTCCAGTGCCTTCAATATACATAGGATGCCAGTCTAACTGGCATCATTGATTATGGGCGTGGCCATGGAATGCTCCTACCATCATCCGCAAGTTGAGGGAACTAGCACGTTGTCCTAACATACTATTTGCCAGTGTCTTGGCAAACGCGCAGCTGATGTCATATGCGCAGGCACCATTTTGCCCATAAACTGTTAGCAGGCGCTCAATGATGGCCAAAGGATATTTAGCGCTAGACTTGTAAGTTAGGATAAGTTAGATGAAGAATTTTAGATGTCATACAGTTCACCGCTTTTGACCATATCGCAAGCGAGAAGGACAAACTGATGGCGGCATGCAGCAATAAAGATCCCAGATTCATCGAATATGGCAAACATCTGTTTACATTGTTCTGGACCGGCATTTCGCCACCGGTCAATGCAAGTGAATGGAGGTGCGGATTCATTTGGAGGCACGATGTCTTGCCAATCATCATTATTTGTCGCCGTATTCTATCTATCGTTGAGCTCAGTGTCATAGATGAAGACAAACAATAAAGACTTACTAGTCGTCCCCTCACATCATCCTTGAAACCGTCAACAATTGTATGGTCAAGCCAATAGTCGGTGCGGAACTTGCGCAAATCACCTCGTGTGGTGCTGCCATCTATTGACGATGACCATCGTTTTAAGCTATTATTACTGTTGATCGTCACTAGCCACTCAAAGGTGAGATTGTCCTCATCCTCTAATTTGTAGAAACAGCAAGGGCAGGAGTTGAGAAGGTGCCAGTTAGGTGTATTGCAGTCAAGTGCTTCATTGATAAGGGAGTCGACACGATGTATGATTTCGAGGTACACATCGTAAGCGTCTGAAAACTGCGTGTTGAGATATGATTGATACGGAATCTGAAAGATTTTGTAATTAATTAGTACATAACAGCAACAGAACAAATAGTATAACGTATGTTGTGAAGATGGCATAAAGCCTTACATTGAGCTTGAATACTGAATCGGGGCCAAGTGCGATGAGACTGTCGATATGTAGCAAGGGTGCAGATGGAGACAGCGACAGTTGGGTATAGCGGCAAGCAGTCCAAGTAACCATGATATATAAGGGTTTTATTGGGATATGTGTGGGATAGTAGAGGTCGTAGAGATGTGCGCTTTCGACCTGGACAACATTAATTATAAAGCCCAGAAAAATGCCAGGCACTTACTAAAGACGTCAATCAACTCAATATTCTTGAGAGATAGCGAATCATTGTCGAGTGCGGGTTCCTCCAAGGGATTATGTGGCATACCGTCACTGCGATCTCGTGTGCGATAGGTCAAATAAACCTTCACTAGACGGTCAATCTGAATGTCCCAATTTGCATTTTGGATTTGAATGTGATCAGTACGAGTTTGCGGGTCTACATAGCAGCTGAAATATATAAGCATCACATCAGTAGGTACAAGTAAGACACTGTTGAAAGTTGAATACCATCCTGAGATATCGGCCATTTGTTGAGCCAAACTTTTGAACACCTCATACTCTCCACCTTCATGACTGAGCTCTACTTCCTCATCGCCAGGTGGTGCACCATAAGGTATACTCTCCAGCTGCATGTCAATACTAGTCTCAGCAAACATGCTCTCAACAATGTCTCGATCATCATTGGACATGTCTGCAAAAAATAAGAAGGATATACGATAGTCAGACAGAAGGCACGCACCCTGTATGTGCAATCATCGCTTTGCATCAGTCTCCTCTTTTCTCTGACCTTGTTTCCCAGCTGTCAGTACCCCAGATGTTCGAATTGAGCATTTGAATCCATGAGTAGTCACGGCCTTGGAGAGTTCAGCAACTTTCCTCGAAGATCCACCAAACATGGGCCATCTGCTGAAAACTGAGACTGAGGGTGAGGAGAGTGCTGGGTGCCAAGGTTGATGAGGGTGGGAGGACTGGAAGAGAGAGCCATGTAAGCTGATGAGGGCCACCTGCTGAGGACTGAGCGTGAGGAGAGCGTAGGGCACAGAGGTTGAGGTTGACGAGAGTAGGAGGGCCACAGGGCGCAGAGGTTGAGGTTGACGAGAGTAGGAGGGCCACAGGGAAAGAGTCGTGGAGGCTGGCGAGGGCCACAGGAGATCTGTACAATGGCCAGAATAGGCTGATGGCCGTAGGAGGGTCGTTGTATGGTAGTGATAGCAGTAGAGGGCACTGGCAATGATGATGAACACTGGTAAGGGGCATGAGAACTGCACTTCAGAGAAACAGGTACGTTTACTGAAAGCATAGAGGGTGTGGGAGCACGACATTGGGCGGGATATGGTGTTACCGAGCTTCTGCTATAGAAATACCTTAAGGTCTGGGGGGATTTGGGACAGCATTTAACGCTGGTGTTGGATATTATCGTAACTAAGCGTAATAATACTTGGTGATACGCATAATCACCCAGTATAGTAAAGCTTACCTATTGGGAAGGTCAGGTGTAAGGGAGGGCTAGGTGACGCGCCTCAGTGACGCGATGGTCGGCAACAAATCGGAAGACATGTGCATTCCTTATTCCTGTGCAAGTTCATGTAAGAGATTTGTAGTTTTTTTGTGTTTCTGCGCTAGACCATTTTTGCCAAGGATGGTGGCTGTATTATGTTCTCATGTCCGCGCCAAGTACTGGGAGGCTGGTGGGATCGGTGAATGGATGTTCAGCCCAGGTTCCGGATTGCGTGGATAACACTGAGCGCCCAGGTAAAAGTCAAACACACACGTCTGAATCAGTCTTAAATGAAGTCTGCGATGAATCAATCCCAGTGAACATCGGACATTGCAGGAACATGTGAGAGCATGCCACATCGTGCACCGCCAGCTGAAACCACCCTCGCACGATCTCGACAAGAAATCCGGATGAATACATGATGCAGAAGGAGTCCATACCGTGTGTCGTCGTGCGAGAGTCATTCAAGTTGTTTCTACAAGATGTGGCACTCCCTTGCATTCCTTACAAGCGGTTTGATATCATGCGAGAACAGTTCATATCAGTGCTTCAAGTTGCTATCATTACTATTAATAGTACAAAATGCAAATATGATGCATTGGAATGGTATGAAACACTCTTTGCATTCTTGTCGCCCCCGGTGCTTGACACCTCGCTCTCGCTCTCAAACTCATAAAGCTGCTCAGGGGTATGGTTCTGGAACGACACAAATTTCTTGATACCGTAGGGTATCTGGCGCAGACCATATGCAGTGTGCGTGCCAAGGGGGACAGTGAAAACTTGGTCGAGCTCCTCCAGGGTCTCGCCTTTTGTCTCGTGCACGAATAACAAGATGAGCACCTAGAGAATACAGCACCATGATGCATACCAGCCAAAGGCACCTTGTTGTTTGGAGGCCAAGACAAGCGAAGGCCAAGTGATTGACAGAATGAAGTTCTAGAACCAAGTGGTTGCAGTAGCAAAGGACATGCCAATATCACGGATATAGAGAGGGAATGCCTCTGCGGAGTACATGAACGGCACTGGACCTTCGCCTGGAGAATAGAAGATCGTGAAGAGGTCTGAAGGAGCATATATCAATGGCAGTATCAAGTACCAAAAGGATGACGTACAATACTAACACCAGTTACACGCCCTGTCTCCGAAGTACCCCAGAAGGAGAAGCCCGCAATTAAAAGACAGATGGCCATGCATGGAAACGTGGACAAAAGTAAGTTTCTCCGCCCATAAGTGAGTAACTGATGCTGCAGATATCACAATAACTCACCTGTATTGTTGCCTGACCCGTAGGAGTACTAGAAAGATAGCAGCAATTGCGCATACATGCACCCAGTCCCATAGTATTCAATAATATATTGGCTTGAATATTGTTGACAGAACTTACTAAGGCAAATGCTCTGAGTCAGGGTGCTGCTATTGAGGAAACTCAAGTGTTTAGAACCAGGGCTCAAGTGGATTACTAACCGCCTGCGGTGTTGTTGTATGGGGAAACATGACGGTAAGGGAACAAGAGAGGTGTTGATGACATCATGAAGACGGACTTTAGATTTGAAAAGCTTTTGTTTCTCTAGGTGCTCATCTTGTTATTCGTGCACGAGACAAAAGGCGAGACCCTGGAGGAGCTCGACCAAGTTTTCACTGTCCCCCTTGGCACGCACACTGCATATGGTCTGCGCCAGATACCCTACGGTATCAAGAAATTTGTGTCGTTCCAGAACCATACCCCTGAGCAGCTTTATGAGTTTGAGAGCGAGAGCGAGGTGTCAAGCACCGGGGGCGACAAGAATGCAAAGAGTGTTTCATACCATTCCAATGCATCATATTTGCATTTTGTACTATTAATAGTAATGATAGCAACTTGAAGCACTGATATGAACTGTTCTCGCATGATATCAAACCGCTTGTAAGGAATGCAAGGGAGTGCCACATCTTGTAGAAACAACTTGAATGACTCTCGCACGACGACACACGGTATGGACTCCTTCTGCATCATGTATTCATCCGGATTTCTTGTCGAGATCGTGCGAGGGTGGTTTCAGCTGGCGGTGCACGATGTGGCATGCTCTCACATGTTCCTGCAATGTCCGATGTTCACTGGGATTGATTCATCGCAGACTTCATTTAAGACTGATTCAGACGTGTGTGTTTGACTTTTACCTGGGCGCTCAGTGTTATCCACGCAATCCGGAACCTGGGCTGAACATCCATTCACCGATCCCACCAGCCTCCCAGTACTTGGCGCGGACATGAGAACATAATACAGCCACCATCCTTGGCAAAAATGGTCTAGCGCAGAAACACAAAAAAACTACAAATCTCTTACATGAACTTGCACAGGAATACTCAAGAATCCAACCTGAAGATGATGATGAACATGCTTCGGGACAAGAGCAAGAATATCCAGTTCGAAGCTTTCCATGTTTTCAAAGTGGGATTCCATAAATTTGTTTGTCGCCCGTATCCACTGATTACAATTTATTGCTAGGTATTCGTTGCCAATCCAAAGAAACCACCTCAGATTGAAACGATACTAAGACGCAATAAGGAGAAATTGCTGACATTCTTGAGGAGCTTCCATAACGATAAGGAAGACGAACAGTTTAGCGTGAGTATTCATCCACCGTTTAAAGTTCTTTCACTTCCTACTGATATCTTCCGACTTATCAGGACGAGAAGCAATTCCTTATCGTGCAGATACAGAACCTGTGACGCTGGACGTCCTTTCTTTTTTTCTCTTTGGAGCATCATTGTGATGCACATACCGTGGGTCCCTGTCGTTTCCAGTTGAACATTTGTAGCAATTCGCACTTTCTAGTCCCTACCAATCATCCCCTGAGCGATATTGGCCTCTCGTGGACGTTCATAATCTCACCACCGACTGCTGCATATATCGCTGCCCCTCTGTACATAATTGATTTATAAGTCAGTTGTACTTATACATTCACTGTTGTCCAACATGGGTTTGAGCTGCTTAACACGAGTAAGTATTACTACTAGGACGATGAACTTAGGGCTGCACACCGTCACCGTCATAGACGGTTCGTACGGCGGCCGTCGACGGATACGGTTGCCGTACCGGTGGCCTGCAAAGGGAGGCAGATAGGTACGGTGTACATAGTACTATCCTATAGTTGGTCAACGATTGATGACATCATATTGTATTACTGATACACTCACTATCCAAACATGTCAAATCCGAGTAAGTAGGAACTATAGATTCTTACATAAAGAACTTCCCCGACAAGTGCCTGATGTGCAGCGCGAGGGGGAGATAGGTAGTATAGACACGCAGTCACCAGGGGGAGCTGATGTGCGGACACCTAATAAACCACTCGAAAATCAAAATGAACGCATGGTAGAGGATGACGTACCAATGTCACCAAGTGACGAGAATAAAAACCAACCTAGAGGAAGAACCGTTAGAAACGATTCTCCAAATAGAAAACGGACTCGCTCACCTGAAGATACACTGCCCAGAAGAACTCAGAGAAAAGTAATAAGGCAAGATTGTCGTCAATTGAACGATCCAGCTAGAGAATGGGCTTACCTTGACGAAAGCGGGTATGAGGAAGAAATAGAGCTAACCCAAACTGAAGCGGACGTTATAATGAAAGCCATAGCTGATAACGGCAGCTTCGATCCTATCGAACCACATACACTCAATGAAGCGAAAGCATCAGTAAACTGGTCAACGTAAGAGGAAGCTATAAACGCAGAACGTACACAATTGCACGAAATGCGCACCCTTACATATCCTATTGCGAGAAATGACAACGAGACGTTCATCTAACCTCTCTCGCTCATATTCCTATTCACAACAGGTTAGCTTGAAAGACACCGCAGTGCAGTACACTCAATATCGAGGACGAGGCAGTCGCGGAAGTAATCGATTGAGCAGATGCTCAAGAAGTCATAGTGAACGATTCCATAGCAAGTAAATTTGACTTGAACTACCTCTACTATAATAACGCGTGTTTACCGCAATCTAATTGTGAGCTTACAGTTCGGATGCCGCTGGCTTGATTTATTGATGAATGATTACCGAAAAGAACGACAGCCTGGGTGTGTCGGAAATGGCTCCCGGCGACCTCGTGGTGAGATTTTTCGTGGTACTGTGAACCGCTACTTTCAAGATCGAGATTCGACAGTATCGACAAAGATCAGCGCAAGTACATCATATTTTGTTGCACTATGTGATTCATGAAAGTTGAATTATGGCAGATGACTTATAAGAGGATACGCACCACAGAATATTGTTGTCTGTGAGGAAGCAAACCGCCATAGGTTGTCGTCCGAGGTTTCCTATAGCTAGCCCACGGTTAAAGTGGCCGTGACAAACTTGCATTAGATTCTTTCTTAGTGGTCAACCTGTCTACGAAGCGATATATGCGAACGCGACGGATTGATCTCCAGTCCAGTCAATCGGCATGAGATGAAATGATGAGGAAACGTGAACCACGAGGATTACAAGAATTATTGTGACTGAGAGCTTGAGAAACGACTAAATGAAGAAATGCGCTTAGCGCTGTAGCCTGTTGCTCTCACGCAAATTGATGGTCCGTGCACGCTCAGCCCAGTATAAAATGTGACCAGATAGGATTAGAATTCTTCATACTTACCTTGATGGCACAGGCTTCTTCATGTCTCAGGTTCGTGGGCCGTGGAGACCTTTCATAGCACGGCGACCTTGTCCTCAGAGGGTGTCTGCGGTTTGTATGGGCTTCGGCTCATGCACCGTCTCAATATTTTCCCGTCCCACCATGGCCACTCTGGCTGGGTGGGCCTTGCTTTTTGCTGTTTGGCCATCCTAACCCTAACCCTAGTTCTCTTCATTAGGATGAGAATATTCATATGTAACAAAATAGAATTTCTATGTTTCTTGCTCGTTGTCATTGTCGATGGCGTGGCGGGCTCAGCGTGCTATTGCCAGGTATCAGCGCTTCAGCCTTACCATGCTTTGACTGATGTTTAATTAATTACTACCGTGCTTTCGACTTTTTTGAAGAATGATCCTTTGACTATACTTAAACGCGTCGCATGGACTCTGATGCGAGCCTCTACTCTTGAACTTGGCACACGCACAATCCTCCGACTTGGCCAGGTCACTTGAAGATACGTATTTTATGGACGCCAGTATCATTTATCCTGCACGGTTTCTCACATTCACCAGTGGCTGGAGGACTGTGCTGCCCGCACTCGCTGACGAGTGAAACCTGCTTCTACCACCGACCGTCAGGCGATGATGAAAGAAGCCAAAGGTAAGAGTCACATGTAAGAGTCGCTCGTATGTTTAACTCCAACACAGGACGAACCAAATACTAAGCAACCCTCTTCTGAAACCAAGGAGTCTCAGGACCACAATGTGATCAAACTCCTAGGCAGTCTGCTCTACGATGGACAAGGTTCCTATCGCACCTGTGAAGGCCATCCTCTCAGTGGTCGCTAACATTCTGAAAACGGTGTATTTACTCAAGCTTCGTAAATCTTTGCGAGGATGTTCAGGTCTGCACAGTCAGTAGTCAAACCCAAGACCGATTTCTCAACGATCAGCACTACACCATCAGGATGGTCCTTGAAAGGGTGATTGCGAGCGACATATACCGAAAGTGACCTGTGAGGTTCGTTGTAGATCGCTTATATCTGAGCTTGATGTATGAGTCAAACCGACTGATCATTACCTTCGCTTTCACGACCCATTTCAGTCGAGTCCTCGGAATAGAGCTTGCTGGCGCTGACCAGATAATCAAAGACACATGCGACAGGGGGCGGGCGTGAGACCAGTCAAGAAGTCATAGACTCTTACGCAATGACAGTGGCCATCAACCGCTCTACATGAGTAATATGAGTATATATTCAGACTACGGTGGGTGGCACATTCACCTACTCACTGAACTCGCTATCATGACTTGGAACTTGCCCGCAGTATCTGTCCGACTGGATGGCCCTATCGATTTTCTGCAGTGTCTTTCCTTTTTACATTTTCTACGACTCACTTAACTTCGGCGATGTTACAGATAATATCACCATCCGAACGTGGCCTGCCAGCATTGAAACGCTTTTGGCCGCTGTTTCCGCTGTCTCTGATAACCTCTCCCACTTCCCCTACCGTGGTTCCTACAGAACCTATCACTGTCTATGTCAATTACTACAAACGTGACTCCGCTGATGACGAAGATGCAGTCAATGAAGCTGTTGCACTTGCAAATGATCCCACGCTGATTCTTTCGAAGCTCACGCATTTCAATTGTAGTACTTGGGCGCAAAGACCGAAAAGAGTCAGGGTTCTATATCGTTCTCTCGCCGGTTACTAGCTGCTAAACGAACTTCCAGCCTGCTACCAGTCGGCCAATGATCACACGCCAGCACCCACCCAGCTGCAGTGCCTCTTGGCACTGGTCCATCGGACAAAAGGTATAACTTTCATCCGGCATCAGACGGTAGCCACGATTGGTGAGGGGTATTAAATGTGCTTTCGATAAGGTCTCATCCATCTTCCGCCCTTCCAAGCCATGCTACTGCTGCCTTACCAACCCATCTATGATAACACGCGGCTCGTCCTCAGTGTCACGACTTGTCTTGTGGTGGTAACAGTGATTGCTCGGGCTTATCATTCTAGATCAAGGAATGGCCTTCCTCTCCCACCTTCCCCTCCCAATTGGAGACTTATGGGACACCTCCTTCCCCTTCGCCAGTAAGGATTTCCATCTACTATTGTTTTTGAATGCTAATCATGTCTTATCGGTGGTCAGTCCATTTCTTACTGTAGCAAAATGGATTGACGAATGCGGTCCTGTAATTACCATTCGCGCAGGAACTGAGAAAGTTGTTATAATCGGCCGCTACAAAGTTGGTTTCTCTACCCTGAACTGTCATCCAGGCTCAACTTTTTGCTGTAGGCAGCGGTGGGCATTATGGAGAAGCAGGGCGGAGCGCTGGCTGATCGTCCTCCCATGAATGCTGGACAAATGATCACCGGCGGATTGGCCATCGGTCTTGCACGCATTGGGGACAGGTGGCGTCGGATGCGTAAGTTCGTAGTTTGCGTACCGTCGCAGAAAAGCCGCTATCTGACATTACAACGTGATACAGAGCAGTTCATACGCATCTCCAGCCAAAGGCAGCCGAGGCGTATCAGCCTTTGCAGATGTCATTCGCGAAGCACACGGTCCTTAACATTCTCGATGATCCATCCAACTTCCAGAGTCATGTGTTAAGGTAAGTACCTTCCTAGGTCCGGGATATATTACTTACGAATATCTTGAAGTTATGCTGTAACGACGGTTTTGAAAGTGGCATATGGGAAGGATACACCCACGTCTGCGGCTGATCCCGAAGTCAGAGCGATTCATCAGTACATGACTGTATTCCGGACAGTCCTGCAACCTGGAGCTTACTGGGTGGACACAATTCCCTGGCTCAGATACCTTCCTTGGTATGGCAGAAAATTAAACAGTGAGTTTGAGGTTAGCCGGAAAGTCTACTTTGGTCAGATGAACCGCTTGAAACAACAATTGGTACGCATCTCTGATCTGCCAGTCTTCGCATGTCATCTCAACTGTCCCACAGGAGAGTAATGTGGACGCTGGTCCTTCGTTCGGGAGATATGTACTGGAAAATGAACATCTCCTTGGCTTGTCAGAATTGGAGGCGCATTATCTTCCTGGTACCTTTTTTGCAGCTGGAAGTCATTCGGTGAGGCCAGATTTATCGTTTCCGACTATATGTGGCTGATATCAAGTATTAGACTGCTGCGGCAATATGCACGGTGCTAATGGCAGCTGCATGTTTTCCCGAGGAGCAAGTGAAAGTCCGGGCTGAGCTTGATGCGGTCGTAGGAAGGCACCGAGGTAGTTCCGTAGTATTTCATCGCAGTCCTGTCGGTTCAATGATTTCCCCATGACAGCACCGACCTTCGCTGACCAACAATCCCTTCCTCTCCTGCACGCTTTTATCTCCGAGGCTCTCAGATGGAGACCGGTGAGTCCCAATGGTGAGTATGTTTTTTGTTGGTCCCATACCTGAATTTCACACCATTCATACTACAGGGTTTCCTCACCGAACAACACAAGATGTGTTTTGGGCGAGTGTTCTTTGAATAATTTGTCGTGCGAATGATAATCTGATATCCACTTGGCAGGAAAACTACTGCATTCCCGCCGGAACTACGGTACTCGGTAGCAATTGGTAAATGTTGTCCTTCAAATTGCGAACGTTTTGACAATTACCTTGTCAGGGCCATCTCGAAAGATCCGGAAGTTTACCCTGATCCTGACGTGTTCAAGCCTCAGCGTTGGATTAATGACCAAGGTGACTTGAGAGACGATATCACATTTTTTGTTTATGGGTTTGGTCGGCGGTAAGCAGGATCGCCTTTTGGGATATTCTATTTGATTGTCTGTCATTCTAGTGTATGCCCCGGTACACACCTTGCGAACAGGTAAACGTATCTTTTCATGTACATAATCCTTCGAGCTCATTTCGAGCGGTGCAGATCGGTGTGGATCAACTCGGTCCTTCTGTTTTGGGCCTTCCAGCTCACTCTAGATCATACGAAGCCATTAAATGACATGGGCTTCATGGGTCTGGTGTCACCACGTGTCTTTTGCCCTATCGTGTTTACACCGAGAGTTCCAGACGTGGAGCTCAGGCACATCATGCATAGGTATCCTGAGGCCGACTCGGAATGAGAAGCCAATATGAATATCCAATGAATATCCCTCTATACCTCGCAGTATGATATTTCAATTTTCAGCACGATCCAAAGTATGTGTTGTGTAATGTATATCGTTAAATATCGTTGAATGAAGTGTTTTTCTTCTTTTTGGAGATCGCGTGCAGGTCTATCACATTTCTAGATAGAGAAGGAACCAGATACTTGCCTTTGAAAGCTGCCTTGAACAATGAAGAACCGAAGAGGCTTCAGATTTCATTATTATTTTGATGATATGGATGACCTCGGGCCGCCTATTGTCACCAACTCCCGCATTAATTATATCAATTTTCGCGAAACTATCATGACTTGGAAAAAAAGCCATGAAGTTTGTCATATTTAGTCCAGCTTTACATCATAGGAGAGAGGGTTTTTTTTTGATGCTTGATCACGCACTTCAATCGTACTCGCGCGTAAAGACTCAAAATAATCAAGCTTCCGTGTCTTTCTCTCACTGGTTACTGGGTGACTTCCCGTGGGCTAAATAATTATCATAAACCGGAGTTCGAAAAAAATGAAAATGAGTGAGTCTGTAGGATAATCTGTAAAAAATACTATACCGCATATGGCGTTATATCTGCACATTTAATATATGCGCGTTGCGCACCCCTGCGCGCTGTCCCCCCGCACTGCGCGTTCGATTCCCACACTGCGCGTTTTGTCCATAGACCCTCCGCGTCTTGTCAATACGGCCGCGTTTGATTCAGCCTTCTCCGCATTACGCGTTTTTACAGATTGAGGGCTTTGTCTACACTTTCATGTGGGTCAACCCAACACTACTTGGTGTTTTACAAGGCTTCCCGCGTACTTTAAATGAGACTCGGGCTCGCTCATGATTGAAATAAAGTAGAGGTACTAAACACGACTGAAGCTATGGCTCAAAAACTAATTTTTCGACTAGAAGGTGACAAGCTTCAGATATAAAATGTTCAGTGTGATGAAAGGCGGCTCCTTGATCCAGGAGCTTGAACATCAGCTCTTTGCAACCCTCACTAACCCGTCCAAACTTCAATTCTTTGAAGCGCTTGACAGCATCAGTATATGGTTGTGGATTCTTGCCATCAAGAAGGAACTGGCCCATTCCGTTCTACCAAACACCATGCCAATCCTCATTGCAACCCGTTGGGTCTTGACAATCATTCGAGTGCACCAAGATTTTCGGCTCCTCTGCAGCTACGATCCAACGATGATGATCGAGTGCCACTTGAACATAAACAACATTCAAAAATACCTCGTTTCCCATTAGTTCCCGGTGCATGTGTGTGATTTCTGGAATTGGTGTTTCTGCCAGTTGTTGGAACGCGAAAGGAAAGATGGAGCAGATGTGGTATCTGATGGCCAGGTTGATCAATTGAGCCAGGTGGAAGCGGAAACGTGCAGTAAATATATGGTGCACAACAAATTCTCGTGTATGGCGGCATTGATACATGTCGCAAAAGTGAAGGAATCTCGAGAGCTCATCAGTGGTATAAGAGCCAGTGCGCATTCTACAAACAGTTCAATGGGTTAATAGTAAGAAGCATGAACAACCGTATTGACATACCTTCCAAAGGTATGTTCAAGAAACAGTTTGAATGTCTCCCGGGACAGTCCATTGAGGTGAATGGGTCTATCGTCACTCATTCCATCCAGTTCTATTTGTCCACTCTGTGTGGCAGTAAACATGTCATGAAAAATGTTGGAAGATGTCGACAAAATTGATTGGCATAGTTTGTACAACACGTTCTCGACCTTGGGCCAGCACAACAACTGTCAAAAAATGAATAATTCGATAAATGGAAAAACTTCACCTGAAAGATATGACTTGAAGCTTGAAAATAATATATTGGGTGTCGGGTTGGTACATTAATTTCAGACATAGTAAATGTTGGCAAGGAGTCGGACGTTGGAGTTAATCCTGCCTACTTTATTGGATCATATTGGGTTTCTCACACTCTGCAATATAGTACTAACATTGAACTCATTGATGACGAATGTCATTACTGTCTCATGCCTATAATACTACCAGAGGTTTTTCCTCAATTCCCATCTCGTGCAGTGACTCAAGTTCCGTTGTCAGCAAACTTTCTCATTGTGCACGATATGCTGTCGGATATCTACTGGCATGCTTTTCAGATTCTAAATCAAGAAGACGCTGATCCCCTTCAGCTTATGTTTCATGTAGAAACACTATCTGGAGATACCGTACCTCTCCTAGAAGCGCTGGCACAGAATCCCCAAGGAAATGATATTTGTGATTGGCTGTCTCATGCAGCAAACGTGCTAGGGGAGCTCTCAGCGCAGTTATCATTGTTTCAACACAATACTCAAAACCGGTGATTCACACTCTTGACTTGCTCAATTTCAATATTTATTAATGGTGTAACGAAGTATGGACAAGGATGTTGTGTTCCTCGAACCAGTAACACTACTGCGCACGAATCGTGCAGGTCGCCCAAAAAAGATCATTGATATCCAATTCCTTGCTGAAGCGCTTTCAAATTCATGACATATTAACCTGACAGAATTGGCCAAGACGTTAGGACTCCACAGGAATACTCTACGACCATATATGAAATCCCATGGAATCATATGAAGGTACTCTGAACTCACCAATGCTGACCTCGATATCCTCGTTGGCGAGTTCAAAAAAAAGCGACCGGACTCAGGCATCAGATATATAATTGGCTTTCTCCATAGATATGGTCTCCAAGTGCAACATCGACGAGTTGTAGAATCACTTCGCAGAGTGGATGGCTTGGGTTGGGTGTTATGAGACCGTCGAGTCAAATGCAGGCAAAAATACTATGTGAAGCGGCCCAATGCTCTATGGCACGTAGATGGGCATCATAAACTAATTCGATGGGGAATCGTTATTCATGGATTTATCGATGGGTTTTGCAGAACGGTCCGAGCCTAATGCATCTTGTTTGTATTTGATTCTGATGTCTAGTCTTGTCAGATAACTGGACTCAAAGCGAGTAATAACAACCGCTCTACTACTGTTTTAGATCTTTTCAAACATTCAATACAAGAATTTGGGACGCCCTCTCGTGTACGAGGAGATCGTGGTGGAGAGAACCTTGATGTTGCGACTTATATGATAATGAAACATGGACCACGCCAAGTATCATTCATGTGGGGATCGTGAGTTATACTACTTAACTATGTTGATACACCATATTACATGCTAATTATGAGTGCCAGTTCTACCCGTAATTCACGAATTGAGCATTTGTGGGTTTAGGTGGGCACCCAGTTTGCTCGGAGATGGAGAGCATTTTTTACTTGACTTGAGAACTACCACGGACTTCGCCCCGACATCCCTAGTCACATTTGGCTACTTCAAACCCTATTTCTTGGCGAAATCAATCAAGATTGCTCAGATTTCCAAGCGGAATGGAATTGTCATCCAATAAGCGGTCTGGATACAAACAATAAGAGTCCGAAGGTAAAATCACAGACACACTATCGACATAATTATGATATTGACACATTATCAAAACAGGACTTATGTTTTTAGGGCAGGTACAATTTGGCGTATATCGAGACGACTGTGAAGGGATACATCCCGACGTAATCGAAGAACATTACGGGGTCTACGGCCATGTGGCAACTCAATGGCAACACCAGACCGGAGCAGGACATCCCATGGACAAAGAAGACAGTGATGATGGCGAGGAATCTCACAATATAGTACAGGCGGTCAATAACCAACAAAGAGACCATATCCACCATGAAGCCATCAGTGTTCCATTGCAAAGGAATCCTTTCGTCAACGAAGGAACATACCGGCAATTTTCTGCCACTCTCACTGAAGTTATAGCTGAAGACATAACACCACACCATTGCAGGCTGGCCACAGACGAGTGGGAAAGTAATGAATACCCAGTTTTTGAAACTATTTCCATCGGTCGTCAGGGATCCAAAGAGCTTCATGTGTCGCTTGGTGAATTGATGTGGTCTAAGCGAGCAAAGCTATGGTGTCAAGCGTTAGTAGTGTTGTCATATTTTTTAGCTGCCGGTAGAGAGTGACGGGACTTAGTTGGTATTACTTGGATAATATGTGAATGAGAAGTGTCGCGTAGTCCAACTGGCGGTGATCTCAGAATTAGCTTAAATATACACAATCACCAGACTTTGTAAGTCACTTCAGGTCGTTTCCATTGATTCCTCTTGAAGTCACAGTCTTTCTGCACCCTCTTCCACTTGCGGTGTCACTGTAACTGCATGGATCCTGCCAGTGAGAGCAACAAAGGCATCTTTTGTAGAGGTGTCAAGGCCGACAGTCAACCATGCGACTGCGAGGAATTTTTCGCTGACTCACAGGACAAGGGTCATTGTGTGGAGTGTGGCCATGGCTGTAGCAAGCACCCTCACAATGTATCTGGCTACAAAGTGGAAGATATTCAAGACGAACCTCAACCAAGTTCATCAGCCGCCATCAAGGAGATATTCAATCGGGTAGCTGGTAGCAGGAGTGTCAATGAAAAGTCATCCACCACGAAGCGAGGCAGCCTCTCACTCGCTACTGCCCGGGAAGAAGCCATATTGACTTTGTCTTCTACTCGACTTGCCAGTCACAGTAAATTGGCCAAGGGTCCAGCGCCATCAGCTGGCTTGCGGAAGGTACGAGATATGCCGATAGCTAGTGAAAATTTTTCCTTAATAACTTCTAGGATCGCAAAGAGACCAACCCATACCCAGCAAGTCAAGTGCGTCGGAACACTGCCTCTAGTACTAGTACCACAGCGGTGACTACTGTGTTTCGAGTTGCATGAATCACCATACTAACCTGTGGCGTCAATGTCAGTCAAGTAGTACCCTCGATGAATCAAACTAATACTAATATCTTTTGACAGAGGAATGGTCTCATCAGAGAAACCAAAGCCCCAAGCAGGGGCAGCCAGAACGAGATACAGGCCATGAGGAACCACGGGTGCTACCTTGACCAGCAATTTAGAGTCGACAGCAGATGGTCATATGCAAAGATCACCAATAACCTACGTACCTGGTTTCCAAAGGTCTTCAGATACCTGGATACACAAGTTGAGAAGCGAACATCACAACCACGGCCCGGCCAAGAAGAGAAACCTGTTTGGCGCCTCCTGAACAAGTCTGGAGTGGTATTGACGGGTGTTGATGTCGCATTTCCAGTTGGAAGTGACCTCGCAAAACATAAGGGACGAGAAAAAGCCAGCCCCAGTGAATGTCACCTCTGGTTTGGTAGGTTCATGTGTATTTGCTTCGACATTGTGTGCTAACAAGTCCAATTATCAGTAACGAGGAATCAGATCCCTGACGACGTTTATGAATCTTGGAACACACAGTCTGTCATCGCAGGTTCAGATTCCGAACATGATGGCAGTGACCAGCTTTTGTCTTATACGGACAGTTCAGCTGTTGATAAGTCGGACAACAAGCTTGCGAGTTCCTTAATGGAATTGGATCTGACTGATGCCAAAGTCAAGGACTCGGACCCCAAAGGTAAAATGAAGGCTAGATCACCGAAAAGTACCAATCACAGTGAGTGTTTAGTTATTCGGATTATACTAAGTGCGCATGTCTTACTTGTCTGTTTTGCAGTGAAAAGAGTCCTTTCTCCTGACAGGTCACCATCAGATACGAAGCAAGGGGCTCAAAAGAAAGTAAAGAAAGGTTCGTCCCTCCACCTGTTTTCTCAGATACTTAATCTGACGTTCAGAATCAGCGAGTGACACTAACATTCCGCTATTCTTTATGGACTCAGCAAGTTTAAGTCCTCAAGCTCTCCCATCAACCCAGCCTGCTCAATTCAGTAGCCTCTGTAAGTTCATTATTCCGTTGGCTCATTACTTATTATTTAATCTGTGCTATTATCAGCAGAAACAGTGTCATTTCGCAATTGGGTACATGTTGATGCTGCTGCCAGCCTGCGACTCAAGAATGAAGTGTCATTTCCACCTGAATTTGTGTCAGTCAGTGAGGATGATGTCCTCTGGTGCAATAGAACAAATGACAATGACCCCTTCGCCCCGGAACGGATCAATCCATGGGACTCTTGTTATATCATGTTTCAGAACCCTGCTAACTTTCTCGTTTGAATGCCATACTGGTCACCTACATACAGCATACTGATTTCATTTCTTGTTCTTCTTTGTGCTTTGTGGTACATACTGTCAATCTCATCCCACACTCGTCACATCACCCATCCTATACATCTACCTTGCATCCTCATGATGCACTAGCTAATGATAAATCACAATCACATACATAACTCCACTGGTTACTTCACACTCTTTGCCAAATGCCAAGTTACAGCGGGAAACCCCGGTTGACAGCTGAATGCCGGCTCATGCCACAGTATTTGCTTATAAGGTGTGATTGTAACAAAAGGTCAACTTTTGAAACCATGCCTCCCATCCATTTATTACAGCACAGCAGCAGCTGGCAGCCTCAACCCAAACTTTCTGGATCATTCAGAGGAGCATCCACAGGGAATGTCAGGAGGGAGTTTGCAACAATTCTTGTTGGAGGTGGAGCCACCGTGACCGCTGTTACTGCGGAGTCAGCTTCAAGTCCAGCAGTAACAGACGAGCCTCAGGAGTCAATGCCAGACTCGCTGAAGCCAGAGGATATCCAAGATGTGGAGTCAAACATAGGTCCTGGTACGTTTGTTGCAATCTATGAACCGTGTAATTTATTTCCCAAGCTCTGTAGACCTGCGCCAGCTGATTATCAGTAGAATACGGAATGGTGGCAATGGACCCGAACTTGAGGTACGAAAAGCCTCCTGTTTCTTATCTTTCTCAGGCTGATTGCCGGGATAGGTGTTCTCGAATGTTTCAGAAGATGATTATACATACATTTTGGATGTTATCAGATTAGATTGTAGTGTGATTCGCAAGTGAGTCTTCCTGTCCTTTCCAAATTGAAGCTGATCTTGTACTTTGCTTCAGACTGAGATACATTCCCCGTCTTCAAAAACTCATTGCCACCCTGCCTTCACCAATACATGAAGCGATCCTGGTGCCTTTGCGCACTGCAATGGGGATTACCATCGACTCCCTTACCATCCCTGATGACTTCGACATTTCCTTGCCTATCCACATGGCACGTATGTTAGATGCGCCCGCCACATCGGATCTACCTCCCGATGAGAGCTACCGGCTCAGGATCCCAGACTTAGTCCTAATGCTCCAGACACGCGATGCCGATATCCTTCCACTATGGCCATTTGAGGTATCTGTCTCTGAGACCTCCGAAAGTGCTGTTGGGAGGCTGCAGACCTATGGCGATCGGAACAAGAACATCTTAGCTGCTACTCACATCAACATCGTCGAAGCCCGGACACATGTTCCACCCACATATGAGTGGGGCATTGAGAAGGGGTTTGATCAGAGGGGGATTCAGATCAAGGACTTGACACACTTGGAAGATGGTGGGGTCGCGTCGCTCTCTCATACGTGGTACCACCCGACAACAGTCACTATCACCACGTGGATCCGCCCTCCCAACAAGTGCTTGAATCTGAACTCTCGTCAGTGTGCATATTATACTACTGCCGTACGTGATCCCTTTGACTCGTCTAATATTAACGCTAACTATTCAAATTAACAGTTACTCTACCCTAATCAAGACAACAAGGGCCTACAGAAAGTCGAAAGGATATTCAAACGCACGCTGGAGATAGTCCGTGATACGGTTGTCAGCCACCTACAGACTGTCCACGAGCATGACCAAGTGCTCCTGTAAGCACTAAGCACTATCTACTGATTATTTTGTTTCATTATTTTCAGGTCCTCACTCCAGGTTGTGAGGGACTGGTCCCCACCAAGTAAACTACTTAACTGGGACAAATGCAACAGGGATCTTTGGGCAGCAGCGAAGCAGATGGGATTCGACCGGTACCACATGTGGCACCGCAGATTCCTCAAGCGTGTTGCCGATGAAGAGTATGTCCCGAGTGCTGGACCGAGCAAGAGAGCGAAGCGCGCATAGTATGTGTCATTCAAATTTTCAATCTCTTTTAGCTTTCAAATTGTACTACATAGTGTCTGTAAGTTTTACTGGTGTTGTTTGAACGATGACATGTACTATACTATACACTTCTCTCACTCCTAGTTTGATCATGATCATCCCCTTATGTTCTCGAACATTGATACAACCGCTGGCATCTTATTCAAATATGCAGCGAGCCTGAGTCTCATTTAAAGTACGCAGGAAGCCTTGTAAAACACCAAGTAGCGTTGGGTTGACCCACATGAAAGTGTAGACAAAGCCCTCAATCTGTAAAAACACGTAGTGTGGAGAAGGCTGATCAAACGCGGCCGTATTGACAAGACGTGGAGGGTCTATGGACAAAATGTGCAGTGTGGGAATCGAACACGCAGTGCAGGGGGACAGCACACAGGGGTGCACAACGCGCATATATTAAATGTGCAGATATAACGCCATAACCGCAGACCAATAGATAGCTAGTACAGAATATCAACCGCATCCACTACTGATATGGACTCGGATGATTTTTTCTAAAGAACGAAGCAGAGTTGCGACAGCAAGAAGATGATGTGGCCCAAGGTTCAGAGATTCGGCTCGCCACAAAGCATCCAAATCAGTGCATGTACAAACAAGAACAAGTATATGAGAGTGCAGGAACGGTAGTATCGGACCGTTGGCGCCAGACGACAGAGTCTGCGCACATACCGCGCGGTACGATTATGTCAGCCGATATCGCTGGCGTAAGTGGTCCTAAAAAGGTAAGTATGACGTCAGAATAATCTGCAGGGGGGTACCCAGATTTAAGGTTTATTGGGGGGGGGGCAAACCCTCGTTGAATTTCAAATGGTGACGAAATGACATCGCGGCATACCTTCCTAATGCGTGAAATTATATTCTATTCAGGATTATTTAGGCCTGCGGGAAGTCATCCAGCTGCTAACGAACTTTCAGCCTGTTACCAGTCAGCCAATTATCAAACGCCAGCTGCAGTGCTTCCTAGTATTGACTCTGCGTCCGACAAAAGGTATGATTCACATTCGGCATCGTGCGGTAGTAGCCACGATTGGTGAGGGGTATTAAATGTGCTTTTGATAAGGTCTGCCACTGTCTCATCCATCTTTCGCTCTTCCAATTGACCATGCTACTGCTGCCTTGCCTACTACCCATTTCTGACAACACGCAGTTCGTTCTCGGTGTCACGACTTGTTTTCTGGTGGCAGTAGTGATTGTTCGGGTTCATCGTCCTAGATCGAAGAATAACCTTCCTCTCCCACCTTCCCCTCCCAATGGGACACTTATGGGACACTCACTTCCCTCTCACTAGTAAGGATTCCCATTTACTATTGTTTATGAATGCTAATTATGTCCCATCGGTGTTCAGTCCATTTCTTACTGTAGCAAAATGGATCGACGAGTGCGGTCCTGTGATTACCATTCGCACAGGAACTGAGAAAGTTGTTATAATCGGCCGCTACAAAGTTAGTTTCTCTACTCTGAGTTGTCGTATCAAGGCTCTACATTCTGCTGTAGGCAGCGGTGGACATCATGGAGAAGCAGGGCAGAGCGCTGGCTGATCGTCCTCCCATGCATGCTGGACACATGCTTACCGGCGGATTGTCCATCGGTCTTGTACGCGTTGGGGATAGGTTCCGTCGGATGCGTAGGTTCGTAGTCTGCGTGCCGTGACCGAAAAGCCGCTAACTGATATTGTAACGTGATTCAGAGCAATTCATACGCATCTCCAGCCTAAGGCAGCCGAGGCGTATCAGCCTTTGCAGATGTCATTTGCGAAGAACACGGTCCTTAACATTCTCGATGATCCATCCAACTTCCATAATCACGTGTTAAGGTAAGCACTTTCCTAGGTCTGGGGCATATTACGTTTACTTACGAATATTTTGAAGTTATGCTGGGACAACGATTTTGAAAGTAGCATATGGGAAGAATACGCACACGTCTGCAACTGACCCCGAAGTCAAAGAGATTCGTCAGTCTGCGGCCATGTTTAATACAGTCATGCGCCCTGGGGCTTACTGGGTGGACACAATCCCCTGGCTCAGAAACCTTCCTTGGTACGGCAGAAAATTAAAAAGGGATTTCGAAAATAGCCAGAAAATATTCTCTGGTCAGATGAACCGCTTAAAACAACAATTAGTACGCATCTCTGATCTGCCAATCTCCGTATACCATCTCAACGGTCCCACAGCAAAGTAATGTGGACGCTGGTCCTTCGTTCGGGAGATATGTGCTAGAAAATCAACAACTCCTTGGCTTGTCGGAGTCGGAGGCGCATTTTCTTCCTGCCAACTTTTTTGCAGCTGGAATCGATGCAGTGTGGCCTGGTTTATCGTTTCCGACGATATGTTGCTGATATCAAGTATTAGACTGCTGCGGCAATATGCACGGTGCTAATGGCAGCTGCATGTTTTCCCGAGGAGCAAGCGAGAGTCCAGGATGAGCTTGATGCGGTCGTAGGAAGGCACCGAGGTAGTTCCGTAGTATTTCATTGCATGGTCGATTCAATGATTTCTCCACGACAGCACCGACCTTCGCTGACCAACAATCCTTCCCTTTCCTGAATGCCTTCATCTCGGAGGCTTTCAGATGGAGACCGGTGACTCCCGATGGTGAGCATCTTTATTGTCAGTCTCATACCTGAATTCATACTGCATGCAGGGTTTCCTCATCGAGCAACTGAAGACGTGATTTGGGTGAGTGCTCTCTGTATGATTTGTCGTGTGAATGATAATCTGATATCCACTCGGCAGGAGAACTATTGCATTCCTGCCGGAACTACGGTAGTCGGTAGCAGTTGGTAAATATCGTCCTTCAAGTTGCGAAGGTCTCAATAATTTCTTTGTCAGGGCCATCTCGCGAGATTCGGAAGTTTACCCTGATCCTGACGTGTTCAAGCCTCAGCGTTGGATGAATGACCAAGGTGGCTTAAGAGACGATCTCACGTTTTTTATCTATGGGTTTGGTCGGCGGTAAGTAGTGTCGTCTTTCGGAATATATTCTCTTTGATTGTTTGTCATTCCAGCGTATGCCCTGGTGTACACCTTGCGAACAGGTAAACGTATCCTTTCATGTACACAATCCTCCGAGCTCACTTCGAGTGGTACAGATCAGTGTGGATCAACTCGGCCCTCCTGTTTTGGGCCTTCCAGCTCACTATAGATCCTACGAAGCCGTTGAATGACATGAGCTTCATGAGTATGGCGATGTCACGTCTCTCTTGCCCTATTGTGTTTACACCGAGGGTTCCAGACGTGGAGCTCAGGCGCATCATGCATAGGTATCCTGAGGTCGACTCGGAATGAGAAACCTCTACGTCAGTATGGTGCCAGTAAGGAGGAAACGAAGAAGAATCGGAATGAATCACCAATATCCCTATATGTCTCGCAGTATGATTTTCAATTTTCAGAACGGTCCGAAGTTTGTGTTGTGTCATTGTATGTCGTTAAATATCGTTGATCGCTGAGTTTTTCTTCCTTTCGGACTCGGAGATTGCGTGCAGGTCTATCACATTCCTACATAGAGAATGAACTAGACACGTGCCTTTGAAAGTTGTCTTGAACGATGAAGGAGTGAAGAGACTTTTAAGCAGTTAGATGATCACAATTTTAAAACCCGGATGACCTCGGGCCACTCGAAAGATCTACATTATGCATAATGAGCCTGATGAGTGGGAGAAGAGAGTTTCGTTAGAGGCCATGTCGTGGGAAAACTGCTGACGCGGTACATAGTCTTAACCTGCAATTACTTGCATCATATACACTCTTGGGTTCAACGATTTTAGGCTTTTTTGACTCTTGCATTCGTAGTTTGAAATGAATATATATTTCTGCACAAATGCGCGTCTGTCGTGTCCCGCGTACTCGATGCATCCATGAGGCTCCTCATGACATCGACCATGCTGTTGATCCATATCTGTTTTTTTGTCCCCGATTGCATCCAGATATATATGCAACCGCGACCTCTTTCTGCTCCTGGCCCCAGTCCGCATTGTGTTCGTGTCCGCCTCTGGTGTACGCTGTTTGCTCAGTTGTGACTTGACATGGTCATACCATCGCGCAAGTGCTTCACGTTAAAGCTGTCTTGCCAGAACGTTTATATGAGCAGCACCGCATTGCAGTGTGTTCCGTCCGGATCTATACCAGCTTACAACCACGTGGCGCCCTGTATCATTTCACGCTCGCGCTTCCTGAGTTCGAGTATTAGCCGAGAAAGGAGTATCATTCCCATCGTCTTGCTAGGTGGGTCTTTAAAATGGCTGTTGAATCATATTAAGAGTCGTGACTATTACGTCTAGGTTACGATCTTACATGATCGTGGGTGTCCATTGAATTCGGCAACGCCATCGATTGGATCGTAAGTGTCACCAGAGGGAATATATATAGCACGGAAGTATTGGCTGTCCAGTGTTTAGCGGTGGAAAGAAGTTTGAATCGAAGACTCGGAGCACATACAGTAAGGTCAAAGAGCCTCATTCCTTCACGTTAGCTGGTAAAAAGAAATTCACAGCGTTTGAAATCGCGACAACGTTTAGATTTTCTATCGTCCACCCTTGCCAAGCTTCTGGGATGCTGAGGTGTAAATCGCGTCCTGGAGTTGCAATTTGCATGCATACGGTCAGAAGCGTCTTCTGGTGCGAATTGCAGTTGTCGGTGCCGGTGTCACATTACGCAAGAAACTCTTGAATGAACCCAGGCGCAGGTCGATAACGAGGTGGGAATTGAGCCGCTGACCATCCATATGTGGAACGAATCAGGGAAGCTGCCTGTCGGGCCCAAGGACAATATGCGCGGGGATAGTTCTCATCTTCCTCTGCTTCATAAGGAAGTTGTTCTTCGCCTGATCGTGATTCGAGGTGGAAGTTAGGTACTGTTCGAGATCAGGTGAGATATACGAATCAGCAATCATTTTTTGAAGTTCTTCACCCTTTTATCTGCGAGTTTGGCAGTGATGTCTGAGTTTTTCTATGAGTATATCATGGCTCGTTAACATGTCTCCATGTCGGGCCCTCGGATTTGAATTTTGAACTACTTGTCGAGTCTGGATTCTGGAAGAACTGAAGCTCTATTTCGGTTGAACGGCGTGGGAAATCTTGGCTGTGTCCAACAGTTGTCAGTGGAAACTTGAAAGTAGTTTGGATCGAGCAACTTGTCCTACCAAACGGCTGGCATCTGTGCTTTAACTGAATTTCTTGCCAATCTGTGAACTACTTCTGTGGCCCTTGTGCCCGCGCCTCTCATTTCTGTCCTACGTTAAATTTCAACTTGTACATGTCTGCACACGGCCACAAACATACGGGTTCCGTGACCCAGAACCACAAAGCACAACTTGCTAATGCCTACAACGAACTCGGGAAGGAACTCTCGTCGAGTAAGATAAGGGTTGTCGGAAACTACACCCTTGGAAAGGTCATCGGTGAAGGTATGGCTTCTGACTCTTATTATTGCTTTCCTATACCTGACACACACTAGGCGCGTACGGGAAGGTTCGCTTGGGTACTCACCGTATCACCTCTACTAGAGTCGCCATAAAGCAGATTCCAAAGGCAATGTCTGCCTCCCTCACCCGTGAAATACACCACCACCGCCAGCTTCACCACCCCCATGTTACTCAGATGTATGAAGTTATTGCCACCGAATCTCACATCTGGATCGTCACAGAACTCTGTTGTGGCGGAGAGCTGTTTGACTATCTTGCTGAGAAAGGTCGCTTGTCCGAACGCGAATCCAGCATCATTTTTGGTCAGCTTGCGCTTGCAGTTGCATATCTACACGAGAAGGGCATCGTTCACCGAGATCTGAAGCTTGAAAATGTCTTACTTGATGAACGCTGTCGCGTCAAACTCGGCGACTTTGGTTTTACCCGCGAATATGACCGTGGCGTCTACATGGAGACTTTTTGCGGTACTACGGGATACGCGGCCCCTGAGATGCTTCAAGGCAAGCGTTACCTTGGCCCAGGTGAGCTCGCCCACCTTACTTTCTTTCATTGGAACCTTTTAATTTCGATGGTGCATTAGAGGTTGACGTTTGGTCCATGGGTGTGATTCTCTACTGTCTTCTAACTGGCACACTTCCGTTTGATGACGACGACGAAGCAGTCATGAGAGAAAAGGTCATCAAAGGCAAATATGAAGACCCGGAGTGGCTTTCTACAGGTATCTATTGATTTTATGCTTTTCGGATGTGATTTACCAGCGGCGGACATAGACGCCCGTGATCTTGTCCGCAATATTCTTGAGGTCGATCCTGCCAAGCGTCTGACGATCCCACAAATTTTGGCCTCTCCGTGGTTTACATCTACCCCTTCCGCCCCTGTTTCTGACCAAGTGCTCCTTGGTATCAATGATGGTCCTCCATCACCGTCACCTGCCCGCGATACCTTTATCCTCCCTGTGAAACCCATCGTGAACACTCAAACACAGGTGAACGAAATTTCTATTTCTCCGGCGACGTCGACTACATCTGAATCATTTATTTCTGCATCATCTCATTTATCACCCCCTGCAACTCCTGATAACACTCCTAAGGACCCTTTCGATACAACTCAGGGTAACGGGAGCCAAACCACGATTACGAAGGATGCTCAGCGCTCTCAACTCAGTAAAGATAGCATGACTCGGCAGCCTGAAACCGTCATCGAAGAGGAACCTGAAGCAGAGAACGTTGCACCATCCGCTGCAGGGTCGGTTACAAACCTCGATCAAACCCCTAAGGCGCCCCCGTATCCAACACGCACACCTGCACGTACAAAGCGCCGTTCTGTATCTTCTACCCTTTCCGACTCTGGTTCACCAACACTGGACAAGCCATTAGCCCCTCTCCCACCCCAGGATTTTGCATCATTGCTCAGTACTCCAGCTCCCATAATTTTCTCCACACCCGCGGAACGCGACCTTCTCAATAGCCTCAGTCTACTGGGATTTGACACTAGTCAGATCGTGCATTCTGTTCTCAGCGATGCGTGCGATGCCGCAGGTGCTATTTGGTGGATGCTAAAGCGCAAGCGGGAAAAACGCGTTTTGGCTGGAGAGATACCATTGCCCCCCGAGTTTTCCGAGCCTGCAGATAGCAAGCAGCGAGAGAAAGATGAAGAGAAAGAGGACCGTCCTAATTCTCGGAGACGTACCAAGCGTGGCATCGGTGTGCAGACTGATGATGTCCCAATTGCTTCATCACTGGGTCTGATACATCGTGCTCCTGAACTTGCCTTGTTGCCTCCGACGCCTACTGTCCCATCATCTGCGCGGCCCACGACGCCGCCACGTGCGAAATCGCCGTTTCTGTCACCGTCACCGACTACTGCTGAATCGTCTGGCAGGTCCAATCCATCGACACCTACCGGAAGTTTCAGGGATAAAGATAAGGACAACAAAGGGAGGAGGGATAGCAAAGCACGCTCTGGGAGTGTGAGCATTATGCAACGCGCCACGAACGCCCTCGAAATCGCAGGTCTTGTGCGCAAGAAATCAAACGAAGCCGTGAAAGGGGAGGACAAGGAACGCGAGCGGGAAAGATCTAGGGAGCACGAGAAGCGGACTGGAGGTGGGGAGGAGCCCCGAAATTCCGGGAACTCCTCCAAGTTGACCAAGTCGCCGCCTTTGAAGCCTAAGGACCAAGTGATTATCCCTACTACCCCGTCCGTTGCAGAGTCGAGTATCCTTTCTCCTCTGCCTGGTTCGCCGTGGGTGGTCACTGGTGGCCGAACGTCTCCTCCACAGTCACATGCACCAACACCTGCGAACTCTCCGGGTGATACGCTGACGAGCCTCCCGAACTTCTCAGATGACGGAAAGGTTGTGCCACCTAACCGGAATCGCGCCAGTTTATTGTCTGCATTCAGACTGTGGTTCCAAGAAGATAAGAAAGGGAAGCGGAAGGAGGCGGCGCAAGCTCAAGGCAGTGGACGCGGACTTTCATATAGCCGTTCTCTTGCCATTCCCCCTACTGTTTCCATGTCACCTGGTGGTCATGCAAATGTCAAGAGAAGAGGCAGTGGAACTGGGCGTGGACGACGTGTGAAACGTCACTCGACGTCGTCGCGCCGTTCGAGCAGTGTAAATTCTCATCGATCGTCAGGAAACTCTGGGCAATTGCTAGTTCTGGAGCCACCTCAAATACTAGAGCAAATTCCCAGCGTGCGGTCGTATGGCGGTGCTCATACGCCGGGATCTGACAGGGGAGAATACTCATCACGCCCCTCCTCTATTCATAGTGTTACACTTGGCAAGCACCGCAAATCGCCATCTACAGGGTCTAATGGGTCAGCGCACTATCGTAACAGTTCACCGATGCATAAATATCACCACAGGCGAGCTGGGTCTTCCTCGTCAACGCGTGTCATACGTCATCAGGCAGGGCCTCGACCTGTACACCATAGGACCAGTTCTGCTACATCGTCCGTCCACTCATTAGCATCCTCCCGGCCAACTTCGTTTTATGAAGCCTCGGAAGGAGAATGCACTCGCACGAGTTCTCCGTACAAGAGCTACCCGTCCCGCCGCTCGCTTGACGATACGCCGCGACGTGGGATAACAGGCAGTGCGACATTTGTGGCTCAAAAGCGAATCACGCCTTTCATGAGTCCCTCCGGAGCCGTCGGACGAACGGGCTGGAAAAAATCTTGGGGCCACGAGCCTCCTGGCTGGCAGTCCCGTTCTACGCATCTACCTGTCGAGGTGCTTTCAATATCACCGGGACCAGAGGGGCCCGCGAACATTCGAGATGTCTTTACTGGGAGGCAAAGTCTCAATTTAGGTGATGAGAGCGATTGGGTGGATGAGGATGATGATATGCCTGAGTTTGCGGGTGGATTGGGTCAGATGCCGTCGAGCTCGAGTACGAACTCGTCATTTACCACCACCGAGTCACCGACCCCTATGTCGCCTCCTGCACGGAATCATAATTCCCGCTCGGGGAAGGGTCGTACTACCTCACTGGCTCTGCCGAATAGCAATAGCAGGGCCAAACAAGGCAACTCGCCAGCTAGGCCGTCTCCTGTTCCGACGGAAAATGTGTTTGATGCTTCAGACACGAGAGCAGGGCGTCGTCAACTACCCACAAGCCGCTCAGGCCCTGCGTTCAGACATCCAATACAAGAAGAAGACGAGGGGGAAGAGGAATAAATCCTATTTTTTTTTTAGCGTGCTATGCATACATTGGTAAATGTTGTCTCATATAAAGTTAGTTGCTGGTTTTCTGTCTTGGATGCTGTCATAGAATTGCTCTCGTGTGCTTCTTCATCCTTTTTCTATGTCATTATGGTTCGCTATTGTCACGTCATCCAATCCCTTTTTGTACTTTCCATATCATTATATGATACCCCGACTTCTATGTCCTGTATTTTTTTTCGTCTCCGAGCTCGTGCTGATGTCTACATGGGATGGACTATCATATTATTTAACCACGAGATACGCGAATAACCAAACAAATTCGTCAAGTAGCTGATTGTCATTCAAGGCGAAACAAGTGGCACAAGTCAACTAAAGCAGGTAGAACTCCTCTTACTCAACAATAGTCACCCGGATCTCTCTAGCGATCAAGAGCGTAATGTACAAAACTGGCGGCACGAGTCATGGTGGTATCTGAACTAATGGTGACTTGTCGCGCGTCTTCTAAAGAAATAAAAGTAAAACATGCAATAGTGCCGATTCCCGAAAATTGGTTCAGGCGATTCGGCGGCAACACGTACGAGTGGTCATTGACAAGGTGGTATGAATCATACTGGCGGTATCGAGTTTAGACCTGAAAGTCTTGCTGATGATGTAATCTCGGGAATAGATCACAAACGACGAGTGCACTGCGATAAGCATCACATGTCGATAGACTCGATAGTCACGTGTTTCTAAAATTAACCGCTCACTCACATGCCAAGGTCAGATGGATGTCTTCTAGTCGGCCAACGGGCGCGCCGAGTCATGTCAGGTTGTCATCCTTGATGGGAGCGCCCCAGTGAGAGCCTGTCAAAACCAGAATCAGCTTCGTTTATGGTACTTACTTGATATACTGATTCCTTCAAGTTCACCGTCCTAGTAGTAATACTTACTCGTGTTAAGCAGCTCAAACCCATGTTGGACAACAGTGAATGTATAAGTACAACTGACTTATAAATCAGATATGTACAGAGGGGCAGAGATATATGCAGCAGTCGGTGGTGAGATTATGAACATCCACGAGAGGCCAATATCGCTCAGGGGATGATTGGTAGGGACTACGAGAAAGTGCGAATTGCTACAAATGTTCAACTGGAAACGACAGGGACCCACGGTATGTGCATCACAATGATGCTCCAAAGAGGAAAAAAAAGAAAACAAGGACGTCCAGCGTCACAGGTTCTGTATCTGCACGATAAGGAATTGCTTCTCGTCCTGATAAGTTGGAAGATATCAGTAGGAAGTGAAAGAACTTTAAACGGTGGATGAATACTCACGCTAAACTGTTCGTCTTCCTTATCGTTATGGAAGCTCCTCAAGAATGTCAGCAATTTCTCCTTATTGCGTCTTAGTATCGTTTCAATCTGAGGTGGTTTCTTTGGATTGGCAACGAATACCTAGCAATAAATTGTAATCAGTGGATAAGGGCGGCAAACAAATTCATGGAATCCCACTTTAAAAACATGGAAAGCCTCGAACTGGATATTCTTGCTCTTGTCCCGAAGCATGTTCATCATCATCTTCAGGTTGGATTCCTGAGCGATGTATCTAGTCATGACGCTGAAATTGGCACGGTCAAGGAGGATTTCGCCGAGGAGCTTGAGAGACTGGCGCTTGGTAACATAATTGTTGGAGAGTAAGAGGGTTGTGAAAGAGGCGAAAAACTGTGCGGAATGCTCAGTATGCAATGAACACGATTATGAGAATTTGATACCCACACGGTCATAGTTCTTGTCCAAGTATTCGGCGACCATAGGTTTGTGCCGTGTTAATGTCTCTTTGAGATTTGCAAATGCGTCGCATGAAACTCCAAACGATGTAGTCTCTATATGATGAGGGAACATGTAGAACCTGCGCGGCATTCGATATGATGAGTTTTGAATGCATGATAGAGCACTCACTGATCAGAATAAAGCAAGATCTTCGCCAACTGTTCGTGTCGCAACATCTCCCTTAGCACCATTCCCGTGTTCAACGCAACCTCTTCGTTACTGTATCCTTCTAGAGCTGCAAAGATGACGTCTTCATGTCTAGCGCATATGTATTCCACCGTTGGTAGCCGTGCCCCGATTTGACGCCGGAGAAGATTGTTGAATATCTGGACGACATCCTTTCGAGCCTCAAAGTCGAACTTTGCGATATTCTGCACGAGTAGGAGGAGCAGGTCTGTTGAATACGTTTCTTGTGCGAGTTGCGCAATGAGTTCTGGTAAAGGCTCTAGGAAGCTCTTAGTAAGTAGGGACGATATGAACAGCGGAGGATCAGCACACCTCCATCACCGTATAGAATACCCTTTACTGCCTGTAGATTTCTAGATACTTCTTCACCCGCCTAGTGGTCACGATCCCATTCAGTTGTGAGTTTCATTTGAGTTCATGAGTTCATCCATCAAGCTCACCTTCCTCCTCGTCTCACTGCCTGAAGGCCCAGATTCGAGCTTGGGTATCGCATCTCGCAAGCCGCGGACGATATCAGGAGGTGTTCTTGGTTTGGTCTTGAAAAAGTTCATTGTCTATACGGTTGAAACAATCTCCTGGGATATCTGATGATAAAGAAAGGGACGAGGGTCTAAATAGATGGACGACAGGATGAATGGCACGGAATGAATAATGATTTGGCTGGAAACGCCGAGCTCAGCGTTTCAGAGACGGGATGTACTAGCCTTGGTAAGTAGCCTAGTAAGCCACTGACAGAACTTCCGATCTGAACTTCGCATATGGCTTTCTACAGCACATGCCTAATTTGGCTTTCTCTCAAACCACCAAGTATGCTGGCACTGGCACGGTGGAGTCAAGTATCCTAGCTAGCTGATGAGCCAGGCCAACCTGTCTGAGGATGGTACAGATTTGAAACACTGCGTATATTCGAGCCAATTGGGACAAAATGGCTGCATCTCTCATTCATTGGTTGTACTATACGGGCCTTGATAAAGGATCGGAATTGAAAGGAATTGCATGCATATCATTACAATGATAGAGACCACCCAAGTAGATATATCTGTTTCGACAGTTGTCGCAACTCAAAGTAAGTAGCCAGGCCTACTATTACATTGCGGTTTGTGGTAATTTACAATAATGTCTTCGTACAATTTTATGGCATTCAGATGCAGGTATATCCTTTCAATCCATTGAATATCAGAAGCAACACTTCTGTTTCATGTCATCGTTCGATTCTTGCTGGTTGCAAAGGCCTGAGGGTTGGAGCTATATAGAAGATATTCGCGTCAGTTGTGACACGCTAACAATGATCGATATCTCTAGTCTTACCGTTCATACAGCCTGGCATATCCTAATTTTCCGATACTCCCTCGTTGACGGAAGTGAAATCTACAGCATTTGACGGACTTCCTTGCTGTGAGGTCGCCACGCGGCACACAATACTACTCACTACTCACCTGCAGTCCGGAACCATTTTGTTGCTGGTTATGCAGAATTTGCGTCGGTCCTTGACTGACAGGTTATATCCTGCGTTCTACTTGGACAACTAGAACTACTTAACAGACTACATGCACCACTTGCACGTTAATGTTACAGGGGATTGATAATTGTTTCCCTTCAGCCATTCACTGAGAAGTGAGTGGTGTCGCTGACCTGCGAACTTTGCGTTACCACGATTCTCGAAGGCTTCTGTTAAATTGGCGAATAATAGTACTTACTGTCAATGTATTACCATAAATAGGTACCTATCAAACGAGGTTTCGAACATCCTTGTCGACTCCAGAACCAGAACCAGATACGCTCTCCGGATATAGCGATCCAAGGGTACTCCGGAGTATGTCGGACACTAAGGAATGCAAGGGTGTCCCACCTTCGTGGTCACAAGAAATTTATCCTTCAATACAAGTTGAGAGTGCAAATGATTTAGAAGGTTCCGCCACAATTATTCGAGTCATTAGTGTAGGCGGACACTTTTACGGAATCGGCGAAGGCAAGGTGTGGCATGAGAAACCGCCTCTCGGGGGGCAAAGGTGACTTGAAATGGAATAATAAGTATGCTCCCCGACCCCGGCTTTGCTTCGCTGTATGACTGTGGCCAAGACAATAGAAATACAGGGATGCAGCACACCGGCCGTCGCACGGAGGTACACGGTGAGTAAAGAGGCGTCACTGGGTCAAGGTTACATATTCTGTTATGGTTAGCCTTGAGCATCACTTAAGCGGTCTACCGGGCGCGATTCTGGCTGATTCGCCAATGCAGAATGACCCTGTATCCAAACATCAGTACTTCCCCACTAACAAACCAAATAGACATACACTAGTAGTTCCTTCCAAGTTGCCGCAACTTTTTTGTGAAGTTCAGAATCCGGCTACCTACACAAAGAATAATCACAAGGAAAAAGGCTGGTAGTGCCGGGCAGACATACCGGTAATTGTACGGCATGCTGCAATACGTTGGGGTCGGTGGAATTGGATATTGATAGGGCTGATCAGCCCCAGAACTGAAAATACATAAGCAACATCGCGCCAGAAGCATACATAAAAGCCGATGATTAAGAATTATGTGCGGCCCTAGAACCAGTGATACGTACAATCAGTCGGTCCAAGGCGAAGAGGAAAGACTAAAATATTCTTGCTAGTCGCTAGGGGCTTACACAGGAATATTGCCATGACTCCGAGCCTGTTTAAAGTCTTTGAACGTAAAGGTGAGCAACAAGAATTATGAAAGGAGGCAGGCCGAGGAGAAGGCAGGATCAGCCCGCCGCGCTCTTAAGGTCCGTTGAAGTCGCGTTATCTGAGGAGAAAGTCCCACGTCGTACAACGCAGCGATACCCTTGAGGTCAGATTAATGATACTTTTGAAAGCAAATAGACCCTGACGACGGCATGTTGCTTGATCTGAATTGGCAACCCGGAGACTCATGCCCTTGCATGTACGAGTGAAGTTTGGAGCTCTCTTTAGGATGTCCCTGTAGACGATCTCAAAAAGGCGCACCGAATTTCGCAGCAGGGTGTTTCGCACCGTAAGCCGAAACTTCATGGATAGAGACGTCCGAGTCTGTAACCGACGAGAAGCGGTCTTTAACAATGCAGCAAGCCGACGTGCTTACACTCCCACGCGGCGCTAGCAAGCTAGATCACGAACCGTCAATTACGATCAGCTACAAAGAAGTTCTGCTCTGATCTACCTTGGCTATGAGCTCGCTGATAGCCGGGCGGGCTGGGGTGGCTCCAGGCTCGAGTAAGCTTGATGAAAACGCATCTCATGACCCAGAAAGGAATGAATGAGGACATGTGATTGCCTTGGGCCCGGACCAGGAAAAACGTACTGCCACTAATGTATACGAATCTTTTGATTTTGAGCGCCAAGGGCCAAGACTACTGAAGCGCCGGGACTAAAGGTCATCGATACATGTGTCCTGTCAGAATTAGCTCCGTGTCAACGCGCCACTGCAGCGTTGCAGAAATACATGAATCAGCTTTAGAACTGAGTACTGAGTGATAGACTTCCTATCACGCGGCAGAATCTGGCAGAGCTGATAGAGTAGATGACCATGCGACTCCGAGTCGGACATGCACATTCATAAACTTATGTCATTCGTGGGAATAAACGAATTTCCGTTCAAAGGCTCTTATGTAATTACATAAATGCACACCCTTGAACTTAACCGCGAGTATACAAGAAAGGCTTCAAGCTTCAAGAGGATATTGCGCGAGGGGTAACAGGTAAGTGTACAATATCATTCATGCACCTACATGACATGATTTCCGGTCAAACAACAGACTTGGAAAAAGATTTCTGCTACCGCAATCGGTGTTCAAACGTTCACCGGGCATTCGCCTTCATATCCATGGCCTTTCGTCTAGTACCTTCAGCTAAGTATGTCATTCATTTCCAGGCCATTTTTGGCCGTTCCCTGTCACGTCTGCTTCTGTGCAATCTATTTCTCCGAGGCTACATAAAACAGTCTCCTGGTTGATCAGATGCCCACGAACCGTCTGGTTCCCCGAAATACTGGAGAATGCTCTACGATTTTTGGTGGGTTTCCTCCACCCCCCTATGCTCCTCCCGTGCATATATCTTTGGCAGGAAGCTAGATTCAGACCTATATGCACACGTCAAAGCGTCCGGACGTTCACAAGGGATGTCTCACGAGGTATGTCAGTCTGACAGTATGCACGGTGGTGAAATGCTAATATTCACGTAGCCGATGCAGAACCGTATGCATCGTGTACACATGGACTCCTGTAACAGTGCTACTGCATCAGCTGTTCCGCAGCATGTTCAATCGAAAACTAGTTACCGTGCATCGGCTTCTTGTGACCCGCATGTTGAGGACTCATTGTCAAACAGTACCTCGTCACTGTCGAGTTCTGGGAAAGCGGTTGCTCAACGTTATGCTCAAAGGTATGATTCCCTTCACATGATGTTGATCCTGTGTTATTAATGGAATGGACGTTTTCGAAGTGCGGCAAGACAATCTTTGTGCTACGGTCCCAGTGATTCGCTCAATTATCGGTATGCCGTCGATCCGCAATTGCCTGGCACAATGCCGTACGCGGACGAAAAATTTCCCGTCGTGCTCTTGCATCATGTCCATCGGGGGGATATACCCCACGAACAGGAACCTTCATCCAACAATTTTAATGTGTTAGAATCGCCAACCCAATGCCTGTGGAACGACAGCCAAGGCCAGTGTAGCTTTACTGCGGATACGGTCACGACCGTGATGAAGCATATATCGTCGCACCATCTTCGTGAGCATCAGCACTCTGACTGCCAGGTGCGATGTCGATGTAGGGGATGCTTGCTTCGGAGGACGATAAGACGAGATACAATTCTCAGGCATATCCGCGAAATACACTACGGGGACAAATTTCGCCGCAAGCACTCACCGTGAGTTTTATCTGCACTTGAAAGACTGATCACTTTGGGTCGCATCATGTAGGAGGCGGTCCTATTATACCTTCTGATATACTATTCCTGCTTTTGTGGCTAGTGTGTATCTTAGTAGGATCTATATAAGGTCCTGCCCATTCTTTGTTCGTACATTCTATACAACTCTTCATCGTACATTTTTATTCCTACATGTAGAACACCAGTCGCATATGCTGTACAAAGGACACTATCGTGATGGACCGTCATGAATATAGCTCTCGCATTCTCTGCCTTAACTATCTACGGTGACTGTTCAATAGACCGGTACCCAAATTAACCGGCCGGGCCGGCGGGCCCGGCGGTTCTTTACCGAGCTTCTCAGCCGGCGTCCTCTCGCAAATTTCTCTCGCTAGTCTCATGGACCTCATCGCAGAACGTGTTTCGGCGTGCTCTCCCTAGGCCTACTCACACACGCACGTTGTTAGCCCCACGAATTTATACCTCTGTCTCTGGTTGGATGCACTCTGTCACGTCTCATCCGTCCTTGACTCCTTGTTGACTTCAACTTCAATATTCCGAATTCAATGTGGTGTGTCTAAGCTTGGTCCAAGCTGACATCTTTATTGTGGGGCACCCTGTAACACGCACACGCACACGCACAACGTCCCGTACTATTCCTATCTTCATATCGGAGCCCACAAAGATCTGTCGCCCAAAGTCTTTCGGAGCCGAGCCTTGGAACATGCGGATAAGCTGAGTAGAGCCAGACATGATGCACAAAGGCGATAGCCCATTGCATTGACTTTCTCTAGCTTTCATGTGTGTATTCAAAAAATATTTCACCAAGTTCATACCTTGACTGAAACTTGTGCTTATAGATTTGGCTTAGATACGTGTCTTTCGCTCATCACAACCTCCGAGTCAAGATTTGCAAATTCTCAAACCGAGTTCTGGATTCCCTGTCGATCCTCCGAATGAGAATTCATCTAGATCTCTATGTAGATCTCTACAGATCTTCATGGTTCCAATGTGCTTCCGTCGATCTGTGATCAGACTCGTGTCGTCTCCTGCGTAGTATGAACCCCGCGAAACTAGGTGGTATGTCATTTCTCGAATTTGATCATTATTGTTAAACAAATGTAGTATGCATTGTATACCGTACCAATGAGCAAAGCGCGCATTCACTCGTATCTCCCCATCATCTTTAAGGCGACAAGACGAAGGTGCCAATCGTGTCCTCTCTCTCTTATGATCAAAGATGTCGATGCACCGTCAGAGTACATAGTCACATACTTGGCCACCCTCCAGCCAGTAGCGAGATGCCATTATATTCACAATCTCCGCTGTACCCTGTCAAACGTGTTATATATGTGTTGTATAGGCAACTAGTAGTAGGGACTTAACGCGCGACTGGCTAACAGATATACACAGTATATAGTCTGCACAGAAACAACAGCGAGCGACATAAAGTAAAAACAAACTAGAGCAATAAACTACAGACGAAGGCTACACGATCAGCAAAAACAAACTAGAGCAATAAATAGGATTAGATTACAGACGAAGGCTACACGATCAGCATTAATGCAGGTGCGTGTTTTTCCGGGATCCACGGGAACCGGCCCCAGCATGAGAGGCTACCCAGAGCTTGCTTCGATACTTGTGTCCGAGATGTTTCTCGACGATGTGGCGGATGATTGTATCTCGTCGCACAGGCTGGTGGAGCTCGCAGTCCTTCCACAAACATTTCAAGCGCTTGGCAGGGGGCAAAGGTGACTGGAAATGGTATGATGACATATGTGTCTTGGTCTTGGCTGCATTTATAGTCTTACCGCATGCGCCATGACCATCATTCCACTGGCACACAGACGCACGATCGACGTGCGATTTTGACTCATCATCGTTGACCACATATTGAGGATGGGGGTAAACCTCTTCTTGGAATTGATGAGGTGGGTCATGCTGGAACCCTTGCGTGGGTGACCATGGGTTGGCAGGGTTTACGTCAGAGAAGCCCGTAGTGTGGGCAGGCGGGTAGTCGGACAAGGCATAGGGAGAATAGCTGGAAGGAACACAGCGTGGATGCCATCCAGCAGCATCACTAAAGAAAAGAAGTTCCGATAAGCACAAGATCATCGATACCATCCGGGGATCTCGTACCTATGATTGTCACCCTTAGCTATTGGGATCGGTGATATACCCGCATCAGGTACGTTATCACAAGGGACCACTGTTTGATCCTCGGTTGTCGAGTGTCCGTCGCATGTAACATGATGCTGGGAGACAACGGGTGTAGGATCGTAGGCAGTATTCTCTGGTACAAAATGTAGGAGGTGTTGGTGAGGCTGAGAAGTCGACTGTCCCTATAGCGAGATGTCAGCGCTTCACATCGTTCACATTGCGCAGACCGAACTCACATGACTGGTGGTGGTTTTCAGGTGCTCCGCACTTGATGCTTTGACGTGTAGGTATAACTCTGAGTCCTGCTGCCTGCACAAGGGGATAAGAAACAAGAAGGAATACAGCGGCACAAATCAGACGTACCAGAAATTGTACGACGTGCTGCGATGCATTGTGAGCAATGGCACTAAACAATGATCATACTGATAGCGAGTCAAAATCCTTCAAACGATATAAGCTCGGAGACGTGAAAACATACCAGGAAGGCCGACGGCCAACGATTGTCCACAGGCCAAGGGTCGGTGGCATGTAGTAGGCGGAGTTGAGGGAGGTGGAAATGCATGGCTACCAATCACTAGAGATTCATATCAGGTCCAAAACAAAGTACAGAGGCCAAAGGCCAAAGGCCAGAGATATGGGAGATGATAAGGTCTATGGGTCTCGTTGAGGAAAATCCACAGTTGAAAAAAGTGAAGCTTGCATGAGGCGGCGACGCCTTTGAAATCAATGGCATTTTGGGCCGTGGCCGCTGTCTGAGATCGTGGAACAGATCTGCAACTCATAGGCTTGCCTCTACACGACCAAGAACGAGGTAGTCCCAGAATTGGAATGCCTCGTGAAACACTCTCATTGGTCAAACAGCTTGTTCCTGTAGCGGTTTCGATATTTTGAACGTTTGAACATCAGGCCAGCCATGGCAAAAATGAAAAGTCTGTGGCAATCTCCGGCTATTGGGGAGAGGCGACGGCCTCATGGGGATAGCAATGTGGGCAGGAGCCTGCCATTCTGCTGCCGGCAGAGGCCGAGCGCCTTATTAGGTAGAAGTCGGCAGAAATTGTATTTTTTTCTACAAGCGGAACGGGTTGGAGAAGAAATTATAGTGTACACCTTGAGCGGATTCGGAATGAATGTGATCGAACTATAGTCTATAGGGTGCCGGGTGCGGTGTACTATATCCAGAATTCTATCATACGACCCACTCGCTCATTTTTACACACTCTAGACGGTCCCAGCTCAACCGCTGAAATTTAAATAATAACTAATGTAAAGTGCAAACGCGATCAAATTTGCAACTTGCGAATAGTTTACATTTGTAATGGATAACATTTCGCAGTCCTGGATTGACATGGACATGCGGACAGTGTCGTTTGACGACGGTCATCAGCGAGGAACGTTCCGCTTCTCTCGATCATGATCGAGGCTTAGCTAATTTCAAATCGTTGGACACTCATGATGCGGCCTCGGGCATGGCGCCAGACTCGAGGAGGCTCATTACATCAGCCTTGCGTCGACCTCCTCTACCATCAAGCAGTTCCCAATGATGCGGCTTTAGAGGGTCATGTTGAAGACAAAGACGTTCAATTTGAGGAAGCGGATCTATTCCGCCACCTGCAAAGTGAAGAAGGTCATCTCACAACCAGGCTGGGCTCGTCGTACGAGGACTTGTAAGGGTTATACACCATGGCATACCTTGAAGATGGGCCCAGGATGCGATGTCATTCATTATTGCTCTCCGAAAAGCATCTCTAGACGACACACTCTAAGTTACTTCCAGACGCGCTAGATAAATTTCGAATTCCTTTGGCATCCGGGCGAATAAATGATATATCGAAAAGGAGTTAATATCCTGCAAAAATATATCATATCATATTGTGAACACAACTCAAAAGGTAGTTGAAACAGACCACGAAAGCGATGGGACGAGAGCAGTAAAGTAGCGTTCCGAACAGCTCGCAACGCGTGCGCTCAATGCAAGGTACCGTCAACGACTGCCCCTACTGTGTTCCTGATCCACGCGTTCGAGGAACACTTAGCGAATGTTTGATTCAGTGCTGCTGTTGTCACGAATTGCGTTGCTTTCGATCGATTATTATGATGAGAAATTCAGCGTAACAACATTACTGTTTGCTGTGTGTCGGGTTTCACTAGACGCCTGCGAGAGAGTTAGTAGCTGATGCTGCAGACATCACAAGAACTCACCTGTATTGTTGCTTGACCCATAGGATGATTACTAGAAACCTAGCAGTGATCGCGTATACATGCGTCTTGCCTGTAGTATTCAATAATTCAGCCTGAATACTGTTTACAAACTTGACCAGGGCTCGAGTGGGTTACTAGCTGACCGCGGCATCATTTCGCGGAGGAACATAACGGTAAGGGAACAAGAGACCGGTGTTGACGACACGAAGACGGAGTTTAGACTTGAAACACTTTGTTACTTGGCGCACTGCACATGCAACCAGTAGATGGCAAATGCAAACATTGCGGAATACATGTGGTTGTGGAATCAGTGCGAGGATGGCCAAAGTTTACGCCAAGTGCTCACAAAAAAAAATACTCATCCGAGTCACTGTTCGCCATCAGATCTACCAAAGATCTACGTGGCACTTTGTAATTGCGTAACACTCTCTCACGCGCCCCCGCGATGTCCGATATCGATCTTCACAGAGTGGGGTTTAACGTTTACATTTAGTCATACTAGTATGGCGTGTTATCAACGTGTCCGAGTCTCACATTCACAGGTCCGTATGGTTCGATTGCATCCCCGAAGATCATAATAATAACAACATCGACAATTCACGCGACTAGTTACTTACTCGTCCGACTTTAGATTGATATCAAATTTTTATGGTTTGTTAGTTGGAACAAATACCAGGTTATGAGTCGTAATTCTGCTGACTTCTGCCAACTACTGGTACCTTCGATCTACTGCCGGCAATTAATGCCACCGGCAGAATTGCAGCATTCTACCAACAACACCAAGTACTAGGTCACCGTTGAATCCAACGACATAGCGAACGGCTCACTGGCGGCTGACACATTCTCTGCACATCTCATGATTGTTGTCCAGGGGACTGGCCTAATCACGACTGCATCTAAATGCGAGCACCAGCCAAAAAACGCGCACACTGTGGAACACGCAAATGATAAATGTACTGATACAACCGCCCAGATGTGATGGCACGCCTCGCGCGCATGGATATCGCGCTACGGTGTATAATTTTGGATGGACACATTCAAGTATAAAAGCCAAGCTCGTTGACCTACGAAGGGTGTTCTCCATGGCTGGTTCAATCATCTTAGTGTGTACTTTGTTCTTCTTGATTCTTCTTGTCACGTCAGCTCAGGCAGCCAACAATTCTTTGATACGTCCTTCAGATACTTATCTAGACCCACAAAAGGATCCATGCAATGCTCTTGAATATATCGCTAACAATGCGCTCACTGCTATCGCCTTTGGTGAGTGACCACTAAGCCATGGAAATACGTAGCTTATTGTGCAAAGTTTACTATGTGCTGTTGGTCGTCCTCATTCAGACTTGTCAAGTAGTCTATAACGGCGGACACTTCATGTTGTCCATGGTTATCGGGGAATACAGCACGTTGCAGTCTTTTGCTTGTTTTGGTTCTTCCTCATTTCGGTTGTAGTTTATGCTCTCGGCTTCGCATTTCGCTTCACTTTACATTACAGCCCTGACTCATTGTGGATTTTCATTTCCGAAGACTTGATGATCGTATTATCTGTGAGTCAGCACCAAACTATGACTATGAACATGCATGTGTTGACCCTTGAAAGCCCTGTTCCTTCATTGCCGCGAATTATGCTCTTCTTGGGTACCTTGCCGGTGAAATCGACTGCGAACGTCTTGCTTTCAATGAGGTGGCTCACCCCCGTATTCATGTCCGATGCGACTACCCTTGTAATCCAGGTGGGCGCTGATTTTTTTTTTTTTGAATGATCCTATCTGATGATGTGGTCCCAAAGGCGGTAGGAGCCTCATTGATTACATCCAAGGTTCAAGGTTTGGCATCGACGGGACTTCACGTGTGTCCTTGCATCTGGCGTTTGCGTGTGGGAATCTGGTCTAACTATATCTGTCGGATTTTGTTGGCCGGCCTCTCCGTACAACTGTTCTCCTTCGGTTTCTTTTGTGCCGTTTATGCATGATTCCTCTACAAGGTCTACACTGAGGAACAGGATGTCTGGGTGCGAGACTCAACACAACCCTGGTATAGGGACTGGCGAACGCTCGCTACTGCCTTGGTGGTCAGTTGTATCGGACTTCTGGTTCGTGTTGCATGTAGACAGTAATCTCAGAGCCTTTGGCTGATACTTGGATAGATTCGTTCTGTCTATCGTGTTGTGGAAGCTAGTCAGGGCTTCCGCGGCAATCTCAGCACAAGCGAGACAGCCTTCTATCTGGGTGACACGATTCCCATTTGCTTGGCTATCTTTGTGTATGTTCCATTCTGGCCTGGAAGGTTCATAAAGAATAGCAGTCATCCCTCTTCTAGTCTGACCCTTGAGGTAAGCCACGCTCATTTCATTTCATTGGTACATTATGTTGATCGTCGTCGTCAGCAAGGTGCCGGTATGGGAGCCTACGGAAGTTTCCGGTACCCAGCGTCCAATTGAGCGAAAGCGGCGCGTTCTTCTTTGTTCCCTCCTTTGCCTTCCTTTCGACGACGAGCTCGGTCTCGCTGGGACTCATTCTCGCTCTGAAAGTCCTCTCTTTTTGCACGCAGCGCCTCTCCTATTTCGTTTCGCAGTCGAATTAACCTTCATCATATTCCCGCACACACATAAATTAATCCAATAGTATTTGCCATGCCTTAACCTTACTGTTTTCCTATTAAAGTCTGACACGATTCAATCCGCGATCAGTTGTCCCACCCAGCGGCTCGGGCTACTCGCGTCCCACCTCGAGCTTCGCTCGGTCTAGCCCAACTACCCTAAGATTGTGCCAACGAACAGCAGCATCAGCGCAGACGAAGCTGGATCATCGCATTTCTTTTTTCTTGTTATCAGTTGCGTTAGCATGGTAAACTTAAAATCGATCACACTGCCAGTGGGCTTAATTCAAGTAGCCGGCCTAGATTGTTTTTGATTTGTCAGCTCCTCCTCGTCGGTCAACGACCTACACTCTCTGGATATTCTCTTTGTCTGCGTGATATGGTTGAGAAACGAGGAATAAACTGGTTGACTCTACTTTGTCATTGTGTTTCACTTGTCGAGGCTGCAGCTTCCCCATCTTCTGTTTGTCATCGCCCTCATCATCACTCTTGCCTCCCGTTTTGCTGGTGGAGCTTTTTGATTACGGGTCATCGGTCGTGTTTTACGCAAGTTCTTCGGGGTTTTTGAGGTCTCTCAGGTTTGACGAGCAGTTTGTTTCCCGTCACCTGCTCCTACTTTATGGTACGTGGTTCATGACTCGTGTCAATTATGCTACCATCGCTTGCGCACATTTCATTCGTGTTCAGACAACTGATCTAGAGGACTACTTATATGACATGCATATGATGTTGAGTGTGTCAATAATTTCATCGTGTTCCGGGGCCTACTTCTAAAGAGGCCCTAGCAACATTTTGTGCATCAGGTCATGCCTGATCCTGATCCTTTCTCCAATCTCTCGCAGCACCTAAGCTGTAATGGAGCCAGCCGGTCCGACCGTCTTGCAGCGAGTGGCAACGACACAAACCAAGCGAAGCTGCGTCGCCGAGGTTGTGAAGGTAGTACTGGTCACAATGATCAGGATTGTCCTTGGCATGTGACTCGCTAGGTACAGAGGTTCTTTACCAAGCCTCTCAGCCAACGTCTGCTTGCAAATTTCTCTTGCTAGTCTTGGACTCATCGCAGAACGTGTTTTGGCATGCTGTCCCCAGGCCTGCTATCTCTCACACACTACTAGCCCCACGCATGCACGCATACTTCTCTCTCTGTCTGGTTGCACTCTGACACGCCTCACCCGTCTTTGTCGACTTCAACCTCAACATTTCGAATTCAATGTAGCGCGTCCAAGCTTAATCCAAGCTGACCTTATGGTTGTGGGGCACCCTGCAACACGCAGACGCGCAACTTCCCGTATTAATACTATCTCCGCATCCGCCCAGAGTCATTCGGAGCCGAGTCTTAGGGTATGCGGATAAGCTGAGTGGATCCTGACATTCGGATGCAAAAAGGCGATGGCCATATCATCGGATTTCTCTAGCGTATTCAAGAATTATTTCATCAAGTCCATATCTTGACTTACACTCGTGCTTAGATTTGGCTTAAATACGTGTCTTCAACCATTCCGGCACCTCGATATCGCCCACTTAGTACAGCTGAGTACACACGGCATGCGTGTTCTCTGTTTGACATCGGATCTATCTCTTACAGATATGATCATGGATCATGATACAACTCCGAGCCAATTTCAATCCGAGTTTCGAATTCCCCGTCGATCCTCCAAATGAGAGTTTATCTAGATCTCTCTAGATCTTCGTAGTTTCATTTTGCTTCCGTCGATCTTCGATTCCCTTCAGAATTGCATTGTCTCTTTTTGCGTTGCACATAGTACAAGGCTCACAAAACTAGGTGGTAAAGAATGAACATAGCTTAACGCACGACTGACCAATGAAATTTGATGAACAGCCAGATATGCACAAAGCATAATGTTGATTTGTACGGAAACAACAGCGAGCAACATAAACTAAAAACAGACTAGAGCAAGAAATGATATTGAGTTACAGACGAAGGCTACATGATCAGCATTAATACAAGCGTGCATTCCTCCGGGATCCACAGAAATCAGCCCCAGCATGAGAGGCTAACCAGTGCTTGCATCGATACTTGAGTCCGAGATGTTTCTCGACGATGTGACGGATGATTGTATCTCGCCGCACAGGCTTGTATAGTTCACAGTCCTTCCAGAGACATTTTAAGCGGCTGTCGGCAGGTAAAGGTGACTTGAAATGGTATGACGACATATGTTTCCCGATCTTGGCTGCATTTATAGTCCTCCCGCATATGCCATGGTCATCATTCCACTGGCACACAGACGCACAATCAACGTGCAATGCTGACTCATCATCGTTAATCACATATTGAAGATGAGAGTAATCCTCTTCTTGCAATTGATGACGTGGGTCGGCAAAGTTTGTGTTAGAGAAGCCCATAGTATTGTGGGCAGGCAAATAGTCGGAAAAGGCAAAGGGAGAATAGCTGGAAGAAACACGGCGTAGCTGCCATCCAGCAGCATCACTAAAGAAAAGAAGGTTTGATCCGCTAAGAACAAGATGATGGATACTGTCTAAGGATCTCGTACCTTTGAATGTCGCACTGAGCTATCGGGACCGGTAATATACCCGGATCAAGTACGTCAGCACGAGGACCCACTGTTTGGTCCGAGTCCTCGGTTATCAAGCCTCCATCACACGCAACGTGATGCTGGGAAACAACGGGTGTAGAATCGTCACGAGAATTCTCTAGTGCAGAGTGTAGGATGTGGTGGTGAGGCTGAGAAGTCGACTGTCCCTATAGCAAGATGTCAGCCCTTCACATCGTTCACACGGCGCAGACTGAACGTACATAATCGGTAGTTGTTTGCAGGCGCTCCGCATTTGATGCCTTGACGTGTGGATATAACTCTGAATCCTGCTCCCTGCGAGAGGGGATAAAAGGCAAGAAGAAATACAACGGCACAGATCAGACGTACCAGTAATTGTAGGACGTGCTACGGCGCATTGTGAACAATGGAATAACTCAGAATCCTTCAAACAATATAAGGATATGAAATCGTGCCAGGAAGGCCAACGGCCAACGGTTGTCTGCAGGCCAAGGGTCGGTGGCATGTAGAGGTGGAAATGCATCACTTCCAATCACTAGGAATTCCATATCACGTCCATAATAAAACACAGGCCAAAGGCCAGAGATTTCGTAGATGATAATTTCGATAAGTCAAGCTTACGGGTATTGTTGGAGAAAATCTATCAGGCAGTGAATGTTGCATGAGGCAGAGAATGTTGCACGAGGCAGCTGTTGTATGAGGCAGTGAATGTTGCATGAGGCAGCGATGCCTTTGAAACCGATGACATTTGAGGCTGCCGGCGGCGGTTGTCTTCGTGGAACAGATCGCGACTTGAAGGCTTGCCTCCAGTACGCGAGGCGGCCCCAGAATTGTAATGACCCATACATGCTAGCATTAGCCAAACATCTTGTTTCTGTAACGGTTCCAAATACGATATCATGAACGCTTGAACATCCGGCCAGCCATGGCAGATTGAAAAGTCTGTGCCAATCTCCGCTATTGGAGATTCGTAGTACTATGACGGCGATGGGCCTCGTGGTGGATGGAATGAATGCAAGCCTCAAAGGTAGGTTCACTGTGAGTAGTTGAGTTCCAGTATTCGAACTAGTGCGCTGGTGTGTATCCATTCGATTTACTGTAACTGAGTCTGGTACATGCTGACTGATTATGTAATATTATTAGTCAGCTCTTCGATTAGGGGGTATCAATTGTGAACATAATGCAATGCATGTCAGTCGAGCGATATCAGAGGATGTCAGTTGACGCGTTCGATTTTATTCGAATGCAAGCATCAATGCAGTGGGCTTATCGTTCCATATCTAGTCAATAAGCCTCGAATTTCTTTGTGAGCGGTTTGAGCTTCTTTTATTCCATCTCCACACACCACTCAAGAGCGCCTAGGTTTCTGAAAAAGCAATACACTCAGTTCCTCTGCAGAAAGAAATAGCTACCCTGCTGTACCTAGCAGTTTTTCCTCACATTCAAGAGCATGGGTAGGTTGAAGAGTGTCCTCAAGAACAGCTTGAGCAGGGAGGCTGTGTTCAGGTCGTTCGGATACGTTGTCCTGGGGAGTGAGCAGGGTGGATGGTGCTGGCAGTAATAGCTCCGCAGTAACTTCGTTTGGTTTGAGGATATCTGTGACAACTCGTAGCCTCGGCGTCAAGCCGTTAAGAGAGTCGTTGAATGCCTGTGGTACTATCTGAGACTGATTACGATGCTAAACAAGAACACGTGAGCGCGTATTGTAGTGTTGCTTGCAGCCTGTCATACATATTTGCACGTAAGACCATTTGCAAGACCATCATGCAAAGGATCCAACTTCGTCTGACCCGAGGACAACGAGGACAGGCACAGTGATTGGGCTGGGACCGAGCGTTAGTTCTGTTTGGACACTGATGAGAATGCCGGCAGGTGGGCGGAAAATAAGCTTGCCAGGCGGACTGATGCAAGACCTCTATTGCAATGAGACAGATAGCGAATACAGCGTGACATTAGTTCTAGGTTATATTAAAATTGGGCGTGGCAGGGGAGGGCAAAAATCTGAGATCGAGGAAGGATAGCTAGTGTGTAGGATCGAGCGTGTATGATCGAGCGAGGAAAGTGTTTATGATCGAGTGTGTATGATCGAGCAAGGACATTGCGTATGATCGAGCGAAGATAGTGTGTGCATGTAGGATTGAGCCGCGAGAGAGAAGAACTGCAAAGAAGGGAAAACGAAAGGCTTTCGGTTCCTTCCCACATGAGCTGACCACGAGCAAAATGACAGGCTTACTTAGGCATTCCCAAAAGCGGAGGAGGCGCATCTGGTGGGCAAGGGTAGGTTGAACAGTCCAGTGCAGGGCGGGACGCAGACGGAAAATTCTTGAGACAGTCGAAGACTCGGAGTAGGTAGTAGAGCGGTCGATGATGTGGCCTTTTTTGAGTTGTGTGAGCGTGCTGCAGAAAGCTCAGACGACGTCTCGCGGCTCGCCACTGTGCGGAGTGTTGCTGAGCGTTGCCGTGCGGGATTCGAAAGAACTGCAAATTTCTCACCTTAGGCCTTAGGACCCGAACCGGCTGCATGATGCCAATGCGTGGGATTCATGCCGTTCTCCGCATGATTTTGATGGGCCTCCAGCTTCGCGTCCGGTCCCAGCTCCGCTCGGCTTTGGAGTCCTAGTGTCGGTTATGCCAGCCACAATTTCACGGCAACTGTGCTGGCAACGTGCTCGGTGACTCGCTGCCGCTTATCGTGCCTAATCTGGTAGTCACTCCTGCTCATTTTGACTATACATGGTCATTGGTAGGTACTCAACGGGTACATTTTTTGTCACCTCACTCATTGGACAATGGACCGTCAAATTTTTACACGAATTGACATTGCTAGGTCTATTTCCATTTCCAGTTCCCAACGATAGTAACAGTTGAACGACTAGGTATAGTAAAAGCATGTCATCAATAAATCATCATTGTACAAAAACGATATAGCAAGAAAACATTACCAGAAACCAGGAAACATACATTACACAGCAGTCGAATTAACATGACTGGATGTGGACGGAGTCTAGCCAAATATGACTCGAAGTAACCTACTACTGGCGTCGAGGTCTGATTCCAAGGTGAATTTGGCGGATGTGGCGAATGATTGTATCTCGGCGGATGGGCTTTTGGAGTTTACATCCCTCCCATCGACATCTTATAGCGTTACGACTAGACCCCGGTAGGAGATGAGATGACGATAAATGGTGAACGATGTCTCCTTCATATGCTTTCTTATCACATGGACCGTGACCATCATTCCATTTGCAGACCACCGAGCAGTTAGATGCGTGTGATTCTGATTAATCGTCATAGACCGCGTGAGGGAGACCCTCAATGCAGCATGATTCAGAAACGTTGCCAGAAGACTCCAGATTATTAGCAGGCAGATTGTTGAAGGAAGCAGTGTGAAGATGCGTGAAAGAGGCGTTGTGCGAAGGCTGTCCAGTAGCACTATCAATGAAGGTATTAATTTGCCTTAAACGGGGACATTGAGGAAACCCTACATATGAATATCACGCTCATTGTTGCCGGTCGAGTCTCCACCATACATAGGATGGTACTGAGTAACCACAGATGGGTGATCTCTTGGAGTCGAAGCTAAATAGTTCTGCTGAGGCTGAGAGGACGACGGGCCCTACAGCATTTTTTAGCGCACTACTGTTTACAAGCACAGACAAAACATACATTATCGACAATTCCTGGCCGTTCTGCACGCGATGCCTTATATAGCTCTGAATCCTCTTGCCTATGCAAAAGATCAATACTAGAAAAAAGGTAGGAGTACGGACGCACCAGAAATCATAACCCATTCTGCGATCTGCTGGGGAAGAGGGACTGGTGAATATGCTTTTAAAACTTATGCAGTGTCGTGGACATGGTTTTGAAACTTATGTAGTGGTATAGATTGGCAGGAATGACCATGAAGGCCGACAACTAAAGGCACGTAGTGTCGTCTAGGACAAGAATGGAATAATATGAAAGTCCACCAAGGCTATCCCACCAATGACCTGGAAATGTTTTTTTTGGCAAAACGGCGAAGGTCTACCGTGGATGTCAAAGGCCAGAGACTGACTGTCCTGGTGAGATTCGTTTCGGCAGCGTCACTTTGGATTAACCCGAGTGATATTTGAAACGAGCATTCGCGGGGTTGGCAAGCTGCATCGTGATTTCCTGACCACAAACATTAGGTTTTCATTTATTTTGGTCATAAACGCGCATCAGTGAACCTAGCTGGCCGGTATGGTGAGATGCACCTAACTGGCAGAAGAAGGAAAATGGTAATGCTAGGAAATAAGGCATAGCATGACTCGGAGATATAAAGAACGTTTACATAAAATTGAATGCTCACTAAAAGTTATATGGAGGCCGAAGTATTCCGCATCGTAACCTTCCCGAAATGCAACTCAAATGTATCAGGCCAATCTAAGGGTTGTGTGCCGCTGACATTGTGACTTGGCTGATGATTAGTCGCAAGGCCATGTATACTCTCTGTTCAACGGTACCTCCACGATAAGCACGAGATGCAGATGGACAAACGGAACATACCCTTATGTGCCGACATGCATCATGTCGGAAATTTGCGATATTTCAATGCTTCGAGATGTTGAAATTCCTATTGTCATGATAATGTAAGATTGGTCGCTCAGTTTCAATACATGAACTTGCGGAGCAAGGTTACTGGTTGTGAAGACATACAGGAAATGGGTAGTCTACATATTATAGACTTGATGCAGGCTCCGCGTGCAAGTGTGCGTGCAGGTCGCGTCGTTCGGGATTTTCCGGCAAGTACGTGTCAGCCGCCGCCTCAGGCCTGACTTTCACATATGCCCATCATATCCAGAGACGGCGGGGAAGGCGGGATAAGATAAATATAAAACGGCGACAGACCTTGGGCGGCTGAAGCAGGCTGACACGCAGCGCGCACTGGATGGAAACTCCCAATTCCCGAACGACGCTCACACAAACTTGCAACAGACTTACATGCAGGTCTGACCTCCATGCGGAGTCTGTGTCAAGCCCGTACAGACCTCATGTACAGAGTGGCTAATTTCCGGTCTTTCCGAGCCTGCAGGTTGTCATGAGGTCTACATTATGAGGCAAGCCCTCACATTCCCTGCCGCAACTATTTGCAGTATTAGGCCAGGTGGCCCGTCCAGGAGTCCTTTACCGAGCCTCGTCCTATCGCAAATTTTTCTTGCTAATCTTGCACTCATCTTTTGGTGTGCTCTCCCTTGGCCTACTCTCTCATACGCTGCTAGCCCGACGCACTTATTTTTCTTGATCTGTTTGGTTGCGTTCTGTCACGCCTCATCTGTCCTTGTTGACCTCAACTTCAATATTTCGAATTTGATGAGATGAGTCCAAGCTTGGTCAAAGCTGATATTTTTTGTTGTGGGACACCCTGCAACGTGCATCGGAGCCCACAAAGATCTGTTGCCCAAAGTCACTCGGAGCCGAGCTTTAGATATGCAAACAAGCTGAGTGGAGGTTAACATGATGCAAACAGGCGATAGTCATTGCATTAACTTTCATGTGTGTATTCGAGAATTATTTCTTCAAACTCATACTTTGACTTACACTTGTGCTTAGATTTGGCTTAGATACGTCTTTGACCATCCCAGCACCTCGAAACCGCCCACTTAGTACAGCTGCGTACACACAGCATGTGTTCTCTGATTGACATCGTATCCATCTCTTACAGCTATCATGATACACAACTCCGACTCAGGGTTCGCAAAATTTCAAACCGAATTTCGAATTCCCTGTCGATCCTCCAAATTTATGAGAATCCATCTAGATCTCTGTAGATCTTCATAATTCCATTTTGCTTCCGTCGGTCTTCGATTCCTTTCAGACTCGTGTCGTCTCCTTTTGCGTTGCATACACATAGTATGAGCCTCGCAAAACTAGGTGTATGTCATATCTCGAATTTGATCATTAGCAAATGTAATATGCAGTGTATTTCGTACCAATTAAGGCTGCTACTAGATCGTCCATGCAGGCGAGCAAAGCGCGTATTCACTCGTATCTCCTTGTCATCTTTAAGGCAATAGGACGAAAGTGCACGTCGTGTCCTCTCTTATATCGACGCACCCTCAGAATACATAGTCACATGCTTGGCCACCCTCCGGCCGGTGATGAGATTTTATTAGATTCGCGACCTCCGCTGTACATGTCAAAAATGTTATATATGTATTGTATAGGAAAATACTAGTAAGGAATGAACATAGTTTAACACGCGACTGACCAATGAAATTTAATGAACAGTCAGATATGCACAAAGTATATGGTTTGTACAAAAACAACAGCGAACGACGTAAACTAAAAACATACAAGAGCAAGAAATGATAGACGAAGGCTATACGATCAGCATTAACGCAGGCATGCATTCTTCCGAGATCCACAGAAACCAGTCCCAGTATGAGAGGCTAACCAGTGCTTGGATCGATACTTGAGTCCGAGATGTTTCTCGATGATGTGACGGATGATTGTATCTCGCCGCACAGGCTTGTAGAGTTCACAGCCCTTCCATAGACATGCCAAGCGGCTGTTGGCGGGTAAAGGTGACTTGAAATGGTATGATGTCATATGTTCCCCGGTCCTGGCTACATTTATAGTCCTCCCGCATATGCCATAGCCATCATCCCACTGGCACACAGACGCACGATCGACGTGCGATTCTGACTTATCATCGTTGACCATATATTGAGGATGAGGGTAAACCTCTTCTTGCAACGGATGACGTGGGTCGTGCCGGAAATTTGCGTCAGAGAAGCCCATAGGGATGTGGGCAGTCAAACAGTCTGAAAAGGCACAGGGAGGATAACTGGAAGAAACGTGGCGTGGATACCATCCAGCAGCATCACTAAAGAAAAGAAGTTTGATCCGCTAAGAACAAGATCATCAATACCATCCAAGGATCTCGTACCTTTGAATATCGCCCTGACCTATTGGGATCGGCAATATACATGCATCAAGTACGTCATCACATGCAACGTAATGGTGGGAAACAGTGGGCGTAGAATTGCCAGAAGAATCCTCTAGCACAGAACGCGGCAAGTATTGCTGAGGCTGAGAAGTCGACTGTCCCTATAGCAAGATGTCAGCGCTTCACGTCGTTCGCACTGCGCAGACCGAACGTACATAATCGGTAGTTGTTTGCAAGCGCTCCGCATTTGATGCCTTAATGTGTGGGTATAGTTCTGAATCCTGCTGCCTGCATGAGGGGATGAGAAACAAGAAATACGGCGGCATAGATCAGACGCACAAGAAATTGTAGGGCATGCTGTGATACATTGTGAATGAAATTGAACACTGAACATATTGACAACTCGGAATCCTTCAAACAATATAAGCCCAGAGACGTGAAACCGTGCCAGGAAGGCCGACGGCCAACGGTTGCCTGCAGGCCAAGGGTTAGTGGCATGAGCGCGAAGTTGGGGGAGATGGGAAGCCACAACTCCCAATCACTAGATATTCGTATCATATGCAAAATAAAGTACGGAGGCCAAAGGCCAGAGGCCTTTGAGACGATATGATAGGTCAAGTTGACGGGTTTTGTTGAAGAAAATAATCCAGAGTTGAAAGAAGCAAAAGTTGCATGAGGCAGCGATGCTTTTAAAATCGATGGCATTTTTGGGCTGGGGCTGTCTGAGATCGTAGAACGGATGTGCAACTCCAAGGCTTACCTCTACACGACGCAGCCCCAGATTTGGAATGATTCATGGAACGCTCTCATTGGTCAAACAGCTTGTTCCTGTAGCGGTTCCAATATCATAAACGTTTATTTGAACATCTGGCCAGTCACGGCAAAATGAAAGGCCTGTGGGAAATACTATGACGGCGACGCGCCTCATGGGAGTAGTGTCGTGGGCAGAAGTCTGCCATTCTGCCAATGGTAATTGCCGGCAGTAGGTCGAGGGCCTTGGGCAGAAGTCGATCTTATTTACACTACAAGCCAAACGAGCTGGAGAAGGTTGATAAAGGAATTGCAGTGTACACCTGAAGGATTTATTGTTGAAGAAATCGACGTGGTTGGTCGTGGGTCACAAGACACGGAGGCATCGATGCATGCTCACTTCGGTCTCAAAAGCACTTCTAAGTTCGGATAGAAATTTGGTCAAATTTTTATACCTTCGGCGCCGAATTAGATCAACGGTCCAACTGTGAACACTTTTTCTTGTGCTATGCAATGGGGTCGACAGCTCGAGACTAAAGTATGATAATTATTCTGGAATATCCAGATCAGATATATCCATGCGGTATGTAAATCCAGTGTTCGCTGCGTTCCTCACGTGCAGTGCTATCCCAGCGGCCTGTCAAAGTGCTATATTTGCAACTACGAAGACCGCCAAGTTTATATAACTGGTCGTTAGTTTGTCCAAGTATTTTTTCGCAGTGCTGGGAACTTGGAAGCTTATAAGTGTGATTAAAATCATGATTTCCTAGATCCCCACCTTCCTACTCTTTCCTGTGTAAGTCAGAAAGACACTGATGATGATCTGAGTCGGTACCAGTTATCTACCTGCACTCCACGCTTAATATCGTTATCATCGAGGTACCGTTGAACAGAAAGTACAAATGGCCTTGGACCGACCCTTCATTGTTACAAGGCCGAATCACGATGATATCTGACAACTGTACCGGGTCCAGTAACGTTTATTTCGGGTTCTCTAGGTTTGGCCCAGAATCGTACATTCAAGTTGCGTTTCAGGAAGGTTGCAGTGTAAAATATTTCGGCCTTCATATCACTTTCGGTGAGCGCCATGTAAACGTTTTTTGTCATGCCTTATCTCTTACCATTTTCCTTGGGCTGTCAGCGGCGTCTTCACATCGGCCAACTAGGGTCACTGAAGGCCAGCTCGGATCACAGATGGCCGATCACAACCAAGATACATGAAAACGCATGGTTTGTGGGAGTGGAGGCCAACGCTAGAGCTAAACTTACATTGTGGCCAACGTATCTAAATGAAATGGCGCACCATATTCCGCATCATCGGAGGCACGTTTCGAGATCCTCCAGGTGCGACCGATAAAAGTTCACTTCAAGCATTACTTGGGGGCGCAAGTCTTCGAGTCACAGATGCCAGTCTCTGGCCTTTGGCCTGCGCGTATCAATATTGTTCCCTTCTTGTACTGGCTGGCCCTGCATGCCACCGGTTCTTGGCCTACAAGCCATCTTTGGCCTTTGGTTGTCGTCCTTCATGGTCATCCCTGCCAATTTATGCCGCTACATAAGTTATTCCTTTTTTTTCAAAACCAATTTCCAGTCCCTCTTCCCCAGCGGAGCGCAGAATGGATTATGATTTCTGGTGTGTCCGTACTTCTACATTTCTTTTTGGTGTTGATCCCTTGTATAGGCGGCAGGATTCAGAGCTATCTAAGGCATTGTGTGCAGCACGGCCAGGATTTGTCGCTAAGGTATATTTCGTCTGTGCTTGTGAACAGTAGTGCGCTGATATATATTTGCTGTAGGGCTCGTCGTTCTCTCAGCCTCGGCAAAACTACCATTTACCTTCGCCTCCAGGGGATCGCCCAACTCAGCATCACCTTATGTATGGGGGAGACTCGACGAGAAATGAGGGTCATTCTCGCCTGATCCATGACAATCAAACAGAATCGCACGAATCTTCCTCGGCGGATCGCACGATATATTATGATTTCTGGTAGGTCCATACTCCAATATCTTTTGTTGGTGTTGATTTGATCCCTTGCATAGGCGGCAGGATTCGGAGTTATCCAAGGCATTGTGTGCGGATGAGCTGGAATTTGTCGATGATGTATGTTTCGTCTGCCCGTAAACAGTAGTACGCTAATATTTTTGCTATAGAACCCGTCGTCCTCTCAGCCTCAACAGGATTACCACTTGACTTGGCCTCCAGGGTATTTCCCAATCATGGTTACTCAGCGTCACCTTATGTATGGCGGAGGCTGGGCGAGAAACGATCAAGTGTCCGCCCTTTCAGGGTTTTCTCAAAGTAGTAGTCTCTTTTCAAGTGATTTGATGCACTCGTTTCTCGAGAACGATCAGCACTATGCTCAGAAGTACAATTTCCTCAATGTCCCTAATTAACGGAAATTAATTCGTTCAATAGTGCTACTGGACATAACGCCTCTTTCAACCATTCCCCCTCTCCTTTCTCCGACGCTTCATTTGTTAACAGTGGGGGGTCTTCTGGAGACGTTTTCGAATCAATCCCTATTAAGGGTCACCCTCACCCGATCCGTGGCATCAAATCAGAGTTGCACGCATCTAACCTCTTGTTGCTCTGCGAGTGGAATGATGGTCAAGGTCCATGCAACAAGATCCTAAATGAAGGAGAGATCGCTCACCATGTGTCGTCATCCCATCTTCCACCGCCTGGTCGCACCCGTATGAAATGTCAATGGGAAGGATGTACATTCCAAAACCTCTTGCGCCGAGACACAGTCATTCGCCACATACGTCAAATTCACCTCGAGATCAAACCCCGACGCCGGACAAGGTCACTTCGAGACATGTATGGCTAGACTCCGTCAAACATTCACAGCCCTGTCAATCACAATTGCTTCGACCACCATTGGCAGCACTTTCTAGTGCTTCTCATGGTCTGAGGGTCTCCAGCACGCCATGAGTGTCTCTCGCACCCTCATCACAAAGAGCCCCTGGTGCTGTCTCTGAGACCCTCTGTCAGAATCCGAACGATCCGAGATAGAGAGATCTGGAGAATGAGGCTGTGCGAGCGCAAACCAAATGAGGGACAGATGAGCGACGTTTTGACGCTGGCTCGTGCCTATGCATATTGATATGTTTTTGTTTTCCTTTACTACATATATTTTCGTCCCTAAACTAACAAGCATAAACCTACGACTAAAGCCGCACGAACATCTCAGTTCTTTCCAGAGGCTGAGATATCAGCCTTCGTTATCCTTTTGTTATTGTTATTTGTTAACAGCCAGTAGCTATATTGATTTCTACTAGCTCCGTTTATCGCGTCCTGCGCCTCCGTACTGAGACCTTCCGCATCACTTTATGTGATTCGATCCCCTCACACTTGTGTCATGTCTTCCCCCCCGCGCTTATGTTATGTTGTCCTCTCGCGATTATATTTTGTTTGCTGCTTTCTGGAAATATTTCTTGCTATTGCACTATTTGTTATTTTGTTTTGTCAATCCTAGTATAGCAGCTCCAAAGCCTGCTCGTTGTCTTCAGAACACGATTGAAATCACTGAGAATCTCGAGAATGACAGCACCGGACGGATATATCATCGATTAAGATAAGGACGAAGGCATGAAGTAACATGAATATAAAAGGGAAACATAACAAAGGTCTCAAGGGAAAACAAATATTGAACGGTAGTCGATGGAATCGTAATTGATACGGCTATGGATGTAGATGGAGTTTACCCATAATACGACTCAGAGTAACCTACTACTGTCGTCGAGGATTGATTCCGAGATCAATTTGACGGATGTGCCGAAGGATTGTATTTCGGCAAATGAGCTTTCGGAGTCTACATCCCTGCCATTTGCATTTCAAAGGAGTGGGACCAGGTGGTGGAAGATGGGATGACGACACATGGTTCACGAGCTCTTCTACACTTACGGTGGTCGTGTCGCATGGACCGTGACCATCATTCCACTTGCAAACAAACAAGCGGCTAGATGTATGCGATTCTGATGGACTGTCATGGACAGGGTGAGGGTGACCCTCGATGGGGCGCGATTCGGAAACATTGCCAGAAGAATCCAGGTTGTTAACGAGCAACTCCTGATTGTTGACAAACCGATCGTCGAAGGAAGGTGTATGAGAATGGTTGAATGAGGTGTTGTGCGAAGGCTGTCCGGTAGCACTATCAATGAAGGTTTTAAGTTCCCTTAGATGAGGACTTTAAGAAAACCGTACACATGGATATCACGCTAGTCATTACTCGTTGAGTCCCCGCCATACATAGGGTGATGCCGGCGATGCTGAGTAACCACTGGCGGGGGATCCCCTGGAACCGAAGGCAAGTAGTTCTGGTGAGGCTGAGAGGACGGCAGGTCCTACACGAAATATTAGTGCACTGCTGTTTACAAGCACAGATAAAACACACATTAACGACAAATCCTGGCCGTTCTGCAAGCGATGCTTTGTATAGCTGTGAATCTTTCCGCCTATGCAAGGGATCAACATCAAAAGGAAGCGTGGGAGTACGAACGTACCAGTAGTCATAAGACATTCCGTGTTCTGCTGGGTAAGAAAGAGGGACTCAAGGATATGGTTTGAAACTTAAGTAGTGTCATAGACTGGCAGAAACGACTATGAAGGCCGACAACCAAATATGGGATGTAGGCCAAGAACCGGCGGCATGCAGGGCTTCTAGGACAAGAAAAACATGGTGCCGTCCTCCTGTTTTATATGCGCGTCTGTATGCAGATTACTTCAACGCCTTCGCTCGGTGATAGGGAATTCAGGCTAGCCCTTCTTTCTGAGAAACCTGAGGAGGGCCGTGTCTAATTTGTCCCATATGCCGCTGAATGGTTGGATTGTGCGGAAATGAGCGAGGTCGCTTACAGTGAAGGAAACCTATAGACACGTTAATTAGGTGGCAACCCAAGGAACAATTGCCGAAAGCTTTACTAATTTCATTTGGATTTGGATGGTGATATCGAGATTCGTCTCGCCGTTCGAGATCCGAGGAGGTTTGACGAGGGTCGTGTCTAATTTGTCCTATATAACGCTGAACGCATGATAGGTTGGATTGTGTGGAGATGAGCGAGGTCGTTTACAGTGAAGGAAATCTATAGACACGTTAATTAGGTGGCAACCCAAGGGACAACTGCCGAAAGCTTTACTGATTTCATTTAAAATCAAATGCGACGCCTGCCCGTTGAAAAGGGTCATGAAATTTTGAATGAATAAGGTCAGAAGCCGAGGTACAGACCCAAAAGATAACCCTTGCCTTGCGGCTGACTTACGTAACAATCCGTGCGCACTGTGGAAGTGCACGGGCTCAGCGCTCAGCGCTCAATGTTATACCAGAGTAAATACGCACAGGTAAACTGCCACATGTTCATGTTGAATGGTTTCACTTCATCAACTAGTAGCACTATAAGATCCAGGTGTCAAGCGTTCTCAGACCGTGCAGCAAGCGCTCCGATACTGCCATAACGCTCGTGTCGTTGCCGATCAGTAGTTCGCCCGGAGAGTTGTAGAAGCTCCGCAAATCGCATGAGAAAGGCAGGAGCATGGAAAATTGCAGACTCCAAACCATCGGCGGTGTGTAGAGTCTCGTGTTAGTACATTCCGAATACAATACATTTTTAAACCCCGCACCTCAATTCAAACACCGCAACTTTTGGACTCTACACACCTAGCCGACTGGCACAACTTGTTGTGGCGTCAAGTTTGCCACTGTTTGAATTCCTTCCGAACGATGGATCAAGCCGTCAGGTACACCGGACAGACGGCACCCTGGAGGTCAATTTGCGTGACGTGACTGATGCAATCCCATTTTGGATTCATTTCTGTTAAGTGTTAACATTTACCATACTCAGAATGTCTCCTCGTCGTTTCGATGTCCCAAGCTTCGCGAACATGAAGCAAACTGTCCAAGAGAAGTTTGGCTTGTCTCCCTGCACCTGGCAGCTTCAGGCAGCTCAATATCAGCTCAACAGCAAGGATGTTATCACGATCTCCCCAACCGGCTCCGGAAAAACATTGACATTTTGGATTCCTCTCCTATTTAACGCAGGTGGGATTATCATTATCGTGACGCCGCTGAATATATTAGGAGAAAAGAATCAAAAGGAGGCAGAGGCATTGGGTTTCCCCGCCATCAATCTGTGTAAAGAGACTGCCTCGGATCAGGCATTCAAGGTATGTAACAAAATTCTGATAATCTCTTCATCATTAATGTTGCGCAGGACATTGAGAAGCTTAAATATCGCGTCATTACGGTCAGCCCAGAACGGTTACTCAGCGACTCACGTTTTCAGGCGTTATGGAAGTCGAAGAAGTTCACTGAGAAGATATTCAATATAACGTTCGACGAAGGGCACTGCATAAGTGAATGGGGCGCGGACTTCAGGCCGCTATACAGTCAGCTGGGGAACATTAGATGGTATTTGCCGGACCATGTATCAGTTCATGTCGTATCGGCAACCATGCCACCTCACATTTTGGCCGATGTCACTTCAACGCTCCGCATCCGCTCACATAATGTTGCGAGGGTCACCAGGTCTAACAACCGTCCGAACATCAGCATTATTGTTGAAGAGATGAAGTTCCCGCGTAATACCATGCATGATCTAACCCGAGTCTTGGATATGAGGCTCGGAGACGTGAATCCACCGCCAAAGTTCATGATCTTCACGAATTCTCGGATTTCGGCAGAGATGACTTGCAACCGCTTGCGGTCAGATGTGCCTGGACATCGGCAGGGAAAGATCGTCTGGTTTCATTCTGGGATGTCGATGGAATTCCGCGTCGATGTGATGAACCAGCTTCAAGCAGGTGAACTGTGGGGAATTTGCTGCACCGACGCAGCAGGAATGGTCAGTGACTATCACATTAGTCTTAATGCGCGCACTAATGTACTCAACTTGAAAAAAAGGGACTCGACCTGCGTGATATTAAAATCATTGTACAATGGGGTTACACTTCCTCACTGTGCGCTCTCATGCAAAGGCTTGGTCGTGGCGCCAGAGATCCCTCGCTAACGGCGGTGGGAATTTATCTTGTTGAGCCAATATACTTTGATACCTACAAAGGGAAGCGCAAGAGGCCCGCGGTTGAGGAAGATAGTCGGCAAAATAAAAAGAAAAAGGGATCAAACTCACGAGCAGGCGTCGAGAATGATAGTAGAGAGGAAGATGTTGACAGTGAGTTTGAGGGAGGTGATGATGGCTTCAGAGATCATGATGGTCATGGGAGAGAGGGCTTACAGGAGGATTTACACGCCGTTGGCTCGGGCTCGTTGCCGTCATCGTCTCGTCCATCAGAAACGACCGTAATCCCATCAGCTCACGTGCAGCTCATCCCCGATAATCTTGATAACACTGCCTGTGAGCGCTTCGCAATGTACGCCTTTATCAACGCGAGGCATCGTGGATTCTGTCGACGTCGGGTGGCTAACGAATACTTCAATAATCCAAAAAGTAAGCAGTTTTTTAAACACAAATTAAATTGACTCACAGCTCTAAATCCAGACCAAGCAGTATGCTGTGAACGATGCAGTGAGGCACCGTCTGGTGACTGCTGTGACATATGTACTCCCGCGCTAATCACATCACACATCCTTCCGCTACAAACCTTTCTGTCAACTCGTGCAAAACCTAAATACAAGTGCAAACCATACGAAATGACCAACAGAGAACGCGATCTACGAGCTGCGCTACTTCAATGGAGAGATTTTAAGATGGTTGAAGAAGATCTCGATGGGGACATTTTTTTCGGCCCGCAGCTTATTATGTCAAACAAAACTCTCAACCGCATTATTGACCTTGCTCACTACGCAAAGCTAACCTCCCCCGCATCATTGCTAGAGCAAACCGGCTGGTGCTATTCCCTAGAATATGGCCAACAAATCATCGAGCTTATCAAGTCATTCTTTCCTCCTCCTCCTCCTCCACCACCACCACCACCACCACCACCACCACCACCACCACCGTCAGTGCATCCACCACTTCCTGCGCCATTGGCAGTCCTTGGATCCTCGATAACGATAAACCAGCCTCACCCCGCTATACCAATGCCAGCCTCTCACGCACAACCCACAACGTCCACCACTGATATAGCTGGTAGCAGCGCTAAGCAGCGAGCAGCGCGGAAATGCAGAGCATGTGGGAGTAATCTTCACATAGGTACGTGCTCTTGACACTACTTGCCAACCTTAATCAACACACCAATAGCTTCTAATAGACTCTGTCCGAAGTACATCCCGAAACCAAAATCATCTCGCACAAAGAACTCGAACGCAGAGAACGAGCCAGCGGCAGGACCTAGTACTGTAAGGTCAGTCAATAAAATCATCTGCATCTAGTTCAAACGTCCCTGCATCTTCTTCGCTGACTACCTTTTGCTCTTGTATCAGTGCCATACCCACAGCGATTTGATCTGGGATCGAATGTAGCGCACTTCGGCCTTCCTTCTTGGTATGTGGGTTTTTTTGTTTGATTCGCGCTGCCAATTTCTGAATTGTCTTCGTCATGTCAGGTGCAGCGTGTCGGATTGTGCGGTGCTGAAGATGGAATGCGTTTTCCATCGTTACGTGGCAGTTTCGGTATACTTCAATGAGAGGCGATTCTTTGATGATGTGATCCAGTGTGCCGTTTGGACCGCCGCCACGAAATATGACCTGTCAATCATTACTTTTGGTTTCTTGACATCGACCGTTACGTTCGCTAACCTTTGTATACAAATTGTTGCGCTCGACAACCCAGTCAACTGCACGAAAAGCAAATGGCTTGCCGGTTGGGTTGCATAGTAAGTTCATCCGCACTATATTACTGTGTCAAATATATTGATGACCTCTATTCTCAGCAAGACAGAATTCCTCACCTCAAAGCCGCTGGATAATTGAATTGAAGGTTCGTCAGGAACCTTGACATCTGTGACGCATATTTATGCTTTCCAGTAGCTTTGAACATATGAATCCAAGGGAGAAACGATGCTTCGACACGACCGATATCTCCGGTGTTCATGGCTTGACAAAGGTCAACGTACAAGAGCTCGTCACGATTACGCAGGGTCTGGTTCTCGAAACGCTTGTCTCGTTGTAGTGGTGGCTGTTCCCGTGCTGCGTCCAGATCTTGGGTCGTCGCAATGAACTTTTTCACGATGACACGGGACATATTGATTATATCTTCCCAGACTGGCTTTGACGTGGCGAATCTTTCCAATGTCGACCATTCAGTATTTCGGCTCTCTGCTTCAAGACGCCAGCAGTCAAGCATTGATGCCCAGATGTCGTGGTGAACAACATCGTGGACACGCCGAAATCCAGGTTTACTGACCATCTTTCCTGTTTCATCAGGTCGAAGGATCCCAATGTGCTGATAGAGGCTATTCTCATCCTCGCGCCCTTCCTTTGGATGAATGTACGTGCGCCACAATGCATCCGCACACGCCATCTTGTAGTGAAAGAGTCCTGGGAGGAATACAACGTACTGGAGACGATTTTTCGGTGTGTGCTCGATTTTTCGGCTGTTCCGCACGCTGTCGACACGCTCCTTTGTTAATAGGTCTCCATGAACCAGAATTACATGTTCTGTCATGTCAACATCGTGTTCTGCATCGAAGTTGACCTCGCTCTTGTCCCCGATACCTCCCTGGTGAAACAAGTTCTCCAAGACTTCAACGTTTCCGTCTGTGGTAGACTGCTTGATATTCATCGAGCGGCAGGGAATCTGATTGGTCTTGTGTATAGGTATCCTCTGGATGGTTTCAGGCTCATCAAGTTTGTCTGCAAAGTGCTTGAAGTTTTGATTGTGTTGGACAAGGATGGCGCGAATATGCCATGCAAAAGCCTCCTCTCGTCCACTCAGCTGTGTTGGATTCGTTTGCCGATTGTAGGTGTCCTTTTTGTGAAGCATTAAAAAGCTTCTGCTTTCGTTCATCAGCGGGAATAATGATGGTGACGGATTCTTTGGATCAGAGGCCCACAACTTTGCCGAGCTCCGCAACGCCTCCTCGTTACTTTCATCAACACCATATAGTGGAATCACAGTGGCGGATGTTGCACTGACAAAGGAGGAGCGGTTTTCGAGTGTTGGCTGGGCAACGTTGAAGGCGATATCAAAATTGTCGTATGCGAATGCTGCACGGAGCGTGCGGACTTCCCTTTTGATGTCACGGCTGATCTCCTTCGAAATAGATGTCACCATGTTATATATGGTGGACAGGCTGACGGATAGCCCTGCGTGTGCCATGACCTCAATGACCTTCTCAGGGACGCCTGTTGACTTCATGAAAAAGCCCATCCAGCCCTGTAAGCAGTTGCATCTTTCGTTCGTATTTTGCAGGCATATGCTGATTATCACTATTGTTTTCTAGTTACAGTTAGCGGCCGCACTTAGGTACCGGAGATCGAAACTCGCTCACGATGTGTTGTAGCGCTACATTCCTTTCACCCGCACGACGCTGCCGTTTCCTTGGTCGTTTGTCAAACTCCCCATCGTCCTCTTCATCCCCGTCATCATCGTCTTCAAAATGTGGCTCATCTCCACCCAACTCGCCCAAGTCCATCTCATTCTGTGAAGGGGTATCTTCGGGTGCTGGAATGTGGCCAGCAGGGTGCGGCATTTTTCGACGGCGGTATTCTCTGCTGTCGAGTAAAGCTGAGACAAGGTTCCAAACGTTTGGAGCAACTCCTTGCATCGTTACGGCGAGCTGACTCATAAAAGTCGTTTCCAGCTGCTCCACAGTCGCGGAGGTGGCCTTGAAGTGGAGGCCGTGGTGCTCGAGCGATAGCTCAGCAACCTCCTTACACAGCTCTCTGCGTAGTGTTCCTGCTGCCCAGGAAAAAACCGATGTATGTGAGTTCTCATTATCGTATAACTGCGCACAAATGTGAGCTGCGTTCATTGTCAGCGAGTCTTGGCTGGCAGCGTGAGCGGTATATCTGCTGTCCAATATTGCACTGACGAATCCCGCTGCCGACAGGTTGTTTTGCTGCAGGCACCGCAGGACATTCGTCAGTCGAAGTTCGAGGCTCATTCTGGGGGTGCACAGTGGACTCTGGAGTGGTACTGTATTCATTTTGTACTCCTCACCTCATGTTTTGCACGATGTTGTGCATGATTCTGCTGTACTGGTTATTTAGAAATATAATTATATAATATGAATATATATAATATAAATATAATATAAATATTACCTTGTCACACCTGCCGTTGTACTAATAAGCTTCCCGGTGTACCTGACGGCTTGATCCATCGTTCGGAAGGAATTCAAACAGTGGCAAACTTGACGCCACAACAAGTTGTGCCAGTCGGCTAGGTGTGTAGAGTCCAAAAGTTGCGGTGTTTGAATTGAGGTGCGGGGTTTAAAAAATGTATTGTATTCGGAATGTACTAACACGAGACTCTACACACCGCCGATGGTTTGGAGTCTGGGAAAATTGGTAATGAGGTCTAAGAAGCTGAGGTACAGAGTCTACAGACTCAAAAGACAACCCTTGCGGCTAACTTACGTAACAATCCGTGCGCACTGTGGGAAGTGCATGGGCTCAATGCTATACCAGAGGAGGTAATTAAACTGCCACATGTTGAATAATTCCACTTCATCAACTAGTAGCGTGTACTGCAGAGTTCAACGCTTCAACCTTCGAGAAGTTCGAAATATTACTATATTAGACACACTAGACTCGGACCCAGACCATACTCCGGAGTCAGACTTGACCCCAGACTGTCCATTTCCCGGACGTTCTCGTTCATGACGATCCGGAGTAGGGTGAGTTGCGACCCTTCAGTGCATGTGGCAGTTTACCTGCCATTTCCCGGACGTTCTCATTCATGACGATCCGGAGTAGGGTGAGTTGCGACCCTTCAGTGCATGTGGCAGTTTACCTGCCATTTCCCGGACGTTCTCATTCATGACGATCCGGAGTAGGGTGAGTTGCGACCCTTCAGTGAATGTTACAGTTTACCTGCTCTGGTATAGCATTGAGCCCATGCACTTCCCACAGTGCGCACGGATTGTTACGTAAGTTAGCCGCAAGGGTTGTCTTTTGCTGTAGACTCTGTACCTCAGCTTCTTAGACCTCATTGCCAATTTTCCATGCTCCTGCTGTTCGGTCGTCACACTTCCTTTCTCATGCGATTTGCGGAGCTTCTACAACTCTCCGGGCGAACTACTGATCGGCAACGACACGAGCGTTATGGCAGTATCGGAGCGCTTGCTGCACGGTCTGAGAACGCTTGACACCTGGATCTTATAGCTCTGAGAATCTCGGCTCCAGGAAATGTTTCCATTGTCACAATGGAACTTCAACCTCTAATGGAACAATAACAGTTACGAGAGATTGCTTCAAGGCGGCAAAGCTGCTTAACAAGGCCAAGTTCACGTTCCTGGTAATGGTTTGACCGAGGCGCCAAAATAAAGACATGCTCCCTGGCCGCTCTGCATACCTCCGGACCACACGAAAGACTGATAATGTCATACAGATTGCAAAAATGGACACGAGCAGAGCCCAAATCATATCGTTGAACATTTAAGCCTTCAGTAACATCGCCACTGGACAGGACTCGCATACACTTGGTTACGAAGTATAAAGCTCGCTATAGTCCGCAATGTTATTTATTCCGTCAAATTAATGACACCTTTCATGGCAGGCCTGCTCTTGTGTGTGGCGATATCAGTCCAAGCCTTACCCATATCAGGAACATCTCAAATCCCTGCATCTTACCGCTAAGCCACTGAACTTGTTGTCTATGGTGCGAAATCTGGGAATCCTGCATGACGTGAATCGTCTCGTCATGATCAATGATCAAGAGCCTGCATAGATCATGTCCCCTTTTTGTGCCAATGCAAATTTCGTCATCACAGCACAGAATAGGATCACCTTGTTCGTGATTAGCCTCCGTTCTATCGACATTCAATGGTATCGAGACCGCCGAGCACAGCTCACTTATGAATTGAATGTAGGTACTTCCTTTCGGTCCTGAGCGTGACGAAATATTATGCGCCATATCTGTGAAGAACAATCGACTCACTCTGACCATTATAACATGTTGCGGAGTGTGCGACAAGGAGGCCCAGGAGGCGGGGGGAGGTACCGAGGGCGGTGGCGGTGGACCAGACCCAACAGGACCAGGCATTGGTAATTTCCTATCAAAAAAGATGAGAACGGCCCAAGTTGATGGTTAAGACATCTTACCACCCTCCTGGTCCGTATTTAGCTTTCATCATCATTAGGTATCCAAGTTCACTGAAAGAGACAGATGGTCAGACGCACGAACGACGTATTCAAGCAAACTCACTGTTGGATGTTACGGCGTTCTTCATGAAGCTTACCAAATTCCACAAGGCGCATCCGGACCTCAGTCGCGAGTGCTTTCTCGCTGTTTTGCTAATTGAGGAGTCATCTTCTCGAATTGGTCTGCTATGCATCCTGCTCCCCTGCTTGTGAACAGGACATTGAGACATTGAGACAACGTAGGTAGTAGGTGCACTGAGATTACACACCAAGTCAATAAATCGTTTGGACTAAATTATAAAATACACTGAAACATCGAAACAGTACTACAAACGAGAATTAGCACCGATACCGTCCGACCGTTCAACAGCACTTCGTACCTATTGAGTACAGGTACATCACGTACTAAGTCCACAAAAATTCAGACGCTAAGATGAGGTTGTCATGGTATATTCCATGTCGATATGTATTCCTGATGAAATGACGTCAGGAACGAATGGTCGCACTGAGATACACAAACCGAGTGAACGCACATCTCCACATCTCCATCGACTTGATCAACGATCATATATTCCTGCGACGGAGCTACTGAGAAATTAATGGCACGAAACGAGAGATACGTACCGGTAGAGCGTTGTTCCCCACAACATTGAGTTCACCTTCGTCAAAAATGACCATCGGTTCCTACAACGAACTGTGGCCTTCCCCATCTACTTTCACCACCACAATCTGAGTACCCTATAGAATTCCTACATCGGTCATACGGTCGGTAGCCTGCATGGTACCGTAGTTGATTTCACCGCCAGATGCCCAGCAGAAGACTCGAGTGCCATTTTAGGAGCTCGGTCAGGATGAGCGTCAAAGTCAGGTAGGATGCAGCTTACTGGGAAAGCGTTCATAGCCAAAAAAAAGTAGAAACCGCACACAAAGGTTGAGTTTGGAGAAGCTGGGGGCTGAGAGAAACATGATACCATCCTCCTGTCTTAGTTACAGTATATGCGAGTTTGTATGCAGATTGCTTCAACGCCTTCAGTCGGTGGTAGGGAATTCAGGCTAGCCCTTCCTTCTGAGAAACTGGTCGAGGGCCGTGTCGAATTTGCCCCATAAATGCTGAAGGCATGATAGGTCGGATTGTGTGGAAATGAGCGAGGTCGCTTCATACGGTGAAGGAAACCTATAGACACGTTAATTAGGTGGCGACCCAAGGAACCATGATTGCCGAAAGCTTTACTAATTTTATTTGGATTGGATGGATGATATCGAGATTGGCCGTTGGTACAGACCCAAAGACAACCCTTGCATTGGGGCTAAAAATCCGTGCGCGTCGGGGCATCGTGAAAACACCTACATGTCCTCCTGCTGCGCGACTGCTGCGGCAACTGTCGCGATATCGTTTATATTCGGTCCGTCAGCTTGGCTAGTTGTAGGAAATTTAATAAGATACTTACTATCTACCTTTTGATGATTCGTTGTTTACATTTTTCGCGTAGGGCAAATTCTTCACAATAGTGATGTAGACGCAATTGAACCGTGTGACATGTTTGTCAACCGCGCGTTCGAGAATCTTGAAATCAAATGCGATGCCTGCCCGCGTTGAAACACGTTAATTACTAGGTGGCGACAACAAAGCTGCCGGAAGCTTACATTTGGATGGATGATATCATAATGCTCGTGTCGTTGCCGATCAGTAATTCGCACGGAGAGTTCCGTAAAGGAAGGAAGTGTTACGACCGAACAGCATGGAAAATTGGCAATGGGATGCTACGCCCTACTAGAGCTGCACGAACATCTTAGTTCTTTTCCGAGGCTGAGATCTAGATATTAGCCTTCGTTATCCTTTTGTCATTGTCATTTGTTAACAGCCAGCCTGTAGTTATATTGTTTTCTACTAGCTCCGTTTATCGCGTCCTGCGCCTCATGTACTGAGACCTTCCGCAGCACTTTATGTGATTCGATCCCCTCACACTCGTGTCATGTTTTCCCTTCGCATTTATACACGTCTTCCCCCCGCGCTTATGCTATGTTGTCCTCTCGCGATTATATTTTGTTTCTTGCTTTCTGGTAATATTTCTTGCTATTGCACTATTTGGTACCTTAATCCTAGTATAGCAGCTCCAAAGCCTGCTCGTTGTCTTCAGAACACGATTGAAATTGCTGAGAATCTCGAGAATGACGGCACCGGACGGACATATAATCGATTAAGATACATTTTTAAGGACGAGGGCATGAAGTAACATGAATATGATAGAAGGGAAACATAGCAAAGGTCTCAAGGGAAAACAAATATTGAACGGTAGTCGATGCAATCGTAATTAATACGGCTATAGATGTAGACAGAGTTTACCCATAATACGACTCAGAGTAACCTACTACTGTCGTCGAGGATTGATTCCGAGATCAATTTGACGGATGTGCCGAAGGATTGTATTTCGGCAAATGAGCTTTCGGAGTCTACACCCCTGCCATTTGCATTTCAAAGTGATGGGACCAGGTGGTGGAAGATGGGATGACGACACATGGTTCACGAGCTCTTCTACACTTGCGGTGGTCGTGTCGCATGGACCGTGACCATCATTCCACTTGCAGACAAACGAGCGGCTAGATGTATGCGGGTTGTCATGGACAGGGTGAGGATGACCCTCAATGGGGGGTGGCTGGTGATGCTGAGTAACCACGGGCGGAGGATCTTCTGGAACCGAAGGCAGGAAGTTATGTTGAGGCTGAGAGGACGACAGGTCCTACAGGGAAATATTAGTGCATTGCTGTTACAAGCACAGGCGAAACACACATTATCGACCAATATTGGCCATTCTGGACGCAATGCCCTGTATAGATCCGAATCCTCATGCCTATGCAGGGGATCAATACCAAAAAGAAACGTAGAAGTACGAACGCACCAGAAGTTATAAGTCATTCTGCAGTCCGCTGGGTAAGAGGGACTCGAGGATATGGTTTCGAAACTTAGGAAGTGTCGCGGACATAGTTCTGAGACTTATGTAGGGGCATAGACTGGCAGAAACGACCATGAAGGCCGACAAGTAAAGGTGGCATGTAGGCGAAGAACCAAAAGTTGTCCGCAGGCCAAGAACCGGTGCCATGCAAGGCCAGCTAGGACAAGAACGGAAGGATATGAAAATTGATCATCAAAGCTACCCCGCCAGTAGTCCTTTGGGGCGGAACGGCGAATGACAAAGTTCCGCGGACGACAAAAGGCCAGAGACTGACTGTAAAGATGAGATTCATTTCGGTGGTGTCATGTTGGACTAACCCCGAGCGATGCTTGAAGCTACTTTTCAAAGTTCAGCCCTGGCCTTGGCCTCGACTCCCACGCGGTTGGCAAGCTCGACCATGACCTTCTAACCATGAACATCATGTTTTGATCTGTCTTGGCTGTAAACGGCCATCAGTGAGGCCAGCCGGTCAATGTGGTGAGCCGTGCCTGATAGAAAAGGAAAACGGGAGCGCAAGAAAATAAAGCACATATCAACAATGCTTATAGTATAATTAGCGCCCACAACAGTGATAAGGAGGCCAAAGTATTCCACATCGCAACCTTCCATCGGAACCTCGAGAGCCCGAAAAGAACGATAGCAAAACCCGTCATCGTTATGAGGCCTTTGCCTCCGAGAAATACTCAGCCACCGAAGGCCAGCCTAATGGTTACGTGCTGCTGACATTGTGACTCGGCCTAAGCGTTCATTCCGTCGGAGTCATGCTTTCTGTTCAACGATACCTTAATAATCAAGCACAAGATACAGGCAGACAAATGGAACATACCCTTGTGTGTCGACATCATCAGTGTCTTTCTGGCTTATACAGGAAAAAGTCAAAAAGGTGGGAACAGGAAATCATAATGTGGGTCACACTTTTAAGCTCCCAAGTTCCCAGCACCGCCAAAAAAATCCTGTAAAAACCCAGTAGACATCCATCCACTTAATTTGGCGTTCCTTCCTGTGCAAATATAGCACTTCGGCAGGCCGCCGAGTTGGCACTGCGCGTGAAGAGCGCGACAAACAGTCGATTTGCCTACCGTATGTATCTGATCTGGATATTCCAGAATGAAGTTCCATAGTTCCATGATTATCATAGATGCTCTAGAGATCAACCACTGTCTTGAGCTATCGATCCAAATCCAAAGGTTAAAAATAATCGCACAGCAGAAGAAAAGGCGGAGGTTCGACCGCCTGTTCCGCTACGGATTCGGTCCTAAGTCGACGATGATTGAGCGTAAAAATATCTTAACGTTACAGATGTAAACGTCGAATACTTACAGAATAGTAAGGCTGCGGGAGAAGCATTTCGTGGGATTGGTAGAAGATACACTAACCGCCAATGCCACACATGTTGCACTGCTCAGTCTGATTATGGCAAGTGCACGTCTTACAGTTCTAGAAAATAGTAAATAAACAAATAACGATATTCCAACAACACACTTATCTCAGTGACAGCTATACATGTATCGGAGGTCAGGCCTCCAAGCTTCAGACCTTCATAACAGAACTCCATGGCTAGCGGTACTATGTATGTGGTAAAGATAAGTGTTGCGTTTATTTCATGTGCCTGATCGTATCTTCAACTCCTCCGGAGGGGTGGTGTACATATCCCACGAGGGGTCTTGAAACTTGATTTTGGAATTCGACTCTGGAGAACAGAATGGAGCCTGTGCACTAGCCCGGATCAAGCATTACGTGAATCATCCAAAAGCACAACACGAATGACAATTTAACAAAGCGAAAGCTATGTATCGGGGTCCACAATTCGCCCACTAGGGCCCTACTGAAGAATGTAGGTGAACGGCAGCCAACAAAATGTAAAACAGAGAACAAGCAGAAGAATTAACGATACGGTGCATAGATACAACAACCAACAGACCAGTGGTAGTAAGGATGAGTAGTGTAGGTGTGGAACCCACGTACTGCCTAGTGATGTGTTGCCTTCACAATGCTGACTACGATGATGATTATGATGATTGCCACTGCGACGCCAATGATCATGCGCATCTAAAGACGGTGTCAGTTTTGAACGTGATGCTGAGCGGCGAGTCCAACGGACCTTCATGTCTTTCCACCTGAGAAATTGAGAGTTCGATAAATCTTGGTCCCACTAAAAAGAAAATATCACACTCACCACATATTCTGTTGGATATGCTTTAGTATTAAATCAACGTAAAGAGGTCAAGTCAAACTCACCTTCCGTACTCGGTTAGCACCGCGACGGAAGCCCTGTGCCGAAACAGCAAGGTTGTCTAGGGAAATAGCTTGATTTGAAACTTTGCTCAAATACACGAGAGCACGAAATCAAGCACCTGTCTTATCCTGTAATGAGTCCAATCTTTCTCCACGTTCTGCGACCTTTGTGATGTTCTCCCTCATAATGCCGACGGTGTCGTCAATTTGTTGCTGGATAGCTGCGGTTTTAGGGTTTCCACCTTGACTTGACCCGCCAGCGGGATTGGATGAGGAGCCATTGCGGGGGAGGTAAGGGTCGTAAGGTTCGGACCTATGATAGGGATAAATACAGATGAACTACGGCGCCTGGGCCATTTCGGAGAACAAACGAACATGACTATAAAAGGACGCTAAAAGGGCTCTGAAACGATGAAGTCCAGTAGTGGAATCAGCAGCAGATTAGTGTGGTCTCGGTAAATGGGACACACGTTGGAAGTGAGATTTGGAGGGCGGAGCTACTTGAAGAGTGACTGGAGTGACTGCGTAGAGGCGTTGCTGAGGCAAGTTGAGAGGCAGCGGTATTCGCACGCACAAAGTGACGTGTAACCGCTTTGTGACACTTTCTTGTTTTAGCTTTATACCCCTCTGTGCGCCCTTTCCAACACACTACGAGTACTGGTGTGTCGCGCTTGCGTCAATGATAATTACAGGACAATCAATTCAAGCTCTGAGTATTGGATCATAATATTTGACTTGATTTAATGTGCCAATCCTCCAACTTGGTCCTCGTGTTCGCAGCTGTAGGACGTAGAAGTGTTATTTCAAAGGCAAGCAGTGCTATACGAGAGAACGAACTCTCCGAAACAAAGCTCATGGACGTTTGAACTATGTACTGTACTCCGAATTTAGACTCGACACCATATTACATATATTAATCGTAAGTCCTGGACAGTGATAATCCGCATCGTGGGCTCGGTCGCCGTCACAACACAGCCGAGGCTGGTTCAGCGACTGCGTGGTTTCCGTAGTCAAGTACAATGCCATAATTGATATCTTCGGAATTACCAAGTTTGGTCACGGCATAAGCCGAAGTTGAATCCCCGCTACCCATCGAATCTACCCCATCCTCGAAGGCACCACCAAATCAGCAAGCCCCGGCAATTCCGTCAAGGTAAGCAAGAACCCATGCCATTTCTCTTCACCAAACACCAGGAATGCATCCGTTCTGTTCGTGCACGAAGTTGGGGCGAATTCCAGCCAAAGATAGGCTGTAGGAGTGGTGGATGAATCAGACTGTTAACGGATGACGTTTCTGGCTTGTCGCATATTCACATGAGCTTTGGAAAGGATGCAGACTGACTTACTCCCGTCATGCGCGCTGGTTCTATAGATGGTGCGTCTCTGCTGCATATACACCCATTGCTGAAATCTAAATCGTTCGGTGTGATTGAGTAGAAGGTCGAAATCGACGCATTCTCCGGTTTCCGTGTGTACCCCTCCAAGGGCAAACTCTTTGTCCGTGGAGACTCCAAAGTCAGCTCGTCTCCCCACTTTCAAGTTTCCTGTCTGAACGCCCCTTGCAATATAGGTTTTCCGATTCGCTAGTTCCAAGAACGCTTCCCTGTTCCTCCAGCGCAAGAACCCACGTAAGATCGCATGGACACAGGTCTACCGCCGCATGCACAAGAAGGGTATCACTGAGGAAGTCGCTAAGAAGCGTTCCCGCCGGACTGTGAAGCACCAACGTGGTATCGTTGGTGCTGACCTTGCTACTATCGCTGCCAGGCGCAACCAGACCGCTGCTGTCCGCAACCAGCAGAGAATTTCGGCCATTGCAAAGGCAAAGACTGAGAAGAAAGAGAAGGAGTCGAAAAAGGCCAAGGTATGTACTCGAAAATTCAAGGGGTACGTATGACTTACGCCGGTGTAGCCTGCACGTGCGCCTGTTGCGAGTGGACCCAGGGTATCAAAGCAGCAAATGAAGGGTGGCAAGGGTGGCCGATGAGCAGTTCTTTTGTTGTTGGCACACGCCTATGTATTGCACATCCTTTTCGTCATGACTTCTCGCGCGCAAAATCTATGCTACATGCTTCCACATGGTATATCCGCTTCTGCTAATTCTGAGGATGTGACGTAGATCTCATGCATTTCGATGCTCAATTAGCTCTCGAGGTAGAGCTGTTAATCAAATATGAATATGTTGGCAATAAAACCAATGATACAGGTATGTGCAAGGTATCCGTACAGAATGTCCGCAGGAAGATCTAGAATACGGGCAATTGATGACGATGGTATATACTAGTGTAGTCCAATAGATGAGATGGCAAATCAAAGTTTTGGTGCGTTATTGACACGCTCTGGGGCGTACTTTGCCTGTGCGTTCCGTTAGAAAAGGCTATGAGAAGTGCTTGAAAAATACCATTTCGTTCTCCTTCTTGACATAGCCACACTTTTCGTAAAAGGCTGTGGGATGTTAGTTAGTATAAGCGAAAGTCTATAGAGCGGAGCAACTCACGAATGTTAGCATCATTACAGTTCAAGATGGACTTATAACAGCCGCTACTCTCACTGATATGCGTGAGAGCCTGGATGAGACGGAGGCCAAGCTTCTTGCCCTGGTAGTTTTTGTCGACGGCGATATCCTCGATGTGGCCGACACTGCCGAGACCACGGAGGAACTTGCGCTCGATGAAGACGGTACCGACTCCGATGATCTTGTCGCTCGCCTTGTCGAGGATGACGATGGAGAAGTATGCGCACGGTGTTGCGCGCATGGCGTGGAATTGATTGACCCACGCTACCTCGCCGAGGTCGTTGACGACGGATAGACCAGAAAGGACATCGAGATGTCCACGTTTGTAGTCTGTTGACGCGAGCGGGCGTATCTATGTTTTGGTTAATGCGAAATGCAACGTGAGGGAGCCGAAGATCAACTTACCTCGAGATCGGAGGGAAGCTGTGCTGAAACTTCAGGTGAAATGAGCTCTTGAGGGAACATAAGGTCTAGGGATGGGAGATCTGCGCGTGTCGTGGACACGGTGTTGATTATTGACATCGTAGTAGTGAGTTAAGGAGAATATTCAAGTGAGTACTGATTCTGAAGAGAACGGTGATACGATGGCTGATGAGTAGGTTGTTGGTTGAAGGGCATCTCGTACATATGCCATCAACGCTCTTATATGTACGTTGCCAAACATAGCCACCTCCCTCCCAAAAATCCCATATCCATTTAACCTCTTAACCGGTTATAACCGGGTCTCTTTTAACGCGCTAGTAACTGGTAACAAGTACTAGGGCGCTAGCCTCCGCAAACAACTCGTTCAACTTGCTTCGTAGCCGTCAACGATGAGTTCATTGTCGAATTTCGATGTCGATTTGAGTACGATTCGAACGTGAATCTGGAGCCTCGAAAACTCGTCAAACACGCCGTAATCTGATTTCTGTCGACTCGACATACTTTCGTTCAACAGTGTGCGCTCGCCGTTGGTGCATCCGCGCATACATGGCTAATGGTGTATCCAAGACGGCATGCAGCTCTTTGCATATCAAAGGTCCCAAACATTGGAACTCAATTCCGTTGTATTATTCAACATGGAGGAGACAGGCTCTTTGACCTTCCGGTCAGAGAGAAGATGCTTCGCACCACACATGCATACGATAGGGCACATTTAGTCACGAAGATCATGCCGAATTTCTGACGAAAGCAAGACCCACCTCATTCGCACGCGAAATCGACCGAAAAGTCTACAGAGCTTCAAAGGCATGCAACGGAGACATGGAGGATGTGTCCTTCGTCGATCCTGTCCCTTGAATTTCCTCTATTCCCAGAAAATCGCCTTCTCAACTCTTCCAGTTGGTGATACCATACATGAGCAAACGGGGTGCATTGATGTCTGGAGGTGAAGGGACTTTGGAAGTGCTCCAACATGACGTCGCCGCAACGTGCGTCATGCAACCCTAGAGTGTGGCATGCGCTCTCACATAGCAGCCAAGAGGCCCCTAAGATCTTGTCAGGACTGTTCAAGGTACGCCGGCAGATAAATCTATTGTGAAATTTTCACCGTTGGGATTCTCTTCCTATTATAAGGCGTACGCTCTGCGAAGAATATGCGGCACGACTAGACCGACTACCGGGCCCATCAGTTGACGCTATTACGGGTCAATGACTTTCATAATCCAAAGCCTTGACGACCTGGAAATACTAGGACTCTCCCCGGAACCATACTCTTCGCAGCAGCGTAAGAGGCCAAAGGCACATTCGGACTTGCTAATGAAGAAGTTCCTGCGAGCAGAGCTCTCAGAGTACGAGTACGAGTCGGGAGAGGACACTCTAGATAAGACCACAAAAGAATGGGTGGTGGAGATGGCCATCGTCGGTTGTCTCGCATGGCTATGGAAGTATGAGAGGAATGTAGTGGACTTTGTTCTGGATGCGTTTCCATCGGGCATGAATCTCAAGATGAATCCACCGGGAGTACCTGAATCAGGTGTGCATCTTATTCAGCGCTCGAGATCAGTTATTGAAAACACACAGTAGTGCTTATTGCATAATAACTTCACTACTTTGCAATCTCACCGAGTCGAGTGTCGATCTTTCTTGTCATGGGATACGGAGGCAAGAATTGACCAGAGTTGTCACCGCAACGGCTGCGTAATACTGCCCTAGCCATGAGGCACATACGTTGTCCTTCCGCGTGTCAGTGTAGGCTAGACTTGATGCATTCAAGAGTACTCCAAACGTGAGGGGGTCTTTATCATGCTGCACGTGGCAGGCCAGTCACCGTTAGCGCTGTCATTTGGGTTACCTTTCAATAACTGTGAGTTTCATTTTGTTATTCATCATCACTTGTTTGAAGCTAGCAGCAGAAGCAGGTCAATACCGAGACTATGACCTACTACGAATTTCACGACCTTGAATGCTCTCGTCTGTGCATGTGATAGATGGATACCCCGTGGTCACTGCTTGAAACGAAGTTTGAATTTGAACTTTATCAATCATATATAATAATTTGATAAGGTATAGTACTATATGCTGTTGGCCCCTGCGCCTTTATGTAAAGCGTTTGATGACAACGCCACATGCGTTCAGCGCTGAGCGCTCAACACTCAGTTCTCAGATTCGTTGAACTCTGCACGATCTGCACCATGACACGACGTCGCAAGAATACACCAAAACGACAAGCCAGAACAGAGCTTACAGGAGAGGCTCAGAAGACGGACGGCCTTCTCAGTCCGCGTGCACCTACGACATGGCAATACCAACATTTCATTCCACGGTTCATATTGCGAAGATTCCAAGTCGGACCTGTGAAGTGCGTTTTCAGAGTCCTCTCGAGCACTCTGCGGGTAGACACTAGACCAGAACACTGAATGATATTCTCTGCAGGTCTAAAACAGAACGACAACAAGAATTTCGACGTACCGGTGTTGATCCTGAATACGTCCACTACTATGATATTGCTACGGGTAGCCTTGACTTTCGTCCTATTGGAAAGGTGTACGGCGTACTGAATGTCTACCAGGATGTCCGCGACACCCATAATATCAACAGAGTAGAGGAGAAATTAGCGGACCTCGAACGTCATGCGGCCTCCATTATCATGGACTTGCATCAAGCCCTCCCTCAGAGTACTTTTACTCTGAAGCGGAGGTTGCTAGAGCTCCTGAGGAAGTTCCTGTTTATTATGCATTATCGCAATGTATCATATTCTGGCACTTACTTTCAAGCGGATCACCCAGAGAACGCAGGAGGCCGTCAGTGGATCGAGTCCTTCATGAAGGCGAAGGGTATTGATTCCGCTGTTGGGGTATGGCTACACTTCCTCGAATACTACCTGGATTCATCTCATTCAGACATCATGCGAGATGCTGCAAAACTGGTAGAGAAGTACGGTGAAGAAGGTCTTCAAAACATGATGTTTCAATCGCATATCCCACCTCATCTCGAACACTTTCCGGCTTACACTTACCACACTCACGCAAACAACTACTTCTTCAGTATCTGGGAAGCCGCGGAAGGAGAAGAATTCATCCTAACACAAGAGGCATTTGGCTTGTGGGAAGGCTTGGCAGATGGCCAACCCGACTTGCACCGCATATTCATAGTTAGCCCTCGGATCGCTCTCGTCCTGCGTCATATTGCATTGCGTCCAGAGATGAAAGCATACATCAAGCGGGTTTCGCTCGCGAGCTCCTTGCTCAACGTGAATCCAGCACCACCAACTCCAATTTACGCCAGTGGAAAAAATGGTCCACACATCGAGCACGTAAATTTTCAATCCGCGACGTCGCTTGCACGTTACAGATCCTCCCAGACAGGGGCGAACGACAGTTTTGTGTTCAAGATCGCAAAACTATCGCGACGCCAGACATTGGAGCTCAATTCCGTTCTATTAGTCAACATGAAGCCAACGGGCTCTTTGACCTTCCTGTCAAGAGGGAGCATGCTCCGCACCGCGCGTGCGTTCCGGAGTTTGCCAGCCAATTTCCTTGCGAGCGAACTGCTCGTTCCGCTCGTTGCGCAATTGACGGATACCATGGAGACAGAGGTGTTGCCTCCATCTCTCATGTATTTTGCTATCTATTGCATCTTCATCGCCTTATTGGTATATCTTGTATATCTTGGTATTGTGAAGTCGGCATCACTAGTCATGTAACGCACAATACATATTCTACGTCTTGTCATCGCACCTCCCTCAGTGTTGTTCCACGATATTGCTGAGGTTTGTTATCAAACAGAGCTATAGCCACACGTGTTACAGTCAACTCCCCAATATCTACCACTCATACATAACGCGTTTAGATGACTCTTGCGTTCTAGCATCGAGCCACCAACCTCGAACTTCGAAGCACTACAATCGAGTAGGACCAGGCAGGATTCTGTAAATGTAATTCAGGGGGTGCAGATACTGATCATTTACGAAGTTTGAATTTGAACTTTATCAATCATATATAATGACTTTTAAGGTGTGGGATTTGGCCAGTGAAGGGCCCTTGCACCTTTATGTGAAGTGTTTAATAACCGATAACAGCGCCACATGCGTTCAGCGCTAACGCTCAACACTCAGTTCTTAGATTCGTTGTATCCTGCACCATGATACGACGTCACAAGAATACGCCAAAACAACAAGCCGGAACAGAGCTTACAGGAGAAGCTCAGAAGACAGGCGGCCCTCTGAGTCCGCGTGCGGCACCTATTACGGCGCAATACCAACATTTCATTCCACGGTTCATATTGCGAAGATTCCAAGTCGGACCAGTAAAGTGTGTTTTCAGAGTCCTCTCGAGCACTCTGCATGTAGACACTGGACCAGAACACTGAATAATATTCTTTGCAGGTCAAAAACAGAACGACAAAAAGAATTTCGACGCACTGGTGTTGATCCTGAATACGTCCACTACTATGATATTGCTACGGGTAGCCTTGACATTCGTCCTATTGGAAAGGTGTACGGCGTACCGAATATTTACCAGGATGTCCGCAACACCTATGATATCAACAAAGTAGAGGAGAAATTAGCGGACCTCGAGCGTGATGCGGCCTCCATTATCACAGACTTGCATAAGGCGCTCCCTCAGGGTACTTTCACTCTGAAGCGAAGGTCGCTAGAGTTCCTGAGGAAATTCCTGTTTATCATGCATTATCGCAATGCATCATATTCCGGCACTTACTTTCAAGCGGATCACCCGGATAACGCAAGCAGCCGTCAGTGGATTGAGTCCTTCATGAAGGCGAAGAGTATTCATTCCGCTGTCGGGGTATGGCTACACTTCCTCGAATATTACCTGGATTCATCTCATTCAGACATCATGCAAGATGCTGCAAAAGTCGTAGAGAAGTACGGTGAAGAAAGACTTCAAAACATGTTAACTGAATCGCATATCCCACCTGATCTCGAACACTTCCCAGCTTACACTTACCACACTCACGCGAACAACTACTTCTTCAGTATCTGGGAAGCCGCGGAAGGAGAAGAATTCATCCTAACACAAGAGGCATTTGGCTTGTGGGAAGGCTTGGCAGATGGCCAACCCGACTTGCACCGCATATTCATAGTCAGCCCTCGCATTGCTCTCATCCTATGTAATACTGTATTACGTCCAGAGATGACAGCAATAGCATTCTTAATGGGGGTTTCGCTCAGGAGCTCCTTGCTCAACGTAGATCCAGCACCACCAACTCCCATTTACGCCAGTGGACCCATCGCCCGTGCAGATCGGAAATCTGCGACATCACTTGCACGTTACAGATCCTCCCAGACAGCGGCGAACGACAGTTTTGTGTTCAAGATCGCAAAACTATCGCGACGCCAGACATCGGAACTCAATTCCGTTCTATTAGTCAACGTGAAGCCAACGGGCTCTTTGACCTTCCTGTCAAGGGGGAGTATGCTTCGCACTGCGCGTGCATTCCGGAGTTTTCCAGCCAATTTCATTGCGGGAAAGCTGCTTATTCCGCTCATTGCACAATTGACGGATACCATGGAGACAGAAGTGTCGCCTCTTCGCCAGTCACCAGTGGCTGTTTTCGACCAGGACATTGACGCACCTACACTTGTTACACCTACACCTGTTGCACCTACACTTGTTGATCAGTCGCCAGCGGCTGTCCTCAACCAGGACGTTGACGCACCTACACTTGTTGGTATAGTGCTCTATGGGTTGTTCTCTGGATTAGCATCTCTCGTGTATTTTGCTATCCATGGCATCTTCATCGCCTTAGTGCTATATCTTGGTATTGCGAAGTTGGTATCACTAGTCACGTAACGGACAATACATATTCTACGTCTTGTCATCGCACCTCCCTCAGTGTTGTTCCACAATATCGCTGAGGTCTGTTATCTTATGGCCGCACGTGTTAGAGTCAATTCCCCTCTACCACTCATACATAACGCGTTTAGATGACACTCACGTTCTAGCATCGAGCGACCTCGAACTTCGAAGCACTGCGATTGAGTAGGACCGGGCATAGTACGAGACAATTGTGAACGATACTTCGAATTTTGTCCGCTCCGGCCCTTGGAGAATTTGAAAATGTTTATATTTGGGTTTAAAGTCCGACTCACCTTGCAAGCCGAATGTTGCCGTTCGAACAACCGTTACTATCTCCATGTCCAAAACGACCTGTGATATAAAACCCCCTGCGACTAACAGGCACTGGATACTGATCGATCGATATATGATATCTTATCGATATCATTGGGCGACTCCGAGTCCAAACCAACATAGTTAGGCTTGTGTTTCTATGACGGTAGCTAAAACTTGAACACAACCCCTCAAGTATGTTCAGTGTGCCATGCATATGGTGCGCTGAACGGATTTGAGGAGTTGTATTAGCCTTGTCATGAAAACTAGCAGTGCAGGTCCTTGGTTGTAGGTGAGTCTTGTTGAGAGATAAGTGTAACCGTGACACTGACTCAGTCGCTGAGAGGTAAATTCTCGATCTGAAATTTAAATTTGACGGCTTAGGGATATCTGTATATGGACGGACAAGTGAAAATCTTCTGCCTCCAGGAACAAGTACTGTTGCCCTGGCCACAAGGTGTGCTACAAGTACTTATACATACGTGCTCAGTGCTCACTATTTAGTCCCTCTCACCCATACGTTTCAATCTTGAAGAATGTCGCGACGTTGCCGAACCTCAAAATGGCGAGCCAACACAAAGGTCGCAGGAGTTCAGAGAGCAGGTGCCCGACGTGCGCATACATCCCAATACCAACATTTCATTCCACGGTTCATACTGCGAAGATTCCAAGTCGGAATTCCGAAGTGCGTTTTCAGGGTCCAATCGAGCTCTCTGCATAGACTAAAATTTGAATGATTACTTTGCAGGTCCAGAAAAGAACGAAACAAGGAATTTAAACGCACTGGTGTTGATCCCGAATACATCCTTTACTATGATGTTGCTACGGGCAGCCTCGATACTCGCCCCATTGGAAAAGTTTACGGTGTATTGGGTATCTATCAGGATGTCCATAACACCCGCAATATCAACGAACTAGAGGATAAGCTAGCGCGCCTCGAATCTCAGGCAGCCTCCATCATCGAGAACTTGCATAAAGCGCTTCCTCAGGGTATTCTTGCTCTGAAGTACAGCTCTCTAGTGCTCTTGCGAAAGTTCCTGTTTCTCATGCATTTTCGCAACGAATCACACTCCAGCCGAGCCTTCGAAGTGGATCGTCCAGAAAATGTACAGGCCCGTCAGTGGGTTGAACGCATCCTGAAGGCGGATGGCATTCGATCTGCTGCCGATGTGTGGCGGCATATCCTCAGATACTACCTAGATTCCTCGCATTCAGACCTCATGCGACATGCTGCAAATGTTGTAGAGAGTGGTGGAGAAGGTCTTCAAGAGACGCATATCCCACCTGTCACTTATCGCACTTACATGGATGACTATTTCCTTAGCATTTGGGAAGCCGCGCAGGGGGAAGAATTTATACTCACGCACAATGCATTCGGTTTATCGGAAGGTTCGGCAACTAGCTGCCCTGCCCTGCACCGCATATTCGTGCTCAGCCCTCGCATCGCTGTTGTCCTATGCAATGTCCGGTTGCGACCGGAAACAAAAAGACACAGAAGGCCACGTTCACTCGAGAGCTCCTTGCTCGATGTGAATCTAGCCCTACCAGTTCCAATCTACACGGCTGAAGAAGGTGGCATACAGCTCTTTTCACACCAAAGGCCCTCATGGGAGACGAAAATCGATGGTGTTGTGTTCAAAATCACAAAACTAACCCGATCCCAAACATTGGAGCTCAATTCCGTTGTATTATTCAACCTGGAGAAGACAGGCTCTTTGACCTTCCGGTCAGGGACGAGGATGCTTCGCACCGCGCATGCATTTCGGAGTAATTTCCCGTCGAGCCGTCTGGTCGTTCCGCTCATTGCACATTTGACTACCAGCCTTAAGTCAGAAGAAGCATCGGCCCTTTGTTCATCAGTAAAGTCTCTAACAGCTTCCCCCGACGAGGATTTCGACCCCCTTTCACTCGGCGATTTAGTGCTCGACGTGCTTCTCATGCAGATATGTTCGGGACGCAAGCAGTTCCCTTCGGCATATGATAGGGCACATTTCGTCCTGAAGATCATGGCAAAAGCAAAACCCACTTCATTCGCACGCAGAATCAGCCGAAAAGTCCGCAGGGCTTTCAGGGCATGCAAGGGAGACATGGAAGATGGGATGTCCTTCGCTGAGGGCGTCAATCCCGCTCCTTTAGTCTCCTCCATTCCCAGAAAATTGTCTTCTCAACTCTTCGAATTGATGATACCGTACATGCGCAAACGGGGTGCAGAGATGTCTGGAGGCGAAGAGACTTTGGAAGTGCTCCAACGTGATGTTGCCGTGGTGAGCTTTCTGCAACGTGCGTCATGCAACCCTGGAGTGTGGCATGCGCTCTCGCATAGCAGCCCAGAGGCACCCAAGATCTTATCAAAACTGTTCAAGAAGGGCACGCCGGCAGATGAATTCATTGCGAAAATTTCACCGTCAGGATTCTCTTCCTGCTATAACAGGGCGTACTCTCTGCGAAAAGTATATGGCATGGCTGGGCCCACTACCAGTCCCATCAGTCAACGCTACTACGGGTTGACGGCTTTCATAATCGAATACTTTGATTTCCTGGCAATGCTAGGAGTTTTGCCAGAACCGTACTTTTCGCAGCCATGCAAAAGGCGTAAGGCACAGCTTGTTCACATCATGCCAAGGGCGCATTCGGACTTACCGATGAAGAGGATGAAGGAGTTCCTACGAGAAGAGCTCGAGGAGTACGAGTCCGAGTACGAGTCGGGAGAGGACACTCTGGATGAGACCACTAAAGAATGGGTGGATGAGATGGCCATCGTTGGTTGTCTCGCATGGCTGGGGAAGCACAGGAGGAATATAGTAAACTTCATTCTGGATGGGTTTCCGTCGGCCATGAATCTCGAGTTGTTCGAAGGTGAAAGCCACTGGGAGTACCTGAATTAGGTATGCATTTTATACGGCGTTCGAGATCAGTTATTGAAAAATACACAGTAGTACCTATTGTTTTGCAATTTTACTGTGTCGAATGTCGATGTTTCTTGTCATGGGATGTACATGTAGGGGCAAGAATTGACCAGAGTTGTCACTGCAACGGCTTACGATGGTGCGTAACACTGCCCTGGCCACGAGGCACACACGATGTCCTTTCGCACATGAATGTAAACTAGACCTGAAGCTTGGCGTGTTCGTACTCTTCTTCAAGATGAGTAATTTCCTCTAATGTAAGCTTCACGTCGATTCCAGCTTCGGTTTAGCGTCAGTGGAAATTGACGGTCCAACTTGCAGCCTTGATAGCCTCAGGTTTCAAAGCGAAACAGGTGCCACTCATCGACAACACACGCCGCTCGGTTAGTCAGCTAAACCAAACGACCCAGAGCTCGCGGCTACTGGGAAATACACGACCGCTTAGCTATTGAGAGTCACTCACAATTTGAAACCATAGCCGGAATAGTGTATTCCACGAATACATTTTTACTGGCTACAAGCACATCGACGCCACATTCGTCTTTTTTCTTCTTCGTATGCGACTCGTGGGCCATGGCACAATTGTATACTTCAACATCCATCTTTCGTACTATGCGACTCCTGGGCCATCGAACAATTGTATCCATCCAATCTGCATTGTTCACAGGTAATTTCTCGTGTGCCACAATATATTGTCTACTGTTCCTTGGCTCATACTCGAGCCATTCCTCCATTCCACAGTTCTACACCTCGGTTTCTCATATATAACCTGCATGGGCTCCCTGATACCGACATCAAACCTTTCCCATCTGCCCAAATCAAACCTTCCTCATCTACCTTAATCAGATATGTCCTTTCCTCCTCACTACACACTTAGCTTTCCAAAGCTGCCTTTGGAAGAAATCGAGCCTGTCTTCGCTAACTCCCTGTTCTGGATTGCAGGATATGACATCCAAAAACATGTAAGCACGTTGCGCGTTTTTACTGATTTTCAAACTGACCTTGGTGTCCAGGCATGGGTTAAATCCAAGGATTACAATGAATCTGCTTACGATCAAAATGCGTGGAGCAAGCTAGTCAAGGACCAACAGACTAAAGTGCGGGCGGGAGTGATTTTGCGACATTGTCTCGCAAGCTAATGCGTTTGTTGCAGGATCTCATCCAGTCCACATTGGATGCCATTGAATGTTCTCCTGGGAGTCCAGAAGTTCAGCAAGGCATGGTGTGTTTTGAAACGACATTCTTGCATCACTCTTGTTTACCTTTACCATTTTTAGAATATCCTGCTGAAAGGAGAACCAGGAACGGGCAAAAAGACGGTTGCTCATGCGGTTTGCAACAGACTCAAGCGTCCAATGCTCCTCATTGAGGCCCATGATATCCCACTCCTTGCCGATGTGAAACCTTGGGCCGCCAAGCTAGCATCGGTATGTACTATTCACGGGCCGTGATACGTCTCTGACACGACATGGTGCTTGCTTAGCTTGCGATCAAGTGGAACTCGGTGTTGGTCGTAGACCATGAATATGTACGTATTGCATTTCAAAGTGTTTGTCAGATCCTTTCTAAACACACGGCCCTACAGTATTTCGGGGAGATTCAAGTATGTTGTTGATTATTGTACTGTTAATGCTGTACTAGTATAGCTAATTCTTCGTCAGGAACACCTCAAAATTATGATTCGAGAATTTCAATCACACGAATGTATCTGTCTGTGGGTCTCCGTGATATCGTCCGCTATACGTGGCCCATTCGCAGCCAGTGTGTACCACAGCTATCTGACCTGACCATATCACTAACGTTCCCCTGTTGCAGCCATCGAATTCCCCGATCTTGATCAGCAAGCCCGTCGCCAACGTTGGCTACTAGTTTTTGGCCGAGATGACCTGGCGGAAACTATCTCTAGAGGCGAGCATCCATCGGCCGGAAGGAGGGACTGGGAGACGGAGGCCTTGCTTCGGGATATTGCGACCATCTCTTCTGCGTATGAATTCAATGGTAATGTCATGTCTGACACTGAATGACCTGACGCAAGTGCTAATGTGGTGCTAATAGGAGTCCAGATTGAAAATTGCTTGGCTTCCGTACGAACTATCACTGGGTAAGTTGGTTGATATTATAAAGCTGTTCCTGACGACTAATCAGTGCTACACAGGAGGCAAAATATAACCCCTGGGGAGATGAAGATATATCTCAGGTTGGCAGTTATTGACATCTTATCCGCACAAATGACATGGTGAACACATTCAATGTGCCTGTTTGAAATATGTGCTTGCTGGCTTATACTCTGTATATAAGAAGTTATTGGAGCGCCAGTGGAGCTCAAGTAGCACGCGCACATGGTAGTCACACGAATTTTGAAATCGCCGCGTCCATACATCATGTAGAATAGCCACTTTATTTTGTCTAACCGATTCTCAGCCCCATGGAAACCCACTGTTCCGAGAATGGCTGAAGTTGTGCCAGATCGTGCGTACACACTTGTACGGGCACCAACCACTGGTCCTTCTTTTTGTGATGGCAATCATTCATACGATTGTTTGGGAAATTGAGCGCGCGAGAGTGACAATGCACTCCTTCAGTTCCTTGATCAGCAAGCCGTCCTCGACTCATCTTCTCGCCTCATTCAATGTTCCACCTGACTCACAGATGATCCACTCAAGATGACTACAAGGTGCGCGAAACACATTCGTGCATGCATGGCTTAATGGCGTGAAACATATTTGATGAGTGTTGACGAAGCTTGCCTTTCACTTTTGTTCGACGAGGCGGACATACGGATGCGAATCTGAATTTCTTTGAAATTGTTACTGAAGCACTACCGGGCGATACATGTAAGCATTGTAATATGAAGGCTATGATTCTTTAGCTGAGACCCAGCGCCTCAGTGATATTTGAAGGAGTCCAGGGTGCTAACATCTGGGAATCGCACACCAGAGATAAAACGGCTTGTCGACGTGGTTCCAAACGGTGATAGCGACTCACCCAAGAACGGATATGCAGGCACTGGCACCAGCGACAAGGCAGGAGTCAAGCATGTGCTGCTAGATGTCAGGTTGTGGACGTGATGGTGAGTTCGAGACAGGAAGAAGCGAATCTTCCGATGTAGCTGGCTTCCGGGACGTAGCAGAACTTGGAAAACGACCACGTGGATGTGGCCGAGATGTCTTCAAAATGACATCGACGTTGGAGAGAGCTTCCTTCTCTATCATATGACCATAGATTTGGCGAATCAGCGCATTGACCGTGACTGGCTGCCCTGAGCCAGTTTATGCATGGACTGCGTTATGCCTACTCCATCGCAAAACTTCATGGACGGTTAGATGTTGTCTTAGTCTTTAGAATATTAAGCCAACCTACTTTCTCCAGAGCATGATACGTATCATTCTTGGTGCCAAAAATGCCCAACTCTTCCGTATAGAGCTGGAGCTCCCTTCACATAGGACAATCTCTTGCCAGTCATCGTCAGAATCCTCATTAGTACGAAATTGACACAGCCCAAAGTCGATGAGCACCACTCGTCTAGGGTGACTGCTAGATACAACAATGTTGTCTGGGCGCATATCAGCATAGATGACACCGAAAGATGCGAGGGTGCTCACAGCCTTTACGAGTTCCTGGTATGCTGAACTAGGAGCTGAATGAGGGTCTTGGATAGTTGCGGGGTTCTCTCCTGGGATGTATTTTATGAAAAGCACTGGGAGATATGGCGCGATCTTCACCATGACCTAAAGCGACCCGACCCGAAGCATAGAGCTGGGGGATGGTAGAACCTTGAAGGTGCCCAAGGCGTCTGTAGGCTTCGGCTTCACATACAAACGAAGCCTCATACTCACGATAGTAGATTTCTTCCCACAACGAGGCTTCCAAGAACTCTCTCCCATTGAGGGATACTAAAGTCATCACCTGGTGCAAATGCACGACGATCAGCTGCGGCCTTTTCTTTGGCAGCGGACCAGGGGATGTAAGATCGTCTTTTGCATGTATTTTTGCGCTCGTAGTTGAAACGTGGATCGAATATTTTAGCTATTAGTAGATTGGGGAGACCGGCTCCGACAGGGACATCCTCGATTTTGAGAAGAAGGACCTGGCATTTTGTGAAAGGGGTAAATGCCTTGCGAATAAGAGCAGCACACATGAACAAGGATTTCTCATTGTTGGAAAGAGATACCTGCACAACGTTGGAGGCGACTTCATTGTGTGTAAGGTCTTCCAAACGTCAGGAAATCGCGGAGTTTGAACTTTACCTTGCCTTGAAGGAACCCGCTGCTGTCCGCACCGTCCAGCTATTAAGCGGCAGCTGGCGTTGCTTTTTTCCTCACCCTCCCCAACATAGTACAACCCACTTGCTCGTTTTTCACACCACTCTCGCTCGCTCAAGCACTCATTTTTGCCCCCACTTCCATTCCCAGATTATTATTACCATCCATCGCATCGCTTCATCATATTCACACATCAACATTCCTTCGCTATTATGTAATACATTTAGATGTCGAAATATCATTTTGCCCTCAGTCGTTAAGTATCTCAAAAATTCAATGTACGAACCATACGCATGGCTAATTTCGATCAAAATCTTGCCTGAGGCAAAACTCTCAAACCGCCGGTGTGTTAGGAGGGAGTCGACTGCAATCGATCTCGCACGATTTCAGGCCAGCCAATGCTATTAATGACATTAGAATCAACTTCGTCAACTAATCTGTCACAATTTCAGCCATTCTGGGGAGAGTGGGTTCCCACTGGGGCTCAACGCTCAGCGCTTAGTTCTTAGATTCGTTGAACTCTACAGAATGACACGGCGATGTCGCAGGAATGTACCAAAACAACAAACCAGAGCAGAGCTTGCAGGAGAAGCTCAGAAAACAGACAGCTCTTCGAGTCCGCGTGTACCTAAGACACAATACCAACATTTCATTCCACGGTTCATATTACGAAGATTCCAAGTCGGACCTGTGAAGTGCGTTTTCAGAGTCCTCTCGAGCACTCTGCGTGCAGACACTAGACCAGAACACTGAATGATATTCTTTGCAGGTCCAGAAAAGAACGAGACAAAGAATTTCAACGCACCGGTGTTGATCCTGAATACGTCCGCTACTATGATGTTGCTACAGGTAGTCTTGACATTCGTCCTATTGGAAAGGTTTACGGCGTACCGAATGTCTACCAGGACGTCCGAAACGCCCTTAATATCAACGAAGTAGAGGAGAAATTAGGGAAACTCGAAAATCGTGCGGCCTCCATTATCACGGACTTGCACAAAGCGCTTCCTCAGGGTACTTTGACTCTGAAGCGGAGGACGCTAGAGGACCTGCGGAAGTTCCTATTTATCATGCATTATCGCAATGTATCATGCTCCGACATCTACTTTCAAGCGGATCACCCGGAGAACGCAAGCAGCCGTCAGTGGATTGAGTCCTTCATGCAGGCGAAGGGTCTTCATTCTGCTGCCGAGGCATGGCTATACTTCCTCAGATACTACCTGGATACATCTCATTCAAACATCATGCAAGATGCTGCAGAACTTGTAGAGAAGTACGGCGAAGGTGGTCTTCAAAAAATGATGATTGAATCTCATATCCCACCTGATCTCGAACACTTCCCAGCTTACACTTACTACGTTCAGGCGAATGGCTACTTCTTCAGTATCTGGGAAGCCGCAGAGGGAGAAGAATTCATCATTACATCCCACACATTTGGTCTGTGGGAGGGATTGGGATATGGTTGCCCTGGCATGCACCGCATATTCGTAGTCAGCCCTCGCATTGCTATCGTCCTGCGTCATGTGTTATCGCGTCCAGAGTTGAAAGAAGACACGAAGCCTGGTGCCTTCGTGAGCTGCTTGCTCGACGTGAATCCAGCACCACCAACTCCAATTTACACCCGTGGAGAACACGGCACACATATCGACCAAATAAATTTCCAATCTGCGATGGCACTTGCACGTTACAGATCCTCCCAGAAAGGGGAGGATGACAGTTTTGTGTTCAAGATCACAAAGCTGTCGCGACCCCAAACATTAAACTTCAATTCCGTTCTATTAGTGAATGTGACGGAGACAGGCTCTTTGACCTTCCTGTCAAAGGAGAGCATGCTCCGTTCCGCGCGTGCATTCCTGAGTTGGCCAGTCTATGGGCTGCTCGTTCCGCTCATCGCCCGATTAACGGATCCCACGGAGTCAGAAGTGTCGGCTCCTCGCCCACCATCACAGTCGCCAGTGGCTGTCCCCGATCAGGACGTGGATGCACTTACCCTCGTTGATGTAGGGCTCTATGTGCTCCTAATGCAGATATGCACGGGTATCAGGCAGTTCGAAACGGCATACGGCAGGGCACATCTAGTCTTCAGAATCATGGATAAAGCAAAGCCCACTTCATTCGCAGACGAAATCAGTCGAGAAGTCGAGAAGGCTTTCAAGATCTGCAAAGATTCGGAGGATGAAATGCCCGTTGGAGAGGGCATCAGTTTCGCTCCCTTGCTCTCTTCAATTTCCAACGAGTTGTCTTCTAAACTCTTCCGATTCATGATACCTTGCATGAGCAGACTGGGCGCAGTGATGTCTGGAGGTGAAGGAATTATGGAAGAGCTCCAAGATGAAGTCACCGTAGTGTGCTTTCTTGCACGTGCGTCGAGCAGCCCAGCAGTGTGGCATGCACTCTCGTGTATCAGCCCACAGGCCCCTGAAATCTTGTCAAAGGTATTCAAGGAAGGCACTCCAGGAGATGCATCTACTGCGAGCTTCACGCGGTTGATGTACCGCCAGCGGGCTTCGCTATCATCTTTCTCTTCCGGGTTCCACCTGGCATATTCGTTACGAGCAATGTGCGCAATGTCTGGGCCAACCACCAATACCGTCAGTCGGAGCTACTATCAGTTAACGGCTTCTATAATACAACGTCTCGGTCGCACAATGCTGGGATACCTGCCGGAGCCATATGCTTCGCAGCCACGCGAGAGGCCCAAGGCCCGGCTTATCTACAAAATCCCAGAAAAACATTCAGACTTACTTTTTTCGAATATGAAGATGATACTGCGGTATTCGCTCCCGGGATATGTGCCATCGCCAGGAGGGAACACTCCAGAACAGACCCTCATGAGGTGGATAGATGAGATGGCCATCGTCGGTAGTCTTGTGTGGTTGGGGAAGCACAGGAGGAATTATTTGGACTTCACTCTGCATGTGTTTCTGCAGGGTATGAATTTCAAGCTGTTTGAAGATGAAGAAGCCACTGGGAGTACCTAGATCGATTTGTTCGAATTGATCTTCTTCTATATAAAGTTTTCAAGATCACTTACTGAGACGCACCAGTTGTACATATAGTTTTGTGAATAGAATGAGGATTCATTAGATTCTACTTGCATGCGAGAGATACGCGACTACTATTGACTAAGGCTGTTTCACTGTCTGTTCAGAACACAATACTTATGTTGCCGTGGCATGGAAGCCTCCCCAGCTGTGCCTTTCCAACATTTGAACGGTTACTCGCCATTTAATACTTTACCGGACAATCCAAAGGATGGACATTATCCCTAGAGGATCTGCAAACGATAATACATAGATTATATGCGTCAGCCTGCGGTTGCATTTTAATACCCATGGTAAGGCAGTAATGAAACAAACACCAGATATATGCAAAGCTTTGAAGATCTCGCGTTAACCCTATATTCTAGGGATGCTCATGATTTTCCAGCAAACCATCTGCATCTGCATCAGGGACACCTCGGATTGAACGTTCACGAAGAAAGTGACCCAAACTCACATGAGCAAGCACCGCAAAGCTATTCCGTTTGTCGTCTCCGATGGCGAGGTCCTGTCAAGTTCTGTGCGAGCCCGGTTGATCACACTTTATAAGTCCTCTTCATGCCCTTGGATCACTGCAGCCAACTTTCCTACAATTCGCAAGATTGGTTATTGGTTCGCCCACCCAGAGGGCACTGACGAGTCCGATCCTCGAGTTGGTCGGATGTACACTTCGTGCTGCCTGATGTTCTCGTTCAGTTCCTTGTGGATTGTATTGCTCAAGTTCGAATATCTAGTGTTAATTCTCCAAAGCAAGAATTTGGGAAGTATGAAACAAGCTTTGTAGCGAGGAGTTGGATAGATGGATGGATTGCCCGAGAGACCTGAGGTCTTCACGTTCGTTGGGGTATTCAGTGTGTCTGGGAGAGAGGAAGATGGAAGAAACATATGGCTATCAGCTCTCCCGAACGATGGAGTAGGATTGATGGTCTATTAGTCGAGGATGCGAAGGGGTTTGGCTTCGAGCTGAGAAGGACAGAGTGACCTTCTCAAGATACATGACACTAAATGCGGACTCACAGTCGAACAGCTTAGCTAGCCCTCTGACTAGAACTACGTATCGACTTTTCTCATTCAATGTCACATCATCAGCTGCTATCTAGATCTCGTCTTCAGTGCATGCCATTCCAACACATCTCCCTCTATAATCTTCTTCTAGTCCTTCTCAGCTCGAAGCCAAACCCCTTCGCATCCTCGACTAATAGACCATCAATCCTACTCCATCGTTCGGGAGAGCTGATATTGTTTTTTGGATCTTCTTGACTTTGGGCTTTTGGATGGCATCACCTCGGCCTGAAGTCACAATGCAAGATTTTTTTCTCGATCACCTCTGGCTGCAGCTAGTTTCAACGTTGGACGCGACGAGTACTACGGTCATGAAATTTCGAAAACTCACCGCGAGCGCGTGGTCACTAATCAACCAATACAGAGTTACTGGTTAGGCTTCCCCTGATGAGAAGCGGAGGATGGCATCAGGCACCAGGATGTTATACATTTACAGTGTGCTGTTTCTAGATCTCACCGTCGACACAAATAGCTTGCATCCAAATCAAGGCAGGCAGAGCCTGAGACGTTCATTCACTGTTCGACTAAAACCCAATGGAATACAGTTCAGGATCTACCCCACGACTTCAGGCTGAGGTGATGCCATCCAAAAGCCCAAAGTCAAGAAGATCCAAAAAACAAAGGCAAGAAGGAACATCTTTGGGCGTGAGTCACTGTTTGATCTAACATCATGATAGAACAACCCACATACTAAACAACCCACTTCTGAAATCAAGTCGGAGTCCCAGGCCGAAAATATGAGCCAACTGCTGGATGTCACTATAGCAGGCATCAGTGCCATACAAATCGTCGTGCCTAGTGACCTGGCGAAAGGTGTACTCGGAACAGTCGCCAGTATTCTGATGACTGTGCAGGTGCGTCTGTGTAACTCCCGAAAATGAGTTTAAAAGATCCTTACGTGCGTGCAGTCAGTGATCAAGAACAAGTCCGATTTCCAGGCGATAGTGAAGAAATGTAAGACCATCGGGGAAATTCTTGAGAGAGAAATGAAGGACACTACCGACGACGATCTTCCAGGATACTTGGCCCATGCTTTATCGGAGCTTAACTCGTAGGCAAACTAAATTTCACTGTCGCTAGAAACTGACAACGCTAAGCAGGTTAGTTAACGATATCAATAATAAGGTAGTCTCAAAGAAGAAGCAAGGATTGTTCAAGAGGTTCTTATCTGTCACAATTGATCGCGATCAGATTGCTAGTTGGGAAAAGGACATAGACAGTGCCCTCAAACTCTTCGATGTACGTCTCTGTGACTCGCCTGAACTTCTGCTGCTGAATGTCATCTCAAGACTGAAGCGCTCGTTGGCATTGCCATGAGGATGGAAGAGCTCCCTGGCATTACCACAAGGGTGGAAGAGCTCGTTTCGCGAATCGACGGCAATCTAACCAGTGTCAATGTTCTAAAGTAAGTTGTCATGTTCTGCGGGTTGTGGGTGTCCTCTAAATGCAGTCAGGTATCAGCCAATTGAGCCTCCATCACGACCTTCCATGTTTTATGGCCGCGATGATCTCATGGCGGAGTTGACGACCCTCGTTGTCAACGGTGAACACATTGCATTGATCGGTCCGGGAGGCATGGGAAAGAGTTCTCTTGCCAAAGCCATCCTTCACGAGCCACTTATCATCGAAAAATTTGCTGATCGGCGCTTCTTTGTGGCTTATGATGATCTAGATCCTTCGACTATCACATTCGAAACTTTCATGACTCATTTCGCGGGAGCCCTTGGCATAGAGATCACCGGGGCTGATCCTTTGCGCCCAATATCTACCTTTCTTCATTCCGCTAGCGCCCTTGTTGTCCTCGATAATGCCGAGACCTTTGAAGAGGCCAGTGCATTGTCAGCGCTCGAAAAAATACCACCGGCAATCGCGAAGATTGCAAACATCCGTGGTATCATCCTGATACTCACATCACGCAGTCGAAGGAATGCAACAGATGTATTATGGACAATGATAGACATTCCGCGATTGGACTCGAGTTCTGCTGAAAGAGTGTTCTTTCAAACTTATCCTCGTGCCCGTTGTAGCAATGCCGAGGAAGAAATAAGGGACTTGCTCAGGGAATTGGATTATCACCCCCTTTCCATTAATTTACTCGCACACACTGCGCGGCAGAATGGCTGGTCTCCAGCCATACTACTGAAGAGATGGAACAATCAGCACAGTGCCGTGCTCAACCCCGGCAAGGGAAAGCTGCAAAGCTTGTCAGACACAATGCAGCTGTCACTCAACTCACCATCCATCCAGGATCTTGGCGAGGATGGTCGTCTTACTTTAGCCATAATCGCCTTCTTACCCCAGGGTCTCAACGACAACCTGGCTGGCAATTTGTTGCCATCGCTCCAAGAAGTTGACAAAATATGCGATGTTCTATGCAGGCAATCCCTTGTTTATCGTGACAAAAACTTCATCAAAGTACTCGCACCCATTCGACATTATGTGCAAGATTCGTTGTCAATACCTGACTCCTCCACATCTTTGCAAGAGATACGCACCTTCTACTATCGCACTGTCGAGCAGTGTTCGGAAGAACAAGACGGTCATGCTAATATCATCATCTCGGATCACTTCAATATTGAGTGTGTCGTTGCTTTCTACCTCGCCCATATCCCTGAAGAGACTTATCGCGCTTGCTCGAAATTTTTGAATTGCTTGACGTGGCATCTTCCTTGCCCAACCACCCTTACCCCCGCTATTTTCAATGTCGTCGAGAAGTCCTTCACGTATGAGCCAAAAGCATACTGCTTGTATAACCTAGCCTGGCTCTACTCCACTCTCTCCCAGCTCACAGACGCAATGAAGATTTACAAAGCTGCTGAGGCACTCTTTCTCGCCACCGGCAACCACGAAATGGTGGCCGAATGTGTCACCAAATGTGCAGACACATACAGATGTCAAGGCCGCTTCATTCAATCCCAACAGCTTTTAGAGGGCTTTCAATGCTCCGAGTCGTGGGAGTATCTCAGTGAACCAAAGAAAGACGAAGTTTGGTATTTCTTGGATAGGGCTCGGATGTGCACATTCACAGCATCTGCGGATGAATTATTTGTGAAGTCCTCGGACTCGGAAGGTCACCTCTGTGGCTTGGAGTCTAAGATTTGGCACTGGCGGGCCAAATTTTGCTACGGGGGAGACATTGTCCAGGTGACCGAGCGCTTGAAAAACCTTCTCCTACAATGCACAATTACTGAAGTCTATGCCCGCTGCGACGCACTTCAGGGGCTTGCAGAGGTGGCATTTTGCGAAAGCAGGCCATCGGAAGCCATGGATATCCTACAACAAATCATAGAGATATTCAAGGGAGAACATTCGGACAATGTCTTGTGGCATACTGCGTTGAAGGCCGTTGTTGCAAGCAAGCAGGGGGATCATACCCTTGCGAGGGAGCTCATCTACAAAGCCCCAGAATCCTCCCAATACTTCGAGCTGCGCAGTGCATTCGTATTTCTCCACAGATCTTATACTGCGGCATGCATCGAGCTCACTGCGGGTGCATATGACAAGGCCGAGTCCCGTTTCATCACCATCATTGAAGGTTGCGATATCCAAGGACATCTTGATTTAAAGGCCTATAGCAAACGGGGACTGGGGGAGATTGCCTTTGTGCATGATGACTTCGCATTGGCTGCACGATGCTTCACAGAAATAGGGTCTTTGTGCACTGAGATGGGAGTGCCTGAGCGACATTTGTACAGCTGCGAGCCGTACTATGTCCTGCCAGACAGATTTTGTGGATGGACATTATTTTTAGAGGGTCAGTCGCCATTTGCGAACAATATGTAGATCATATACATATGTGTACATGTAACAACAGCCTGTCATTGTATCTCGGATGATTGTACGAGTAGCTTCATCATGATATCGTATCTATAACAAAACAGTGATGAGACGAACGCGGGAGATGAGTGAAGCAGAACGCGTGGAACTTCAAGTGTGTATTGAGATTGCTATATATGACACGGGAAGGCTGTGACACAGATTCGTTACATAGAGAACGCATCTGTTCTTATCATCACATGTCTTACTTCCACTCATATGGTAGTGCGCGAGCTAAATCTGCGATATCTCCTCAGATCGAAGGTTTATGGAAAAAAAAGACAAAAACTCACTGATAGGTAATTGCCAGTCTCCCATCAGCTAGACCAATAGAGAAAAATAGTCGAAAGGCGATGACTACACAATTCATTCATCTGATCTTCTCCGACTATGAACTCATTCTCGCGCGCGCCATGTAGGTGCTATCCCATGAATCGCATCGGCTCGTCTGCACCTTTAAATCGACGGTGATCCTCCGGCCTAAACTGGTCGAATGGGCATGTATTTTTCGTAGAATGTATTACCCAGGTTCATATTTGCAGTGTTGGTTCACCACTGCAAATATTTGGGAGAGGTTCAGGACGTTGGCCTCGCGTCGAACCTAGGAGTCCGGTCGATCGGTGTAGCGTTCGAATGGGATGGAATAAATCACGTTCGTCAGAACTCAGGAACTCTGCAAGATATGGAGGTGGCGGGAAAATAGGCAAAGCACATATGGCTATCAGATTGCCCATGAGAAAAATGAACTCAGTTGACGGTACGAGAGTTGAGAATACGAATAGATTCTCAAAGTTCAAGTTGCAAGAGATGGTGCTACTCGGCGAATGAAGATCGTAAGCGAATATCTTGTTGAACTTGCTGTCACAACTCGATGTGACATGCGCGTCTAGTAGCATCACATGATGTGACAAAATTCTTTCCGTACTTATGTAATACATTTAGGTGTTATTGTGCTTTGTCATTTTGCTTACCGCCGGTGTGTTAGGAGGGAGTCGATTTCGGGTCAGCCAGTGCTATTAATGTCATTAGTATCAACTTCATCAACTAATCTGTCACAACCTCAGCCATTCTGGGAAGAGTGGGTTCCCACTGGGGCTCAGCGCTCAGCGCTTAGTTCTTAGATTCGTTGAACTCCACAGAATGACACGACATCACATAAATCCACAACAAGAGCTTACAGGAGAAGCTCAGACGACAGACGGCCCTCCGAGTCTATGCGCGCCTACGACACAATACCAACATTTCATTCCACGGTTCATATTGCGAAGATTCCAAGTCAGACCTGTGAAGTGCGTTTTCAGAGTCCTCTCGAGCACTTCGCGTGTAGACACTAGACCAGAGCACTGAATGATATTCTTTGCAGGTCCAAAACAGAACGACAAAAAGAATTTCAACACACCGGTGTTCACTACTATGATGTCGCTACAGGTGGTCTTGACGTTCGTCCTATTGGAAAGGTTTATGGCCTAGAGAATGCCTACCAGGATGTCCGCAACACTGATGACATCAATGAACTAGAGAAGAAATTAGCGGTCCTCGAAGGTCATGCAGCCTCCATTATCAAGCACTTGCATGAAGCGCTTTCTCAGGGTACTTTGACTCTCAAGCGGAGGCCACTAGAGGACCTGCGGAAGTTCCTATTCATCATGCATTATCGCAATGTATCGTTCTCCGACATCTACTTTCAAGCGGATCACCCGGAGAACGTAAGGAGCCGTCAGTGGATTGAGTCCTTCATGCAGGCGAAGGGTCTTCATTCTGCTGCTGAGATATGGCTATACTTCCTCAGATACTACCTGGATACATCTCATTCAAACATCATGCAAGATGCTGCAGAACTTGTAGAGAAGTACGGCGAAGGTGGTCTTCAAAAAATGATGATTGAATCTCATATCCCACCTGATCTCGAACACTTCCCAGCTTACACTTACTACGTTCAGGCGAATGGCTACTTTCTCAGTATCTGGGAAGCCGCAGAGGGAGAAGAATTCATCATCACATCTCACGCATTTGGTTTATGGGAAGGTTTGGGATATGGGTGCCCTGGCCTGCACTGCATATTCATAGTCAGCCCTCGCATTGCTATCGTCCTGCGTCATGTGCTATCGCGTCCAGAATTGAAAGAACACATGAAGCCTGGTGCCTTCGTGAGCTGCTTGCTCCACGTGAATCCGGCACCACCAACTCCAATTTACACCCATGGAGAACACGGCACACATATCGACCAAGTAAATTTCCAATCTGCAATGGCACTTGCACGTTACAGATCCTCCAAGAAAGGGGAGCATGACAGTTTTGTGTTCAAGATCACAAAGCTGTCACGATCCCAAACTTTGGAATTCAATTCTGTTCTATTAGTGAACGTGACGGAGACAGGCTCCTTGACCTTCCTGTCAAGGGGGAGTATGCTCCGCATTGCGTTCCGGAGTTTGCTGGCCAATATCCATGCGAGCGAGCTGCTTATTCCGCTCATTGCGCGATTAATGGATTTCACGGAGACAGAAGTGTTGCCTCTTCACCCACCATCACAGTCGTCAGCAGCTATCCCCGACCAGGACGTTGGCGCACTTACACACGTTGATGTAGTGCATGTGCTTCTAATGCAGATATGCACAGATATCAAGCGATTTGAAACGGCATACGACAGGGCACATTTAGTCTTCAAAATCATGGAGAAAGCAAAGCCCACTCCATTCGCAGATGAAATCAGTCGAGAAGTCGAGAAGGCTTTCAAGGTCTGCAAAGATTCGGAGGATGAAATGCCTATCGGAGAGGGCATCAGTTTCGCTCCCTTGCTCTCTTCAATTTCCAACGAGTCATCTTCTCAACTCTTCCAATTCATGATACCGTGCATGAGCAGACTGGGTGCGGTGATGTCTGGAGGTAAAAGGATTTTGGAAAAGCTCCAAGATGAAGTCACCGTAGTGTGCTTTCTTGCACGTGCGTCGAGCAGCCCAGCAGTGTGGCATGCACTCTCGTGTACCAGTCCACAGGCCCCTGAAATCTTGTCAAAACTATTCAAGGAAGGCACTCCAGGAGATGCATATACTGTGAGCTTCGCACGGTTTGCGTATCGCCAGCGGGCTTCGCCATCGTCTTTCTCTTCCGGGTTCCACCTGGCATATTCGTTACAAGAAATGTGCGCAATGTCTGGGCCAACCACTAATTTCGTTAGTCGGAGCTACTACCAGTTAACGGCCTCAATAATACAATGTCTTGGTCGCACAATGCTGGGATCCCTGCCAGAACCATATGCTTCGCAGCCGCGTGAGAGGCCCAAGGCTCGGCTTGTCTACAAAATCCCAGAAGAGCATTCAGACTTACTTTTTTCGAATATGAAGATGATACTGCAGCATTCGCTCCCGGGATATGTGCCGTCGCCAGGAGGGAACACTCCGGAACAGACCCTCATGAGGTGGATAGATGAGATGGCCATCGTCGGTTGTCTTGTGTGGTTGGGGAAGCACAGGAGGAATTATTTGGACTTCATTTTGGATGGGTTTCTGCAGGGTACGGGTTTCAAGCTGTTTGAAGATGAAGAAGCCACTGGGAGTACCTAGATCGACTTTTTCGAATTGATCTTCTATAGTGTTCAAGATCACTTACTGAGACGCATCAGTTGTATATATTTTTTTTGAATAAAATGAAGATTCATTAAGCAATGATAATTGCAGGAACTCGAAGGCTTTGCATGACAGCTAAAGCTTGACGATTACACTGGCAGTGAGTAACTTTGTCCACGGTGATTCTGTGAAGTCAAAAGTTATTCAAGGTCCGTCCGACTCAGACTCATGCGTCCTGTCTCTACGGTAGACCCACCAGTTGTATCATTAGCTCACAACCTTCCACACTGCAACTATCATGATATTCCTTCCTCGAGATGTCCTCTTCCGATATCCCAATGCACCTGTTAACAAAAAGGCTGACGCTTCCAGGACCACTTGAATGAACCTTGACAGCAGTTTCAAAATGACCGCTACCAAGGAAAAGCTTCACTATATGATGAGACGAGGATAAACGCTAGTATGTAGTATCATTCCCTGCAATTTCCCTAACCTTAACGCGTAGCTTGACTCTCGAGGCGACGCTTCCACCACTCGGAACCATGCGCTGAAATAGTCAGACAAACAACTGAAGGTAACTTAGGGAAGAAGGCGTGTATTCAGGAATCGTAGTGTGTGCTTCTGACTCTGGCCAAGAATGAACCAAACGTCGAGCAATCCTCACTAGTTGCAGCCCTCACTTGAAATAACTAGTAAGTCCTTCAACCATCAAATTTGAAGTTTTCGTAGCTCTCCGAGATCTTGCCCACATAATATTCATCCTTCTTCATTTCGTTAGTGCCCTTGTTGGAGTCCTCTTCAAATGCTTTGAAGAGGTCGGTAGACATCCCTGGCATTAGGAATACACCCAATGTGCGATGGATAACAAACCAAATTCTGCCATTGGATTTGAGCTCTGCTCGGGAGGCATTTTTTGGATTTGAAGTCAAGCACAGTGCAGTACTCAACCGTGGTGATGGAAAGCTGCCAAGCTTGTCGTACACCATGCAGCTGTCGCCCAGTTCGCCGTTAGTGTAGAAACTCGGACAGGACAGTCGATGCACTTTGTCCATCAAGGAGAGGTCCTAGCTACGCGTCTATTATCATCTCTCCTGTGAATTGAAATTATATATGATGTTATATGCAGACAATCTCTTATTCATCGTCGAGACACCTTTATCAAGATATTGGTGCTAAATCAATATTGTGCAGGATTGCTTGATACCACTCGACTCTACTTGCTTGCGAGAGATACATCCTGTCGCACTGTCTCTTCAGAACGCAATACTTATGTTGCCGTGGCATGGGAGTGCCTCCCCAGCATCTGTACAGCTGTGTACCATTCAATTATGCTCTCAAGTTCAGGCTATCAGAGAGATTTCAAGGACAAGCACTAATTTTGGAAGGGCAGTATCACCATCTACGAATCCGAACTCCTGATATGCGGGAAGTCTGTTTATTGCAATGTATGCCGAGCACTTTCGTGAACAATGATATCCATGTCACGACACGTACATGAACTAGATATCTATGTACAAGTGCCAAGAGGTGCCGGAATTGACATTAACATAAGCACACGAATCACTCTAGATACTGCCGCAACTCTCACAGTTTAGCTTGTCTGGAGATTCTGGGCCAATGTGCCACCACCATCGATATCAGCATCGTGCCCTTTCACGTAGGGATGACTGTTGCTGCTCTTGTTGGATCGACACTCTAACAGAATGTGAGATGCGTTTTATTCAGGGCGCGTGTGGGCGGAGGTTACTTTCTCTCAGACTGATTTTGTTGCATAGAAAGATCATGATAGGTTAACGTGCTATGCTATGTATGAATCATGTTAGGGCGGTTACGCAGTGAATCTATAACTTGAATGTGGCAAGACTCAAGTTCCTGAGCTTGAACATTTGCCAGATGTATCACCTCCTCATTCAAAATAACGAGACCAGATTTCGTAAAGATCATCTGAGCCGAAGTGCTGTGAAGATATAGCTTCCTGATAAGTGTCCCTTCGGTGTTCCAGATGTGGGTACCCTCACCGCAACCTGAATAGATATTTCCCGCATCAAACTGAATGCCATCGGGAATACCAGAATCGGAGGCGTTTTGCCTCAGAATCTCATTGCAATCATGATTGATGTAAGAAACTCACACCGTAGATAAAAGAGTCTGATTCGTTGCGAGGAAGCCTGTAAAAACACCAATGTCGATGCTGATATGACGATGTGACTTTATCCTTGGATCAAAAGGCAATCCAAGTACGAAAAACTTACACAAATGCACATTTGCTGTCGTGGGTGAATGTGATACCATTCGGATGCACAAACTGGTCGGCAACAACTCTGGCCTGCCCAGTGGATGGATAAAAGCAATATATTTGTAATGGTACCATAGCAAATATCGTAAACACCATTTTGCTACAATCAACTCACGTTGGATCAGTGAAGAACATGATGTCCGTGCCAGGGAGAAATATGATATCGTTGATCGAGTTAAAGTGTCTGCTGTCCAGAAGAACAGTGACATTGTAGGGAGGGCTATTATTGATGCGTACAACCGAACGAGGAAGCAAAGCGCAACCCGAAGTGACGGTCTCTTTTGTATGGACCTGTGCCCCCGTTTTTTTGGAAATGTCCGGAAGGTTGAGCTGAGAGTTAAAACTGCATTGAGGTCGTGCTTTATGAGCAAAGGCAAAGCTAGGACCCGAAGCAATTGATGGAATGGTGGCAGATGATCCGGTAACACAGAGGAACGAAGGGTTTGGGGAGACCGGCCCTGACAATCCTCGATTTCGACAAGACCTGGCATTTTGTGAAAGGGGTAAATGCCTTGCAAATGAGAGCAGCACACAATGAGGATTTCTCAACGTTGAAAAGAAATACCTGCAGTTAGAGGCGACCTCCTTGTGTGTAAGGCTCTTCTACCATCGTTGCACAGGAGCTTCTAAACGTTTACATAAAAGCTGGTTGAACTTTCAAAGGAAATGGCGGAGTTTGAATGTTACCTGTCCTGAGTGCTCGGAAGGAACCGGCACCACACGTCCAACTGTGATGAGCATTCTCAATTTGTTCTCCCTCACCGCACCAACTTGAAGTGATCGCACCATAGTATGCCCCACTCGCTTGTTTTAAAATTCCTTCGCTGTCATTAATACAAGTTTCGTATACCATAATGCAGTGCCATAAAGGTCATTCATTCAGCCCACGTGTCGAGTTTCCCGCCCACCTAGCGGCAAACTCGGCAGCATTCGAACCGAGCTAAGGCTTGGTCCCAGCCCAACCACTGTATGTTTGATCTGATCGCATTTCATGAGAGATAAAGCTGGACTCACATAAGCTCAGGTAGGGTTTGGGGAGATCACATGACGATGGCTAACATCCTTGTGTGATTATTTGTCCAACTGGGCTGGCGTTTAACTCTGACTTTCGTGGGCACTGACTTCACCTGATACCGAGACTAAGACCTACTACGACTTTCACGATCGTAAATGGCATCGTCTGTGACATATGGATACTCGGTAGTCACTGGTTAAAACGAACTTTGAATTTGAACTTCATCAATCACATAACTTAATAAGGTATACCCTTTAACAACACCGCCCGCCACATGGATACGGCGTGTTCGTCGCAAGTTAGCACTCGGTTCTTGGATTCGTTGAACTCTACAGAATGACACGACGTCGCAGGAATACACCAAAACAACAAGCCAGAACAGAGCTTGCAGAAGAAGCTCAGAAGACAGACGGCTCTCCGAGTTCGCGTGCACCTATGACACAATACCAACATTTCATTCCACGGTTCATATTGCGGAGATTCCAAGTCGGACCAGTCAAGTATGTTTTCAGAGTCCTCTCGAGCACTCTGCGTGTAGACACCAGACTAGAATGTTGAATTATATTCTTTGCAGGTCCAAAACAGAACGACAAAAAGAATTTCGACGCACCGGTGTTGATCCTGAATACGTTCACTACTATGATATTGCTACGGGTAGCCTCGACATTCGTCCTATTGGAAAGGTTTACGGCGTACCAGATTTCTACCAGGACGTCCGAAACACTCATAATATCAACGAACTAGAGGGAAAATTAGCGGACCTCGAACGTCATGCAGCTTCCATCATCACGGACTTACATGAAGCGCTTTGTCAGGGTAATTTTACTCTGAAGCGGAGGCCGCTAGAGCTTCTGCGAAAGTTCTTCTTTATCATGCATTATCGCAAGATATCGTGCTCCAACGCCTACTTTCAAGCGGATCACCCGGAGAACGCAGGGGCCCGTCAGTGGATTGAATCTTTCATGAAAGCGAAGGGTATTCAATCCGCTGTCGAGTGTTGGCTATATGTTCTCAGATACTACCTGGACACATCACATTCGGATATCATGCGAGATGCTGCAGAACTCGTAGAGAAGTACGGCGAAGAAGGTCTTCTAAAAATGATGATTGAATCGCATATCCCACCTGATCTCGAACACTTCCCAGCTTACACTTACCACACTCACGCGGACAACTACTTCTTCAGTATCTGGGAAGCCGCGGAAGGGGAAGAATTCATCCTCACGCACAACGCATTTGGTTTGTGGGAAGGCTTGATAGGTGGCTGCCCTGGCCTGCACCGCATATTCGTAGTCAGCCCTCGCATTGCTATCGTCCTGCGCAATGTGGTATTGTCTCCAAGGATGAAAGAATACATAAAGCCGGATTTGTTTGTGAGCTCCTTGCTCCACGTGAATACAGTACCATCAACTCCAATTTACGCCAGCGGAGAACGCGGTATTGACCACGTAAATTCCCAATCTGCGATATCACTTGCACGTTACAGATCCTCTCAGGAAGGGGCGAATGACAGTTTTGTGTTCAAGATCACAAAACTATCGCGACCCCAGACATTGGAGCTCAATTCCGTCCTATTAGTCAACGTGACGAAGACAGGCTCTTTGACCTTCCTGTCAAGGAGGAGTATGCTCCGCACCGTGCGTGCGTTCCGGAGTTTGCCAGCCAATTTCCTTGCGAGTCAGCTGCTCGTTCCGCTCATTGGACGACTGACAGATACCATGGAGACAGAGGTGTCGGCTCTTCACCCGCCGTCACAGTCACCAGCGGCTGTTCTCGACCAGGACGTTGACGCACTCACACTCGTTGATGTAGTGCTCTACGTACTTCTAATGCAGATATGCACGGGTAGCAGGCGATTTGAAACGGCATACGACAGGGCACATCTAGTCTTCAGAATCATGGAGAAAGCAAAGCCCACTCCATTCGCAGACGAAATCAGCCGAGAAGTCGAGAAGGCTTTCAAGGTCTGCAAAGATTCGGAGGATGAGATGCCTATCGGAGAGGGCGTCAGTTTCGCCCCCTTACTCTCTTCGATTTCCAATGAGTCGTCTTCTCAACTCTTCGAATTCATGATACCTTGCATGAGCAGACTGGGCGCAGTGATGTCTGGAGGTGAAGGGATTTTGGAAGAGCTTCAAGATGAAGTCACCGTAGTGTGCTTTCTTGCACGTGCGTCGACCAGCCCAGCAGTGTGGCATGCACTCTCGTGTATCAGCCAACAGGCCCCAAAAATCTTGCCAAGGCTATTCAAGGAAGACACCCCAACAGATAGATCTGTTATGGATTTCACGCGGTTTATGTATGAGCACGCTTCACCATCAATTTTCTCTTCTGGTTTTCATACGGCATATGCATTACGAGGAATATGCGGCATGTTTGGGCCAACCACCAATCCCATCAGTGAGAGCTATTACCGATTTATGGCAACTATAATCCAATGTTTTGGTCGTGGAACACTGGGATCCCTGCCAGAACCGTACTCTTCGCAGCCGCGCGAGAGGCCCAAGGCCCGACTCCTTTACAAGATGCCAGAAGAGCACTCAAAGTTACTTTTCTCGAATATGAAGATGATACTGCGAGAAGCGCTCCCTGGATTTGAGCCTTCGCTAGGAGGGAGTACTCTAGGTCAAACCCTCAGAAAGTGGATAGACGAGATGGCCATCGTCGGTTGTCTTGCGTGGTTGGGAAAGCACAGGAGGAATTTTTTGGACTACATTTTGGATGGGTTTCCGCAGGGTATGAATTTCAAGTTGTTTGAAGATGAAGAAGCCACTGGGAGTACCTAGATCGACTTGTTCAAATTGATCTTCGCTTACTGAGACGCATCAGTTGTAGTAGTACTGTACATATCATTGTGAATCAAATGCCAGTGCGGACTCATTAAGCAGTGATAATTGCAGGAACGTTTATGTTAGCGGAAGTATCAAAAGAATTAGACAACATTCTACTACCACATATTGCTTCGCTTCAGAAGCTTCTTGACAATCCGGAGTTGAACCAATATAGTGCGGAGGCATACCCCGTGATAGACTACATCTTGCGATCGAAGAAGAAGCCAGATGGTGTGGGTGCATACAGCATACCGTTTTGTGGTGACATCTCATCTCATGAGTATGCCAAAATTGCACATTGGTTTTCAGAGAATGTTCCTGGTGCTTCCGGTCAAGTCGAAAAATGGCTTGGTGACATGCCTTTGGTGCATGCTTTCATTCTCGTTATTGCTTATCGAAAGGCCAGTGAGTTCGAAAAACACATCAAAGCTTGAAACGAAGAATGGAACGATAGCATGCTGTTGAAGATGGCTTTGGCTGATCTCATGATAAGCTATCCTACCAACAGGCTGAGTGTCTGACCGCACTAGAAGCAAGGATGTTTGAGGATTCCGAAGAAGCAGGACCTGCAGGGTTTGGATACTGGCCAACGTCACAGGCGATGGAATGTGTATCTCGGCATTCCTACTGAATGGGTTTCTGGAAGAGAGTATAGCGAGAGTGAACTTGAGGAAGACATTACCTGCTCCGTTCGATGGATATCTAAATTATGTGATTGACAGCACGGCCCCTTATTCAGTGCTAACTCTGATGCTACATATTTGGAGTCTGCAGACGAGTTATCCGAAGCTGTAGTTCCTTCTCTGCTGGCTGAAGAATGTCCGCCCGTTAAACGTCGATGTGCTCCACAGCCTGCTCGAAGGGTCCAGAGAGGGAGGAAAAGAAAATGGACATTGGCTTATGTCCTAGTTGTACATGTCCCTACGACAAATAAAATAACGAAGGAATGGTCATGAACTCATCCAACTTGATCTGGAAGTCGAATGTACTAGAACTTATAAGAATGGCCCGCATCAAGGCTTGTCAGTGCCGCGTCACAGTCGCGGCAGGACTGTGTCGAAATAGCTACGCCATTGAAGAGATAGCTGTTGGAGGTGACCTCCTTGTGTGTAAGGCTCTTCTACCATCGTTGCACAGGAGCACGTTTACTCACGTCGGTTGAACTTTTAGAGGAGATCACATGATGATGGCTGCGATGGCTAACATCCTGTAATCATTTGTGTAATTAATTGTCCGACCGTGACTGGGCTGGCGGTTAACTCTGACTTTCGTGAGCACTATAACTTCGCCTGATACTGAGACTATGACCTACTTTGACTTTCACGATCTTGAATGGCCTCGTCTGTGACATATGGATACCCGGTAGTCACTGGTTCAAACGAAGTTTGAATTTGAACTTCATCAATCACGTAACTTAATAAGGTATAGTATATACCCTTTAACGACAACGCCGCCACATGGACATGGCGTGTTCATCGCAAGTTAGCGCTCAGTTCTTAGACTTGAACTCTACAGAATGACACGACGTCGCAGGAATACACCAAAACAACAAGCCAGAACAGAGCTTGCAGGAGAAGCTCAGAAGACAGACGGCTCTCCGAGTTCCTGTGCACCTATGACACAATATCAACATTTCATTACACGGTTCATATTGCGAAGATTCCAAGTCGGACCAGTGAAGTGTGTTTTCAGAGTCCTCTTGAGCACTCTGCGTGTAGACACTAGACCAGAGCACTGAATGATTTTCTTTGCAGGCCCAAAGCAGAACGACAAAAAGAATTTCGACGCACCGGTGTTGATCCTGAATACGTCCACTACTATGATATTGCTACGGGTAGCCTTGACATTCGTCCTATTGGAAAGGTGTATGGCGTACCGAATGTCTACCAGGACGTCCGAAACACCTCTAATATCAACGAAGTGGAGGAGAAATTAGCGGACCTCGAACGTCATGCAGCCTCCATTATCATGGACTTGCATAAAGCGCTTCCTCAGGGTACGTTCACTCTGAAGCGGAGGTCGCTAGAACTCCTGAGGAAGTTCCTGTTTATCATGCATTATCGCAATGTATCATATTCCGGCACTTACTTCCAAGTGGATCACCCAGAGAACGCAGGGGCCCGTCAGTGGATTGAGTCCTTCATGAAGGCGAAGGGTATTCATTCTGCTGTCGAGATATGGCTACACTTCCTCAAATATTACCTGGATTCATCTCATTCAGACATCATGCGAGATGCTGCAGAACTCGTAGAGAAGTACGGCGAAGTAGGCCTTCAAAAAATGATGATTGAATCGCATATCCCACCTGATCTCGAACACTTCCCAGCTTACACTTACCACACTCACGCGGACAACTACTTCTTCAGTATCTGGGAAGCAGCGGAAGGAGAAGAATTTATCCTCACGCACAACGCATTTGGCTTGTGGGAAGGTTTGGCAGGTGGCCACCCCGACTTGCACCGCATATTCATAGTTAGCCCTCGCATTGCTCTCATCCTGCGTAACATTATATTGCGTCCAGAGATGAAAGCATACGTAAAGCAGGTTCCGTTCGTGAGCTCCTTGCTCAACGTGAATCCAGCACCACCAACTCCAATTTACGCCAGTGGAAAAGACGGTGCCCACATCGGCCATGCAGATTGGAATTCTGCAACATCGCTTGCACGTTACAGATCCTCCCAGGAAGGGGGAGACGATAGTTTTGTGTTCAAGATCACAAAACTGTCGCGACCCCAAACATTGGAGCTCAATTCCGTCCTATTAGTCAACGTGACGAAGACGGGCTCTTTGACCTTCCTGTCAAGGAGGAGTATGCTCCGCACTGCGCGTGCGTTCCGGAGTTTGCCAGCCAATATCGAAGCGAGCGAGCTGCTTGTTCCGCTCATTGCGCGATTAACGGATACCATGGAGACAGAAGTGTCAGCTCTTCGCCCACCATCACAGTCGCCGGCGGCTGTCCTCGACCAGGATGTTGACGCACTCACACTCGTTGATGTAGTGCTCTATGTACTTCTAATGCAGATATGCACGGGTATCAGGCAGTTCGAAACGGCATACGACAGGGCACATCTCGTCTTCAGAATCATGGAGAAAGCAAAGCCCACTTCATTCGCAGACGAAATCAGCCGAGAAGTCGAGAAGGCTTTCAAGGTCTGCAAAGATTCGGAGGACGAAATGCCTGTCGGAGAGGGCATCAGTTTTGCTCCCTTACTCTCTTCAATTTCCAATGAGTCGTCTTCTCAACTCTTCGAATTCATGATACCTTGCATGAGCAGACTGGGCGCAGTGATGTCTGGAGGTGAAGGGATTTTGGAAGAGCTTCAAGATGAAGTCACCGTAGTGTGCTTCCTTGCACGTGCGTCGACCAGCCCAGCAGTGTGGCACGCACTCTCGTGTACCAGCCCACAGGCCCCTGAAATCTTGCCGAGGCTATTCAAGAAAGGCACTCCAAGAGATGGAACTGTTGTGAACCTCACTCGGTTTTTGCATGAGCGCGTTTCATCATCAGGTTTCTCTTCTGGTTTTCATATGGCATATTCATTACGAGGAACATGCGGCATGACTGGGCCAACCACCAATCCCGTCAGTCAGAACTATTACCGGTTAACGGCATCTATAATTCAATGTCTTGGTCGCATGACACTGGGGTCCCTACCAGAACCGTACTCTTCGCAGCCGCGCGAGAGGCCCAAGGCCCGACTCCTTTACAAGATGTCAGAAGAGCATTCAGAGTTACTTTTCTTGAATATGAAGATGATACTGCGGAAAGCGCTCCCAGGATATGAGCCTTCGCCAGGAGGGAGTACTCTAGGTCAAACCCTCGGAAAGTGGATAGACGAAATGGCCATCGTCGGTTGTCTTTCGTGGTTGGGAAAGCACAGGAGGAATTTTTTGGACTTCATTTTGGATGGGTTTCCGCAGGGTATGAAGTTCAAGTTGTTTGAAGATGAAGAAGCCACTGGGAGTACCTAAATCGTTTTGTTCGAATTGATCTTCTATCTAAAGCGTTCAAGATCACTTACTGAGACGCATCAGTTGTAGTGGTATTGTACATATATTTGTGAACCAAAGCCAGCGAGGATTCATTAGGCAGTGATAATTGCAGGAACTTGTTCAAAGGCTATGTATGGCGGCCAAAGCACGACGATTCCAAGTACTGGCAGTCCATGACATGCACTGTGAAGTTTATTCGAGGTCCGCTGAGAGTGACCCTACGAGCTCATCTATACCCACATGACGATAATTTGATATAGTAGCTCACATCTTTCCACACTATCATGATATTCTTTCGCCCATCGCCTCGAGATGTCCTCCTCCGACGCCCCCATGCACCTGTTAACTGACGCTTTCAGGACCACAAGTTAAAATGGGCATTGGCAGCGGCAGGTTCAAAATTACCACCACCAAGGAACGGCTTAGAGTCGGACGCACTACGTGATTCTATGAACGATAATAGAGGCTGGCGTGTATTTTCCCGTGTATTTTCCCATCCTCAACGAGTGGCTTGACTCTTGAGGCGACACTTTCAGCATTCGGACCCGTGTGCTGAAAATGTTAGACAAGTGGCTGAAGGTAAGAGTGCGCCTATTCAGGAATCATTTTTGACTCCAACACAGAATGATTCGAACGTCGAGCAACCCTCTTTGCAGCCCTCCTGAAACAACTAGTAAGTCCTTCAAGCATTGAACCGGTGTTATTATGGCAAATAGTGTAAACGTCATTTTCCTATAATCAACTCACATTGAATCAGTGAAGAACGTGACGTCCGTGCAAGGCAAAATTTCGATATCATTGAGCGAGTTAAGTTTCCCAGAACAACAGTGGCATTGTAGGAAGGTCTAGGATTGATGCGCACAATCGGAGGAGAAAGCAAAGCGCGACCCGAAGTGACGGACAAAATATCTCCGTTGTATAGACCTGTGCCCCCGTTTAACATTTGGACAGTGCCCCGCGGAAGGTTGAGCTGAAAGTCGGGACGGTCTAGATCAACAATCTGTGCGTAGTAAGTCAGTGGAACCAACCCATTTGAACTTGTATATTAATATATCCCGTTGTAGAAGCCAGCGCCATGTCAACTTCTGTCATATTGATCATGCGGAGATGCTGTTCTTGTACCAGCCGTTGCACCCGAGTGCACCGCTATAGTTACTTGTAAGGAAGCCTGCGTTGAGGTCCGGGATGCAGATGGGTGCTTCATGAGCAAAAGCAAAGCTAGGATTCGAAGCGATTGAGCGAATGGTGATGGATGATCCGGTTTCATTGAGGAACGAAGGGTCAAAGACTTGAATGAATGGTGGTGCAGTGTTGGTGGGGTTAAAGCCAACAGTAGACAAGGTGCGCCAGACTGTGTAGTTGGGTCCTACAACATTGTACATCAGAGGATTTGCGTACTGCAAAGGAACGTTAGGTACAGCACTGTATCATCACGATCTTTGACATACCGCTCCAGGAGACACGGTAAGGTGCCAGTTCGCACGACACAAGAGCTGTTGTGACAGTCAAAATCACATCCGTTGTTGATGCTGTCATCTTTAATAATTAAGATGCATCTCCCCTATTTCCAGTTTTCAGAGACAGTCAGTGATCGGAATGTATTAACGTCACAAGTACCAGAGGGTGCACGGCAAATGGGGCTCAGAAGTCACCTCTTGTTGAATACAGAATTTTCATTGTTTAACAGAACATGATCGCACGTTTGTTGGCGTTTCACAGATAGCTAATTAAGACAGTCATTAGGGTTACGGAGAGCTGCCCTAAGCTGTCGCATGACCGTCAGTCGTGTAGATAAGGACGAAGAAGACGCAGAATAACCGTACTTGAAAACATTTTTGACACCGACTTCGGAGTACCAAAGGTAGCGGACCGCGAAAAAAAAACCTCCAGCTCACGGGGCTCTCAGCCCCCCGAAGTGACGAAATGAGATACGCACAAAAGCGTTCGCTGAACCAATTTGGAGGCAGAAGAATCTGGCAACCCTTGAGCTACCTTGGCTTCAGAGATCGTGTCTTCAGCCATGAGTTCTGAGGGTAATCAATCTGCAGAGTCACGACGTTTCATACTTCCTGGTTCATCAGGTGTCATCTGATAAAAGTAAGACCGTCGTCATGGGTTGTGGTAGACTGGTCCTTGCGCATCATTGTATCCGTACGAGCGAGGGACTACCGATGTTCGTTGCCATAACATGCAAACTCAAAACGAACCGATCAAAGTATACCTTGAGCACAAGTTCGGTGATCTCCTGGCAGTGCAGGACCTTTCTATGACACCTGTATGAATATGAAGGGTTCTTTCAACGAGTGCGGACTCGTCAGAACATCCAATCTTCCCCAGAGCCATGAGAGGTTGTTCAACTTAAGTACTCAGCACTCACTGGCTCATCGGCTCGACTGAACCACTCTCCTCGTTGCGAATAAGGGTGACAAGCAATACTATGGGCTGGCAGGCAAATGCATGAAGGTCATTCTTGGCCAATAGTGAGATCCAACTTGAAAAATCATTGACAAATTGTGTACGACCTGACGGAAGCTTTGGCCTATCGTAACAGTTGTAACGTACGTTCGAGTATCAAGATTCCCGTACTATCCGGCCAGATTTTCAACTCCCGGAATTAACGATTCCCAGGTGCATTACGTTCTTCGCTTGACTCTGGCCTGGAAAGTTCTCAACTTACAGAGACAGCAATCCAATACGAATCAACCCTGCAGGAATTTCCGTCACCACGAACAACATTACTGCACACTCACTGCTTCTGCACCCTGAGTGCTCAGTGCTGTGTTGTTTTGAAGGATTTTCGTCACATCAGCAAGGATGGGAACGACATCGATAGCTTGCCAGGATCCTGTCCCGTTCCAACTTGGCGGCGGCGATTGTTGTGCAGGAAGTGGCACTCGGGGCTCATAGCTTTTCGTGTCTGGTTCCGGATACGAAGATTTTGGTAGGACGGATGGACTCGGATCCTGCCGCCGCCGAACTGTTTCAATTAGTGCAGCGAACGTGACTAGTTCCTGGTTCAAACACTGCGGCCAGGTCTGGAGGTCTGCGCGTATGAGCATGCTACTTTCCATTACACATGTTACGAGCTCAGCGCTGTGGCTTTTCCTTTATCCTCGGGCCTGGCAATTCTGTTCTTCCTGATGTGGGCAGGCGATGTTGTGCATAGGGCGCGGAAATGTAACTGGTACCTTGATGGCCCCAGGGCCCACACTGACCAGGGTCATTCCATAGTGATCCACCGACTCGCAAGTGGATAATACCTAACCGCCTTGCTCTCTGTTATGCTCACGGCTGCATCGAATCAGATAATTGTTTGCTGACACTGTAAATCTGGCGGTCTTTTACCTCCGGTTGCTCTGGACCTGCTCACTCGATAGCGATGAATGATATTCCCATCTAGCTCATCACAACACTGTTCTCCTGGTGTCACCACCTAGTTTCTATCACTCACAGAAGTTGAGATAATTGCGGTGAATCTTAAGGTGGTATCTTGTTTCTCATATCGATCCAAACGTTTACATTCCTGTGTCCAGATATCGTTTTCCCTGATATTGTGCAACCTGCTGGCGATTATGACATACACATACCCGCACTTGATCGCAAAACCGATTATCCTCGTCTCACTCTGCCTCTAGTTGTCCCAACTTCACGACGAGTGACGTTGCCCTAACGCTGCAATTCACTGCCATCGATCTCGGCGCATTCTTCTGCTTCTAATAACCACATCTGAGGAATTTTTTGATGGAATGATGTTGTCGGTGGGAAACTGACCAAGTCAGCCTCCACGAACACGTTGATGGAACGGGAGTCGAAACCCGCCTCTGAGAGAATTAGTAATTACTGCCAACCTTCGTATCTCAAGATGGATATGTTGCATATACTATACAAGGGTGAGGGTCTTTTTGACCACAAGACCGGTGATACTGACATAGTAATTTCTTTCGTAGGATCATCTTCTTGACAATTCGTTGTGACGATCGCATGAGGGCGAGCATAGATGTTGGTTTCTCGACAATAGAGAATAACTGACAGCTTCGTTTATGTGGAGGGAGGCAATGTGTATTATAAATCCACCAATTGGCAATCGCTCCGTTCTTACAATGTGTAGATGGATCAAGTGCGCGCGCGCACATGGCGTCAATACCAATTGGAAATCGCTCCGTTCTTACAATATGTAGATGAAATTTTGAAACCTGAGTCGCATTCAACACATTGTCGTGCTTCGGCGTTAGTATCGATTTCAAGACATTGTGAATACTCAAACAATGGGTTCGGGACATAGTATCAGTAGTTGCTATAGTATGCAAGAAGTGAGACAATCATAATATGGCAATTACGGATGCATCTGGTATCGGGTATGTAACTCCATGGCGCTTTCCGACACGGCATGAAAAATTTGAATCTCTTGTTCTCTGCCTCATCGCCGAAACTGTGACAGAGACCACACTAGGCTCTGCTAGGCTGCGCACCGCCAACAATTCAGTTCTTGGCACCACAGCCCGATACTTTCTCTGAATCCACGGGCCTCGAGTTGACCAGCAGCCAATGAATCCTGGTTCGTTCATTCCGACACGACCGGGATGGAAGAATATCTCAGCCCCGAGGCATAAGTACTCCGTGACGACAACATGGCACGAGCCCATCTGGTCATGGTAGAAACCTGTGTGTTAGTGCCTATCTGCAAGGCGGCTGTTGTGAAGGTAATAATGATGAGTCTCATTGTCTCGGGTCAAATGTCGGCAACGACAGCCCGGATCAAGCCTCATGGAAAGTTTCTGCCTTTGTCTTCCACAACTTTTCGCCGCAAGTTACACTAATCTCTACAAAGACGCTTTTCACGCGACATTCGTCCGAATTTTAACTGCCCGATCGGCTCACCCGTATTATGTCTCAACGGCACATATAATCGAGGTCAAATCTTATGGACTAATGTCCCACTGTCGCATGATAAATAAGCCTGGTAACAAGTGCGACATCCTTCTGTTCTTCTTGGCCGTGTCTTCTTCTATCGCCATTCTAGTGGTGGTGACGACTGTCACATAATATGCAGTTTATCAAGAACTTGACACGAGGATTCCCGACCATTACTGGCATACGATGGTTCAACCTTTCTGTCCTCGTTATCACGCCAGCCCTTTCCCTGTACGGCTTGCTATATGTTCCCATCCTTCGGAAGACTGTCGTTTGCACTATCCTCTATTACATTTACTCCATGCTCGGTAGGTACTCGGCAATAGTAATTTCTTCTGATTGCTGAATTCGCTTCGCTAGGCATCACTGCTGGTGAGTAATGAAAATACCTGCAACGAGATAGCATTAGAACGCGTTACTCCAGGGTACCACCGGCTTTGGTCGCACAGATCGTATAATGCTTCGTTCCCTTTGCAGGTATTCCTTATCCTTGCGGGAGCGAGTGCAGTGCAAGGCTCGTGTTACTGGTGGGCACGCCGACATCGTTCTCACCACAGACATACCGACACCGACTTTGACCCTTACAACTCGGAACGTGGCCTCCTCTGGACGCACATCGGATGGATCATTTTCGAGTCGGACTTGAAAACGGGACCAGCCGATATTTCTGATTTGCGTAAGGATCCTCTCGTACAATGGCAGCACCGATGGTACTTTGTTATCTTGACTATTTTTGGCTATTTGCTTCCAATGGTCATTCCTGGCTTGTTGTGGGGAGACTGGAAAGGCGGGTTCTTTTTCGTTGGTGCCCTTCGCATGACTGCGTGCCATCATGTGAGTTTTATCTTGTCCATCAAAGGCAAAGCTTAACCTTCGTCTTAGAGCACTTTTTGTATCAACTCCGTTGCTCACTATCTCGGCAGCACACCATACGATGACAAGCACTCGCCGCGCGACCACCTTATATCCGCTATTCTTACGATGGGGGAAGGGTACCATAATTTCCACCACCAATTTCCCATGGACTACAGGTAGCAGTTGACCTTCATCGTGCCGTTCTCAGTTCTATTTACGAGTCTGGTCTTTCCACCAGGAATGCATTCCGATGGTACCAGTATGACCCTACCAAGTGGTTCATCGCTATGTGCCATTCCCTCGGGATTGCCTCCCATCTTCGTGTTTTTCCCAGCAACGAAATTGAAAAGGGTGCACTCACGATGAAGCTCAAGGCTCTCAAGGACGTTCAGGACTCGATTGAATGGCCTGTGCCTCTGCAGGAATTACCCGTTGTAACGTGGGAGACATGTGAGCAAACGCTATCCTATACAAAAGAAATTCCTGAAAAAGTACAAAATTTCTGTCAATAGTCCAGGAAGAATCCCAGACTCGCACTCTTCTCCTCATCTCGGGTTTTATTCATGACGCATCCTTTTTCCTCGATAGCCATCCGGGAGGTCCCGCTCTGCTCACACGAAACTCTGGAAATGACATGACAGCCTCCTTTTTCGGTGGCATCTATGCCCACTCTCACGCAGCGCACAACGTGTGTATCATGCTTCTGTTCGCTTATCTAACGATGCTAATGATTGACTCTCATCCTCGTTGGCCGCTGTGAATACATACTCCAATACATAGCTCCTTGCGATGATGCGCGTGGGCATCCTTGCCGGTGGTGTAGAAGTGCCAGCAGAGCATGCCATCCCACCCAGTCAACATCTTGTGATCCGTACTCATGCCTCGCATTAAAGACACAGCCACTTGACCCCAGTTCGTTAGACAACCCACTTGTGTAGTATTAATGTGATCCTTCATCTTAAAAATATACGAGTATCTATAGCGTAAATATCCAAATTTGTAGCTTCTATCAGTACAGTTTTCAACCCCGCTAGATCATCCTATGTATTTTCTCTTACACTTCGTTACTACTCGCCCCTTGCTTTCTTTCTATTCTGTACATACTAGTCTGGTCCGATGTTGAGTGACTGTTGTGCACTAAAACATCATGCCATAAATTAAACAGTGCTCACTGCGGTAACAATGCCATCTCATTCTCGTTGGAATGGGATGAAACTAGTGTCGCTCAGTGTCCTTCATTATAGGCTTATAGCATTGCAAGTTGCAACGGGGTAGGTGACATTCGCGATTGCTACCTGTGCGAAATGGACAAGTTTTAGCGTTGCCCGTATTCAAACTTTTATCGCAGAGCTGAGCCAATGCAGATCGAAGTGGTTGCACATGCACGCAGAAACACGTCTCATTAACGTTTTAACACTCGCTGTGTTATGTAAAGTGAAATCCTCGTATCGAGGAGCCGTAATAATTCATAAACTAACTTTCAAGGGAGGTCTACCGATTGCGTAATGAATGCCCCGGATGCCTCGTGTCGACCAGTTTAAAATCTTCCACCTTGGTCTAAACTCAGACTGCGTCCTTCATACCACCACACGTCAATTGCTTGAAGCCTTTGAAGTTTTTGAAACATGTCGGAACCAACAGCAGCACAGCTTAAGGACGAGGGCAACGATTTCTTTAGGAAGCAAGACTACGTTGGAGCATTAGCAAAATACACCAAGGCTATTGCTCTGGATGACAAGAACGCTGTTTTGTATGCGAATAGAGCTGCTTGCCATCATGGGTTGAATAGGTGAGGTTACAGTTATAGAGCTGCGGTAAAAATAACTGACTGCAATCTTTAAATAGATACCTAGATGCTGTTGATGACGCGAAGATGGTACTGATGCCAGCATCGTATACATGGAAAAACATTAATGCGTCGTGACTTAGGCTACGCAGATTGATCCAGGTTATGCAAAAGGGTGGTCACGACTAGCAGCATCTCGAGACGTAAGTCCTTTTGCGCTCCCTTCTCGTCTGATCTGACGTCATGCATAGGCCCTCGCGGAGTGGGAGCGAAGTGCTGAAGCGTGGCAGAAGGCACTGGATGCACTCCCCAAAACCAACCTCAGTCCCGCAGAACCAGCGACAGAAAGATCAATATAGTGCCGGTCTGGATGCAGCCAAAACCCGTGGCAAGACCGCAGAGAGCCCCTCTGTTTCTCGTTTCAAAGCAGAGGATGCCAATCTTCCTTGGAAACTCGCGACGGAGATGCTTCCTGAACTTCGGAAAGCGGGTCCCGAAAAATACTCTAGCAGTGTGAGTTTTACTTGTAATGTTGCACACCATCGCTGAACAGGGGTACCTTTCATGTAGGCCTGGGTGATTTCATATGCATACGAGGTATGTTTGCGCATTTCTATGTAATAAGGTCCTATTGACATTTACTAGGAATTCACGAAAGGAGTGGCATTTATGAATGAATTCCTCACCCTCAAGCTCCAGGAGGCTTTGCCTATGGCGGAAATACGATGGTGAGTTCAAGCCGCTTTCTTCAGCTTGCAATATCATGGTACCTAACACACGCAGGGCTTGACGTATTTGACCAATGGTTTGATGCGTGACGAGCGCGCGTTCCATCTAAATGGCTCCGACTGGATTACCAAGTACAATAACCAAGGCAATCTTATTCTAGCATCGCGTGAGGAATCACACTGACCGAGCTTCAGTCAAATTCGAAGCTACGGCTCGCCAAGCCTGGCACTCCGATGGGGTCGAAAATATCAAGGAACTGGCACAGAAACGCTTGAAGGAAAAGGGATGGAGTAATGTACGCCCTGCTTTGTCGGTGACAGTTCGGTGCGTCATATGAGCTTCGTACTGTAACATTCATTGATCGTTCGGTGCAGTGCATGGATAATGAGGGGCATGTTGGACGGCCATCTCAGAAACAAACCTGACACCGGTGTTCAGTTTTTGAAACGGGCTGTCGACTTGCTTGAATGGGGACGAAATGTTTGGAAGAATGTTCACAAGGATGATCGTGGAGCGATTTTCCAGGATACGTTTTTGCGAGGTGTGCGTAGCTTGCACCTGAAGATGTTTATGAACGTGCGTTGCGAGTCATGTTACTTCGGGTACTTGTTTAATCGAATAATAGGCTTACATCGCCGATCCTGGCTTGAACTCCAAGTTCCCCCTTGAACATCTGAAAGAAGAAGCCGAAGACCTCCTCAAAGAGATTGAGATAGCATCAAAGAACCCTAGTAAGGAGGAAGTTGACCCTGGCATGGTATCGTCTTTCTGTATATATCCTGCTGCAGTTGCTTATACGTATGTCTTTGTCTATTTCCCCGCGCTTCCGTTCCTTTCTCATGGTTACCTTGCTTTTCAGGATGATAGGATTCTATCATGCACAGACAGCTCAGCATAGCGATGACGTTCTCGCATGCATTAGCTTTGCGAATGGGGCAAGTGCGTACTTGCAGGCAGCTAAAACGTACCCTGAGGACGACGAATTCCATGCATGTAAGTGACCAACACAGACTCGCGCGCGTGTTTTACAAGTGTTTCCCAGTTTACTTGAGCTGCGCTATGGATTGTATGCGAAATGCCGGTCTCCCTATTCGCGACTTCAACCTAGCTGCCGTTACTTTACGGGCAGCCGTGCCCAAGATGATGAAGATATGGACAGTCTCTGCTCTGCAGCAAGGTGGACGAGACGAGAAAATACAAGCAAACTTGCGCAGCGCAGATGAGACAATGAAGCTTGTCGCCGAAGGGAAGTTGACACTGGAAGATCCTGTGCCTTTGTGATCATTGGGATTGATGCATTTTTATAAATACTAACTCGTGTAATTGTACGCTCTTGTGCTTTATATAAAAGTATCTTTCACAGAAGATACGGGGACCTTCTGCAGATGCGCAACCCGTGGCAGGGGGATAATAATGATACTCAGGCCGTTACTGGAGCACCTGTAGGATGCCGCAGTGCCCGGCTGAATCTATAGATCTGCTAGAGATATGTTCTCATTCAGTAAAAAAAAAGTAACCACAGTGCAGATACCCAAAAATCGAGACAACTCAGTTAAGCGTCTTGGTCAAGAATAGTGGTGACATAACTAATTCGACCACTGTTCGCTTCACGAACATCTCGAGATTGACGTCCGCGCGTGGACGAGGTCGGAGCCTCATGATACGAATGACCAATTGACCCGCCGAATTCCTCATAACACTGAGATAGCCGGATTATAATCCATTAGACTGTTTGTTCGTGATAAAACATAAGAGCATAGAGTAGTCACGTTGAGTCTAAGGCATGTATGTAACGGTTCGATTTGCCACGACTTGACTTAAATGTTTAAAAGTCCGATCAATGTTTACAGGCGTACCTGTAAATTCAATGATGTCACAGTATCTACTGATATTCATGCTTTTAGATGGCTTTACTCATTCTTCCAGTTTGCTTTTCTCGCACTTGCAGACTGCTTTCTTCTATATAGTCAACTTTTAATGCCTAGTATCGTGCTTTTTTCAATGCTCATCATAACAATAAGTCGGGATTAGAGTAATTAGATCCACTGAAAAAAGTTGGTTTGACTTGATGCTACTCTGCTCTCTAAGTCGTGCAAAAAGTAGTATAAAAGTGGGCTAAAAGTGGACTCGTGATTTGCTGATGCATAGGTGAAGACTTCCAAGTGTGTGGAGCTAGTTTCAATGAATTGGAATGAAAGACATACTAAGTCTAAGTGAAGAATATACCACCGAATGAATGTCAAAGGCACAGTATGCTTACTCTTCTAGGAGTAAGAACTAATGAGATAGGCGCATTTTGCGATTCTCATCCGCATGGCAATTAAACTGACTGAGGCTTTTTAAGCTTCGCGGATATAAATCAGCGGATCACAGAGCTGGTACAGAACATAACTGACCTCATCTTCAATGTATTCTTGCGTGGTATCTGTCCTAATTGAAAGGTCGTTCGGCATCTCCTGCTTGCACATGAGAAATTTACTGTGCAAATCCGCGGAGCTCACCATTTGCGACGAGTCGATGAGACTATTGATAGGTCTCAGGGCTCTGTCTATCAAAGTCGACACGTGCTCGTTACAAGCATCGCCATCACGGCGGATACCCTTGCGTGCATTGAGGGTTGCCAGCAGGGAATTGCAATTAACTGAGAATGATCTTGTTAACCTCGCGAACAGCATAATTTGACTGCAGTGTACTTACGACGTCCCACGCAGAAATAGAATGCGATGTAAATGAAGGTATCAGGCCACACTACAATCTGTGTCACATCTGGGTCAGGAACGAAATAACGAGCCGTTTGTGATGTTTTACATACAGAAATGAAGGACATCATTGCGCAAACACTGGTAATTAGACCAGTGTTGATAGTGAACAGCATGAGCTTGTTGATCATAGTATCGGACCGGCGGAACCCAGTGCGAGATCGTTGGAGGAATGTGCAGAGCAAGACAGCGATAAGGATATCTCCGACAGCTGCTACAGCATTTATAGACATTGACCATGACTTGATCTGGCGAACTTGAGTGAAGGTCGCCAACTCGAGACTGAAGAGGGGTGCATCAGCGGACTACTACTTGATAATTTGCGACACGAATCACGCTTTTATAACATATACTTTGGATGTCACATTAGTAGACAAATTTACGAGAAGAAAAAACGCATACTCACTGACAACAATGACAAGTTCAGCGATAACAAGTGACATCACGGATGCGGTTATAATCATGTTCTTGTTGCTCACTGGCTGAAAGTAAGCAACTGTCCACTGGCAGGGAGATCATACATACGGTGGTAGACACGCCTGGCGAGGAAGCTGAAAGGACGATAAATGAGAATCGTTCTGTTTGAAAGGTATCGCACCGACCTTTGAACCATAAACCCCGTGAAGCCATTGAACAAAACTTCAACCTGTGACGTAAATAAAAATTCAGATGAGAATTGTACACTTATCACACGCAACCCACCAATAGGCTCCACACAATTTTCTCGAGATCATTGGCGTTGCCAAAGTCAATGACAAGGTACGTGTACACTACCATTCAATATTCAGTTCACAGACGGACACGTCTTATATCCGGTACTCACAGGCGTGTGTAATCAAAGCTTGATGGGTTGTGTCTGATACGAATACAGCGCCAACCTATATAATGTTAGAGAATGGCGCATATCGATCGATAGTGAACCTACTAAAAGTTTGTGGTGCCAAGGATCCGAGAAATACCGGCTAAAGTAGTACCACGTCTGCATACAAGTAACTTTGTGCGATTGTGAGCTCCTACCAACGCAAAAAAACACACACACGAAAACACACCTCCATAAAGCCTGCAACATCCGAGTTGAAATCTACACTCATTGTTGATCCAAAAAGAGCACTTACACGGCAGAGATTACAACCCCAATCAAGAACGCTCCAAAACTGAGCAAGTTATACTAGGTGATGCATATGTGAAGCTGAAAGATACGCACGTATTATCCGCAGTACCCATGTGGGAGTTGTATCAGTGTGAATGAATGAGGATTTGGGCTTAAATAACAGATACCAGTCGTAAAGCGAAGGTCGGATCATTGGAGTATTGCATGATCTGGTGCCTTAATTCCACACCCGTTCGCTGCGCACGGATTATCGATACGGCAGGTGGATCACCTGTCTATGCGTGACCAATTCAGTGCGTTTTTCATGACAGCTGCACCACTAACCTTCTTTATAGCTTGCGCCATGATGATCGGCCTGGAGTGATCGAGATTCAAGACGGACATGGTCACGGTGGACTATGAGGATGGCCTCAAGGCCGAGTTGGAGGAGGGATTCGAGAAAACAATCGCAAGTATGTGGAATTGAGGGTAGGGGACAGCCTTCAAGCTTCAAGTTTATTTAGGCTTTAATGAGATATTAATAGGGCCAGGCCAGTGTATGAACACAGGAGTACGAATTATTTGTACCGTCGAGAAATGCCGCTTGACCTGAATGTTAGGATTGTTTCGTACTCAGCGTAGATAGCGCAATTTGCAATAGTCCTATTCGGCCATCTGCACTACGAGCACTACTGGACTTGCCAGGCTGAGGACAGTCTTTGTTTGGCAAGCCGTCCAAGGTCTGAGAAGCTTGAAGCAAGCAAAACATGGCAGCATTCGACATGCAACTAGTATGCCAAAGTAACAAACACGGATCCAGGACACATTCAAGTTCTTCTCAAGACTCAGGCGGAAGGTTGCCAATGCATCACGTGATTCAGTACTCGGAACTTACCAGTTCAAGAGGTGTGCGTTCGCAAAATCCCGAACATAGGGCTCAACTTTACATAAGCGAAAAACCTTAAATCACAGCCACCTGAAGCTTCGCGAGCACCCTTTCTGAGCTTCTCAATACTGACTTCAAATCTACGTGAAATTGTTCGTTGTATACTGGAAGGGGGGGTGTTTGTACTACACAAGAACATGTTTAGATAGTCTGTTCAATTTAAAATGCGTGTCAAAAAAAGTTATCCGCTAAATCAGTGAAGACATAGTACAAAAAAAAAGTAAAGCACGTGATACTGTCGCGTCGCATCATGTAGTCGTGAGTCTGAAGTCTCAGATCTCAGAGATTGATGCGTCTCAACCAAGTCTCAACGTTCAACCCACCCACGCGTAATAGTTTCACAATGTACCCCCTTTAATATGCCTCATGCTTTCCATTAGATGACGAGTTCATCGCATGAAGGACATTCATGCGGTAAATATGTTGGAATCAGTATGTTTATTCATTTATGTAGTATACATCTATACTAATCTACACAGGTCGGTATCACAAACGCAGGCTGCTCACCTGCACCGAAGACCCATTGGAGAAAGGAAATGACACTGGATCAAGTTCCAGATCTGCAGGCAAACATCATGCTCTTCAGCCTGCCGCTTCTCTACCAGCTAAACATGCTCGTACTGCGGCCATGCGACCACTTCAGCGTTGTACCTCGAAATATTGTTGGATAGACTTACTTGCTTTGATACTTGCTTTGCTTTCTCACATTTGCTTTGATTCCGCACTCTTTTTTCAACAATCAATCACTACAATTAGTGCTGCCGCAGTTTCAGTTTATGTCCGGCTTTAGCCGGAGCCGGAACCATAGTTAGCCAAGCCGTGTATGTAGTTATACATTATGTAATACATGGCCCGGTCCAGCCAATGAAGCTATATTTACAGGCTTTAAGCCAGCTCAAGCCAAATTTAATCAGAATATGTATAATATAATATAATATATATAAATTTGCACATCTCCGAGCCCACAATTTATCTAAGGCTGCATTCGTGTACGATACACTTGTGTCCTTGGTACAAGCTGTTGCATCTCGGTGCTGTAAAGACAGTAAGAAGCGGGGATGTCAAGTTTCGTCATCTTAGAAGAATGCGAGGGTACCGAGAGCGTAGGTGACGGTACAGGTTGAGAAATTGCAGCTGGATCCTCGACTGGGGGTGTGCCAAAATTAGAAGATGGCATGGGCAAGGTGGGCGTGCAAGGCAGGAACGATGAGGTTGGATGATGAGAAGGCAGATGTGCCGTGAGATGCGGAGGGGGATCATGCTTCCTTTTACCTTGTTGTGTAGAATAGATTGAAAATTTGAATCAAACACCGAAAAAGGAAATGTGCTGTAGGCTGTAGCGATCGGATTTGATGCCCAAGTGCCAACACTACTCCAAAATCATTGAATGCACATCGAATTCGATACTGAGAATCGCGATTCATGATGGGTCCTCAAAGAAACGTAAGTGATTGGATCTGGTGTACAGAAAGCTAAGTTGAAAAAAAAATTAGTTGTACTGCAGCATTGATCATGCTCGCAAGATAGAGGCAGAGCGGGTGGAGTTGAAGAGGATAAGGGCAGCGAAGCTAGCGAAAGCTTCGCAAAGCGAGAGATCAGTCCAGAAACGGCCAATGAAGAACTGGTGGTGCGCAGTGTGGAAGAGGTTGGGTTGGAAAGTGCGGGAGTGAATGAGTGTTGCAGATGTGTGGAGAGGTCGGGTTGGAAAGTGCGGGAGGAATAGTCATCACAGAAGTACGCAGAACTTGTGCTGTATGGAGAATCTATCAGTAAAAATGCACTTGCACATCGAGCTATTTGTGGGGATGCGTGCATGAGACGATACAGACTACATCGAATGCTTCTTAGCACATCCACCATATTGGCAAAGCCGAGTGACCGCATACCTTTGGTGAAGTACCAGTCGCTTTGTAGTTAAGGAAGTACACGTTCGGGAGGGTGAAGGTGAAAGAGAGGGATGAAGACGAAATACTATTGAGTATAGGTTTCTAGTGACGGTAGAAAATCTGGCCTGAATGTCAGCTTGCATTTGATTGTAAATGAAAATCACATACATCGAGTGAAGTGTCAAATTAGTGATTTACCACGAAAGCTTTGCTTTCATGGTGGGGAACAGAGAAGGCATCGCCAAGTCCATCCCAAGGAGTGGGTGCAGCAACGTCCATGCGCCATTCCCAGCCGTGTGAATAGCAAAGACGACGCCAAAGTACTTGGTCTGTTGTGAGGGTGTGCCAACGTTTAGAAACAAGAGAGCACGCGAGCAAGCTGCTGGAAGATACGTGAAGATGAAAAGAGATAATTCTGTGGGAAGGGCCTAAAAATAATCGATTTATCAGTCAGGGCTACTGGACAGAGAACATCAGACTCGCCCCTACGACATCGAACTGCAACAGAGGGGTCATTCTGCGCTGCAGACTTGCAAGCACAGAACGAGGAAGACACTCGAAGAGCTTGTAAGTTATTTCTGTGAACGTTCACACGAGTGGGGACATCGCATTTGAGTGAGTGGAGAGGGGTGCGAGAAACAAAATTGTCAAATGTAGTTCATCATTAGGTAGATCAGAGATGAACCTTTGCGCTCAATAAAATAAAATGAGACCAAACCAAATCATGCTGGTGTATCAAGAGAGAAAGGGAGGTGGGTGGGTGACTAAAAATCAGGGCCGGGTGTCAGAAGGTGGTAGTACGAGGTGAAAAAAGGATGTTAACACAGAAACACACACTTATCTATGTCTTAGCGCACGGGCCTGCTGCTACTTTGAAAAACACATACATCGAGTGAAGTGTCAAATGGATTTCATGTGCGGCCTACAAAGCCTAGGCTAGATCAACGTGGTGTACTCATGGGCTCGCATACACGTTGATTGTCCACCTCAAGCTCACGTCCTGTCAGCAGTATCTTTGGTCAGCAAGGCTGGAGTTCAACAAATGATAAGCAAACTCACCCGTTCTTGGTACAAACCGACATCCTGTCATTGTCAATGGATGAGCAGCATCTTTGGTCAGCATGACTCAAACTCAATACATTCTGAGGATGTGATATTCTCACCCAGAAACGGTACTGAAGAAGATCCAGATAGCCTAGACCAGGAGACTTGTCAGATGCGTTTAAAGTGACAATTGAGATCGGATAAAACATAGCTCAAGAAGAATCGTAAAATGTGTGATGGTAAATGAAAAGTAAGAAACACGAAATAAAAATCCATGAAGATAGAGGAGATGTCAGGTATCATAGATGTCAACCTGGTCGTCGATATCATTGCACTCATGCTCTGCAATGGCTTTTGTTACGGTATATTCATTCTCTTCGCTTCTCTTTCGATACTGGACAATGGTACATGCACACAGCTCTCAACGAACGACCAATCACCTTCCAGAACCTCACTCATATTATCGCCAAGCTAACCTTCCGTACCAGTAACCATCGCTATGTTTAGATCGCTATCTCTTATCCAAGCGGGCTGTCCGCACCATGGTTACTATCTCCTATCTGTTATCTCTTATCACTTACCAAGCGGGCTGTCCGCCTTCTATCTTGATACGCACTTACAATCTCCGCTTGAACTCACACTATATAGTTACATAGTGTACCACATGTATTTCCTTACTTTAATCTACTGGGTTTTACCTGGAACAAGTCCTTTTAGCAAGGTCTCCAACCTTGCTATCTAAGAACCACTATTCTAAGGAAGTCGCCGATACTTGCCTTAGCCAGAAACCTTGACCTCTCACTCGAGAGAAGAACCACGTCTGTCTCGCCGAATCTCAGTCCACTCGGACTTAGACAGCTCGACATACCCCAGTCATAACAGCTTTGAGAACAGCATCATATGCATGACTGTCACCTGTAGTTCCACTGGAGACAGGTGCCAAAAGCTCGTCAGAGCCATTGTCAGATACCATCTCACTTTCCATGGCCCATCGCGACGCCGCCCAACCTCTGGTGAAATTCAGTCGCTCCTTTTTACGGAGAACTTCACCATCTGTAGTGCCTCCATGAGGACCGGACTGATGCAATTGCGCTTTTTTGTATATGTTTCACTGCTCGACGAGAACACCCACTCACAGGGAACAGCAGACACCTGAATCGGGAGGTAGTCCATAGCGATGGCGTAAACTGTTGGGAACATTGCCTCAGACATCTGGTCGAAACATCATGGTCAATGACGAAAGATGTAA